TTTGGCTACGGACGTCAAATAATGCATACGGACGTCAAAAAACAAGGTTTACCGCAAATGTCAGCAAATAGACCCAGCATTTGATTCACAGGGTAAAGATACATCAACTAGCCCGGGCTTGTATCATTGCAACCTGGCTGTTATATAAGGCCTTTGTGGTTGCCAAGGCGGTGGTCCCAGGGGACGGCGAAGGCCCGGAAAAGTTCAAAGAATTTTGCCACAGTGGTATGATTAAGTAAGCGTGACATTTGCAGCGTCCACTTGCGGATTTTTTCTGTATGTGGACCACTATTTTTGAAGTATTTATTCCATTCAACTTTTCATGGTGACGACTGCTAGGTATCCAACTGGAGACTTGCTTGTCACATCAAGTTTTGCTTGGGGGGTGACCTCCTGAGCTGTTTTGAAAGCTATCATGACGCGCTCTGGCATCACACTGCGCCAGCTGGGAGAACACGTGAAACGTATGTCTCCCCTTTGCATGATGCGCTTGGCCAGCCAGAACATACATCATTGCAACATGGCCTGACGCGTGCGTGACATTGTTTGCATCACCAGGCCAATGTGGAACCTAAGTCCTGAGTGCTTTACGGAGATCGTCTTAAGTGCTGGGTGACTGTTGCATCCTCTTAGCAGGAGGCTGTAGGACATAGGGTGTGTGTGTGTGTTGGTCCCTTAACAAGACAACATGGCTGTCCTACGTGGCCTTGACTTTTCTGGTTTTGCATTTTGCAACCTGCCGACCGGCCACACCAAAATAAGGAAATGGTCGCGTCACTGTCTAGAGAGACCGGCAGCTCGCATGGCAAGTTGGTAGTCAAAGAATTTGGCAACGGTCTTTAATTTTGTTTTAATATTCCGTATTCTACATTTGTTACTTGTAGCACGTCACAGGAGCTCAGAAAGTCAGTGACACTCACCAAGTCAATTTTATTCATCTGCTGGCACGGAGGCCAGTGGTCAGAGCCTGTGCGGCAGGCATGTCTCTGCCAAATCTAAATCAGATTGTTCAGCAACACAGAGGCTCGGAAACCCAAGGGTAGGGCAACAGTCACAACAGTCTCTTGGAGTCAACCCATGAACCGAACCTGTTCAGATTCTCTCTTGCTAACGTGGCGAAGCCACGTAATCCGTTAAGCGTCATGTCCAAATTAAAGCTTTTCTAAGCCACAATAGACGCTTACGCCATCTCTGCCAAAGCTTGGGCTTACGAAAGTTACTTCGCACAAAAAGGGACGTTGGAAAAGCAAAGACAAAAGGAGCATAAGAAAGCACAGGGAAGTGCTGAAAAAGAAGAAGGTCCCCAGCTGCCTTTGGGTTTGGCCGGGCACTGGGGTGACCCTTAATACCTTGGCCAAGGTGAACCTAGGGTTTGGCCGGGTTGCCTTGGGGGAATTGGGCATGGGTGCCTGTAAAAATGCTCCAGGGGGAGGGATAGTTTTTCCTGCAATTTTCAAGTTTCCAATTTTCTAATTTGACAAACTCGGTCTTGCAGAGCAGTATAAAAAGTGCGGCCCTTTGAGTCTTTGGGTAAACGCCCCCGTTGTTAAAGATGAAAAGGGTCAATGCTTTTTATGCCGCAGCTTTGGCTTAGCGGCCCCCCCCTCCCCAAAAAGCAAAGAAAAAAGGAGCATAAGAAAGCACAGGGAAGTGCTGAAAGAGGGTGAAGGTCCCCAGCTGCCTTTGGGTTTGGCCGGGCACTGGGGTGACCCTTAATACCTTGGCCAAGGTGAACCTAGGGTTTGGCCGGGTTGCCTTGGGGGTATTGGGCATGGGTGCCCGTAAAAATGCTCCAGGGGGAGGGATAGTTTTTCCTTCAATTTTCAAGTTTCCAATTTTCTAATTTGACAAACTCGGTCTTGCAGAGCAGTATAAAAAGTGCGGCCCTTTGAGTCTTTATATATATATATGAGAAAATCAGCCAGATAGTCATTTCTGCTAACGTTGCCGGACTTTTTTGTCCCACTGCCAGACCTTGACATTGTCAGGAACTCTGGCGAGCAGCCGCCAGTTTTCAGGCGTGGGGGCTTTGCCTCGCCCCTACTATGGCTTGTCGGATCTTGTCGGAGTCGGAACCCCTAATAAGTTATATAAGTGCAGTATAAGTTCCAACAAACTAACCAATCAACCAGGGTCTCTATTTGTTGACATATACTTATACCCTCCTGGAAACAAACTTAGATGTAGAAAATCATCACAATTTCTATAGGTAAAGCATCTATAAATGTGCCATGTTCCACATGTTACCCCAGGCTACGAAGTTCAATTCAGGCAGCTGGCGAGTGGCCGCCTTCCAGCCTGTTGGCCTGCGCGAAACACCTGTGCCAGGGAGCTCGGAATGCTCGGACGTTTGGGAAACCAAATATCAACCTGGATAAACTGAACTGGCTGGGTAGTTCAATACAATATGTGTTTAATATGTCTGGGTAAATTATAACGACCTCACTGCGACCTCACTGGAATTCCTGGTTAATAAGGGGAATCATCCCCAAATGGCCTTATTTCAGTTTAGTGAAATATTATAATTTACCCAGATATGTGACTAATATGTGTGTCCATTAGAATAGGTTGATACAATAGGTAGCTTCAACAGAACAACCTGTTGTCCAATCTTTCCAGGCTGTTCAGTTCGTCAGCTCTGAGGTTCAGCCATGTAAACAACATTGACCCGGCATCAATGTGGAATTTACCCTACAGCACAATTAGCATAGATAGGGAATGATAGGGAAAGTCACCATGAAAGTAGATTCATGCTTCGAACCGGAAACCACGGGTCGTTTTCCACATTTGTTACGTATGTTGGCCAGAGGATACTTTTCAAGAAAAAATGTGGATTCAGCAAACATGAGTTGGGGATGTGTGTGAACGCCGGAGATAGGCCCCAAACTTTTAAATGGAAACGATGGTAACCCAGTGGATTTAGGGTACAGTGCCCAAAAAAAACTTGCATACCCAGCTAAAAATTGACCCCAAAATAGATGTCATCACCCACATAGATAAACTCACCCGTGAATGATGCACATGATCCCCACCCCATCCCACCCCTTCCAACGGGGGCTGAAAAAAGTGTAACTTTTCCTGGGAGAAATCCGAAATTGCAATCCCAACGGGTGGGCCTGAACTGTGTAAATTATGGGACCCTTGGACCCTGGCTGCCCCTACAATTTCCGACCCTACATTTTTGGAGCCCCCCCTATAGTCAGCAAGAGTTTGATTATGTTTGATTCATATGCAGTGATTTTTGGATTGCAAGATGTTGAAAAGAATGATTTCTGTGAGACGTCAGTTTTGTTGATCAAACGGCCACCAAAATGCACAAAAACAACAATCCAAAAACAAAAAACAGATTACCCTCTGGTAAACTAACATAACTATGGAAAATCACCGTTTTCAATAGGAAAATCCACTATAAATGGTCATGTTCAATAGCTATGTTAAATTACCAGAGGGTACATCCAAATGCAACAATGCCGTGTTTTGCTGGGGTTTACCGGGCCCTTGATAGAAAATGATTCCAAATGGTTTTAATCGCTCTAAAAAATAGCCAAGTTTTTTTTTCAAATGTTGGCTCTTGAAACGTTGGCTCAGTTTCAAAAATGTTGGAGCGTTTTTCCCACGTCAGAGACAAACGTAATCTGGGTATGGTATTTCAAACTGCACATAAAGAGCCGGCCAGGAACAAAACACATAAAACAAATGACATCTATATAAAACGCATCCACACGCAACAACACATTGTCTTGCTGGGATTATTGAGCCACTTGGAAAATGGTTCAAAGTGATGTCAAACCATGTAAAAATAACCGTTCAACCTGTTTCAGATTCATTTCAATATTTTTTCAATGATTCAATGGTGGTTTAATGAACAGACTCAACTTCAACGATGTTTGAGAGTCTCCTGTGGGAAGATTCCTTTGCCAGAGAGTTTAACCGTTGTATCTACAGGTCAAAATGCAGCAAAACAACCAGTCAAGAACAAAAAGCACATGACATCCAAACGCAACAAACTCTATTTTGCAGGCACAGAATTGAACCTCAAAACCCATGGTTTTGTTATTTCCCATGCCCGGCCTTCAAAGGATGATTTTGTTTCTTGTGGAAAAGGTGGTCACCACCTCTGGTTTTTGTTTAATCCTCTTCGCAGGAAGAGGTTCAGATAGCTCTCAGTTGGTCAAATATTAAGCGGATGGAAGATGGACTGATGCTGGATGCATGTCCAGTTAGATGGGGTTAGTGATGGTTAGTGCCAACTTATACCTTGGGCCTTTCTGTGTCAACCTTCATCAGTGCAGGTGGTGGTGCGACTGATATTGCTCTCAGGTCACTCAAGGCCACCAAGCTGTGGGGGCCTTCCACTTCCTCTAAGAACTGGTGCATTAACTGGTGATTCTCAGGGTGTCATCAGAGACTTAACTGGTGAATTAACAACTGGTGAATTAACTGATGATTGGCATGTATTAAGTCTCAGTTGTTAATTTTTGAGAGGAAAGTTTGATCATCTGTGCACGCAGATCCTGATGAAAAGAAGCTTCCCGTCCAGCGGACTGCAGATCGTTGCAGGCTGCGTCAAAAAGCAACGTTGAAGGCCTCTCCATGCAGCGGTGGGTACAGTACTGTAGCAATGGATCCTGATTCCTGATGGCTGCGGCCTTTTTGTCGGCCTTTCGTGTCATATTTCTGGATGAATTGTGATGACCGAAGACTTCGTGACGTCGATACCGGGATCGCCGAGATTCTTGGCTGACTCGAAGTTGAACACGTGGATCCCAACATAATCCCAGAAAAAAAACAGGCTTCAATGCCTGAAGGAAAAGAAATACAAAGCAGAACACTCGAGAATCCGATAATTTGTGCAAATACTACTGTAGCAACTGAACATACTTGTTTTTCAAAAATCACTGAACATCAGATTTATCCATAAATCAATCCAAATAAATTTATCAATTTTATCTTGTAAACAGAAGCGGGTTCCATGTGCTGGTCCAGGCTCCAACGGCCACATGGTCTGTGTTGCCACTTGCTGCCACCATCGCTGTGACATTCACAGCTACGTCAACAGGCGATGGCGCCCTCGGTTGCTGCAACGACTGGTAAAAATTGGCAACCTTTTGTATAGTCATTTGAGCCATCGAAAAAATACCTGTTGGCAACCTAACTGGTTTATTGGGGATTATCACAGCCCAAAATAAGAATATTTACCAGCCAACCAGTAGAATGGGATAAGGGTATTTTTCATGGCTCATCTTGACTCAACATATGTTTGTAATGTTGAGTTACACCCAATATGTTCATATGGATCTGCCTGAAGACAGGGAATAGCTTAAAGATGTCATTTGTTCAGAGGAAAGCTGATGATACACATGATATTTGGTGGTTTCCATAAATGGAGGTACCCCAACATGGATGGTTTATAATGGAAAATCCTATTAAGATATATAATAGATGATTTAGGGGTATCCCTATTTTAGGAAGCCCCTGTGTGTTCAAACCTATTTCTTTGATATGTTGATATCTATGCCTGGAATGTGGCTGGGAGGTTCAACAAAGGAATACCCCAGCCTCTCCAAGCTGCGAAAAGATCTGACCGATTGTACTCTGATCCAATTTCAATGATGTCACGAATGAATTCGATTAGACGAGTTTCATTGCTGGAAATTTGATTATATATATAATGATTATTGTTGATGATGATTTCTCGGAATCCTTTATGATCTATGATGATTGCATGAGAATGTGTATTCTAAAATGCATGAATTCAATATACTTATGATTAAGATTCGCATTCAAGGATTCATACGCATTCCTGGAACCCCACATCTAAAATCATCTAAACCAGAAACAGCCTTGCGGCTTCCCCAGTTCCAGCCATAACCCATTGCTATTTTGGGTCCCGGCAGCAACAGGCCGTTTCTGGAAGGCTTGGGCCTGTGCGACTCGGCCCAGGCAGCTGTTTGCTTCTTAAGATCCATTGTTTGTCACATTTTGTCACCTAGTCAGTCCATTTTTGCCGCATCAAATTGCATGTTTGATCATTTGTGTTTCTCTATGAGCAAATTCCAGTAAATGTATGTACATGTCCCTTGTCTTGTTGGTTAAATGCGTTCCTGCTGAAATCGTATTCAGTCATGTTCAATGCACATGAGCATTTCTGCTAAACCCTCATCTTTCACGTGCTTTGCTGCTAAAATCTCATAGTCCACCTGTTTTGGTGCAACATTCGATATACAGTATCTTCCATATATATAGATATAGATATATATATATATATATGTATACATATATATATTATATATATATGTTATATATATATATATATTCAATTCTATAGATATTCCATAGATATTCCATGGTTCAACTCCAAGATCTGCAGGATTTTGCGCAGTTCGTCTCCACCGCCGGCTGGGCCGTGGGCGGCTTCAACCGCTCGGATTCAACTTTAGCGCGTCGAGTGCACGACCTGGAGAAGCGAAAGGCGATGCGCCCGGCGGGTCCATTGTAGCAGTGACACCCAAAAGAAGGACAGACAAGTGGGGATGGGTCAAAACCCTGGTACCTAGTGAACCCCAAGTCATAGGTGGGATTTATGGATGTGAATAACCCACTAGTAATGTATCGGTATTGACCCATACCCAAGTATAGCTGGTTGGTGGTTTGGAACATGTTGTTATTTTTCCATTAATATTGGGAATAATACTCCCAACTGCCTCCTGCTGCTGTGCTGCTGCCTGGTTGGAATGAAGGACGTTACTCCAACTAAAACAAGAGGAATGGCCGTAAGAACATTTTGAAACCACATCAATTGAATAAGTGCTGCAATGATCGCGGTGCCATGCAGAAAAGCCCTGTAGGCATGACTCACCTCTTTTGGCATTTTTTCAGCTTGTACATTTTGAAGCCAAAATTATGAGCGTATTTTCCCGGGAAAAAAAGTGTAAATACCCGTCCGTCAAGACACGAATGCGCGTTCTCTAACTCACGTGAGCATAAAAAGTCAGAACGAGCGTAAATCCAAGCTAAAACTGTTATGAGCAGAAAAAAGTGCCCAGGTATACATACATAATCATACATATAAAATCAATGAAAATCATTTATTGAAATAGCTGTAAGTATTATTCACCATCCATGAGAGAGCTAAGGAGCAGCTACGGGTATCTAAAATCCTGAAGGGGAAACCAGGCTGCTACAGATGATGTACGTGCATTGATTTGCACTATATAGATCACCATCAGAAACAAGATGGACAATTGTGATTGAACCAACAAAAGTTGGGTTTTAATATGTTTTAATGGGATTTATAGCTGATGTATAGTATCGTCACATCCGAATGGGATGACAGCAGCTGCAGCGTGATTGTTCCAATTGATACTTCGGAATCTTGGAATTTCATGTTTTTTTAATATACGTAATATAATAATATATAATAATAACAGACATATATATATATATATACACGTAGTTATTCACATACTGTAGTTCACTATGCTTGAACCTGTGCTACTCAGCAGTCACATCCACTGCAGGTGGGAATGATGGCCAAGCGGATCTTGGATCTGGGGCGCGTGGCTTGGCTACGGCAGGCCGGGCTGGGTCGCCCCTGGGGTTGGAAAAGGTCGCTTTCAATGGGAAAATCCATTTAAAATCCCAACCGAAAAAAACGAGCCAATTAGATGGATTAGTAAGCCAGCCTGATTTTATGCAATTATATAAGTTATATAAACTTCTGATTTTTACACTAACTAATATCTCTATAAATAATTTTGATATATGACAATAGTTATAGTAATCTCTATAGATACATAAACACATATATATTTAGCAATGCTGATTCTTGACACCCAAAGTTCGAGATCTCTCCTTAGCGACCCCAATGACCAGGAGCTTCAGCTTCCAGACGCCACGCTGATGGATTACATCAGCAAGGCGGACTCAGCCGGTGAGTGGCGTGGTGTGGAATGTGGTGATTTTTCTTGGCACCAAAATGGTGATTTTATGGGATTTAATCAGCAAAAATGGTGATATAATGAGGATACAATTGGGGATTTGATGGCATTTTATTGGAATCTGATATATTTTTCCAGTATTTAACCATCAGACATGGGAGGATTTAACCAGCAAGCATCGTGGTATTTCATGGAACAGAATGGGATAGACTGGGGATATAATGATATACTGCTGCTAGTCTGGATCAATTTAATAACGACCTCACTGCTAAACCATCACCAGAAATGATGTTTAGAAAAGGGAATCATCCCCTCCGTGTGCATTTGGGGATTGGGATGATCGGATGATCAGGCTGTGACCCCGGAGAACATGGTCATCGTGGCGCCAGTGAGATCAGGTCGCCTGGGAGGCTTGGGTCAAGATGTCACTATCCTACTGAAATAAGATTTGATTTCGTAGCCTGTTTATAGCATGTTCATTCTATCTATTTTGGGGGAATACGGTATATGTTGGTATATTATATTATAGACATTATAGAGGTATCACGCTTTTGGCTGAACATCTTTTTCTCTCCACTATGAGAAAACCATAGAATTTGGAGGTTGATCATGAATTTAGCTCTGCTTAATGAGCACTTTGGGTCCGTTGGGTATTTGCCATTTCTGGACAAAGCCGGCTAAAGCAATGCACTGTGTGGCTAGGCCTGGGCAGTGTGTTTTCAGTGATAAAGATATGTCGAAACTGCATAGAACATCTCTAGTGATCCACTGCCACTTTCTGATTCGTCAGATCCTATCGGTTGCAACGTGCCGACAGCACCTCGAGAAAATTGGTTGTTTCAGCAGAAACAGAACTGTACCATACTGTACCCTCCTGGTCATCAGTGCCGTTTGCTGTAGGAGGAAATCGATCAGAATCAGGATGATTCACCAAGTTCGCAAATTGTAGTATCTTCAATGTCGTGCGTCTTACTTATGAATCCTATGAGTGGTGTTTCGGTGCCCCAGTGGCCCAAACATCATTTCGCTTCTGTTGGCACATCCCAGTTGATGTACTTGGGAATCGGTTTGGTGCTACTACACGAGATGCAGTTACTCCATCCTCTCATGCGACGGAATCTGAGACAGTCCCACCCGGGCATCCGGCAGGTGTCTCGCGCAGCTGGAAATGTTTGGCCTGGTGCTGTGGCTAGAGCCCAAAAAGGACAAGTGCAGCGCGCTCTTGGCCATGGCGGCTTGCGACAAAGGATGCCACAATGAAGCCCTGTATCATTTGGTCACCTTTTCTGGTTTGCTGAACCATAATTACTGGTTATTACTGGACCATAGTAGAGAACCATAATTTTGTTTTACTAAACCATACTGAAGCATGCTGTTTTCTTGCCTCACATGGGGTTAAGTCAATCATATCGGGCCATAGCCCCCAATCACGATATTGGCTGGTCATTGGTCACTTCCCTCGCAGGTGCTTGAGGAAATTCTGTGGGCCAACGACGAGCCTCCTGCTGTTCGATCCAAGTCAGGTGGGTTGCGTTTTTATCGATGCTTCTGGCACATTCAATCCTAGCACTCAGCACACGTGATCACAACAAAAGCTGTTCTACCCATCCTGAAGTTCTTGAAACTGCTATTATTGCTTGGGAGGATCATCCCACGGTCATAAAGTCTCGTAACTGGTTAGTAAGTGGGGGTTATATACTGTTATACGTCTACCCCAGGTGTAAGTGGGAAGATGCTGATCCGATCACCGCTTGTGTCGGAGGTTGTTTGCACATCCTGAAACTGGAAGAAGCTCAAGCTGAGCTCCAGTTCTGGCTAAGGCGCGATGGCTGTGGGGTGGTTACTACCAGGTGATGCCCCATAAGTTAGGTAGGTTGGATGTATGTATAAATTATAGCAAATCTAGTAAATCGGCTTTGTTTTAGTCGGATGGGTGAAAAAGAAAAACCAAGTTATAACTGGGTGGACTCACCTGGAATGTTTCAATGTTTCTGTGTTCTCAGATTGGTGTCTGTCAAATTTTAAAGCCACCCAGTGATTTAATCCAACGGAAACGAAAACCCAGAGGATGATCCCTAAAATTGTCCCATGAAAAGACATGATTTTCCAGCTAGCCATATGAAATACATCATATTACAATATATTACATTACCAGGGGGTACCTCTTGAAATGTTGCCAGATGGAACTCTTGTGATGATCCGTGGGTACCGCCAGCCATCAAGGTATCCCTGTGTTTGCTTGGTGAACACATCATGGATGTAGAAGAATGTAGGCATAGCCGGCAGAGCATGGAAAACCTCAACAGATATTAGCAAAACCAGAGAAGGACAAATGAGTCTAACCAATGCATATACTATGGAATATGTGAGACCCTTAGATATTGGTAAAAACCTGAACGATAGAATTTTAAATGTATATGTATATATATATATATACATACATATGGAAAAACCTTTCTATAGGCATAATGTTTAGATCATGTGCAAATCATTGTCCACATGAGAAGTGTACTATAGCAATCCCCAAAAAAGATAGAAAAGGAACGTCCCAATCTGAAATACTGGTATATAGTGATCATTTACTTGTCTATGTGTTTTTCTTCTGGGGTAGTTACTATAGAGATGCAATATGATACAATATGAAGGTTTCCTAAAACATGGGTAACCCCAGTTATCATCAATGTTATTGGATTTTCCATGAAATAAACCATCCAGCTATTGGGGTACCCCCGTTTCAGGAAACCACCATATGTTTCCATCATAGTAATTATAACTAGAGCTAATATAGTATAGAATATTCGTTATACCTATAGTTGTAGCACTAGAATAACTGTAGAATCCCATGAATTAGTCTTAATAACATATATATATATATATGTATATATATGTTATATCATGTCAATGGTATAATGACTCTCTCTCTATATATATATATAATGTCACAATAAATCAATGACGATTAGATGTCAGTATGTCACAATATCATGTCCCCATAATGTCTTTTCTATATGTCACGACCTTTTGTCATAATGTCACAATATATCAATAGAAAAAAATGATCATTTTCATTTATGTCATTTATATATATAGAGATCACATTTTAATGTCATTTAATGGCGAATATGTTCCATCCAAAAAAAAACAGGCGAATGCTGCGTGACCGCCTCGACCAGCAACGGAAGCGGATCCTGGCCCAGGGGCAGGTTGGGATGGGTCTGGGGGGTTATGGGAAAAGAATGGGGACATGGGATATGATCATCGAACATGATGATTTAGTAAGATTTATATAATTGGGAAGAAGACAGCGAGTAAGGTTTCATTGGGAAAACAAAGCAAGAACATACGGATTTAATTTAAGCATCAAATTTGGACAATCAACCAAGACGAAATGGTGGTGTAACGGGATCATGTTGATATGTTGGGTGTCTGAAAATGATGTGTACCCCATTTTATGGTCAGGTTAATCAGGAACATGATGATTAAAAATCAGTAAAACATAGCAAGGGGATCAACAAGCCACCAAATCGCAAAGGATTGTTAATTGAAATAATACACCCAACATGGATTTGTCTTTTAGGTTTATGATGTGTAATATATAATGATGATCACTGGGTCGTGGTTGGTTCCAAGCGGGAGTTATACATCATTGATGTGGTACACACCCAGAAACTATTCCAATTGGAGGTTGATGGATTACTTCTGGGCGCCCATACCCCAAAAAGCAGATTGTTCTAGTATGATCAACGGATTGGGTCATAGATTAATGTGCCTTTGACTAAGCCCATGGCCGATCATTGTACGTAATACTATCTAATCCATTTGAGGCAGCAAGAGCATGTTGATCTCTTCAAGGATAGAATCTACGAGGAACTTGGCACACACCTGAGCTATTTCAATTACAGGAATGAACATTTTATAGCATTTTACTTGACCATCTCTTGCATGCGTTTTCTGCACTTTCCCTGCAGCTAGTTGAAACAGGCTTTCTGCATGACCATTTTGGCTCCAGCGTTGGAACACAGCACATCAGCGCAGTTGGGCTCATGATCTGTGTCTGAAGTTGGGGCATGATAAACCATGGGATTTGCGGGGTTCCCCTATGTGCCAAGACGACTCCCCTATTGGTTGGTGGTTTCATTTCCACCATGTGCAACACAAAAAGTGCCATGATGATGTCAACTGACTCCTGTTGAACGAATTGTTGTGTGAGGGCTGGACAAAAAAACGCAAACCAACTGTAGAACACATGCAAAGATGAGAGTGGTTGACTAGCAGCGTAGTAACTTGGTAAGTCGCCCAGAACTGGGTATAGGGTTTCAACTTGAGTATTGGAAAATGGTATGTTCGTCGGAGTTTAACAATGATGATGGCTCTAATCCCCTAGGGGGCCCAGGGCCCACGGGCCATATTTTTTTTTGACCCATACCCAGCTGAAATTTCTTGGATCACCCTAGGGCCAAACTTAGTTGAGCGCTGACCTTTTCATCTCGATGTCCGCAGTGATGCTGGCGATGGTTGCGCTGTTCAGAGTGGGAAGAGTTAGTGATTCCTAAGAATAAACACACCCTCCTAAGGCCCCGGAAATCCTGGATATTCCTGGCATTTTCGAGTGCCATTTGGGGAGGCTCATTCTTGGAGATCAACGGAGATGGGACTACGGGGAGTTTCTCAAGTTATGGGGGGATCCACAAGTCACAATGGTGGTTTCAATGCTAAGTCCCATGACTTGGATAATGTGGGGTCCCAGGATTTTGGAAACCTCCATGTGGTTTTGTGACTGTCTCGTCTTTGGGTGACTCTCCGCCAGGGCGGTTCTTCCAAGACCAGAGAGTGGTGGTGGTTGGGCTATGACCAAAAGCTACCGGTGCCCATGGAGAAGTCTTTTGAATGGGTCTATCTCATTTGGGCTGCTAATGTGGGCTGCTAATGTGGGTAAAACAATGCCATAAACCACCCATGACTGGGAATGGTTTATACAAGTAGCACCTATAATATGGTGATAACTGGGGGATGGTTTATGACATTGTTTTACCCACACTAATTCATTACCACCAAATGACATTTTTTTCAAAACGTGAAGAGCCCTGAAACCCGGCAGGTACAGCCTCGGCAGTGGTCTCCCTACAACACAGAGGTCACAGCTGTGTCTGACTTGGTGGGTAGCAGAATTCCCAGATTGCCTGGATATCCCATGATTGCTTCATTCCCAGATGGTTGAAGTTCCAAATCTAGGCACTTGCCCTAGAAATGCCCGGGATGAACATCCACAGCTACCAGTATGCTCTGAAAAACAGCCTGTTTTCCCAGGCTTTAAAAGACCCATGCCGTACCCATTTTGACCCACAAAGTTTCGAGCTGGACCGTAGTGTAGTTTTTTTTTTTGGGGGGGGGTACACAATTTGTGGACTCTTTGTTTTGGGACACCGTCACTTGCTCACGTGAGTTGGTCTTTCAGGCTCGGTTCAGTTTCTTATGCTGCTTATGCTATTCTAGAATCAAAATTTGAAAGACTACATCCACTACAAGTGAATCAGCATGTCTCTCAAACATATGTTCTTCCATTTACCTCACAATGTATTTGCTCCAACATCCCTGATTGTTTATATGTGCCATGGTCAAAAGATTGACTATAGATCCATATTGGGTATGGGCATCCCCCCCATTCATAAGGTTTAATATACCTGCATATGTACTCCTAATCATTTTGAAGTAGATAGAATATGTTCGTTTTTCAAACGATCTTCCAATTTTTAGTTGTTGTGTTTTTTTTTTCCATATTCGATCTAGTCCAGGATGACTGCGTCAAGCCCATCCAGCCCATCAAGTTTGGATTCCCCATTTTGGGTTCATGCAACAGCAATGGCAGGTGCAGTACCACCTGACTGCGTCATGGAAGGCAATGCAGATGGAGGAGAGCGAGACGACGCGAGACGTGCCGCTGTGCCCGAGAGAATCAGGTATTACCCAACATTGCCATATGGATTTTGGGGGTACCCGGGGTACCCCATTTTTTGGATATGTTTGGATATGTTTGAACAACCCCATATGTTGATGTGGGGATATCGCCACAAAGCGTAGAATATGTAGAATGCAGATTATGACATGTAGCTGTTCCTGTGAACCCTCTTTGATGAGCCTCAGTTGATTACTGGCCATAACTGTGGCTGTGTGTATATGTATACATATTTATATATATATAACATTTTTTGATGGACAGTTCCACTAATGCCCTGAGTATCAATAGCATAAATGGATGTGTGTGTTTGTGTGCGAGAATGGAGTACACACTGATCAACTAGATTTGCTATGATTTACTGTATCATTACCCTATTTTTTAGACCAACCCTTACGTCTCCGGAGTTTTCGGTGTTTATCCTCTAGTGAATACTTGAAAATCCTCCATTGGCAGATATTTTGTTTGATATTTTACTGTAATAATATAAATATGTGTTTCACATATGGTCATAATACACATATATATATATATTATATACATATATATGATATATATATATATATATGATATATATATATGATATATATATATATATATTCCATGGTCCTTCAGGACCGTGATGAAGGGCTGCTCCTGGATTTGTCGGTTTTCACAGATCCGCCGCAGCCGTACCAGGCGGCGATGGCTTGGTGGCACAGATTTTTTCGTCACCTATCCATCCATATAAAGATGTATCCGAGATGAAACGCTAAGTGAATGTTTGCACATTTGCAAAGTGTTATAAAGTTTCACATAGTTTGACTGTATTGCAAGCTGGTGGTGAGTCTAGTTTGTTTTTCCATGTTCCCTTTCATGAGTTTTCTTATGTTTCCTGCAGTCTTCATGGCCATTTTTCTCCACATGTTCTTGTTGCCCCCTTTAAACCTGGCCTGCAGGTGTGGAAAGGCAGTGCCGTGGAAGTGACCAACCAGAACGAGCGCGAGCTCTTGGGTCACTTGGCCATTGCGGGCTACACCAAGGACGGCCCGGTGGGTTTAGATGGGGATAAAACCACCAGACATGTAGTAAGGATAAGGTGGTAAACCCAAGAATGAACCTACCATTTTGGGATACCTGCCGTTTCTGGTGATATTCGGGATGGTTGATGTGGGATGATGTGGGAATGGATGACTTTCGGGATCCAACTGCTTGCTCAGATGGTACATGATGGTACTCAAGATTACTTCATCCACCAAATCACACCACAGACAATACCTAAGAAGGTGTTTGGATGCTAACAGGCATAGCTGATAACTGGCGGCTGGCGCAGGATATGGTTCTTACATGTTCTTACCCACTTGATCCCACTTGGTGTATAGCTGTGATGCACATCCAAGTGAGCTGACAAAAACCAATGCTGGAAATCACCTGAACATCTTCGGCACGGGTCTTCCACCCTACGTACCTTGACAGCACCAAGGTCACTGGTAAGATGTGACTATAGGGGGTAATAACTATAATAGGCTACTCATTAGCACCTATTATAGGGGGGTAATAACTCATATATACTCATATTGCAAAAAGGGGGTCACTAGTTTTCTAATATGAGCATATATTTATTGTTTCTAATTGTTATTATACTCATATAATATTATCATAGTTATTGTATATGGCTTTCTAACGGTCACTTGTGGCACCCCCCTTTTGATGACATCCCATGGGTGACATAACGGATGCAGGACCTTTGGGACCTACCGAAGGAGTCGTTACCACCAACGGCTTCGGCCAAGCATGGAAAGGCCGGGATGGTGATGGTACCATCGGTGCCGATCGGTGCTGGAAATGTCGAAGTTTCTTTGATTCTTTGTAGATGGTTATAAGTTACACTAGTAGCTTAGGGATTGGATTTATATTTGGATTTATGGAATATATATATATATGATAATATATGATAATATGTTCTCAGACTGGGTGAAATGGGGTTTATAAATCAGCTTATCACTCGGCGGCTGCGCCGCGGGCACGTGTTTTTTTGGGGAAATTCGATCTGTTGGGATGATGAAGCCATGCCGCCTTGCCTGGATTTCGAGGTCGTAGCTGGCTTCTATCAGGTTGGGATGCTGGGGTCTAGCGTGGAACGCAGCTAGGAAGGGAGCTACCCTGAACCAGTGAGTTTAAGGCTACCTGGAGCTAAAGCTTGGAACGCAGCTATGGGAAATAGATTCGGGATGGATCATTTGGAACCATTCCAAACAAAAAACACACGTCATTTTATGGCAATTATTGAAGTTGGGAGGACCGTCTGGTGTGTTGAATAACATGATCACAGCCTTGGTTGCTTGATACTCATCCCGGCACTTGCCATTCCCACCTTCGGTCACAATCTTCTCAGGTGGCCTCAGGATCAATCGCTTTCCAGATTCTCATACATATATCAACCAACACCGATTAATTTCCCAAAATGTGTCATGAACATGGTGAAAATCTGGCAATTTGACGAGAACACCAAAGTTTTGACCCATCAGTTCCATATACCCTTTGGTAAACTAACATAGCGAACAGGAAAATCACCATCTTTAATAGGTAAATCAGTATATAAATCAAATATAAATGGGCCATATGTTCAATAGCAAACTGTAACAAATTACCAGAGGGTCATTCCATATATGTCCTATTTGTTCAACAGACATTTCTAGCCCTACCATCTGGGATGCGGCCAGGTGCACAAAGACCATGTGGAGTCATTGGAGGTGATCGGGGCCCAAACCATGGGGAAAGCCGTGCGGAAAATGATCATGGTGGGTAAACTCCACATCTATGTAAACGTATGTAAAGTAGGGTACATGAATATAGTTACTGCCACTAGCCAGTGATGATTCATGTTTCAGAGTATCTAAGACTGGCCGGGCCGTTAATGTTGGGGAATCTATAATTTTGAGCCATTCTCAGCATCTCAGAAACGATTGCCAAAAGTTTATCCATGAACCAACATCTGTGGGGTCAACCCCAGATTATACTGGTAAAAACCCCTAAAAATAGTCGATGAATATCACTGGTAAACGAGTGATGATGATTTGTTCAGGGGTTGACATTCGTCCAGGTAGTTTACTACTCCCAGCCTGGATTTTCTGGAGAATGATCCAACGTGACTAGGAGAGTTCCGAAAGGTTGACGCCAGCCAATGCCAAGCGGGTATTTCTTGCTGAGTATTTTATATCTCCAATGAAAAAATGGGAGCCAAGGAGCTACTAATAGTTTCCCAAGCACATGATAGTTATATCATGTGTTATCCCCATAAATCATCATGAATCCCCATGAATCCCGATTCCAGATAGTATATACACTCCGTACAGTAGGCTAATATATCATATAATAGATATACATATCGCCAGAATAGATTATAATATTATAGAGATAATCATATTCCCACATATATATATAGATCCTATCCTACATAGATGTACATGACATCTCCTATCATTTCCCGTCAGATCCTCCAACGCTACCTGATGGATCCCAACTCCCCGCGCTGTCCGCTGCCAACTCCGCCGCGGAGTGCCTTGGGCCTGTTACGACAGACAGGTTTTTGTGGTGATTTTTAACAGGTTTTCATGGTGATATAATGGGAGTTCATGGGGTGATTTGATGGGATTTCATGGTGATTTTATGGGATTTCATGCTGATTTAATGGGATTTCATGGTGATTTAATGGGGATTCAACCAAGAATGAGAACCACATATAGGGTTATATACATGATGTTACACTGGGATATAAACCAAAAATAACCAAATAAATTGAGAGCTCTCTCTCTCTCTCTCTCGCGAATTATATGTAAATATATGATTATGATGATGATGATGATGACGACGATGAGGACGATGAGGACGATGAGGACGATGAGGACGATGATGATGTTGTTGATGATGATGATGATGGTGATGATGATGTTGATGATGATGATGATGAAAAGGGGATATCGGGAGATCAATGGCATTGGGGATTAAAGTCCTGGGATGAAAAATGGTGATTGTTCATTGAATACAATGGGAAAAGTAACCTGACTGCAGGATCTGACCAAGAACATGGTACTTTATTGTATCAAACTGCGATAGTTTGATGGTCAAACTTGGAATTTTCAGCATAGCCAAAATTGGGATTCAATCTTCAAACATAGTGTTGAAATTGATGTTCAAATAAAAACACATATATAAGATGATTCTATAGTTTAGGCAGGATTTCATCGGCCAATTTTTTGGGATTGAATGGCATTAACCCCTCAAAAATTTGCATTTCACCTGCGATGCTGGCTATGGATTTGTGCCTTAAATGGGGGATGCAGTACCACAAATGGCCGTGTCGCATTCAAAGTGACAGAACTCCTGCAAATTCGACAGAAGATGGAACTAGGGATGGAATGCAAGTCGTAATTTTGCAGTGCATCTTCCAAAACTATTCGTTGGGATTCTTTGCTGGTATTCAGGTCGCTATGTAGATAGTTTAAGATCAGAAGAATACGAAAAAATGGTCAATAGTGCAATGTGCAAAACACTTTGTTTATACAATTTCGCTGTGCATCCGTTACGCAGAAGATTTGCTGTTGCTAAGGACGAGTGGTCAGGAGCTTACTTTCTTTCCGTTGTGTCTAATATGTGATAACTGCAAAGACTGATGACCTCCTTTGTGAGAAAAGATAGCAATTTCAGGCCTTTGATCCAACAAAAGGCTGCATGGGAGAATCCTAGATCACGTCTTCAAATACTTGGCCAATCCTTTTTTAACATGAACACGCTCAAGGGGCTGTTTGTTCAGTCAGCTGGGTTTCAGCTTTTGTTTCAAATGGTTCGAGGTCCTGTTGATTGAGGCCGGTGGTGATTGGTGGTGGTTGGGTGTGAGAAAAGTCAGTTGTATGCAGCCTATGGCAAGATCGGAAAAATCTCATGTTGAAATGGGGGTACCCATTGTACCCCAAAATCATCCAAACGATTAGACCATTTATTTTTTTTGTATTGAAACAATCATGGTGACTTGGAGATCCCCCATGACTTTAAGAACCCCCCATGTTGTTGTTGGTTTCTTCCATCAAACCTCCATTTATAGTGGATTTTCCCCAAGTTTTCCTACCTTTCAGTCGAGCTTCCAGGTGGAACGCCCCGACTTCCTCTTCAGCAACGTGGATCGCTTCCGCAAGCGCAAGGCGTCAGCGGCGCCAAAGGCCATGGGGCCAGGGGGTTGGAATATACTGAAACTGTATAATATGGGGGTGTTCCATAAATGGTAGGTCTATTTCATGGAAAATCCAATTGAAATGGATGCTTTGTGGGTACCTCTATTTCAGGAAACCACCATATAACTCGTGAATATGTATATATATATATATAATACATTGATATTATGTATGCGGATGCCCATACCCAAAAAACAAATGGTATCCCCTTTAGGCACCCCTTTCATATGAAACACACCCCAGAAAACATGGTAAAAATAGGGATTAAATCACATATATTTGAGACATTTGGGGACCATTTGTGGAAGGGGGATTTTTAGTATTATTCTAGCTCCAAGTTACCCGAATTCAGAAAATGTACATATACTATGAATCCATCGTACTCCAGACCTGTCTCTTTGGACCCACTGTTTTCCCAACCTGTTCCCCTGTGTGTGACATGTTTCACACCTGTGAATTGACTGGTTGCGATGGGAAGACCTTTCAGCTCAATTTGGAAATTGCTTGGCGCCATGTCGATGCCTTGTGTTGTTCCTGAAATGCTATGGAGCCTGGATGAGCTAAAGCGTGTCCTGATAAGTGAGTTTCCCATTTTGGAGACTGAAGAAGGAGAGGGTTTCAAAATATTGTTTGACTTGTTTGTTGAGTGGGCTGAAATCCTGTTAAATTACAACAACCAGCATCCGCTCGCTCTGTTGAATTTGGGGAATTGTGGCCCAGAATCCTTCTCTCAGGGGATTTCCGGCCGCGCATGCTCATGTCGCATCGCACTCGAGGGGTGCCATCGTACCACAGAGGACCCCATCGCACTCCACACACCTACTCACAGATCATTGTACTCCACAAAAGGGATCGTACACCAGAAAAACTTGCGCGACAGCCAAAAACTTTTTTTTTTCGAAAAATTGACCTGAAGAGTTTTTTTTCCTCTTCGGAGGTAAAATGCTCTGGAATCTGATAATATGGAATATGGGGGAAATTGTTGTTTTTCCAGCGTTTTGAGCAGTCGCGCATACAATCGCATTCCATGAAATTTTGATACTTTTGACCTGGAGGTTATGGAAATTCTCGATTGTTGTCTTAGTCGTGCGCGATAGAGTGTGATGCCTTGCGGGTATGTGGAATGGAATTTGCAGCCTCGATTTGATCAAAAATGATATTAACATATGCCTGAGAACCCACACGGCAACGCATACGGGGGGGGGCATCGTACTCCAGGGGTGGCATCCTACTCAATGTAACTGTATTAAGTGGAAATATGGTACCATTTGGGTTCGAGGAAGAACAGCGTAATCCAGACTTGGCCCCGTTTACAGATGCGGAAGCTGAGCCGCCAGCCAAACGCGTCAAAAAATAAGCTGAACAGCTTATCCAATGGTCTTAAAAGATCCTAGAGAGAAGTTGATGATTGATGAGAGAAGCAAGACTTTATGATTATGTTTATTCAAGAAATCGTTGCTTGAGAAGGTTCTCAGCGGGGTTAAACATGTGCGATTGGACATGACAGCACGTGACAAGGGAGCGCCTGACAAGGGTCACACAACCTTATTCTCATCATCAAAGGTCGTTCACTATTTTCCAAATTTCCGGAGCTATTTTGGCATGGAATATGAGCAGCCCTGGAATTTGGGTAAGATTTTGCTAGAATTATATATGATGGAAAGATTTGTTTAACCCTAGTTACCCTGCTGGATGAATTAAGGGATTTGCCACAAAAAAGTGATGATTTGCTACTCAAAATGTTACGGTACGGGATGGGATTATTAGATGGTTATATAAAGGTATGTACATAATTGTGTATATATAGATATAATATAGAGATATATATCCATTAATTGCCAATTTTATGATATTTCATGTATATGTCAATTCAAAAACAAACATTCTTGGATGGTTGGTTAATTATATATATATGTGTGTATACCCGCAATACCACTGACCATTATTCGAATGACCATTAGCAATATCCAGTTTTAACCACTATATACCCAAGATACCATTATTAAATGTGGTTAACCATGCTTGTCCATTCTTAACCATTGATAACAATTCATAATCACTAATTAGCATTGATAACCATTGGTAATCATTGATAATAGCTAATAACCATTGATAACCATTGATAACCATTAATAATCACTAATTAGCATTGATAACCATTGATAATCATTGATAATAACTAATAACCATTGATAACCGTTGACAACCATTGACAACCATTGATAACCATTGATAACTATTGATAACCATTGATAACCATGAATAATCACTAAATAGCATTGATAACCATTGATAATAACTACTAGCCATTGATAACCATTGATAGCCATTGATAACCATTGATAACCATTGATAACCATTGATAATAACTACTAGCCATTGATAACCATTAATAACCACTGATAACCATTGATAACCATTGATAACCATTGCTAACCATTGATAATAACTACTAGCCATTGAAAACCATTGATAGCCATTGATAACCATTAATAATCACTAATTAGCATTGATAACCATTGATAATCATTGATAATAACTAATAACCATTGATAACCATTGATAATAACTACTAGCCATTGATAACCATTGATAACCATTGATAACCATTAATAATCACTAATTAGCATTGATAACCATTGATAATCATTGATAATTACTAATAACCATTGATAACCATTGATAACCATTGATAATAACTACTAGCCATTGATAACCATTAATAACCACTGATAACCATTGATAACCATTGATAACCATTGATAACCATTGATAATAACTACTAGCCATTGATAAACATTGATAACCATTGATAACCATTGATAACCGTTGATAACCATTGATAACCATTGATAATCACTAATTAGCATTGATAACCATTGATAATCATTGATAATAACTAATAACCATTCATAACCATTGATAACCATTGATAACCATTGAAAATAACTACTAGCCATTGATAACCATTGATAACCATTGATAACCATTGATAACCATTAATCACTAATTAGCATTGATAACCATTGATAATCATTGATAATAACTAATAACCATTGATAACCATTGATAATAACTACTAGCCATTGATAACCATTGATAACCATTGATAATAACTACTAGCCATTGATAACCATTGACAACCATTGATAACCATTGATAACCATTGATAACCATTGATAACCATTGATAACCATTGATAACCATTGATAACCACTACAAATAACAATAAATAAGCACTATTAACCCTCACTGACCCATCCTCCAGGCTGCCCTGGCTCCGAGCGATACCATCCCTCCGGGGGAGGCGAAAATCTCGCGGTCCTCCACATAGAAGAATTCCTGATCAATTAAATATATAAGGGATATAGTTATTGAATAATGTGGGATATTCAATAACTATAATTGAATATCTTCAACCAATGTGATTTTTTTCACGATGCGGGAGATTATTAAATCCCTTGAAGATCTTCAATAAGTGTAATCATTGAACATGTGGTGTAAGTTGGGACAGGGTGTAAGTTGGGACAGTTTGGAGTTTGGGCGAACGGCGGCGCCTGAGCCTAGTATTACTACTATAATGATATGATAATATACAATATATATATATATATATATACGATATAATACCAGTAGTACCGCACAAGGCGGTGGCGGAAGTTTCAAAAATAGGAAACCTATAGGAGAAGTTGGTTGTTGTGAATCAGGGATGGCAAAGCGAATCCACTGATGGATTGAAAGGTGCTTGATCTCTCTCACTCTTTCTCTCTCTTTCTCTGCCTATCTACCTACCTACCTACTTACCTACCTACCTACCTACCTACCTACCTATCTATCTTCTATCTATCTATCTATCTATCTTTCTATCTATCTATCTATCTATCTATCTATCTATTTCTCTCTCTATCTCTCTCTCTATCTATCTATCTACCTACCTACCTATCTATCTATCTATCTTTCTATCTATCTATCTATCTCTCTCTCTCTCTATCTATCTCTCTCTATCTATCTATCTATCTACCTACCTATCTATTTATCTATCTATCTATCTATCTATCTATCTATCTCTCTCTCTCTCTTTCTGTCTATCTATCTATCTATCTATCTATCTCTCTCTCTCTCTCTATCTATCTATCTATCTATCTGCCTATCTATCTATCTATCTATCTTTCTATCTATCTATCTATCTATCTATCTATCTCTCTCTCTCTATCTATCTATCTATCTATCGATCCATCCATCCATTCATCCATCCATTCATCCATCCATCCATCCATCCATCCGACTCCATCCATCCATCCATCCGACTCCATCCATCTACCGTGTACTGATACGAGCCTTGTATTCCTAAATTGAAACTTCAACAACTCCTACCATGTGAACACAACAGACTACAAACACATGACGAAATCTAGCACATCCCTCTGACGCGTCTCCCTCACGGTGTCGCCGCAGTGTGTTTTTTTCCAAGCAGCAACGGGCAAAATCTTCGGCCGGACTTGCAATGAAGTACAAATGCTCCAGTGCATCATTGTGCAGTCAGAAAAGACATACACGCTGGCATGTGTCGTGGCCGCTGCGGTCAGAAGCGCTGCGTGCCGTCAGCAGTCCCGCGGTGCGCATCGCTGCATGTGTCCCGTTTTCCCCGACGGTAACGACGCGGGCAGAAAAGCCACACGAGAGGTCACTGCCATCTCTGCCACGCAGGCACATCCGGCAGCTGCGAGGCATCAGATGGGTTGGCGCGCCACCGGGCAGCATCCGCCCGGGCAGCTTGCCGCTGTCGCATTTCAGGATGAATCCAATCAGGGTCGAAATAGCAACACTCATCGAACAGCTTCAAGGATTTAGGGGTAAAGGCATCTTCGGCGTGCAACGAATTACGGATGCTGACGCGTGCAATGAATTACGGATGCTGATACGCCATCGTGCGGTCAGAAAAGACACGCACGCTGGCCTGCAACGAATTCCGTGTAAACTTGTGCGCAATGACCAGCAAAAGGCCCAGGAATGCATTACCGTGTCAAACCTTACAGATGCTGCGGCACCGTACTGCGATCGGAAAACCTACAGTGACTCATCCAACCGTGACGAACAAGATCTAGTGACTCAAACAATCCGCCTTTATTGTTTCATGCCACTTTCCAATACCAGTGTGGAGCTCCTCCCTGCTGCATCTTTGTGTTTATCCATGGATCTAGCGGTCGATCAATGTATCTATCTGCCTGTCACTCTGTCACTTTTTCTATCCATCTATCTATCTCTCTGTCTATCTATCTGTTTATCTGTGTATCCATTGCTTCAATTCTCTCTATGTGAATCAGAGATGACAGAGCGAAGCCACTGCTGGACCGAAAGGCCCATGCTCTCTCTCACTCTTGTCTATCTATCTATCTATCTATCTATCTATCTGTCTAGCTGTCTACCTGTCTATCTTTGGTGTAGTAGTACATGTCGTGTAGTGTTGTTGTGTACTTTTACTTGTAGGTGCAGTTGAAGCGAAGCAACCTCTGCACCGCCAAACGTGGTCCGAAACCCTACTGTTTTTAACATTTTAACTTCCGAATATGCTTCGCGCCACAACGGCGTGCACTTTTTGGAAACTCCACATCTCAGCCTCCAAAAGTGGTCCGAACCCCTGGTGTTTTGCACATTTCGACTTCGAAATGTGCTTCGCGCCACAACGGCGTGCAATTTTTCGAAACTCGACCTCTGAGCCTCCAAAAGTGCTCCGAACCCCTAGTGTTTTTAACATTTTGACTTCCAAATGTGCTTCGCGCCACAACGGCGTGCACTTTTTCGACATCGCAACTTCCAAAAGTGGTCCGACATTGGTGTGTTTTGTACATTTTGACTTCCAAATGTGCTTCGCGCCACAGCGGCGTGCACTTTTTCGACATCGCAACTTCCAAAAGTGGTCCGACCATGGTGTGTTTTGTACGTTTTGACTTCCAAATGTGCTTCGCGCCACAACGGCGTGCACTTTTTCGACATCGCAACTTCCAAAAGTGGTCCGACATTGGTGTGTTTTGTACATTTTGACTTGGAAATGTGCTTCGCGCCACAACGGTGTGCACTTTTTCGACATCTCAACTTCCAAAAGTGGTCCGAGACCGCCAGTTTTTAACACTTTTGACTTCGACATGTGCTTCGCGCCACAACGGCGTGCAATTTTTCATCGCTCCTGTGGCCAGCTGGCTCCGCACCCGCCGCTTTAGCGAGCCTACTTTTCGACCCTTCGGAGCCACAAATCATTGGAAAAACACAGTGTTTCGCGACTTTCCTACCTTTTCGCGCATCTGTATCTTCTTTCTTCTTACTCTTTCTCTTCTGACCTTCTCTCTTCTAATCTTCCTCTTCTCTCTGCCTCTGCCCTGCTCTGCTTTTCATCTGTCCATATTGTCGGAAGTTTGACTTCTAAACTTCCTTCGATAATGACATGATAATAATAGAATAATATAGTACAATGATGGCTCTAGTGTTTTGATAGTGATTCTACAATGATTTGATACTGCTGTTGCATTGTAGGTAGTTGGAATTATGATATATTATACATATTAGTTGATACTATGACTATGAATTGTAATACATTAGACTACTGGTTGATAACATGATTTAGAATGTACAATGATATCAATTAGCATTTGTTTTTTATAATCAAATTCACTGATAATGGTAGTGAATCAGTATTAGCACATATAATTCAATATAATAGTATCATTGTAGTGAATTACTAGTCACATGCTAATGATTATACATAGTCGTGATTATTTTCTGATATAACTGAAATATTGTGAAAACATAATTGTGTGATACCATCATTATAGTACGAATATTAGTACCATATATCACGATGACATAATGAAAATCATAGAGATTTAACCGGTTCAACAGACCCCCCCCATTTTGATGATAGATGGTTAAGATTTGCCCCAAACGGGTTGTTGGTTGGCGCCATGGGGACAGTTGGCTGTGTTCGTCCACTGAATCTTGGTCAACTCGGAAGAAAATTTTCACAATCTTTGTGTCATCCTGCTGTTTGTTTCCCAGATTGTTGCTTGAGTTTTGGCGAAAAATCCATTGCGTAATGCATATGCCCTTGATACTGCTGGAACACGTTATGTTAGTTACTTCGGTGAAACAAATCCAAGCCCAGGGTTTTGCTTATCACCGTGTTTCCCGTTGCATCAAACACGGCCAATTTTTTCAGGCGGTGTTTCAGTGGTGGCCGCACTCTTAGCGTGGCCCCAGCGGGGTACTTCCCATGACTGGGCGCCAATTCGGACATCAAATACATTCCAGCAGAGTTTCGTTGGGTATTGAATAGTATTAATTATATATATATATATAGATGTTTCTCCACATCATCCCAAACAATGTACATGTATACATATATATATATATATCTCTCTCTATATGTATATATATATATATTATGTATATACATGTATCTATGTATGTGTTTAGTCATCCCCAAAGCCCAACAAAAAACACAAATGCCAGGGCCGAAAACCTCATGGGCGTTGTCTGAGGTGGGGCGATCCACATCCCGGAGGAAGTGGTCACTGGAAGCATCCTGGCATGGAATTCATCACTTTTTTAGGGTATAAACATGGTGGTTTCAAACATATTTTGGTGGTGTATATGACTTTATGTTGGGATGACTGGTTGGGATTATATATGACTTCTGGTTGTAATCATAACAAATTATATGGGATTATATGACTGCTTGGTGGTTTCAAACATATTTTGTTCCATGATCGTAGATGATATTCCCATGATCTTTCCATGATCTTATATGCTATTCTGGTTGGTGGTTTCAAACATTTTTTATTTTCCAACATATATGGGATAATCCTTCCCATTGACTAATATTTTTCAAGATGGTTAAAACCACCAGATATGATATTATATGATATGTTAGTAGGATTCCCAGGACCTCAGGATGAATAGTTTATTTCGATATTCTTGGGTGGTGATATCACTCTGTTAGGGCGGGGTTATCCACCACTTAACAAATGTGAAGGGTGGGTATGGGTGACAAAAAAACGCGTTTTTTTTATTTTGTGGGATGAAATGTTGACCAATACTTGCAGAATACCCAAATGGTTCTCAACCCAGTCTAAGGTTAGCCACCCGTTAAGTAAATGTTAGGTATAACTACATGTATAACTGTATAACTCATATCAACTAAATAAGTTATAGGGTGAACAACCTCGGTTTAGTTGATATGGGCACATCATTGCGGTGTAGGGCGTCAAAGAACCGATTATTTTTGATCACGGGGATGCTGATAGATTGAGCAAAGCTAGCAATGATCAAAGTGTGCAAATTGTGTCAATCTCTCATATACTGTGTATACATACATATATAATGTATATGTATATAGATATAGACAGAGAGAGAGAGAGAGAGACTTCTCTACAAGGAGTGCAGCTTGTTTGTTTTGCGTTTTTTGGTAAGCAACACACACATCTTTCATGGAGCCCGGCAAACCGCAACTGCTGAGGAACTACCATCCCCATGTCAGTGCCAAGCTGGAAGAGGACGGGATCTGCCCATCAACCCATAGAGGCGCCACCAAGGCTGACTATCTTTGGATTCCCATTTTGGGATTACCCCACGTACCCGGCCTGGTAAACAAACAGTTTGCGAACTTGAACATGGCCCAGTCTAAATAGTGAGTTTTCCCATGAAAAATGGTGGATCTTTCCATAGTTATGGTGATGTTTACCAGGCCGGGTACATCCACATATGCATAACTTGACCATGGGGCCATGGGGCGAAGACACCTCGAAATTTCCACCCTGGTGACCCCGGTGCCCAGGAGTTGGCGCGAAATGAGAAGTTTCGAGATTGTCAAGAAGCTGTTGTGACCTTGGTGCCCATAGGATCCATGGTGCTGCCATATATGGTAACATGGATCCCATCAATATACCCCAGTCATGTTAGCATATGTACCAGCACCATGGATGGATCCTATGGGGTGATGAATGAGGGGTCTGAAAAAGAGCTGACGCACTGCAATCACTGCAACTGTTGAATCATGTTGAATCCTTTTAAAACCGGCAATCAGGTGCCGATCGATGAAGTGCGATACTGCTTGCAGAGAGCCGAAACTGACCTGTTGGATGTCGCTGTTTGGAAGATTTCAGCTGATCCAAAGTTAAGACACCTATATGTGGTTTGCTGATCGTATCTATACATCATATATATATATATACACATCATATATATATATGTATATATATACATACAATATCATACAATATATACGTTATATTATATATTATATATATATCATATATATATATATATATATATCATATATATATATCATATATATATATATCATATATATATATATATATCATATATATATAATGTCCCAACAGTCCAACATTGTATCTATGTGAGTGTTTTTGGCATGTTTGACATGTACTGTACCAGTGAAACGCCTTACAGGGCTCGCTTTGAGGCACTAAAGGACAAGGACCGTTAGAACTGGGTTGAACCAACTTTAAATTGGGAGCCTCTTTTTTCGAAAAAACTGTTCGTGCGAGTCTGGATTTGGGTGATTTAGTGACGTATGATTGCTCTAGACACCGCTATCCTATGTTCAGACAAACCCATATACATATATGGGTTTGTCTGAACATGGGATAGCCCTCCCAAATTGATGGCTTATTTTCTCAGTTTCTCCCACTAAATGGCATCTTTGCGGGTACCCTCTGGTAAACTAACATAGCAATGGAAATATCCACCATTTTTCATGGGAAAATCCACTATTTCTATGGCCATTTTCAATAGCTATGTAACAAATTACCAGAGGGTAAATCCCATTAGATCCCATTAAACCACCATAAATCCCATTAAATCCCATTAAAATGACCATTTATAGTGGATTTACCCATTAAAAATGGTGATTTTCCATAGCTATGTTAGTTTACCAGAGGGTATACCCCATTTGTAAACGAGCCCATCCATCATATCGCCGGGCTCCCGATGATGGCAGATCTCTCCATCGGCTCCCTTCGATTACTGCAGCGACTCGGGAACCCAGATGGTTGGTTGGCCGTGTCATTGATTCACATATTACAGTAATGAATGTTTATAATTAACTATAAGCATATGGGTATGAGTCAATACCTATAGATACATTTTTAGTGGAATGACCATCCATTTACCAGCTATTTTGATGTTCACCAGGGGTACAAGGTTTTGACACACTGCCATATAATTACAGTAACTGAAGTTTATAATTAATTAACTATAAACATATAATTATTTAAGTATGGTTATATAATGTTATATATTTACCAATTCATTATAGTTCTATATTCATGATTTTACGCTTCAAAAATCTTCAAATAGAGAGCCAGTGGTGTGGATGGGTGAGTTGGATATACGGGGCTTTTAGTTTCACTGCCTGATTGGTACAGGCTCTACCCCAACTGTTGGGAAAACTTGGTGCTTGGTGGATGTCGATAATCATTAGCTGTAGATTTAGCAAAACATGTCATACCAGGTCATAAACAACATATCTACTTTATATATATAATTATGTATATATATATATATATTATATTATATATATTACTACACTTTTACAGGAAATTTGTTTGTGGTTATGGGTCAAAAAACTATCGACTTTGTGCCAGGCCGATGCCATGGTCAACAGTTGGTTGGCTTGTATCATAAGTACATACGGGGGATGGTCGTCAATCCATAGGGATTTCTAATGATTTGTGTATATAATATACATATATATTATGTATAGTATATGATGCAATATATAATATCATATTATGTACTATGTATATAATATATATTATTTATATATATATATGATATACAATAATATATGGATATGTATATATATATATATGTATGATGATACATATTATATCCACTGTGTGGATTCCCATCTGATCCATCGCATCTTCCTACCATAATCGACTGAGGCGATCAGCATCGCGGGGTGGTCTTTCGAGAGCAATTCCTACCATCCGTCCGGGGACCCAAACACAGGGGATTTTTTGTCGGGACAGGCTGCTGTCGCTCACCACCATATGGATGGTCAAAATCATATGGATGGTCATCACAAAAATATTTCGTGATATATATATATATATATATATTACATATATATATATAAATATATTTATGTGGTTCCTATATTTTATGGCTAACCCCATATTAATCATCATGAAATATTTTCCGTTTTCATATTAATCATCCTGCTATTGGGCCCGTTTATACCACCCATAGGTCTGTCAACAGGATGGGCAGCTCGGATGACAGCTATCCCTAGCTATCCCATGACGCTTCCCCCGTTAAGCGTTTTTCGTTGTGTTCCATCGTTTTAGATCTCTCATGTTTTAACCTTAAACATACTATTTACCAACCGGCAATACTGAACCAATCGAAACGTTCATCCTTGTTTGTTTTCTTAACTGTTAGCCATTGTTGGTCATAGTTTCCCAATGTGAAGTGTTAGCACATCTAATGGAGAAAAGTACAGTAATCAGACAATCACGGACAAGTGATGAAAAGTGTGCAATTCAAGGTTAGCAAATTAACGTCTTAAAGCTGGCAATCGCTGGCCCAAGATGGAAATCGCTGACAACTCATCGCCCATCATCCGCCCAGAGCCGTCTGACGGTGGAGCATCCGCACTTCGACGATGAGACGCGGCTGTCGCAGAACTGCTTCGTTCAATTTCAGAAGGCCTGGGAGAAAGTGCGCCGTGCCAGGAATGTACAAGAGACTGGGTGCAGTAATTAGTGTGGATACACATATATATAAATAATTATATATATATACTATATATATATATATTATAATAGTGAATGATAATGGAGAACGTTCATATTTTAACATGTTTCGATGTCGGTGTGGATTCTGGATAGATTAGAATGAGTGGTGGATGATAGTGGATAACATATTTCGATGTTAACTCTAGTTGGATAGCACCTCCAATTGAAATTATCAGCATTGTCGATTAAACTAAGAAAAAATGGGTCTAGCAATGTTAGTTTGACACTCATTCCAGAAGGGCACTCTGTGACAGTTACTAGTAGTAATTTCCGAGGAGCGATGTTGGTCATTGGACCAAGGCTGGTCAAATCCCCCCTTTGATCTTGAACTATCTTGAACTATGTTCCCATATATTTGCCAACGACACTCCGATGTACCCAGGTTTCCTGTGGATGTTCCATGATTTTTCCTTGAAATCGATCCATGTTGCTGTATTCTATTGCTGGTTTATATCCCATGCTTGGTTTTCAACACCCAAAATTATGCATAGTATATCATAGTAGATCAATGTATATCATAGTACCCATAGGATCCATGGTGCTGGTATATATGCTAACATTTGGGGAATATTGATGGGATCCATGTTACTGTACCATATATAGCAGCTTCATGGATCCTATGGGGTATAGCATATACTTAGTATTATATCATCGTAAAAGTCTTTCGGGATCACCCCGGCGCCCATTTTGCGCAGCTGGCAACCATCTATAGCCGACTCCAGCCCAGTATTGATCCCATCCCCCGGCAAAGCATGGTTCGATAGGGGCCATATAATGGGGTTCTTAAGATGAACAGACTCACATAGCTATTGAAAATCCACCATGGTTTCGATCATTTTCCGGGAAACCATTGGTTTTCAGTGGTTTTCCGCTTAGTTTACTGGAGGCTAGTGGGTTTAGCACATGGTTACTATATCTGGTCAAAGAATCCCCTGCAGGGCAACCCGCGGCGCCGAAGACCTGTACGGCGGGTGCGCCGAGGAGAGGCGTGGTGGAAAGCCATGGAAAACTCATGAAGAATTCGGGACAAATCCATGGTATATGATGAACACATGTGATCCAAACATCAAGGATAGGGAAACCATAATTATCAAACTTTGATCTTTTGGATTTCATCGTGAAAAACAGAGATTCAATGACGGAATAATGCATATTGGGTTTGACGTTTAAAAGAGGTATAAAACCAACCATTTGATGAGGATATCATTGGCTTGGCCCTATAGATTGGGGGGATTCAGCTGGCCCATCTTAAAAATCCCATTCAAACAAGGGAGTTTTCCAATGGTCAAAGCCTTTGGTTTTGTAATGATGTTGTCAAAAAATAAGGTTCCCCTAAACGCATTGACATCCAGTGGTTTATCAATAGTTTTCTTACAGGGGTTGGTAACTGTCCCATTTTGGGAATATTGGACATCACCTTATAGTAGCCATTATAGACCACATACCTAATGGTTGGGTGATGTTCAATGGGGACATTTAATGACCCATGTCTTACACAGTACATATTGAGACTGTTTAATTCATACATCAACAGTGCCATTTTGTGGTACGATTGCTGGACCTGATACGTACCCTGGTTTTCACATCAACACTGATAGTTTGTTGATAAATGTAAGTTCATTCCCCCAGAGTATGATCTTATAAGTGTCTTACAGATGTTGGCCCATTGCAATTTGAAAGACAGCAAACCCCTAGAGAGTTCAGGGGTAAACACCGTGGTTTCAAGCGTGAAACTTCCCCAAGAACGCTGCAGGTTGCAGGCCTCGATCTGAAAACGGGATCGGCCTGCAGCATTTGCTTCTCGGCCTCTCGGCAAGTGAAGACACAATGCAACGACCGGAGAGAATGATGATGCTGGGATGATACAATACATGGTGCTGGTATATTTAATTTGATTATGCATAATTACTGACATACAGTACATTGATATTGATGGTTTGTTGTTGGGGGTACTGTAGATGTAGGCAAATGTGCTGTGTTAGCCTACTCGTGAGGGGTTCTTGAGGGCGCTAAATGACTTCTAAATGTTGGCAAGTATTATGAATTTACCATATACATACGGTAACTACATTTCTTTATAGGAACATAGTCTTGAAAGTAAGAACAAACACCGGTTCCCCACGTTTGTTTCCCTCACAAGGAATCCCAATTGATCCGACAGCGTCTCCATGTCCTGAGGACGATGGCTTTCTGATTGGATGCGGCCAAGGACACTTACTTTGCAAAGGTTTGGGAACCCAGGGGAGGCAGATCCACCTTGAAGTGAATCAACTTCCCCAAGGTAAACTCCCCAACTTCACTATTCAGCACCAAGCACGCCCAAAATGCCAACGCTTGGTTTTATGTCCCCAACTTTGTATTCCCATTAGAAATGGTTGGTTATGATAATCTGATGTATCCCCATATTTTGATGTGTGAAATCCCCAAGCCCAGCCAGAAATGATGGTTGAATCACTTCACGACGTTCGTTTGTTTTGTATCCGATCAAGCTGGTTGGTAAATCAGCCTGAATCGGGTGCTAAACACCAAGCTTTCCAAACATAACTATGGATTTGTCTGAAAAAAAATCAAAAAGGCACCCCAAAATCTGGTTGTTCATCTTATCTTTTTTTCCAAAAATCAAATATTTCAGGAACGTACCTGGTGGAATCCATGGAAATAGTTTTTGTTGATCACCACTATGGCTGTTAGTATATTCCAATATCCATGGACTATTCCAAGATTTGGAAACCGTTTACAGGCCATTTATGCAAATATCCATGGAACATCTGGTGGAATATTGGTTAAATCCAGGCTGTCGCTGGGCAGCCCTGCGGATAGTGGTGGGAGACGTGACCCAGACGCAGGTCCCACGGGGTTAACGGACGGGCCCAGGGGACAACGGGCCCCAGCAAGACTTCGTTGAATGCTACATTGAAAAGACCAAGAGAACTACAAAACATTTGAATAATGTCAGTTATAGTTATCACAATCTTAGAACACTAGCTGATTTTTCTATCTTGGGGGTTGCCAAAAATCTTGCTTTGGTGGGTGGATGGTTACCGAGCTTTGTCTTCTAAGCCATGATGAGTCAGGTGTGTTGTTCTGCCATAGTGGAGGAATAAAATGAGCCACCAACATCAACTTACATGCCAGGTGCCTGACAGCCATGCAGATTGGAGCTGTGAATGCTCAACGTCTTGTAAATGGTTGGCAAGTGGATCACGCCCACTTTACAAGTTCGCTTCACTCCAAGCCACAAGCCAGTTCGGTTGATCGAGCAAACCAGCAAACCCAGGGGGATAGCGTTGCTTTGAGAGGATTATCCCACAAATCGTGACTGGTGAATAACCCTGGTGATCGCAGGCAAGTCCCGCTCTATATCCCTATAATATATAATAATACATGAGCTACAGCCAAAATTTAGGCTAATGGAGAGTAGTATTCGAGACATCTTTATTTTTTTGAAATTGAGCAGGGGCTTGGAAAACGATAATACACTCTTCAAAAAAACGATAACATTTGCTTGTATACCAAAATCCGAAAACGATAATACACTCTTCAAAATTCCTGACTTGGAGTTACCAAATATTGACCGTGGCTCACATGATAATTAAATATAATTAATATATATATATACGGTAGTTACCGTATATATATATATGTATATATATGTATATATAATATATATATATATATTAGAATATAATATAATATAGTATTAGTATAATATAAGATAGTATAATATAATATACGTGTATATATATATGTAATTATGTATATATATACACACATGATATGGCTTATCCATGCGTGAACTATCTATGGTGATCCTAACCCAATCCATGGACATTTTTTATTTTATTAATGTTCTCCCGTTGATCCTCCGCATGAATCCCCCATGAATCCCCCATGGATTTATGTAACCTTCGCCTGCAGAACCTTGTTTGTGGTTGCCTCACCATCGATGACAAAAGGGCCACTTTGCTGCACTGAGTCAGGCCGATTTCGTTTGTGTTTGGCAGCCAAGACTTAGGCCCTCGGCCCCCGCGGTGCTTGGAGACACCATGCTGTGCTTTTTTTTTTGTTGCTATTCAATAGGCGGTGCTTAAGGTTGATCCAAACATCAAGTTGGCGTTGAGACAGCAACACCTGCATGTCATACATATACATTTGTTGGTGAAGCCCTTAGTCCAAAATTTGGAAATCTCATAATATGTTGTTGTTGATCCATGGCCTGGTGAACCCACAGGTTTGTCGATGACCCCCACGCCCCCATAGGGCCCATAGGTTTTTCTGAACATCGCCTGAATTCTTGGTAACATCCACCTGGATCCGCCGAAAAGCTAGGCTTTACAGGGCTTGGCCGAAGCCGCAGACAAATCTTTCCAGGCCTGTCAAGCTGCTGGCTGGATCAAAAATTAGACATGGCTTGTCTGGGTTGGCTTTATATATGTCAACCTTGGATGAGACCCCGTAAAGTAATGTATAATAATTGTATATATATATATATATAGTTGCAATAATAATAATAATAAACATAATAACAATAATAATAATAATGATATAATAATAATAATGACAATAATATTAATAATAATATTAATAATAATAATAACAATAATAATAATAATATATAATAATAATGATATATAATAATTAATAATAATAATAATAGTAATCATCATCATCATAATAATAATTATTACTATTATTACTATTATTATTACTATTATATATACATAGAATCCATGGGTTCCGCTCGGAGAATCATCTACTGTAAAAGATGATGAGGTAGATGTTTCATATGTTTTTTTGTTGATTGGTTTCCCAGACAGGACTTGAGATGGATATGGAAGAGACTCGCTGCAGCAAGTGGATAACCGAATAGATTAGATTAGATCGGAATGGACAATAGTGGGTGTAGTACTGGTTATATGATGTTATAGGATGTTATATGATGTTATATGATGTTATAGGATGTTATATGATGTTGTATGATGTTATATGATGTTATATGATCATGATGATAACTCAATATCAAGCCTAGATAGACACTGACGTCCAGTTGGTTTGTGTTGGCGAGTTGCATTGATATTGGACTTATCACTTTATATCCATTCATTGGGGACTCTCCTATTCACAAAACAAAAAAGGGCTTTTTTTTGGGGAATCATCCAGCTTATCACCTTCTTTCAGGTGAGTCATTAAGATTCAGATATATTCAGCATTCAGCCAGCTTTATGATTCCGTGTATTGTTTTACCCTCTGGTAAACTAACATAACTGATGGGAAAATCCCTATGTTTAATAGGTAAACCATCTATTTCTATGGGCCATCTATACCATGGCGAAATGTTAGTCATAACCAGATGGTATTGGTGACCTCCGGTGATCTTGAGGCATGTCTAGCAGCACCGCCTGCAGATGCGGGAGAAGACCAGGCTGTCCTGCAGATGGGGATGATCAGATTTTTTTCAGGTTTATGGATGGTTTATGGGATCTGATGATCTGATGAAGATTTTCCAGTTGATGTCTCGGACGTTATTCGGAATGTTTAGGATGAAATTCAACAGTTGCTTATTTAGGGAGGCAACTGATGATTTGACCCATATGTTTGACCCATATTTTGGGCCAACATGAATAAGCGATGGCTTGGTGCGTCATTCGTAAAACGGTGGAAAATTTGACCAACAGAACATGGGTGGCTTACGATAGCTTTAGCATGGTTTACCCTCTAGTAAACTAACATGGCTATTGAAAATTGCCATTTATAGTGGATTTTCCCATTAAAAATGGTGATTTTCCACAGCTATGTTAAATTACCAGAGGGTAGCCAAGAGAGATGAGAATCCAACCATGAAGGATATCGAATCGCAAACATGAAACCTCACGCAGAATGACAGAACGAAGTGGTCTGAAAGAGAAAAATTCAATTGAGCAATATTCAAAGCCCTTGTTGATTGATGAATCAAGGTAATTTTACCAACCAACTAATAATCCAATAGGGGAAACAGTTCGAAATTGGCAATCTTTCGCTCCATTCATCCATTCTGAGGAATTTCAGATGGAGTTGGCTCAGGCCCTGAAGTTTCGGTTTCGCAAGAGATGCGGAGGGAAAAGCTTCAGTGGGTTGTAACCCATGAAGAACTCCATTTGTAGTAGGGTATAATAGGGTATAACAGGGTCTAATATACAGGGTATAATTATAGTTTAGTGGTGCATTTCCATACAGTAAGTATAACACAGTCTAACTATCCCTGCCCTGCTAAAAACATCTAAAAACAGCCGTTGGCCCAAAAAGCAGCTTGTATGTTTTTGGCACGGAAGGAACAGTGTCCAAATGCTCCGAAGATGGGTATGGGTCAAAATTATGGATCAAGGGGACAGACTGTCCGCTGATCGGGGTATGTACCCACGAAAATCCCGCCATCTGACTGTCATTCTCTGCCCAGGTTCGAAGACAGTTTCAGGTCCGAGACGTGCCAAGCGACATCTTCCAACGCAAGGTGAGGCTTTTTCTCAGCCACCGTTGGTTGAATCTGCATGGCTTCGTCTTCTTTTTCGCCGTCACGCGGAGAGGTGGCCGATTGGTACGAGATGGCGAGGCCGCTGTTCTTCCTGGTGTTGGATTCACCAGAAATCCATTAAGAAGTGGCCGCTATAGCAATTGATTGTCTATGATTACTATATGAATATCATATATTAATATCTATGAAAGAATCCATTATCAATATATCATCCATTATCATCTATTACTTGACATCTATTCCAATTAATATCTATAAATTATCACGTCTTCCTCCAATGCTGCCATCCATCTGCCGAGTCGTGGCCAGGCGAAGGGAATCTGAACACTTGTATCATGCTGCCAGCCTTAGATGGGGTCGACCGATGCGGCATTCATGGAACCTTGTTTGGCTGCTGGTGAGAGTGGATTTTATCGCTTGAAATTCCATTACAATGCCAAAAAATGCCGATGTTACAGTCATTGACAGTCCATATAGAGATCGATAGGGGTATTACTGGAATATGATGGAATATGTTTGTTGGCTAAATACCAATAATCCCAGCAGGTACCCTCTGGTAATTTAACATAGCTATTCAAAATGACCATTTTTAGTGAGTTTTCCCATTGAAAATGGTGATTTTCCATAGCTATGTTAAATTACCAGAGGGTACTGCAGTCGTATTCTAGAAACGCACCTGGAATGGGCTCGCACGCGCACGCTTCAAGGCCTGCGTTCATCCTGGATGCAGCATGGACAACTGGATTTTGAGGCGACCAACGTCAGATCATGAAGTTGCTGGAAAAACCAAGTGGTTATATTGGCAATATATATATATATATTATATATAATGGGAATAATATATTGGGATTATTGAGATAATATACTGGGTATATATATATGTTATATTGGAATAACATATTGGAATATAGTTGGCAACAACAATGGGTGATACAAATAATCTGACCAGTTGACAAATTATTTGGGTTAAATGGGTCATGAACTCCAAGTGGTTATAGTATAACGTCTCAAATAATGTGAGTATACAACCCTTGTTACTGGAACCAATCATAGTTGTTCAATAGCGGGTTATAGCTATATATTAAACCAATCAGCCTATTGAATCCCGTCGTGCCAGGATAGACTTCGAATCCAAGTGCGGCTGGGAAATGCGTGGGATGGGTACCGCGGGATGATCCAACGATCCAACGCCCCCCACAGGCAAGGGGACACATAGCCGGTCGTGGACTATTGTGGAATGACCAACCCAGAAGGTGAATCCAGGCACACGGTAATATACCTTCTGTGGATGGACAACACATATCAAAATATGCAATCCCTTTTTTTTGTGAAAGACTGTACCCCCGTCTTTTCCCCAAAGTTGAATGATGTTGAATGTATTTCAATTTTAATCTCAGCTGAGGTTCGTTGGCACCAGACGAAATCTAATCAAACCCTTACTCCACCATCACTTACGGTAGCACCTGTGGTGAAACTTCGAGATCATGATTTGGGGGCACCTCCATTTCTGGCAGAGGTACCGACCCCAGGGACTTTTCACCTGGCTTTGCAGAGCGGGACACAGGTGGGTCTCAACCGATAAGGTGATTTGACAAAAAAATGGGTTTCATCATGGGGACAAGATGGACAGAACCCCCAAACCCATGAAAAACATTGAAAAACAATGGTTAATACAGAAAGTTTGATGGATTTGATTTTGTGATTGGAATCCCTCAGAATTCCAAGCCATAGCCAGATGTCAGTTTTTTTTGTTCATATGTATATATCATCGTGACCTTGTGGCATCATCACATGAATGTCTGGCAGCTCGACCACCCCAATGTGTGGTTTATTCTTGTGTAATAGCCTTACTTGGGAAGATAAATGTTGACGCCCCACATGGTTGATAAATGAGGCAATGTGGGAAAAAAAACATGGAAAAGCAATAGTAAACCATCCCCAAGTGCACCATTTGTATGGGTGGTATAACCATTAAATACCATTAACATATAGGTGGTTTATGACATTGCTCTACTAGCATCAGGTTTCATTTTGTAGATCTCACAGTTCTTACCCTCCATTGGTTCAATGTCGACCCGGCGCCGTGTTCCGCCAGGAATTCGGTTCTGCCTAGCCAGAGCGAGATCAATCAAGCCAATAGGAGCAGCGTCAACGCCACCTTGGGGCCCCAGTTATTGGAAGATAACAATGGGAAGATCCCCCCATGAAAAATGCTGATCCGTGGTGGAATTTTCACGGGATAATCCCCTAGAAATGGAGGTTGATGCGGGGAAAGATCATCACGGAAGTGTCCATGGCTATGTTTGGCTACTGGAGGGTAATGAAGGCTGCATTAAAGAGCTTCTTAACCAACAACAACCAGTAAAGAAGACGGGTCTCAACCATCCACTATATTCTATTATTGGGTGGTTTCCCATAAAAAAGGGTGGATTGGTCAAAATTATATACCACGCAAGAACTAAGAATGGCTGGGGTTGTAAGTCCATTGGTACACTTTTTTAGCGATTGCCATAGACAATAGCCAAATGGGTTTGTCTGAGAATAGGCTACCCCATTCCATCCCCTGGTTAATCATAATTCATAATATATGTTCCCAAAGTGAACAGCACTCTTTGAGTGGTATAACGGTATAACCATGTATACCCCATTTCAGACATATCCTAATGGGACCTTCAACTACAAGAGTGATCCTACAGTTGTTCAAGGTGATTCTTCTCTTGGAGATGTAATGGAAGTGAAGGCCATTGTGGCTCGTTTTTTTGATTCGGGTGATGTGCAAATCTGAAAGAAAACTGGATCCATGTTATAGGGGAAGATCTTATATCTTTAGGCAGTATTGAGATGAATAGGAACTAAAGATTTAAAGTCTAGCTTTAGATGCTTCAGGCTTGAACATGGACAAATAAATCCATTCTCAGCTTCACGAAGCCTCTGGGCCAGCAAGACATTTGCAGACACTGGAAGTGAAAGGAACATCCTTTCTCATCCAGAGTATTACACTCACAGTTGGGCAGCCCAGGAGTTTTTTTAGAGTGACGAGTGTCAGTTGTTTGGGGTTTGATGAGTCTGAAATAGTCTTTTTAGACACAACGATGGACCCGATCCTAAAGATAAATAGTAAAAACCGTGTGGCCTTGTGATTATCCGCACCATTCACAACTGGGAGTATTTACAATAGGAGTTGATTCAGATTAGTAGTAGATTAGTAGGATACTCATCGGTTTTGGCCTGTCAGTCGATTCTGCATCTACCCGCCCGCTTCACACCCAATGGAAAATTTTCGAGACTCCGGAAAAGCTGCTGAATTCGAGTTTCCACCTAGCAACCTACCCCAGTGGCTGCTTCAGGTTGCGGCTATGACTCATTGTCCCTGAGACGTTTCCGCTTCTGCCCGGGCTGTGTGGACGAAGGTGAGCTTTGAAGCGCTAGCTGGGGGAAAAGGTGGTTTCCTCATGGAGGTGGGTGAAACCCTAAAAGCCAATCAAAAATGGATGAACATCCCAAAATGAATGGAATTTTCACCAGGGTGGCTCAATGCTTTTGAGCCATCCCCAAATGTTTGCTTGTCGCTGGGTGGCTCAAGCATCACACCTTTCAAGGTTTGCTCAGCTGGATTACAAGGATCTATCCTGGGCAAAACAACCAGCTCCCCTTAGGGACTATACCATCAGCACAAACTTGGGTGTTTTTTTTTTAATTGTTTGTTGATTGTGCTTTTTTGGGGGTTAAAACCAGAAACCAGCCAGAGTCACGAGTCATGAGACATTTCATCCATGTACGTGTCAGATCATCCAGTTTATATCATCCCAGTAGTCAGTCATCCCCATGTTGTTTGTGTTTGAAAAATACCACTCTAGATTGTAAACTTGCAAAAAAATGATGAACAATCGGGATGGCTTATGTTTGGTGTTTCCCAATCCTGGATTGTAACATTAAACGACTCGAAACTATATAAACATTCAAATCTCATTGACCAGGAATTGGTGACAGGATCATCCTATTGCTACCTCATTCCAATTCAACAGTGAATATGATCAGCCATGTTCAAACATATGAAACAATCCTAAGCAATCTTAAACGTGACACCATGTGTATCCATTATAAACCATACCTTCACCATATTCAGCCATATCTTCAACCATAGTACGAACCATTCCATATGTATTTGGTATCTATTATCCAGCCATATATTCCCATATGAATCCATATGAAACCATACCATTCACACATTTCTGACACATTTCTGCCAACCCATCCCATTTTTCTCCCTTCCTCGGCGAAACTACGGCAAAGGCCTCCTGACCTTTGCCGTGCACAACGAGGGATGCAAGCAGTGGCCGGGGAGCGGCACCGGCCACAGGCACGGGGAGAATCATGGGGAAAAAACCATGATTTTTCATGGGATAGAATGTGGGATAAAGCAAGCAATGACTAATGGGATTGTATACGTCTTGGATTGATATATATATATAATACATTGCATAATCATGGGATAATGATAGTGGGATAATATGGATAAATATGGATAAATATATTTATAGCTATGCCATACACCTCCAGTGGGATAATAGTAGTAGGAAAATAGTGGATAGTTATGGGATAACTACAACACACCATCCCCAATTGGTTACACGTTGGTATACCTCTATGACTGGGATGATGAAAAATGACCCCCAGTCATGGATCCAAATGGTTGCTGAATGTGGTTGGAACTGCGAATTTTATCTGGTTGGTGGTTTGGAACATGAATTTTATTTTCCCATATATTGGGAATAATGATCCCAACTGACGAACTCATATTTTTCAGAGGGGTTCAAACCACCAACCAGCATGGGAAGCAAGCCTATTTCAGGAAAGGGGGGGAAAAGCCCTGGTGGCTGAGCCAAGCTTTGTCATTTTTTTTGCAGGGTATCTAAGAGTACGCGTAAGATTAGCAATGAACAATGCTTATGGAATGTATGTAGTACAGAAGATTCACATTATATGTATAAATATATATATATATTAACAATAATAAAAACAAAAACTTGTATATCGATGGTCATTTGGTTTTCTATGTATTCCGCGAACGCCTACATGATGTTTTCTTTATTATTGGACGTTTGAAACACCGAATCTGAATGGTGCAATCTAACCTTCGAACTGCTCAAATCATGGCGATTTCATGGTCCTTTTCAATAGTCAGTAGTCGCTCGAAGGGATACCTGATTTTTAGACAAACCCGAATTAATTTATGGTTGATCATGAATGATTCACGATTATATCTATAGATATGTATGTATATTAAACATCTTAAAGACACGTGACAGCATTGCAAATGACAGTGTTTTTACTCGTTTAGCATCACTGCGTGTTGGCTTCGGTCATAAAAGATACAGCTTGTGAACTATGGGAATCAAAATATGGATACGTTATTTTCACATGAAGTCATTGATTCAATTGATCTATCAACCAGTGTTTTTCATCCACAGGCATTGCTTTTGCTGGCATTGCACCAAAAAATGGGGCACAGACTGTTCGCATTCTGCCTGGGGCTCAGGGATGAACAGGGTGATCTACCTATTGGAGATAGATTTGTTGTTCAGCGAAAACACATGCTGCTGAAATGTGCCTTCCACTGTGAATCACGCATTCACTGCAAAATCATTTTGATCTGATGGATGTTCCAAATCTCTATTTCAATTTCAGAGTTTGTTTGGGGGGCAACAAGGAGACGTGTGTGTGTGTGGTACGAATTTCCACCGATTGTTTATGGATACTCCTATAAAGGGTCTCAGGCTGGTTTCATCCATATCCTATATATATATTATATATATATTATACATATAATTAAACATGTATGCATATATGTAATATATGCATACATTTTATGTTTATATATATATACATATACTTACATTTGGTGGAAATCAATGCCAGATCTTAGTACCCACCCATGACATCTTGTTGCTGTTGGCCAAAGCGCTTAGGTCAACTGCAACGATCCTGGACTGCAGCAGGTCACTTTCCAGATATTTAGGGGGTTGAAAACCAGGGTCCAGGGTGAACTGGTTGGGACCAGTTGCGACCTTCAAAGTTCTTTTTGTTTTGCTATGGGTAAATATTTGAAACCATTCATGTTAACCCACAATCGGTTTCATTGCAATTTGCTGCCTGGGTCAAATCCCAAACGATCCATATTTCTACCCCAATTGTCCCCTATTTGTTGTTTTTTTGTGGTTTGTTTGTTTCTATGGGTCAAACTTGAAGCCGTCTGTTTCTTTTGTTTGCTTTGTATGAATCAATGACATAAGGTTTTCACTGGCATGGCATGACAAGTTCAAATACATTTAACAACACATGGGATGTTAAAGTGATGTTGCAGGAAGGCCCAGGCCAGTTTTGTGTGTTGGGTCAGTTTTAACCATGTAGCTAGAGATTCCATGAAATGAACTGAATCATGCTATAGTTATAAACCAACAGAAACCTATCATAAATATTCATTCACACACATTAAAAAAAAATATACGTATGTATATATTATCCTATGGTTCATCATACGATTTTATCATTTTATGATTATCCGATTCATATGTGGACATCATATATAGAATTATATATATATCTGTATATATATATTATCACATTATCATGAATTTTGCTGGTAAAACATATCTTGATGTTTGAGAGGTGCGACGCTGCAGCGATGGCAGCGGCTCGGAGAAGCTGGAGATTGGCTTCGTGGATGCACAGGTGCGCCGGGTCATGACTCGTTTTGTTTTTGTTTTTAAATTGGGTATGAGTCAAAACCTTGGTACCCTAGTGAACCCCAAATAACTGGTATATGGATGTTCATCCCCCCAAATATAGCAAGATTGGTTTTGATACATCCCCAATTGGGAATTGAAACAGTTCAACTAAGGATGTGTTTGTTCAAAGATCTATTTCTAGATTTTTTGACTTAGCCATTTGTTTTTTGGATTTAACCGATTTATTGAACTCATTGAACTCCGTTGAGGTAGCCAATTTCGATGATTTCAAGTGATTTAATCAGCCAATGTTGGGTGATTGAATGATGTGATTCATCATCAAACCAGTGATGTTCATCAAGAAATAATGGATATTACTTTGTGCAATGATATGGTGTTGATGGAACCATGGTGAAAACCAGAACTGATGTGTTTTCTGTGCTGTGTGTTGTTTTTGTTGAGTGATGAATTAAATCCACCAAGCCATTGTTTTTCCTGACTTTTGTGGCTGGTGGTTTCGTATCATGTTTTTTAATTTCAATTAACTTGAAGCCAGCAATCAAGTGAAGTGCACAGGCGAGTAGTTTCTAGTCTTCCATCCCCCTATCTGATAGGATCGATGCCGGAGATATGTACAGTATATATGTGGGTGGTGATTTTGCATATTCCTCATTGTCTGTGGGACAACAAGAATCAGACATCACATCATAGAATCCTAATGAACAAAGAGTCTATGGTGAATATCTGGGATCTATGACTATTCCTAGATGATGAATCCCTACTATCTCATAGATTCTCATTAGCTCATAGGAACAATATCATAGATACATACCTGAAGTAGTAGATCATGAATCCTACAGGATAGTAGTCTTAGATCTCATTGAAGCAATATGTATCAACAATGAATCTTATATCTTATATGATTGTAATTTTTAGTATCAGTTTATTGTCTTAGATAATGTGATGTTCAAAACATCATAGTAATCTCAAAGGATTCATTATTCAACAATATATCCTCCGGTAAATTGACATACACTTTGAAAAACACACCAGAATCTTTAGTGGAAACGGATCTTCCAAGCCCAAATTGCCAGGCCTACATTGCTTGGATCAGAACGGGTGAGTCGGGGGCGACAGAGGGAAGGGCTCAAAATGCGCCAAAAAAAGGGATGCTTTTGGAGATATATGATATCTATGATATCTGTATTTGTACATAGTATGTAAGTTGACACACAGAAGATATTTTATATCATTTTATGGTGCAATGGACCAATCACCTTGTAGGTCTGGCTGGGTCCGGCTGTTGAACTACTGTTTACTCTCTAGCAATCAAACGTGGCTGGCTGAAGAATCCCCTATATAGATGGAGGTTTTAATCGGACGATCCCCTACAAATGTGCAATTGTCATTTACATGTTTAGCTGTTCAACCACAAACCACCTGATTTTTCTTCAGCCCTTCCAGTTGGAAACGCTACAAGCTCGGAGCGTTGGCAGCTACCCGGCGCTAAGGAATTGCCCTGACACCATCTTTGAGAACAGCCGAATCTTGGGTTTGACCAGACAAGGCCAGCTTAAGATGGAGGCGTGGAGAGTGCTGCTGCTGCTGCTGCCCACTGGCCACCCATTGGGCCATATATTTGCATTTACTATGGGGCATTCTTGATGGGATTCACTGACCATAATGCTGAATAATACTGACCAGTCAGGACTTCATACTTGGATACATTCAATGAGGTAGAATTATAGGTTATCATGGCGTAGAATGGCAACTTGATAATGACTGTATGACTGTCAAAAAGAACAGTCCACTAATATATTGTATATATGGTCGAATTTCAGACCCTCACTCAGATCTATTCTGGCGACAAAGTGAATGCTTGGTATTTCACTTGACATGGCAGTGTGTCAAAACCTTGTACCCCTGGTGAACATCAAAATAGCTGGTAAATGGATGTTCATTCCCCTAAACATGGTATTAATAGGTATTGATCCATACCCACATGGTTTAATATCGGTCTTGTTTCTTAACAATCTCCCAGTTACGCTTCATTTCGCAGCTGCAAACCTGGCCGCAGTTCGTACGTTCCACTGCCAGGACAGAGACACTTTGAAGAGCTACATGGACGAAGGGACAACTTGAGATGCCGCAGCAGATTTGGATGAGAAATAGGATGAAATAACTCTGGTTAATACGTCCCCTAGTCTGTAGGTAGTTTTTCCCACTTATCAAGGGGCTATAACTTACTATTTGACATTAATATATATAACCAGTTCCGAATCCTGGGATCACCCTCGGTTCTGATCGGTTCTGATGGCATCTGGGTTGTTCACCCATTCCGACGTCAGTTGGGATCCACTGGTCGTACAGATTGTGGAAGGCTGAGCAACCATTTTCTAGTCCTGAAATGGCACCGCAGTGGAACCACACTATATCCATCTATATCCCATATTTGAAAATGGCATGGCATATTTAATACTGCTTGATCCAGTTCCATGCGGTAAAAAAGAAAAGCGCCGCGCCAATGTTGCGACTGGCGCGACAAAAGCCCAAAGAAAAAGGTCTTCGAAGGGTGGTCCAATAAGAATCATCCATTCAACTCCATTAAAACATATTAAAACCATCAGAATCAGTTAAATTTCATAAAGATCTCCACTGAATTTCACCCTTAAATCCAGGAAATGTTCACGCAAATATTTCAGATGGCAATGTTGTTGCTTTTGACCCACTTTTGGACCTCATTTGATCCACATTTTCAACAGCTTCTTCGCTATTTCGCCAGGTGGGTGCAGCGTTGTGCAAGATGTACTCCTGCGCAGCACTACAACAGCTGGAAGAGGCGAGATTGTTTTCGGGGGATCTCATGAGATGTCATGGATATATCTGGATGAATTACAAGTCACATATACCCTCTGGTTATGACTAACAGTTCGCCATGGAAAATCACATTTTTTATAGGTAAACCATCTATTTCAATGGGCCATCTATACCATGGCTATGTTAAATAACCAGATGGTATTCAAATATGACAATTTACCCGATATATGTGGATATGTGGATATTTCCGATGGGATTTAGATGGATTTAGTGGATATCACTAGGTTGGTTATGAAACTATATTAACTATATCAAGATATGGATGAACATTTCATGAACATGGGTGGGGTTTCAGCATCAAGATTTTGGGAGATAAGTGGATATCGATTAGTGATGGTTGCTTGTTTTTTTTGGTAAGGGGGTTATACTACCCTTGACATTAGATAATCATAGTCCATGAGTTGGGAATCGCGTTCCTCGGAATGACAGAGTCTGACAGAAATTTTGAACACTGCTCAATTGGATATGCATCCCACTTAGCAATTGGATTTTAGATAAATGATGACAACGCCTTATATGGGTTTGGTACGCGAGATTGGTGCATATAGCCAGAACTTTATCAGAGTTCTTTGTAACTGTAAAATCGGGAAAATGAAGAACCATCAAGTTTTTAGGTATCCCATTTTAGGGGACCCTATTTTAGAAACCAACCCATGGTTCTTATCCAATATGTGGTCGTAGATGGGATGATTTTCCAGTTTCTCTTCTGGGAATCCTGATATTGATTTTGTCAGTTGCTACATTGTTGAATTTCGAAATAGGTGGCTTATATCGTGCTTATATCATGGTTATATCATGGTTATATCAGGTTATATCATTGTTATATCATGGTTATATCATGGTTATATCATGGTTACTAGGTAGCTTATACCATGGCTATTATCCGCTGGGATGCAGCCCCAAACTATAGCGGGACGCCCATCAAGTTGCACACCTCCGAGGCAGCTGAAATGCGAAGTGGTCGGAAGGACAAGAAAGGTGCACTCCTGCCGACACCATTTTTATGTTGGCTCTATAGATCCGAAAGCCATGCCTTTTACCCTCTGGTAATTTAACATATATGGTTGGATTTTAATGGTGATTTAATGGGATTTAATGAGATTTATTGGGATTAGGGTGTTTTAATGGGATCTAATGGGATTTACCCTCTGGTTATGTCAAAATGGCCATTGAAATAGTTGATTTTCCCATGAAAAATATGGTGGATCTTTCCATAGTTATGGTGATACGTTTACCAGAGGGTAAGGGCATTTTGGGTAACCATAGTGAAACCATCCATTGGTTTTCTTGATTTGAAACCATCCATTTATTTACTCGAACTTGCTTGACCATACCCAATACACTTGGCAACCGAATGGATGTGGCAGACTGAATCTGATGGAACATTGATGGCAAGATTCATTCCAATGGAGAGATTTTGCAGCTCTTCTGCAGGTTTTGATGTGCATCCTGTGGGCATGTCTTTGTTCAAGCCAAGTGGCGCACGGCTTGTGTGAAGTTTCTTCAATGAAGGTTCTGACAAGGGGAAGGATGAAAGAGCATTGATGAGGCTCATTCCATGACTTGAGCCGGCTCTTGGCCTTCTACTCCTTGTTACGCTGGCCACAGACCCCTTGTCAGCCACACATGGCATGTGCATGCCACATAGCACTGCAGCACTGCGTCATATTTCCCGCTAGCTCCTGCCACGTGTGAACATGCCATGGCGTGATGGTATGCAGTTTCTATGTCTGCAATGGCGTAGGGATGTGTGTGTCTATGGAACCGCAGAAGCTTGCAGCTGCGTGAACGTCTGCCTGCTCAGGATAAGATCTGGAGGAATTGACACGGCTTGCCTAAAAGTGGAACAAATGATTGCCTCTCACAATACCATATACCTGTTGCTTTCCCTGTCAGAGTGTTGAAGCAGTTCAACAGCAGAAGCCTTGGAGTCTGTTGATTGTTTTGTTCCGGATACTTTGTGACGATGTGATATCTTGTTTCGCTCAAGTTTATTCCATACTGACTCAATAATGCAAAGGAATTATGTTCTTTTGGCAGAAAACTGGTGTTTGCAGTTTCACCCTCATTGAAAGCCACCGAACGTTTGCTTACCTTTGAAGGCGTCAAACTATTTCAAGAGGATGTCCAGAACTTTAGGATCTGTTGAACTTGTTTATTCTGGATTATTCTGGTCTATCCACAGTTGATCTTGTCTTTAAGTGAACATGGAGCTAATCGCACAAGCGAACATGTGCATCCTGTGGGCATGTCTTTGTTCAAGCCAAGTGGCGCACGGCTTGTGTGAAGTTCCTTCAATGAAGGTTCTGACAAGGGGAAGGATGAAAGAGCATTGATGAGGCTCATTCCATGACTTGAGCCGGCTCTTGGCCTTCTACTCCTTGTTACGCTGGCCACAGACCCCTTGTCAGCCACACATGGCATGTGCATGCTACGTAGCACTGTAGCACTGCGTCATATTTCCCGCTAGCTCCTGCCACGTGTGAACATGCCATGGCGTGATGGTATGCAGATGTATGCAGTTTTATGTCTGCAATGGCATAGCGATGTATGTCTATGCAGCTGCAGCAGTGGGCAGCTGTGCGATGATTTGCTGAGCAGACCTTTCGTTGAACTTGGCTAGCCATTGAAAAATGAATCCTACTGTATGCACTCAAGATGTACCCCATCTTATCCAACTTTCATGTCCCTTCAAAGTGTTCAAAATATCAAGGGTTCCTCGCAATGGAATTGGTTTATCCAATTTGGTTTGTTGTCCTAGTCATGTCATTCCAGTCTGTAAACTCAACTCCTGTTTGTGATTTTGCCAATATTTGCATCAGCATGCGCTAGATCGTGCTGCAAGGTTGTTGTACGTGAAACAATTGCCAGTTAGTTCACTCAGTTTCAATTCACAAGTGTTCATGTGTTTCAAATCAGTTTGCATTTGACCATCAGGTGTAAGAATATCATTTGGTGAGAACTTTTTGTGAAGATCCCAGTGGCACAACTTCATGAGCACAGCTTCACATCCTGTGGGCATGTCTTTGTTCAAGCCAAGTGGCGCACGGCTTGTGTGAAGTTCCTTCAATGAAGGTTCTGACAAGGGGAAGGATGAACGAGCATTGATGAGGCTCATTCCATGACTTGAGCCGGCTCTTGGCCTTCTACTCCTTGTTACGCTGGCCACAGACCCCTTGTCAGCCACACATGGCATGTGCATGCCACGTAGCAATGTAGCACTGCGTCATATTTCCTGCTAGCTCCTGCCACGTGTGAACATGCCATGGCGTGTTGGTATGCAGATGTATGCAGTTTTATGTTTGCAATGGCGTAGCGATGTATGTCTATGCAACTGCAGCAGTGGGCAGCTGTGCGATCTGCTGAGCAGACCTTCCGTTGAACTTGGCCAGCCGTGGAAAAATGAAAGCTATGCACTCAAGATGTACCCTATGTCATACAACTTGCGTGTCCCGTCAAGGTGTTAAAAACATCAAGAGTTCCTCGCAATGGAATTGGTTTATCCAATTTGGTTTGTTGTCCTAGTCATGTCATTCCAGTCTATAAACTCAACTCCTGTTTGTGATTTGCCAATTTGCATCAGCATGCGCTAGATCGTGCTGCAAGGTTGTTGTACGTGAAACAATTGCCAGTTAGTTCACTCAGTTTGAATTCACAAGTGTTCATGTGTTTCAAATCAGTTTGCATTTGACCATCAGGTATAAGAATATCATTTGGTGAGAACTTTTTGTGAAGATCCCAGTGGCACAACTTCATGAGCACAGCTTCACATCCTGTGGGCATGTCTTTGTTCAAGCCAAGTGGCGCACGGCTTGTGTGAAGTTCCTTCAATGAAGGTTCTGACAAGGGGAAGGATGAAAGAGCATTGATGAGGCTCATTCCATGACTTGAGCCGGCTCTTGGCCTTCTACTCCTTGTTACGCTGGCCACAGACCCCTTGTCAGCCACACATGGCATGTGCATGCCACGTAGCAATGTAGCACTGCGTCATATTTCCTGCTAAGCTCCTGCCACGTGTGAACATGCCATGGCGTGATGGTATGCAGATGTATGCAGTTTTATGTTTGCAATGGCATAGCGATGTATGTCTATGCAACTGCAGCAGTGGGCAGCTGTGCGATCTGCTGAGCAGACCTTCCGTTGAACTTGGCCAGCCGTGGAAAAATGAGAGCTATGCACTCAAGATGTACCCTATGTCATACAACTTGCGTGTCCCGTCAAGGTGTTGAAAACATCAAGGGTTCCTCGCAATGGAATTGGTTTATCCAATTTGATTTGTTGTCCTAGTCATGTCATTCCAGTCTGTAAACTCAACTCCTGTTTGTGATTTGCCAATATTTGCATCAGCACGCGCTAGATCGTGCTGCAAGGTTGTTGTACGGGAAACAATTGCCAGTTAGTTCACTCAGTTTGAATTCACAAGTGTTCATATGTTTCAAATCAGTTTGCATTTGAACATCAGGTAGGAGAATATCATTTGGTGAGAACTGTTTGTGAAGATCGCAGTGGCACAACTTCATGAGCACAGCTTCACATCCTGTGGGCATGTCTTTGTTCAAGCCAAGTGGCGCACGGCTTGTGTGAAGTTCCTTCAATGAAGGTTCTGACAAGGGGAAGGATGAACGAGCATTGATGAGGCTCATTCCATGACTTGAGCCGGCTCTTGGCCTTCTACTCCTTGTTACGCTGGCCACAGACCCCTTGTCAGCAACACATGGCATGTGCATGCCACGTAGCACCGTAGCACTGAGTATTTCCAGCTAAGCTCCTGCCACGTGTGAACATGCCATGGCGTGATGGTATGCAGACGTATACAGTTTTATGTTTGCAATGGCGTAGCGATGTATGTCTATGCAACTGCAGCAGTGGGCAGCTGTGCGATCTGCTTAGCAGACCTTCCGTTGAACTTGGCCAGCCGTGGAAAAATGAAAGCTATGCATTCGAGATGTACCCTATGTCACCTATGTCATACAACTTGCGTGTCCCGTCAAAGTGTTTAAAACAACAAGGGTTCCTCACAATGGAATTGGATGGAATTAGTTTATCCAGTTTCGTTTGTTGTCCTAGTTATGTCATTCCAGTCTGTAAACTCAACTCCTGTTTGTGATTTTGCCAATATTTGCATCAGCATGCGCTAGATCGTGCTGCAAGGTTGTTGTACGTGAAACAATTGCCAGTTAGTTCACTCAGTTTGAATTCACAAGTGTTCATGTGTTTCAAATCAGTTTGCATTTGAACATCAGGTAGGAGAATATCATTTGGTGAGAACTGTTTGTGAAGATCGCAGTGGCACAACTTCATGAGCACAGCTTCACATCCTGTGGGCATATCTTTGTTCAAGCCAAGTGGCGCACGGCTTGTGTGAAGTTCCTTCAATGAAGGTTCTGACAAGGGGAAGGATGAAAGAGCATTGATGAGGCTCATTCCATGACTTGAGCCGGCTCTTGGCCTTCTACTCCTTGTTACGCTGGCCACAGACCCCTTGTCAGCCACACATGGCATGTGCATGCCACGTAGCACCGTAGCACTGCGTATTTCCTGCCAAGCTCCTGCCACGTGTGAACATGCCATGGCGTGATGGTATGCAGATGTATACAGTTTAATGTCTGCAATGGCGTAGCGATGTATGTCTATGCAACTGCAGCAGTGGGCAGCTGTGCGATCTGCTGAGCAGACCTTCCGTTGAACTGGCCAGCCGTGGAAAAATGAGAGCTATGCATTCGAGATGTACCCTATGTCACCTATGTCATACAACTTGCGTGTCCCGTCAAAGTGTTTAAAACAACAAGGGTTCCTCACAATGGAATTGGATGGAATTAGTTTATCCAGTTTCGTTTGTTGTCCTAGTTATGTCATTCCAGTCTGTAAACTCAACTCCTGTTTGTGATTTTGCCAATATTTGCATCAGCATGCGCTAGATCGTGCTGCAAGGTTGTTGTACATGAAACAATTGCCAGTTAGTTCACTCAGTTTAAATTCTTGAATTCACAAGTGTTCATATGTTTCAAATCAGTTTGCATTTGAACATCAGGTAGGAGAATATCATTTGGTGAGAACTGTTTGTGAAGATCCCAGTGGCACAACTTCATGAGCACACTTTCACATCCTGTGGGCATGTCTTTGTTCAAGCCAAGTGGCGCACGGCTTGTGTGAAGTTCCTTCAATGAAGGTTCTGACAAGGGGAAGGATGAACGAGCATTGATGAGGCTCATTCCATGACTTGAGCCGGCTCTTGGCCTTCTACTCCTTGTTACGCTGGCCACAGACCCCTTGTCAGCCACACATGGCATGTGCATGCCACGTAGCACCGTAGCACTGCGTATTTCCTGCCAAGCTCCTGCCACGTGTGAACATGCCATGGCATGATGGTATGCAGATGTATACAGTTTAATGTCTGCAATGGCATAGCGATGTATGTCTATGCAACTGCAGCAGTGGGCAGCTGTGCGATCTGCTGAGCAGACCTTCCGTTGAACTTGGCCAGCCGTGGAAAAATGAAAGCTATGCATTCGAGATGTACCCTATGTCACCTATGTCATACAACTTGCGTGTCCCGTCAAAGTGTTGAAAACAACAAGGGTTCCTCACAATGGAATTGGAATTGGTTTATCCAATTTCATTCGTTGTCCTAGTGATGTTCTTCCAGTTTGTAAACTCAGCTCCTGTTTGTGATTCGCCAATTTTTATCGGCATGCGCTTGATCGTGCTGCAAGGTTGTTGTACGTGAAACAACAAACATCCATTGAATTCAGTATATGAACATTGATGAGGATGTTCGGAGCCAGTTTCCAATGGTTTAATTTAACAAGTGTTGAATAGTAATTATTCATGTGCTTGTATGTGTTTTAAATCAGTTTGCATTTGAACATCAGGTAGGAGAATATCATTTGGTGAGAACTTTTTGTGAAGATCGCAGTGGCACAACTTCATGAGCACACTTTCACATCCTGTGGGCATGTCTTTGTTCAAGCCAAGTGGCGCACGGCTTGTGTGAAGTTCCTTCAATGAAGGTTCTGACAAGGAGAAGGATGAAAGAGCATTGATGAGGCTCATTCCATGACTTGAGCCGGCTCTTGGCCTTCTACTCCTTGTTACGCTGGCCACAGACCCCTTGTCAGCCACACATGGCATGTGCATGCCACGTAGCAATGTAGCACTGCGTCATATTTCCTGCTAAGCTTCTGCCACGTGTGAACATGCCATGGCGTGATGGTATGCAGAAGTATACAATTTAATGTCTGCAATGGCGTAGCGATGTCTGTCTATGCAACTGCAGCATTGGGCAGCTGTGCGATCTGCTGAGCAGACCTTCAGTTGAACTTGGCTCATGGTGAAAAAAATGCGATGCGTCGCACATGCAAAGTATGCAAGGGTCCTGGAGGTGTTTTCACTACTAATATGATTTCCACATATTATCCTCATTGTAAACACTGTATATAATACATATGATGATACATATATATATATATATCATCATAACTTAAAAATCATAAATCCATCAACTGACATATTTCCATTTAAATATCAATATATCCATATCCTTCACGAAGCAATTCACCCCGGCCGTGCACTCTGAAAAAAGGACCAGCATCCACAGGTCGTGCCAAGAAGCGTCTCCAGGCGCAAGCAGCCTGGGACGAGGTGCGACAGGTTTCATCTGGGTAAGGGTAAGTTATAACGACCTCACTGCGACCAAACCCTGGATTTATGGTTAATACTTGGTGGCTCATCCCACTTAGTAAGTGGGTTATAACCCCAGTTATAAATGGAATAAGTAGGGTTAATCCACTTGTAACTGGGGTTATAACCCACTTACTAAGTGGGATGAGCCACCAAGTGAGGGAAATTCTCCCCAAATAGCCTTATTTCAGGTGAGTGAAATATGATAATTTACCCAGAATCATGGCTGAAAATAATGGTAAATCGTCATTCATAATGTGATGATTTTTATAGTTCATGGAATCACCAATTTCATAGTGATTCATGAATGGTGAACAATTGGTGAACAATGATAATGGCGAAGAATTAATGATGAATAACCCAACGGTTAATTGTGAATGGTGATAATAATAGACCATGGTTTAAAACTGGTGACTAGTGGTTTAGTGGTATATTTCCCAATGGTTTAAGAATGGTGAAGAGTGATTCAGAATGGTGATTGATGGTAATTACCACGTTATGATATAGATAGATATATACATATGGATTCAATGAAGAGTTGATAGGAATCTATTAGGATTTCACGGGTTTCATCAGGTTTTAATGGGAATCAAAAGATCACCATGCGTGATTTATGGATTGGTTTAAGGGGAAATCTGCAAATATTGTCTCAGATGGTTTGAGGCAACCAGATCAAGAAATGGTTTGATACATGTTTGACATTAAGTCATATAACTTATAACTACAACCATTTGTCATCAAAAATTGCAATAATAAATAAATATTTACATATATATATATATATACACAGACATTATGTTATTTTGGTTGTTGTTTGTTTGAGGAGCCCTGATCAAAAGTAGAATACTGACATTATGATTGTTGATGGAGCTAGTTTGCTATGTATGATGTATCGCTATTTGGTGGCAAATGTGTATAAACCCATTAAGAGCAGCACATACCTTGATATATGTAGGACTCAGGGCGCGTGTTGCAGCAACATACTGCTCGCCCGCCGCCAACATCTTGGCTCACAGGGTTTGGAAATCCATCAGCACTATGATCAACATGGGGTCTTAGGTCACCAATGCCGCAAGCTTATCGCCGAATGCTTACTAGCACCCGTTAGTAGACAGGTTTGGGAAAGATCACCGGAGTCGATGAAAGTGAAACTACCGTATCAAATTCAAACGCATGCCGACGTAATGACTTCACCAATGCTCAACCACAGCAGAGAAAGGAAGTGCTGCAGGGAGGCAAGTCCTGAAACCAGAAAACGTTTTCAATCTATTTCACATGGGCTCAATGAAGGTATCCGGCCAAAGATATCCTTGCAGCGGGTTGTATTGTCAAGTCGCTTCCTGGCTGGTTCATCCCCAGCCAGTAACAGCTGCCAGCTACCAATATGTTGGCATCTTGTCGGGACTTGCAGAGTGTATATATCTTTTCTGAACGGATACCCCAACCCGTGATATGTTGGTTTCCCTGTTCCCGTTCCCCTGAAAGAACCAAGCGCAAGGTAAAACGGACAATTTGGCTCAGCAGATGTTGCCAAGATTTGGCACCCTACATTTACGACATTTCGCAACGCAGAAAACTCCGCTTATGGCCTCTCTCGTGCGATACGTCCAGCCAGGCGGGATGCACTCGAAAGATGAAACGGAGATGTCGAGTGGATGTAGTTGCTCCTTCCATTTCGCAGCTGATGGTTTTCTCTACCAGTTTGAGCAACAGTGCCTAGCATGTGCTCCTCTACAAGTAATTTCTGCAAACACTAAACACTGATGTCGATCCTTATCATCCTTGATATGGGGATGGGTCAAAACCCACGGGGAATGAACATCCATTGGTTCAGCTATGACTATATGGGGCACCGTTTGGGATGCTGTCACCATTGGACTGGATCCCCGAGGCACCAGGTCCGATCTAGTCCAGGTATGTCTAGGGGTTCCCAGGATGCTCCATATCATGATGCTGTACGTAATGGATACATCTGGAATTGGCTTGCGATGGTTCCTATGAAAATTGAATTTTATTGAAACCAATGGTGTATTTGCAAGAATGATTGTCTTTATAGATAATAATGATACATAATAGTAATGATGATAATACATATATATATATATATGAATCTGTACCTAGGTGTGTATATATTTATATATATGTATATATACCCGTGTCCTATGATTGCCATCCTACTGTTGATAGCTTCCCACGTCATGTGCAGCTTCACCGTTGCTGCCCCATGGTCAGCCGTTGAGGCCGTTTGCCTGTGGTCGCATCATACAGGTGCCTCAGACTGGCATGGTTTTGTGGAAAGAACATGACAGTCATTGCGTTTTTGTTTGGATGGATTAATGAGGATGATGATGATGATGATGATGATGATTATGATTATTATTAGTATTATTGTGATGATGATTCTGGATGATGATGATGATGATTATTATTATTATGATGATGATGATTCTGCATGATGATGATGATGATGATTATTATTATTATTGTTATTCTGGATGTGTGCATATTTGGATGATGATTTTGTTGTTGTGTCGGTTTAATGGCAAATGTGGTAGTTCCATCTCAGTTCTTAGATGTGTAAGTGCTTTTTTGGGCAGCACGGTAGGAGTGACGAAAAACCATAGCCTGTCGCATCCTGTCGCAGGCTGGCTAGATCCATTTCACACGTCACCAGAGGCCACAGGGAACGGGGCTTGGCAGTATGTCACCAACCGGTATGTGTACAATATTGGACAAAAGATTTTACATGATATCTCCAAGCAACCACTGGAAGGAATTCGGATATACTATACTATACTATACTAATACTAATACTAATACTAATAGTAATAGTAATACTAATACTAATACTAATACGATACTATACTATACTAGACTATACTATACTATACTATACTATACTATACTATACAATACATATATATATATATATATTGCATTACATGATTTTAAGGTAGATGGACATGGCAACAGAGTGCGAGTTGTCTCCAAGTGTTATTTTCAAGATCTGGAAAGTAGAGGATGTTTCGAGCTTTATTACTTCATCCGGACTCAAGTGGTTAATATATATTGTTGTTTACCATCTGGTTATTTAACAGTTTGCCATGGAAAATCACAATTTAAAATATGTAAACCATCTATTTCTATGGGCCATCTATACCCTGGCTATGTCAGTCATAACCAGAGGGTAATTCTTGTTTGGTGCCAGCGCATCAGCCTGCAACAATGAAACCAGGTCACCGGCAAGCGCCTGCGGCTCCACCGATTTTGAGGCCACATTCGACCATCATCCAGCTGCAAACTTGATATTGCAATGGGGATTCCCACCTCGCATGCTGCATATCTTGTTGACAGGGCGGTGTTACAGTTCAGAGCAGATCTCCACCGCTTTAGAATAGCAGGTGGAACAGCCAGGTGCAGATTTGGCTGGACGAATCTAGGGGCTGTCGCTAGCGGGGCTAAAGGAATATGTTACATCACCAACCGGATCAATCAGAAACATTCAGAAACATTATGGCTTCATGTCAAAGTGGTTCAACCATTCAACGACCAAACGTGCTGATTTCCAGTAACATGTCCGGCACAGTGACATCCAACAACATTTCATGACATGAGAGATGTGTCAGCGGCAACCTTAGATATGGAGCACCGCTGCTCGTAGGTTTTCTGCTCGATGCTTTGCAGATGCTGGGACTGAAGGCAGGAGCCGCACCGAGCCTATGTCGAGGTAATAGTTGACCAAGCTATGGAATGGAATATGGTTGCTGTACTTACTAGAAGTATTCAAACATGAATCCTATAACACACATATATCTATATATATATATACATAATGCAGTACATAGATTTACATAGTTACATTATATACATTATGCCCACATCACATTACGGTAGATTACATTATGTTACATTACAATCACTTGGATTCTTAGATATTTGAGTCATTTCGAAACATTAAGCGAACCAACAAACATTGCCACTGTGATAACTAAACCAACTGATACATAGAACCAATCAGATATCCTCCTGTCAACTAACATGTATGTGGATTTTTGTGGATTCCCAAAGAAACCATTGTTTTTCACAACCATGTCAGATGTTGTTCTGGTTCATGTGAGGTCGGTTGCTTCTTGGATCTGTCCGAATCTGTTTGTTTTTCGCCCACGCTCCGCTGGCACGTGGCTGTGAAGCCTGCCATGTTTCACAAAGTGCTGTCAAAAACATTCTGGCTGTGTGTCATTTAGAAATCCACACAACTGCGACGTATGAGATGTGTGACGGGAAAAAAAATTGAACTACGTGGAACATCCATTCAGATCTAAGTGGATACTTGCGGCCTCATTTACCACTTCGACCTCCAGTCGTTTTTTGTTTTAGATTAAGTCCTCAATGACAACACGTCAGATCAGCACAGGCAATCTTGAATCATAGCTATCTGGGCATGTGCGACTTGGTCTATATAACAATCCATGATGGGAATGCTTTTCAAGCGACTCTCAGCATAAGGTTCCGCATTGCATTGGATGAACGCATCAGATCCCAAGAATGACAACGGCCACTTGTAGTTTGGCTGAAGATTCTAGGAAAACCCCAACATCCACCCGTTGAAAAGTTCATTTTGTTCATGAGAATGGCAAAGCAACTTGGAAGTAAAATCAACTTGCTTAAGTCCCCCATGTTCAGTGGTTAAATCCCCCCTATAAGTCCATTCAATCAACATTTTAGTTCACATCCCTTGAAATCACCATGTTTGCCAGTTAAATCACCAGTGAATCGCCAAGCGAGCCATGGACGCCATTGAGGAAGCGAAGGTGCTCCGAAACATGGGGGATATCCCCAAAATCCATCAAAATCCCAAAATGTATGCTTTTAGAGTTTTAGAATGGAAGATCTGATGAACATGGAGGATATATGAATGATACATACGATTTGTATAGATGCACCCGTTTTGTTCGTATCCTTCACGGTTCAACAACACCCCATAGGGCATACCCCTATTTTGGTAACAAACATAGGATACTAAAAGTCTAAAGAGGATGGTGCATCAGTGCATGGTATATCAAACAGGCTTAAATTATTAGCGTGTCTGAAAATGAGTCGTTTCCGGTTTTTAGGAGTTTCATTGTTTAAAGAGAAAACCTTTTAATTGTCATTTTGCGGTACATACATATATATATACACACCGCATTTCTGAGCAGCACGCATGATGCACAATGTAAGTATCATGCTTCACTCAACAATTTTTGTATTATCATAATTTACATAACACAAGAAACATGATGATAGAACCCATGCCCGGAGTGCAGCTACCAAAACTTGGATGTGACAATGTATAGAGGTTTAAACAACAAAAACGAGGTGTGTCTCATAAACGCTACCCTTCCACTTGTTGACTACGGGGGATGAGCTTCCCCACTGCAATACGATGATATCATGTCTGATATTTGTCATGTTTTGTGGGTTGGGCATTGCTGAATTAGTATTAATTTCCCATCTAGTTTTACGGTGCAATGATTTGATTCATTTGGCTAAATGACTGCAAGCGAACCCTGGCGGACCTCACCAAACACTCTGGTTAGACAGGGAAAATTGATGAACATTGTATCCAAAGAAAGTTTGTTTCCAGTTTAGGAACTGCTGCGATTTACCCAGTGGAACATGTTAATCTACCAAACATGTTCATTAAGTAGTCATCATTTTCCCTATATTCAGCTGATAGCCTCCAGTGAATTAGCAAAAATATGGTAGACCCATCGTTTGGCCTTGGGAAACTGATTTACATCATGTTACATCAAAATTTGTTTTACATAGTTATGCCCAATTATTCTGGAGAGTACGCGCTGTCTTCATTTACTACCATTGGTCATTTACATCATTTCTGTTTGCTCCCAATAATTATATATGAAAAATCTATACATCTACAGATCATCCCAATGTTGAAATCACTTCAGTGAATTTTGGCCAAAGATAGCACGACATGCACTAACACATCATTCTCAACATATCAGCTGCCATATAAACCACCTTTTTCCTCCATCAAATGCCCTGTTTTCAGGCCGATTTTCTGGAGGCTGGAGCGGATGTGCAGCACGCGGATGTCATGGCCGCCTTCCTGCAGTGGGATCGAAACGGAGTCTGGGCGGTGAATTCATGGGGATAATCTGGTGGTTTGGAACATGGCTGCTATATGACTTTCCAATCAGTTGGGAATAATCATACTGACTTTAATATTTTTCAGAGGAGTAGGTATACCACCAACCAGATAATGATTCACTACAAGACTATGTCCAAATTCCGTTTGTAGACAAACCCATTTGGGAGCGGTGGTGACGGATATGACATGGGGATGGCTCAATACTATTCATCCCAAAAAAACAAAAAAGGATGGATTCGTAGAATTTGCCAGAAACGTTTTTCGCGGTTTAATAATTTCTTGGCTCCCTCAATTGTTTTTTTGGGCGGCTTGAGCGGCTTGCCACATGATTCAAGATGGTGCATAGGCAATGTGCGGACCAAGCCATCTATCTCATGGCTGTTCCAATCCAAGGTGATTTTTGGATCCATCCATTTGGTCATTGAAAGTCCACATTTCGTCAGGAGATGGGGTCATTGACAAGAACGAGCTTTTGGCGGTTTTCAGTGGCCTTGGATTGCAAATTGGCAATGACGAACTGGCATCCATGTTTCAAGCGGCTGACTCTTGCGAGAAACCCTGGTGGTGGTTGGTGGGTATCAGGGAGTTGGGCATGGGCCGGAAAAAAGGTATCACCCACGGAAAATGAATGGTTTGATACTAAACAATAAACATCAACCATGTTTTGTGGGTCCTTTGGTGTAGTCTCAATTTTGATCCATAGCCATAGCTGGTTGGTCCTGCCATTGCCTGCCGCTTGAGGGCTTGCGGGATCGGCTGCAAATGTGTATTTCAGGCCACTGGCTTCGAAGTTCCTGGGTGAAATTTGTAGCCAAAAAAATTGCCCAGTTGCAACCGGAGTCATTTCCAGTAGCAAAAAGTCGATCTCAGGACATCAGCCACGATGATACCATCGACTACTCGGAGTTTCTGCAGTGGGTCTTCAAGTCGGCCCATTGGCAGATCCGGAACCAATTCCTCCAGACAGGGGTCTCATGGCTTCTCGGCAGATTCCAATTTCCGGGGGAAAGCTGAGGCGAGACTGGGAACCAATCGAATGACCAAATGGGGGTGGGTTTAGAGCTGAGAAATACTTGAGATATCTTTAGTGTCATTGGTTGGTAGTTGCTGGATAGATTCGGTGTCAGCTTTTGGTTGCGAGAAGACCTTCCAGTGGACGATGCTACCCAGGCATGGCGTCCACAAAGGACGCAACGCGCAGATCATGGAGGATCGGCTCACAGTGAAGCGGCTGCCTGGAAGCACCTTGGTGGTGCAGGTTCAAACCGAAGATGTTCTCTACACAATAGAATAGTTGCCAATGTTTGGCGCATTGCAAGACCGAGGTAGGTGCAGTTCCAGTTGTCAGTGGATATGCAATATCATATATATATATACATACACAACTATATAGGGGTTTTAGATTTATACTTATCATATATATATATATATTTCATGATATGCACACAAATACCTACACTTGCACTCGCAGCTGGATATCACATTTGGGGGGGTCCAGAAAAAAAACGATGGATCTCCTGGATGTTGTCCGGGGCTGCGCCGCTCTGGGATGCCATGTGTCAATGGGAGATCTTCAGGATCCTAGAATGGGATGGTACGTTAGTAGCATTACCCATAGGATCCATGGTGCTGGTATATTAATGCTAACATGACTGGGGTATATTGATGGGATCCATGTTACCATACATAGCAGCACCATGGATCCTATGGGTTATAAGACCATATTTTGTGGGGATATTCCCTGAACCATAGGCCTAAAAAATAGGCCTTATTAATATGGTAGGTACCTCCAATTTAGGTTCCTGAAATGGCCATTGAATGTGGGTGTATGTATTTCCGGTTGACCCCCCATTTGTACCAGCGTTTATAGTGGTTTCACAAACAATCTGCTAATTCTTAGTTGGGGAAACAGCACTTTTAGGTCTTTAAACGGTAAAACCACCAACATTTTTCCGCATATTATTTCATGATTGATGATGTCCAAAAAACAACCAGTGACGATGGGGAAATTTCATCAATCATCATAATTTCATCATTGGTTCTCGAACAATTGCACTTAATTAATCATATTTGCATGAAAGCCAAGCATCAGATGATAGGGATATAGTTTATGGATGTTTATGGCCTTCGGGCTACCGCGGTCAATAGGGGAATGCACCGGCCTTGCCTGACCAAATGGCCGTGTTGAGGCAAAGAATTCCAGGGGTTCCCCGAAGGAGATGCCATCGTGGTCTCCTCCGGAGCAGCGCGGGAGTTCAGGCGCTTCTCGTTGAACGGGTGGTGGCCACGAGAGCGGTGGCAGGGTAAAGGACAAGTAAAGGTGGTGGAATGATTTGTGGAATTTGTGGGGGATGATTTAATTTCTGGACTGAATCGTGCTTTGATGACTAAGTCGATTCTGTGAGGGATTGAATGATCAAATGAAGAGTATACACATCGTTTCATAGTATATAATTGATGTTTGAAGTTACAACGAAGGAATGGCGCATCCGGCTGCAATGATTCAATGACGAATTAGGATGGTTGATGATGGATGCCTGATGGTAGTTGCGGATGGTCGAGGATGGTCAATGTTTAGCCATGCATGGAGAGGGTTTCACGGGCAAAGAGCATTCGGACTCCGGACGCAGTCTGCACCTTGAAAAGTGATTGAGCATCGGAGCATGAATCTTGTGAGCTACCAGAATTAAACAACAAATGCATGCAATTGTGCAACCATACTGTACCATACTCTGTGGGCACACAAGATTCCACCCACCGAACCAAGTCTTGTTGATTGAAGCAACCGCCTGGGATACATCTCATGGCATCCTGATTTTCTTCGGGTGGAATTTTGAAAATAGGGTTCCCCCAAATCCCAGTGTTGATCATAATTTTTTCCTTTAAAAAAGAACCACAAATTGGGATGTAGCGCATTTTCAGACACTCAAAGTATGATATGGTGTATATATATATATATATAATCCCTTCCTCCTAATACTAAACCCCCCCCCCTAATACAAAACACGGCAGGTAGTTTTTAGTATTAGGGGGGTATTTATTATTAGGGAACCAAATCGAAGTCATGTTAATTAATTAATTAAATTTCCTTATATAACGCAATTAAAATATTGCCAAAAATGGCAGTTCGAAGCTTACCCCTAATACTAAATTAAAACCCTTAATACTAAAAACTATTTTTTCCGATCTCAAAATCAATTAAATTTCCTTATATAACGCAATTAAAATATTGCCAAAAATGGCAGTTCGAAGCTTACCCCTAATACTAAATTAAAACCCTTAATACTAAAAACTATTTTTTCCGATCTCAAAATCAATTAAATTTCCTTATATAACGCAATTAAAATATTGCCAAAAATGGCAGTTCGAAGCTTACCCCTAATACTAAATTAAAACCCTTAATACTAAAAACTATTTTTTCCGATCTCAAAATCAATTAAATTTCCTTATATAACGCAATTAAAATATTGCCAAAAATGGCAGTTCGAAGCTTACCCCTAATACTAAATTAAAACCCTTAATACTAAAAACTATTTTTTCCGATCTCAAAATCAATTAAATTTCCTTATATAACGCAATTAAAATATTGCCAAAAATGGCAGTTCGAAGCTTACCCCTAATACTAAATTAAAACCCTTAATACTAAAAACTATTTTTTCCGATCTCAAAATCAATTAAATTTCCTTATATAACGCAATTAAAATATTGCCAAAAATGGCAGTTCGAAGCTTACCCCTAATTGCTAGAGTAGCTAGGCAGCTTGGAGTGAGGGATTGGGACTAGGCCCCCCTAATACTAAACACCCCGGGGTGAACTAGTTTTTAGTATTAGGGGGGAGAACCCACAAATGGTAGGTTGATTTTTAAATTGTTTTTTAAAGGGGATCAATTAAAAGTCAAATTGGCCAAACTGAAATTTTCGGAAATTGGAGATGGATGCCTGTTTTTAGTATTAGGGGGACGTTTAGTATTAGGAGGAAGGGATTATATATATATATATAATTATATATCCATTATATATCCAATATCTATCCATATCCCCATGAAATGGTTGGTCATAAGGCCCTCTTGTCAGGTTCCTCTTGGTGGACAACGATGGCGTCTTCCGCTGCGGTGGCTTCGAGGCTGGCTTCAGCACGATGCCGGCGGACGAGTTGCCTCAAGACCTGCACCAAGTGGCTCGGGAGCTGCCGATGTGCTACGCGCCCTGGCGTTTCTGCTGGGCTGGGAATTCTGGCTGCCGATGTGCTTTAGAGTTTCCTGCTGGGCTGGGAATAAAAGGCTGAATTGAAATGTTGAAAAAAATCCGGTGCTTTAGAATTTCCTGGTCGTTTTAAAAGTCATCCCATTGAGTTGGTACTTAGTCTGATGTTCTACTGTATATCTTTTGGCTTCTTTTGGATTTTTGGTATGTTTTGATCATGGAAGGATACCTCAAGTGGTTATTGATTCTAGATGGATGGCTCCTCAAGAAGCAACCGTCCATTCCAGCGGATCCGGTGAGATCCACGCAGTTGATTCCATGACTCGTGGTGACTTTTGGTTGAGTTTGAAGTTGAGTCAACTATTATGTCATTTCATGTCTATTTCCACCTGGAGGCTTCTAATACTGACTTGAAGATACTTAAATAGTTCAAAACCGCTCAAAACATGCAGGAAACCCACATGTTTTGGATAAGACACATGGTCATTTCTCTCTCTTCCGTCCTATCAGACCCCTTCTCCCACCCCAGACAGAGAATCAGGTTTGTGGTTTCAGACACATTCGCTGTAAGTTGCATGCAAAAAAAAAATCAATCCTATTTATTCAATGATGATCCCAAGTGCCCCTCTCCAATGGATTTACCATGATGTAACACTCTTTAAGTAGGATTTCATGTATTTTTCATATTTGTTCTATACATGTCTCTCCTTTTTTTTTGAGTTTGCAATGACCCTCCCAGGTCTCGGATGCAAAGGGTCAGTTCTTTGTGGATGGCGTGGCCGAAAGTGGCGCCACGAGCTGGAAACATCACTTGGTGCCTTGGTGATTCTACAACTGGGACATGGGCGTTATAGGTTGGCATGTGATACACTACTGTAACTATACAAATGTATAGTATAAATAGATAAAGAAATCAATAGATGAATGCATACACAAATATACACATGTGTGCATACATAACTGTAATGATCAGTTCTACTGCAGATCCAAAGATTGAGATGGTAAACATCACCTTTCGGACCAGTTGTTGAAGAAAAGGTCCATTGAAAGTAGTGATTTTGCTGTGTAAATCGCGATGCTGATCCGGGTTTAACCTATATTTGCAGGATCATGGGCAAATCACCTGAAAAGGGTCGGACTAAAAGGGATTGAAACAGGGGAATGTTGGATCTTGAGTGGTTGTGTTTGCACTTGTGTTTGCACGCTATAAGTCTATATTCGACTAAATTCGTTGGACAGAAGAAACCAGTTGGCGTGGCGCAGAGGTTTGAGATTATGGCGGATGGTGGTGTCACACGATTTTTCTTAAGATCAGCCCCCATAACTTGCATATGTATCATAGGAGCTGAAACCCACCAAGCGGATTGAGTATAGTGATGATCAGCGATGATTCTGTTGGTGGTGATGACCTGTGATGATCCAATGATGAAGGTCCATAGCGGCACGGTGGTGGATTTGAAGTGCAAGAACGGAGCCTTCCAAGTGCTGCTACTTTGGCCCAAGTGAATGACCTTTCGCATGGCACAGAAAATGGCAATTGAAAACGGGGAAAATGCGGGAAGATTATGATTAAACAATGAGGACTATGTGGAAATACCGCGAACATCTTATGTTTCAGTGGTTGGTTTGGGGTCCACGCCATTTCTGGAATTTCTAGGCAACCCAAATGGTGGAGACCAACAATGTGAATCCAGATGAGCATCTTTCAGGGCTTATTGAATTTCCCTCATATCGGATCCCAAAATGATGAGATCCAAGAACAGGGGCTCTTCGGGGTTGTGATGTAGTAGGCAGAAGTGATTATGAAACTGGTTGGAGAATTTGTTACATGTTTATTTATACCCTCTTCTCACAGTAGATTAGCTTCAATTCCAGCCTGGATCAATTATAGCGACCTTACTGCGACGTCACTGGAATGAATGATGGCTGGGAGTAGAGGAATTATCTCAAACGGCTGAACGTTTCAGGTTGATGAATTAAGACATCATGTATTGTTAATTAACTCAGAAAACTCCCAATGGTGATCATTATGTGAGTAGATCATCTCCCATTCTATCCCATATCATAATATATTTAGGCAGCATTCGACTCTCCCCATGATTGTTTCCTGCTGGTTAATCACCAATTTATTACCCTGGGGTCAAGATACAAAAAGCTCTGGAACACCCGTGGGGCAACCCTAGGAAAATGATCTACACATGCTGGGTTTTTCCACATCTATGTTAGTTTACCAGAGAGTAACCACCCAAGAAACGAGACGGATCTTATCGGATTGGTAAATAAGATGCTTGTCTCATCCCATTTATGTTGATAAGCCATCTGTGTTACCACCGATCTATGCTAATAAGCCATCTAAAGATCATCCATCATCATCATCATCATCATCATCATCAATAAAATATATATATATACATATATACATAATACATATTTTCTGTATCCCATCCGCTGGGTGATGTTTGTCCCATATATTCCATGTTTCTTATATCCATTCTATTTACCCTCTTGTAATCAATCAAACATGGCAATGGAACAGCCACCATTGAAGACTTTCCCTAGCCATGTCGCTGAAAACACCAGAGGGTAGATACCTACTTCTAGTATGGCATCTATATCTTCTCAAAAAATCATTCCATCTATGGGACATGATCCCATTCTCAAATATCATCTATATCCTAGTATGATGATACCTAGAATAGGACATGTTGGTATCCCATCGATCCATCTCCCATCGGATCTCCACATTTTTGTCGAAGGCTCGATGGAAAGATGGTTGCCGATTGGAAGCTCGTTGTGCCCGATGAGATGGACCTGTATCCCTTGGTGTCGCTGGGCAAAAAAAAAACGGTAAACGTTTGCATAGCGAACTGGAAAATCACCATTTTTCAGAGGTAAACCAACTATATATAAATAACATTAAATAACCATGTTCAATAGCTATGTTAAATTACCAGAGGGTATGTAATGTGGTTGGCAAAACACCATTGGTAAACACAGGTGATCCCCATGGTTGGTTCACCAATGTGTTGAAACACGTGAAACGTTACTGTTCAACATGCTTTAATCGACTCACAAAACTGGTTGGTGGTTTGGAACATGGCTTTTATTTTCCATAATCTATGGGATGTCATCCTTCCCATTGACGAACTCCATCATTTTTCAAGATGGTTTTTTTAACCACCAATCAGGTTATTATTAACCATCATTAACCATCATCATAACCCTGTATTAACCATGTATTAACAGTATATTAACCAAAGTTCCTTTGCCATGTTGAGGATATTTCATGACCTACCCGGTCCACGAGAGGCCACGAGAGGCCACCTCTGGATCCCACAGGTCAGTGTACGGAACCACACTGGAGATCAAACTCCTTCCGCCGGAGGAGAAGAAGAAGTGATGGCGACCAGGGTGGCACCAAACTGCTGATATGTGACGTCTATACGCAGTTTTCTGTATATATTGTATGCATCAATTTGTGTATACTGTATATATGCATGTATCCTTGCATACATTTAATGCATATACAGTATATACACTTGCTGTTTCGCTGACCACCCGTTTTGGGGACCCATTTGAAATCCTCGTGGATGGCCCTGGAGCAGGTTGGCATCGGTGAAACCATTGCTGCAGATACCAACTCAGCTTCTTTTCTTCACAGTCTATAGTGGATATATTATCCAACATGATGACTTAATCAAAAAATGGGGAGGTGACTGATTCAACCAACAAAAATAGTGGTACAGTACTGGATAATGACTGATCAAGGGATATCCCAGTGAATCTACAATATACAAATCAACCAAACTAAGGTTTAGCCAGCGAAAAAACAAAACGCTTTGGTGACTTTAGTGCAGGGCCATGGGCATCAATTTGGTTTCTCCTAATTTTGCAGCTGTCCCCATACACCTTTGAGTACCGTGGCCCACACTCATAGAACTCTCCAAATGAACGCAGGCTTACCTTAGATGCCGCCCACAGAAGAATTGATGTTGCAACTGCATAACCTCTGGTAGTTTAACGTGGTTATGGTATACATTTCCCATAGAAATAGATAGTTTAATTTATGGTGATTTGCCGGACTTAAACATGATGATTTTCCATACGTTAAATAGCAAGAGGGTAATACCTGCTTCATGGTTCAAGCTGATCAAAGAGGCAGAGCTGGTTCAACTTTTTGCGTCAGCTGGGCAGAGTTGCACCTGACCAACATGGTCAGAGCAAAAGGGACGACGCGTCGATGTTTCACCAGATCTGTTCCTTGAGGTTGTTGGGCAAGGCTTCAAGATATTTCAAGATATATTATATAAGGATTATTCAGGTAGTTTGCTGACATATGCCATGAAGCTATGCTCATTTTTAGGTGTCCCTATTTTCGTTACTTGACTGGATGACTGAGAGACTCGGTCTTGATTCATGTCCATTGGTTTCGGTTGCTCCCTTGGCTCCCGCGAACAGTCTGTTGGCGTCAACACAAGTTTCGATGTTGGTCCCTATAAATCCAGCGCCAAAAATCTATGAAATTCGGATGCGCAAAAAAACGATGATATGCAATCACTTCCGGTGTCCTCTTCTTCAGCTGGTCCCCTTCCAGGGGCCTCCTCGAGTTCCAAGCTGCAGGCCTGTCGGATTACCAGAGGGCAGTGGGATGGGTCTTAAGGGTCTCAAGCTGTGGTACAGAGGTTTTCTAAAATGTGGGTACCCCAAAATGGATGGTTTATAATGGAAGATCCTATTAAAATGGATGATTTGGGGGCACCACTATTATAGGAAACCCCTATATATCGTTTGACTTCAGAGACGAGTATCTAGCTACCACAGCTAGTTTGATGTGATTTGTTTCCCAACTCTCCATAAATTGATACCATGAACTGAGCATTGTTCAACCATTTTGTTTTGGCTGATGGCGAGAAAGAGTTTGACCTTTGACCTTTCACATGTGTATGTGTTTTTTCCAGATGTGTGGCTGTTTACCACCAATCGGATTGAACTGACGGTTGATGATTGATCTCCCCAGGTCGATTAGATCCCCAAAAAATGATAAGTAAAGAATTAAACACATAGATTACCATTGTGTAATGTTTATAGCCTTACTATGCTGCCCTTTTCGATGTTATATTTCCATCTGTTGTCCAGTCGTTTCCCGCAAACCAGTCGAGCACGGAGACTGACAAGCCTGAGAAGAAGGATTTCGGAAATTCTTGGGGGCTGCTGTGATTTGCCAGGGAACATCTGCCGGAAAGCACTGTTTCTTTGTCAAAACCATCCACTTTACCCATGGTTTCACAAAGAAGATGATCTACAATTGATGGGTTTATGGTTGTTCCACATCTATGTTGATTTGCTTATATATGTTTCAATTTCGGTGGGATGGGTTTGGCTGAAAATAATGGATATCACAAAACTCCCTTGGTTGAGAATAGATGAATAGCAAACCATGTTCCCCCTGTTCTTTTGACCTGGAATGGGGTATCCTGTTGTCGTTGTTGTTGTTGTTGTTGGTGGTGGTGGTGGTGGTGGTGTTGTTGGTTGTGGTTGCGGTTGTGGTTGTGGTTGTGGTTGTTGTTGTTGTTGTTGGTGGTGGTGGTGGTGGTGGTGTTGTTGGTTGTGGTTGTGGTTGTGGTTGTGGTTGTGGTTGTGGTTGTGGTTGTTAGTATTGTTGTTGTTTGGTTTCCCTTTTTCCTGCTAAGCCCATCAGACCTAATCTCGAAACATATCGAAACCAAGTCTTGCCTGGAACCAAAGTAACCAGGCCAATGATTTATAGCAGATGTTTACAGTATCTCAAGTTCCATGGGTATATGATTGTACTTGTATATGCATGTATAGTATAGTATAGTATAGTATAGTATAGTATAATATAGTATAGTATAGTATTGTAGTGTATTGTATTGTATTGTATTGTATTGTACTGTATTTTGTATACATATATATATATATATATATGTGTAAATAATAATGAACCAACTACAAGCCTCTTCCTGTTGGGGGTTCAGGAAGAGGATAAACCCATGGGTTGGGGGATCTTCTTCGTCTACATGGGTTGCGACTTGGCTGTCACAAACCTCCATGTTGGATGATTTTCTTTACCACCCATGGCCCTGGCCATATTGGGGATGGTTGGGATGGTTTAGGGTTTACCACATTAGAATTAATGAATGATGATTCATGATGAGTGATATTGTCAACACACATAGAAAAGCATGATGAATATGTTTAGAGACGAAAGTCAAATGGCCAAACCGGACATGAATTCAGAACAACCCACAAAGATCGATGAAATTCCATATATCATATCTGCACCATCACATGTTTTTTCCTTGATAGTAGAAGAGGTTTTGACCCATGCCGAAGTCTTTAAAGCACAGATCAGTTCCCTCTTCTGTTAAGGCGGAGTAGCAACCCTGTCCTTCCTCTACTACTTCTACAAGGTCCGACAAGTCCGCAACATGCCGGCAGGAATTTTGAGAAGATCTGGGCATGTCTGAAAACAGGGACCCCCCGAATCTATAAGGCCAGTTCATGCCATTTCAATGGGATGATAACACTGTTGGCGAGATTTGGCGAGCAGATCCTCCTCGCGAATGACGAGCTGGTTGGACCAGTGGTTTTTTTTCGGAATCTGCGAATTGGTTCAACTGAAATCCACAGGCACCCAAAAAAAATATTCGGGGATAAAGATTCCTTGCTTTGCACTTCCGATTTTCCCGTAGATTCATCGATTTTTTCAACATGAATCTTTAGCTCAGCCACCAGGCCCGATACAGTTTCCATCAGACAGAGATCTTGATCGTGGATGCTTTCCGACGGCTTCCTCTGTACTGGGTTTTGAGCTCAGCTCTTGAGATTGGACACTGATGAAGCACCCCAAGAAAGAGCCGGCATGTTCTTTGTATGGTTATTCAATGTTGATTGTATGCGATTTGAGACAGGTGGAGATAACAAACTTTTCATTTAGATGCAAAGCCTTGCTACTGGTAGTGGTTGAACATACTCTGATTGCACTTTCATTTTTGTTGGTTCTCAGCTGCACTGTCTAGAACATCGAAAAGGTATCATATTGTCTATTGTACAGACATGTACTGAAAACCTTGCCTTTTTTTCCAGCTACGTGTCATTCTGCATCTTGTACTAGGCAGCAGCCTTGCAGGAATCTTTCACTATCCCACATCATGGATACTCTTGAAATGTTATAGACTGCATGGTTTGTTCTTTTTCCTGTAAAGTAATCGATATCCATCTGAATATTTTCCAATCCACAGCAGCAGCAATCCTTTTACGATTTCCTCTTCCAAATGTACACTTCAGAGTGCTACCTTAAGTTTAACAACAAATATGTTCCTCCACAGAGTGTTTGCAGTCGATGATTCCATGATTCCTCTAGGAGGACTTCTCCAAGGAGCGATGACCCAACATTAGCGTCAAGCTGTGAAAAAAAACAAATAGAAATGGATGCATGATGATACACCCTAAAGATCTAATCTATGTATACAGGATATTTTACACATGTATATCTATACAACATATTTATTATTATGCAAGATTCTACATATTACATAATACTACATCTATAATTAATTAATTATATACTAGATCAGAATGTTGATATGTTGATATGTTATGGTAAATTATACATACATAATATTACATATATAATTATATAATAACTATATATATGTATATATTTATGCACATGATACTACCCTCTGGAAATTTAACATAGCTATTGAACATGGCCATTTATAGTGAGTTTTCCCATTAAAAATGGTGATTTTCAATAGCTACGTTAAATTACCAGAGGGTAGATCAGAATGTTGAGGGTTTACCTCCAAGCCACGTCGTTTTTCGGAGACGCCGCTCAGCCCCCGGCTCCTCGCGCCGGGGAGATCAACTCGCGGACGGTGCTTTGGACCTGTTTTAAGCTGGAGGCAAGTTGCAGAGGATTGAAGCAGCCAACATAGGAATTCTACATGATGTTATATAATATATATATATATATATGTATATATAATACTTTTTACACACAAATATATAGTTAAAACATGTTAAAACAATTTATCTTTAAACATCTTTAAACCATGCCAAAAGCAACTGTCTAGCATTGTTTAGGCGGCCAAATGATGGGCGTTTGACTTGATTTGAGCATCGAAAATAGGGTATTTCGCCGGGAAACAGTGGTGCTCTTTGATGGGTTGGTCCATCGGATTTTGGGTTACCCAGGTCCCATATTCTTGGACCTATGTTTCATTGCTATATTTGATGGTATATTTAATGGGATTTACCCTCAAACAATGGGATAATCATGGGATTATATGTTCTTATCACTTGGGATGATGCTCCCTAGTGAATTTGGGATGGGTCGAAGCCACGCACTCGACGAATTCAGTGGGTCAAGCTGACCATAGCCTACCTATCCCTTGCAGAGTGATGCCCCCAAACTTTCGCCTGTTCTCTTTGAAGAATGCTGAATCCAAGCTGTTTTGGTTCACTATAAAGAAATAGGGTAACTTCAATTTCAATGGATTATCTTGACATGTACAAGGTACTTTTGTGCCGCGTTTTTGGGCAAACCCCTCAAGTGATAGTTACGGATTCCGGATTCGTCCCAAACCTCGCTAAGGATGCAGAAGGCTTGCCAGAAGAGATCAAGCTGGCCTTTTGCGAATGGAATCTTGGATGAAGGTTGTAACTTGATGGTCCGTGATGCTGTGAATGGGATCACTGTGGAGAAGTTCCACGTGCTTTTGATGGTTCTTGATGGTTAATATATATATATAGTATATGTTAGTATTTAGATATCACTTCCCAGTAGATTAATATATTGTTAATATATGGCTAATACATGGTTAATATATTGTTAATTTTAAATATATGGTTAATATATATATACATATATTCTAGATATGATTAATATTGTAGATATCCCAGTGGACTTTTGTTCCCACGGCTGAGGTTTGTGGTCACGGATTTGGAGGAAGCCAAAGGTGTGACGCGAGATGATGTGCCTTGGACATGGATTTAGCAGGCTAGATCTTCAGAATATGTGTACTATATAATAATATATAGTGATAATGTAGATATTGAATATGTGTAGTACATAACAATTTTATCATGATAATATAGATATTGAATATGTGTATATAATATGATATATCTATATAATAATGATATGTGTATATGGAGGTTTCCTCAAATGGGGGTACCCCAATAGCTGGATGGTTTATAATGGAAAATCCTACTAAAATGGATGATTTGGGGGTACCCCTATATACATTTTGAATGTGTATATATACATATATATGTGACAATATATAATAATAATGACAATGATGATAATAATAATATGTGTACATCATTAATATGAATATATCATATCATATAGTTATAACATACTATAACCACTCAGTATGATAAATTATTATGTGAACTAAGCAGTGAGTTTTGGTCAAACTACAGGACTTGTGTCAGGTGCTGCCACGGTACAGCGTGGCTGTGGAGTGCCAGTTGGGAGATGGTTAGGACGAAGAGATGTATCCACCAACTGAAAGGCAGATATCATCATGGGATCTACATCCAACTTCTATTGTGCAAACATGCCCATGCAGTGCAATGTGCAATGTGGTAATAAAACAAATATGGATCAGTACCTATTGCATCATATTTTGGGGGGATGTTGCGGAGGTTTTGACCCGTATATAATATTTACATATATTTACTGTAAATAACTGTTTATGAATGTATATATATATATCTAATGTAATACATTATATATATACATGTACTGTTTATGTTATCATATATATATATATGTATGTACCGCATATATATATATATATACATACATACATACAAGACGATCAAAATGAATGCAAACTACAGAACCAACATTGCAGGTTCTTGAACTCATGCACGATCTGGGCTACAGCGATAAGGCCACCGGGATAAGGCCACGGTAAGGAATGCCATGGCTGGAGCCAGAAGTCTTGGACACACAAACAACCTATGATAGCATATGCCGTGTGATGAAAATGTCTGAACATGGGACCGCAGGACCGTACCCCCAACATGGCCATTTATTGGGGCAAACCATGGCAAACCCTATTTCTGGACGAGACCGTATCTTTATTTCGGACACGTTTTGGTTTCAATCCTGTCTCGCCCTCAGGCTCAGCCAGCCAAGGACTGGAAAGCATACCGGGTACGGGTAATTTCTGGTAACTTAACATAGCTATTGAAAGTGGCCATTTAGTTCGTGGATTTACCCATTGAAAATGGTGTTTTTCCATAGTTATGGTGATGTTTTCCAGAGGTTATATCCCATTAGATCCCATTAAACCACCATAAAATCCCATTAAATCCCATTAAACCACCATTAAATCACCATTATGCGTGTTGTTTTTTGTTCTTCCCCACCTCCACCTCGTCCTCCTCCCGCCTCGGACTCCGCCACCCGGACTCGCTCCAGATCTCAGTGGGCGATGCCGGGCAACGGTGAGCGCCAGATGTCAGATAGAATGCCACAAAAAATGCCAGATAGAATGGCAGAATATATATATATATATATACCCTCTAGTTATCTAATATAGCCATGGGAAATGGCCCATTTATAGATGGTTTACCGTTTACCTATTAAAAATGGTGATTTTCCATGGCGATGTTAAATAACCAGACGGTAGCAGATAAAATGCCAAACCGAATGTTAGATAGAAAGCCAGATGGAATGTCAGAATATATATGCCAGAAAGAATACCAGTTTGAATGTCAGAATATGTGTCAGATTGAATATCTGGCGGGATCACTCGAATATGTTGTTTTTGTTTTTAAGAAAGGCGAGGTGCATCCTATGTGTACTATTGTGTTATTCCTACAGCATATATCGGTGAATGGAATTTATGATGATAGTAGTAATGATGACCCTCAATCATACGTCACTTTCCCACTCCCATTTCCATTCCCAGATGCATATGCATAAACATAATCTATATATATATATATATCATCATCATCATCATCATCATCATCATCATCATCATCATCATCATCGTCATCGTCATCGTCATCATCGTCATCATAATCAACAATAACAATGTTAATATGATATTCATATATAATGAGATATAATGATATATAATGATACATAATGATATATATAATGATATAAAATGATATATAACGATAATTATTGTTAATAAAGCCTCTCATAATATCTAATAATAATTGTTCATGCCCTCCTGCATCGCAGGACTTTCTCTTCCGAGGCGAAGGTCACATCGAGGACCACCAACGCAGCCATGTACTGCACATGTACTGCACCAAGGTGTGTTTCAAAGCATGGGAAACCATAGGAAACCATAGGAAAATGGTGATTTAGCCAACAAATATGGGGACTTAATGGGATTTATAGCTGGTTTATGATAGCTAGTTTTTTTTAGCGTAGGTTAAGTAGGGTTTATGGTAGATATATCAAACTAGTTGAATGGGTTTGTAGACCAATTTATAACTGGGGGGGCCACCGCCTTTTAGCTTATGGTTGAAATATTAGACAGATCGTTTCCAAGCGCATAGAGATGGGATGTGGACACCTCGCCATCTTCCAAGCGCTCCCTTTGCGGGATGATCTTGCAGGAGAAGCGTCGCTTGACTTGCGTGGCCTTGCAGGTCGGAGACATGAGGGAGTTGACAAGTTTGGGATGCAACATGATGCAAATGGTTTGATAGTGACCCAGTGTCAGATGCGAAAAGGATGGTTATGTCGGGTTCTTGATCTAAGATGTCGATGCGAAAGGGATGTGACGGAATGTTGATGGACAATCAAACTCTACGCTCCAATCTCAAATGATGCGCCATTTTTGCAGATTACTGTAATTTGTATGTGGAAGCAAAACACTTGCATGGGTTTACTCTCTGGCAATTGCGTTTATACTCGTTTGTGGTCTGAAAACCTTTAAGTCACACGTTCAACTCTTGCATGTGTTTCCTGGTTTGAACAAACAAAAGAGGAACTATCACTCTCAACTTGTCTGGTATAACCATGTATGACCATGCAAAACCAACAAAGTTTGATGGTTTGGATGGCCCAGCCACTTCCGCATCATTCCGCCTGTCACCCTCCTGCGCCGTCACCGACGAGGAGTCTTTGACGCTTCTGTGCGCTCTTCGCGCTGATGCTCAAAAAAAACTGAGCCAGGACTGGCAGGCCCTGAAAATGCTGGCTGAAACGGGGATTCGTGTACATAATAGTCTGAGCAAGAGAAGTGCCGCTTCGAGACGAACATAGTATCTAAACCAATTAAACACAAGTGCCATTTGCTGAAGTCGCCAACCAAGGAGTTGTTCTTGTGGGTTAAACCAACAAACATGCAGGGTTGGCTGACAAATATAGGGAAATCAAATTTAAGAAAGTATCTATGGTCAAATGTTGCTAAGCCAGATTCTCCTGATTATTATATGTCACAGCAGAAAAATCATACCAACAATGCAGATTTCATGGCCCCAATGGTCATAACTGTGTTTTATCATCCTGCTAGCCATGGTCCCAAACCCCTTGATCCTGTCACATGAAAGCATTGTGGTGGGTCTTGCTGGTCTTTCCTCTCTGGGACTGGCACATAGATCAGAAACCAAATGTATATACCCGCATATGAACCCCCAAACCAGGGCTGATATTCTATGATATTCTATTAGTATATATAATATTGTATAATTATTATATGTTATATTGTACTATTTTTTTAATATATATATATATTATTATATTATAATATAATTAATATATTGTATTATATTATATTGTATATTATATATTATATTATATTATATATTATATTATAGTTTATATTATATTATATTTTATATTATATTATATTATATATTATATTATATTATAAGATACTATATTATATATATATGTTATATTATATTATATTATATTATCTGGGTAAATTATAACGACCTCACTGCGACCTCACTATAATCATATTTAGTAAGGGGAATCATCCCAAAATGGCCTTAATTCAGGGCAGTGAAATATTATAATTTACCCAGATATTATGTTATATTATGTTATATTATTATTATATTACATTATATCATATTATTATATTATATTATATTATAATATATTATATTATATTATAATATATTATATTATATTATATTATAATATAATATATTATATTATATTATGTTATATTATATTATATTATATCATATTATATTATATTATATCATATTATATCATATTATATTATATCATATTATATTATATTATATTATATTATATTATATATATATGTTATATATATATAAACCGTACATGAATACTTACTTGAAGGCTTGATGGCTCTGTTAGTGTGATCGAAAAATCATGGTGGTGGGGACCATCCCAGCAGAGCGTCCCAGGAGCCGAAGGAGGGTGAAGATCCGCCCTTGGTTCCCAAGTCCGATGCGGACGCTCTGGAACTCCTGCGGCGGAAGTTCAGGCGCGGAATCGGCCGGGAGAACCAGCAAGAACCACTGAAGTAATTATGAGGGACGGACATATGTATGTCAGTGTATGTTTCGCATGTATATACACGAAACCCAGATTGGTATATGTTTGCTATGCGGTATAGATACCTGCATTTACTGCAGAAATTGCCCCAATATGCCCTCTGGAGATCATGTCAATGAACATCGCCCATTTATAGATGTCCGTGTTTCCATCAACACCTCTATTTATGCAGCACTTTCGACATGGTTCATTGCCGGTAAGGGGTAAATACACCATATATCCAACCGTTCTCAGGAGATCAGCCTCTGTTCTCAACAGTCTGGGTTTCCCAGGTTGCCAATGGGAGACCGATTTTTCCCCGGAAGTTGACGTGGAAACCGTGGAAACCGTGGAAACCGTGGAAACCCACAGATTTGGAAAGATTGGAAAGATCAAATTGTCTACCTAAATCTGGGAAATCTGTAGGGCTTTGTGTGTTGAATTTGATGGGTTTACCCGGAAAAAAACGCCATGTCCAGATCCCATCAGCTGCTGAAATCGACTCAAATCTCGAGTCAAATCTCCAGGAGTTTACGGTCTACTTAACCATCATTAACCATCATTAACCACCATTAACCACCATTAACCATCATTAACCATCATGTTCCCTACTACATTGGGTCATTAAAGTAGATCATTAGTGGGTATGGGTGTGGCAGTCCAAGATAACCAATCCATTTGTTGATGGGATCCAAAGCCTCCAAGGTGCTGAGCAGTTGAGACAAGCCACAGCAGGTTGGGATGCGCCCGTTAAATCCCTGCTGGATTTAGCACTAGCATCTAATAGCCACAAACATGATCATAAATAAAGTTGGTTGTTTGGTATTTTATCTCAACATATATATATATTACATATATATATATTACATATATATATATATATTATATATATATATATATATTACATATGTATATATTACATATATATATATTACATATATATATTACATATATATTACATATATATATGTAATATATACATATATATATATGACATACATATATATATATATATATTACATGTATATATACATATATTTGTAATACATACATATATATATATATTATATTACATATATATATAATATAATATATATATATATACATGTAAGTATCTCAATATATCTCAACATCCAATCTCTAAAATGAAATGATTGTCCTGACAGTTCCATCTTTAACTGCAGCCAGGTGTGCCCGTCAAGACCTCAGCGATGACCAAGGGTTGGGCATTTGGCCCATTCCAGAAAGGTTGGATTTTAATGGTGGTTTAATGGGATTTTATGGTGGTTTATATAATGGGATTGAATGAGATTTAATGGGATTTTATGGTGGTTCAATATGCTTAATGGGATCTAGTGGGATTTACCCTCTTGTAAACATTTACATGACTATGGAAAATCACCATGTTAATGGGTAAATCACTTGTAAATTGTCAATTTTCGATAGCTATGTTAAATTACCGGAGAGTATATATTTGGGATGAAATTTGAATGATATGTGATAAGTGCTACTTGATACCACATGATGTAGTATATGCACGTCCATTGTAATATATTTGTGATTGTATACAAACACACACACACATTGACGTACTTATATTATTATTGTAAGTATATATATATGTCTAGAGTCCCTTGGTGACACTGCAAGAGACTGGTCAACCTTGCCAAAACACTTTGGCTCCTTTTGGATGCTACTCCAATTCCAAGGCTGATATTTGGGCTATGCTTTGTAACTTGGATGTTCAATGGGATATTTCATCCATTTACTCGCCAGTAGGGCATGATTAGCCATGGAGAACTTCCCTCGGCCGCGCTATCTGTTGGGCTTCAACCGCAAGATCAACGAGGACGGGCCTGAAGTACAAGTGAAGACGTTTTTCAGGCCAATCTTGTGGTTTTGTATTTGTCCATCTAGAGCGACTGAAATGGATATCTAGACTCAAGGGATATGTATATATATATACATATTTGATCATATTTGTATATATACTTAATGACATAGACAATAGCAATAGTTAATATGCAATATGTCAATGTATATGTACACATGTGTAAGTAATATGTGTATATATATATACATAGAACCATATGATTTTATCTACTAGAATCGAATCTTTGCCATCCGGCAGCCACGAAATCATCCAATTGGTCCACAGCAAAAAAATCAGCGACAGGAGCTTCTGCGGCATGTGAAGCCCTTAGAAACAGGGTGTGCCATGTGCTGGTAATGGACCCTGCAAACATGCAGGCAGCAAATATATAGATATATACTGATATATATATACAGAAGAACAACAGCAATAACAATAGTGTTAATAGCAATGATAATAATTGATCAGAATAGTACTAATAATATGTATGTATGCAGATATGCAGATAGAGAAAGTCTTCATCAGAATGTTACATGTCTTTATTATTTCTTTCAGGTTTGGATCTAGTCAAAACTGAACACATATTAATGATCTATGATGTTATTTTGGTACCACCAATTATAAGGTTTTCCTGTATAGTTTTCCTTTGAACCAATTCTTGGAAATGTTGGCAGTGGTCTCGATTGAAATCTATCAGCAGACAGTGACATGACGGCGACCAGGTCAAAGAATGGCTGCAAGAGGCGGATTTGCAGATTGAATTGGATGGTCTTGGTGCAAAAAACATCGGTCGGTCGCCATTCCTGGTGGCCACTCAGCAGAAATAGGATGCCTTTGCTATGCTTGCATTTAAGTGTAGGATGTTTCACCACTCACCTTGCTACTTATGTGTCAATGTGATTAAGTGGGTAATCCATATGCATGTCCATTTAACTAGTGCCCAAGATTATGTTGTGTTTCTTTCAATTGCCAAACTTCTGACTGGTTCATTTTTCATTTCATTAAGAGCGCTTAAATCCCCCTACAGAATGTGTTTGCGATAGGCAGTGCCAATATTCTTGAAAGTTGGCCATACGGCTATACTGTGTATATACGTGTATTTTCTTTGCACATACATAATATGTACATACAGATAGACAGGCAAACATTGTATATGCACTATATATTATGCAATAGGTAATATTTGTATGGTATTATCACATTGATTTGAATCATTATCACCCAGTTTGTAGGGATTTACGTTTCTATTTCTTATGACTCTATATTTGATGTATGGATATGATACTATTGAAACATGAGTATTTTAGTATTATAGATGATTATCTTTTTTTAAGATGATTATAACGATGCTAGTCACCTTTATAATGTTATGTAAGTTTTAAAATTATTGTGCGACTATTGTTATAGATGCTTATAGATCATCATCATCATCATCATCATCATTATCATCATCATCATCATCATCATGTTGCTGTGATTTATTTTATATTATTTCTACTTATTACATATTGAAAGACAAATATCTATACTTTGCCATAATATATAATGGTTTATCTTTGATATACTAATATGAATTTAGTAAGTACTGTTTCATATATATATATATATATATATGATCTGTATTTAATTATTCATGATAATTTATGATCGACCATTATCATACTCTGATTATGTCACCTGCCCATGTTCCGCCCAGGTAACTGCGGAGCGCAAGACCTTGGAACTGGAAGCGGAACGCCTGGGATATATCAAGTGCCACCGGGCGCTGAAGCCGTGGCTCGGAGCCTTTTTGAAAAATATGGGGATTTCTCTTGGGATTTCACCTGGGATTTCAATGGTATTGTGAATGAGAATTTACCCTCTGGTAATTTAACATAGCTATGGAAAGATCCACCATGTTTAATGGGAAAACTCACTATAAATGGCCATTTTCAATAGCTATGTTAGTCTACCAGAGGGTAACTTGGGATTTCATGGAAACATATCTGGAAGTCATGGGAATTCTATGGAATTGTATGGATTGAATGTGGATTTAGTGGGAGAGATCGGCATTTCAATCATCACTATGGGGGATTGGATGGGATTGATCCAACAAGTATGATTTTTCCCGGATGTTGAAGGAAAGAATTACAGGAAACTATGGAATCTCCGGGGCGGACTGCGGATTGCATTCGTAACCTTTGCCTCGACGTGGACGCGACAAAGTGTTTTCCTGTTGATGTATAATGCAGGAAAGCTGGAAACCAACAGAAACCATGTTTTTCTCTATGCTTACGATTTTTCCAATGAATGTGTTTGATTTCTTTGTGGAGATTTGCTTTGGATGAATGAACCCTCAACAACGACTATCCTAGGATAGTTTCAATGTCCAATGCAAGGGCGTATAATCCAGCAAGCAACAAACCATACCATTTTCAAAATTTGGGGTTTATCCGAATGGTGGGGTGTCAAAGCCAAGAAGGTAGAGATGTGGCATTGATTTTCATAGATGTCCCTTTCCCACAGGTTGGGTGTTTGATATAGTAGAGGGATGGGTGATCTCGGTCGGAGTCGTAAAGATCCTGCTAGAGAAAAACAGGATGAAGAGAGGTCATGATAGACATGATACTCGTAGGTGTACCGAAAAAGAAGGGACAACTCTCTTCATTCCAACTGGGGTGTTTTTTTCAAGTGGGGTATAGCCCCCAAATATAAACATCCAATTTGTGGGTTCCCTATGTTCAGACAAAGCCAACCAAGGATCCCAAGTATCAACCCAAACAATTTCATGGTTTCGAAGACCGACTCTGTGCACCAAATGGTCACTGGCAAGGCATGTGAAAGATCAGGGCTATGGGAAGGTGGAATTCGAGTCTGGTCTCCCAGTGGGAAGTGTTCTTTGTATCCTACTCCTATATGATGTCATCTGAGCCTGTTTGTCACACATATGTTGTTAGGGAAAAACATGTATACAATATTTTATCATATTACATTATACTTGTATTATATTAATATTTTATAATATAATATATTATATTATTATATATCTATATCATACTTCATGCCTGTGATATTCTGGTCGGTGTTTATTGTTTTTGAGTTTATGTTCAACTTCCAAAGAATACTACTGCCACGCAACATGACTTTGCAACGTTTGCAAGCCGCAAATCACCAATCCATTTTTCATATCAACTGCATTCTCTTAAACAGAACATGTATATCAGGAACAGAACATGTATGTCAGGAACGGCCCAAAATCAATCAAAACAGCTGTACCCTCTTGTAGTTTCTTGTAGTCAAACATGGGCTGCTGTAAACTCCCCCATTTAGTTCAAGGATGTTCCCAGCTATTAAACCCTTGAAAATCCCCAAAGAAACGGTATTTCCCAGCTAACCATGCTGGTGTTTCAGTTCCTGAGGCGGCAGCCGGAGGAGTGGGTGAAGTGCTGGAAGCTGAGTAGTGTTCGAGAATCGGTTGATTTTGACATTTTGACGTAGGGAAAATTTCTTGAGAATATTCTTAATTTATGTTTTTTTTGTGATTTCAATCTCAGTCTGTGATTTTTTTTGCCTTATTTGACACAATTGGCATTCCTCAGTTTCGGTTGGGAATTCCCTTTGCTCCTGCTTGGACCTCAAAAGCGGCCCAGGTTACAATGACTATGAGAGTGCTGACTTCTGGTTGTGTCTCAGCCAACGAAAATCATCGATTCATATGAGGTGGCCCCCCTTGTTATAAGTTTGTTTATAACCCCACTGATCCCCATTGACTATAGTTCTATCATGCTCTATCTATGATAAATTCCTAATTACACACCAACTTAATTAGCTAACTAGAGGGCCCCACTTTGTATGATGTTGTTTCCCATCTTATTGGCATTGAACACGCTGGTGTAAGGAAGTTTACCTGGACTGCTACGGAAGACCAGGGATACATCCCATTGAAAAGTCAAAGTTTGTGGATGAACATGGATGGAAAATGGATGAACGTACCCCAAAGTATGGCAATTTTTACAGAGGAATATTATTTGGACTATTTAACCAAAAATCAAATACTTGGATGTGTCTTACAGTGGGGGAGAACCCCTGCAAATGGCCATTTGTTCATAGGGACAATGATGATTAACCAATGGATGGAATGGGGTTTCCTTTTTTCTCGGACAAGCCGTGACAAAGTGTGGGAAGAAACCATATGATAACAAACCCTGTTTCACCGATAGATCGATGCCTTTTGGATTAGCTGGTGCGAGCATTGGATGATCATCCCCCCGTTCTAACATGAGCAGTGCCCAAAATACCAATCGGCGGATACAAATCATACTATCTACTTACATCGGGATATAGGATCATTGGAATCCACTATGGGATCCCCTACAAACCAGCCAGTATCGTGTGACACATGATTACACCAATAAATAGCAAAATGTGGGGGCTTCCCATACGGGTCATTATTCCCTATACTGCTTAAATCTCCCCATCCCCATCTTCCTCTTAGCTATAGGAGGTATAGTCTCAGTGTAGATTTTAAGACAACATGTTATATCCTGTATACCAATGAACATCACTATAGATTACCAAAAAACGATGTGAGTCCATATATGATAATGATAAAGGTGTTGTACCAATAATAAAAAAAAGTGCACACGCAATTACTACAAATCACCATAAATTTCCATAACTCATTATTTATATATATATATATAATATATATATATACACAAATATCTATGAGTCACCCAACCATATAACTCAAAATCACTATAAATCACGATAATGCCATATATAATCACCATTGATCACTATAAATCACCGTTACTCACCCCAGAAAACACCGCTTTTCATCGGTTTCCTGGTTCGCTTCGTGCCGTGCCGAGCTCACAGAGGCCCTGTGAGCGCATCCAGCTCTTGCGGCAGCGCATGGATGGAGTGCCAGCGCCCAGGGAGAAGATGAAGAGTTTGAAGGCCGGTAAGATGTGCAATTGAAAATGGACACATGAAGTACCAAAGAGGGGTATATACTATTACAGAATGGAAACATAATGTAATACCAAACAGCTGGGTACCAAACATGGTAAACATGGGGGTATAATGTAATATGGGTATATTAATACTATTAATTATATAATACAAATATAATGGGATATATACCAAACAGCTGGTCAGACCATGGGGGAACAATGGTGATATAGTCGAAATAGAATGGGTCTATCTGACAGTATGATTAAAATACGGAGGTTGTCTGAAAGGACCTAACCATCAATATCCAACAGTTAATATGTGTCTGTCTGAAAATGGGGATTGGGCCCGAATTGCGGCCGGTTAATGGAGGAAATTGATGAACACGATGATGAACGGGTGGTTTTTGTTTGGCCTTCCCGCTTTTTTTGCAAACCTGGTGGGTGACAATACCGCTGCTGAACACATATTATGGAGATTACACATGAACATGTTAATTCATGTTGTGACTTGAGTGGATGTAAATAGATGAATGTGGTATCCAACAATACTGGAATTTGAGTGAATACAATCAATGGCCATGTCAGGAACCTAAATTGGAGGTACCTACCAGATATAAGGCCTATATAAGGCCTATGTAAGGGAATATCCCCACAAAATATGGCCTTATATGGTACAGTACCTCCATTTTAGGATCCTGAAATTCCCATTGATACAATGAGTGCACCAACATATCATACATTGTCATATTCATATATATATATACATATCCCATATATCCCATCATTATTCCCAATAATTCCCAATATGTTTTTCCCCACCTGCCAGGTGAGGGTTGTTAGATTTTATGTCAGTTGCCTCCTCCTCCTGCTCCTCCTGCTCCTCCTCCTCCTCCTGCTCCTCCTCCTCCTCCTCCGCCTCCTCCTGCCTCGTCCTCCTCCTCCTCGTCCTCCTTGTCATCCTTGTCGTCCTTGCTCAACTGCGACCCGCGATCCACAGTGTTCTCTGCCGGACCTCAACCACGACCACCCACGCCCAGTGTTCCCTGCCGGACCTCAACCACGACCATCCACGCCCAGTCTTCCCTGTCAACCACGACCATCCGCGCCCAGTGTTCCCTGCCGGACCTCAACCACGACCATCCACGCCCAGTGTTCCCTGCCGGACCTCAACCACGACCATCCACGCCCAGTGTTCCCTGCCGGACCTCAACCACGACCATCCACGCCCAGTGTTCCCTGCCGGACCTCAACCACGAACATATGCCAGAAGATATGCCGGATAGAATGCCAGATAGAATGCCAGAAGATATGTCAGAATATATGCCAGAAGATATGCCAGATAGAATGCCAGATAGAATGCCAGAAGATATGTCAGATAGAATGCCAGAAGATATGCCAGATAGAATGCATCAGATTTGCCAGATAGAATGCCAGAAGATTTGCCAGATAGAATGCCACAAGAAAATGCCAGAAGATATGCCAGATAGAATGCCAGATAGAATGCCAGAAGATATGTCAGATAGAATGCCAGAAGATTTGCCAGTAAGAAAATCTATAAATGTCATGGTGGGGATCACACGAAGTAAAGTAATTTATTGTGAAAGAAAGTGAATCTAAAGGTACAGAAACAGAATCCATTCAAAGCCATCATTCATTTTGTTTGACTGCTTAGATGGATCCTGGACATATCCCTATGATTCTTGCTTGACGGTGCAGTTCCCATCATAGGCGGATATAAAAATATAGTTCTAGGGGTCCCATATCCCAACAAGGATGGGAGTTGGAATCTCGTAGTTATATATCCAATAGCCAGTAAGAACCATATTCAGCCATATTAGGCTATTGGTTATTTACATTTATTTACTGGTTATTGATTGGATATGTAAGTCATTACTGGCTATTGGTAATTGGTTATTACTTGGTGGCTCATCCCACTTAGTAAGTGGGTTATAACCCCAGTTATAAGTGGATTAACCTTACTTATCCCATTTATAACTGGGGTTATAACCCACTTACTAAGTGGGATGAGCCACCAAGTACTGGCTATTGGTAATTCAGCCACCCGTTCTTTTCACCCCAACTGCCCCGGATCGCAGATGCAGCACAGCACCGCCCTGGCGGTGGCGGATCGCCTGCTTCCTGCCCTGCGGATTGCGGGCCTCGTTGCGCCGCGTCGCCAATGATGGGTAGACCGACGAATTGGACGAATCGTGCTGGGTAAATTATAACGACCTCACTGCGACCTCACTGGAAATCATAGTTAGTAAGGGAAATGATCCCCAAATGGCCTTAATTCAGGTTAGTGAAATATTATAATTTACCCAGATCGTTGATATGCAACTTGTGGTTTTGCAATTTTTGGGTGTGAACCAAAGCAGCTGATGCAGCTGGTTATGTTGTGTTTTGCGTGCAGGAGACCTAGGAGATTTAAGATTGGATTGGTCATGTAACAAATTCAAAAGAGGATTGAACAATATAAAATCATATAAAATCCAGGATATGATGTCTAAGAATGGGATATATATTGAGAACGCATAATAATAAGTGGTTGCTGACTTTAGATATTTGCAATTTTCCATCCATTGCTGGGATGATGATTCCCGATTGACTAATGTTTTTGGTTTGGTTTAAACCCACGATTTGTAGATGAACAAACAGCAATGATTATATATATAATTATATATATATAACATCCAGGTTGTGATGAATGTTATTGTTATCTTATTGTTATTGTTATTGTTATGTTATTGTCATTGTTTTTGTATGTTGAAAAGTTATTCAACATTGTTATGGCTGTTTTGTATGTCATAAAAAAAACAAATGTCGCACCCAGAAGCTTGCTGACAGCGAGCCGCTCGCCCAATGAGGACTGCATGGTCCCCTTGGATGAGGATTTCGGAGTGGAGCGCCGCCAAATGTGGAAGGATCCGATCCGCAACGGCGAGACGTGGGATTTTTCAAGCGACGGACTGGGATAGGAATGGATCAACGACTGGGATTTCAAGGATAGGAGTGATGTTGGTAAATGGCAAGTGTGATTTTTTTATAAAAACTGGCAAGTGGGACTGGCTTTTCTTGCAGTCAGATATTGGAATATCATCAGCAGAAATGGGAATACAACCAAAAAAAAAAAGGCAAATGGCTAGAAGGTGCGTTACTATCCCAAGCATACCATTCCTTCATCTAAGAAATCCACCATCAGTTGGGGCAGGGGAATTCGTTCCCAGCTAAAAATAGGAGCGACGTCACTTGGTCCATGTCACTGGGGGGATGGCAACTGGGGTGTATGTCACTTATTGGATACGGTAAAACCCAGCCAGTCATCAACTCAGGGAACATTTTAGTGGGAAAATGGACATGACGGGAAGATGGAAGGAGAACCACTGTTTGGCAAAAATATTGATTTTAACAAACGCAAAACAAAAAGTAAAATGACTATATAGTGAGTTTTGTGTTGTTTACTGTACTTCATGTCCATCCTACTTGGAAGGATCCAGTTGACTATTTAAATATCGTGGAACAAAACAGTGAAATTGTTTGATTTGTTTGATTCTTTGAAGCAATGAGGTGTTTTTGTCAAGTTGATCCCCATCATTCGTGGAAACACCTGCTGTTAAGATCTTTGGCCAATCAATCAGCGGCATGACGATCCGAAGCTTGTTGACTGAAGCCGTTGAAAAAGTGTGCTGGCTCCAAAAGATACCCGAAACAAACGAACAGACTTTGATTGATAGCAGATGATCATAGTAATATCATATCCAAAATTGCAATTGAATTGGAACATACGGTTTTGCCACCATCTTGAAACCATGAATTTGAACGAGCACCTTGGATTGAAGCACAGGACTTTAGAGGGAGGATAGCTTGACTCAGCTTGACTGGTTTGAATTGCCATCACCAAGTGTTTAGTTGCACGCAAAGACGCAGAATTACTCCTTGGACAGGCATGACCTTGGACTTAAGGCTTAAATCTCAAGGGAATGCATGGTTTTTTAATGTTTTTTACGTCCCACATGGGGAGCTCTCATGGATTTCCTGCAAAATTGTCAAGCAAATCATAGCAGTTTCCAAGACGACCTCAGCCATGACGCGTTGCCGCATGGGCTGGCGTCCTGGGATTTCAGCCTACGCGCAGAGATACAGCAGTAGCTCAACAGCCTTTGGCTGTTGCGGTGTTTCCGTAAATGGGGGTACCCCAAAAATTATCAAAAATGGATGGTTTATGGAACATATGGAACATCCTATGAACATGGATGATGTATGATGATGTAGGGGGTACTGCGATTAAAATATGGACACCTCCATAATTAGCCAACCGTTCTTTGACGGAGGAAGTTGGATAAAAGTTGGTAGTTGAAGAAAGCGAACATTTATTGCAGCATCCAAGATGGTGGCAGAGTCCCTGAAACGGGATGGGTTTAGTAAATGGTTTAGATAATGCTAAACGGATCGGCATCGTGGTCATAAGTTTTGACCCGTACTGATGTTGTTTTCTTGAAGATGAATGGCATGAGGAGTCCAAGGATGCCGTGTCATTTTTCTAAAGGGAGTTAAAACTTCCTGTGACCAGCAGAGTTTGATCTTAGATCTTGAATGACATATTTGAGTGGTTTCATAGCATGTGCACCATCTTCGTGCGTCAGGTAGTGTGAGCATTTCCTCCAGCAGATTGGAGAAGTTCATGAAAGCTGAGATTGACTACTTTGCGCAAAAAGCTCCACAGCCAGCGGGAACCTCGGAAACCTTTCTCTTCCGGCACCCGGAAAGGTGATAATGTGGCATGAGAAATCACAGACACACGCAATCAAACGTTGTCAAATCATTTTTGCCACAATAGCCTTGCTAACCACAAACATATATATATGTACATGTATACGCATTATACAGTAGATTGTACAGTAGATTGTACAGTAGATTGCGTATAATTATATAATATAATAATATATATATATATACATGATTAATTATAGTTGAGGCGTTCAGAATCGTTCGGGTATCCGGTTCACCTCGTTATGGCATATGGCATATCTATATACATAGATCAACAAACTCTTTGGTAATGATTTAAGATATGGAAAATTATCCCATTCTTAATTATTATTTGATCATTTGATATTTAGTTATAGTTATATAAATTATATAGGTAGGATTAAACCATCTAGTTATCCCAAAAACTAGTGGTTTATATAGTTATATCAAACTCTTAGATATCATAAAGAAACATATATAACTAAACATTTATGTGAAATGGTTGATGTATCATCCATATCTTAGATGGACATTCGAAACAGCGACATCCACGGAGAATCGAAGCCCAGGTGAGGCTGGATCAGATCATCAAGGCTTCGACGCCGGAAGAGGTGGTCCTTCGGCGATGGCGAAACTCTAAAAAGGGACGACGATTTTGGACGGGGGGGATGGGTGATTTTTAGGCTCTAATCATAGAATTGGATGATGAGATTTTTTTAACCGGAAAGCCCTATATTTGATGGTAAAAACCATGGTTTCCGGTTTCGATTTTCCCTTAAACCAATCCAGTGATCTAAGACTCGGGGGATATGTTCATGGTGATTTTTTAAGGGATTTTTCAATGGTGGTTGAATGGGATCGGGATTTAGCCTCTGGTAAACTGACGTAACTAATGGGAAAATCCACAATTTTTAATGGGTAAATCCACTATTTCTATGGCCATGTTCAATAGCTATGTTAGTTTACCAGAGGGTACCTATGGTTAATTACCATGGAAATTACCATATGAAATTGGGAGAATCACCATCCATTAATCATCCATTAAGATCTAGCTATAGCAGCTATGATTTGGGTTACCAAGGTTAAAAGACACATAACCATATCAATTTTGGATTTTAAAGAATGAAAAAATGGGTTGAACTATGGTTAACTATCCCATATAGGGATTTAACATGATTCAACTGTCCAAAGAATGATGGAAGTGATTTCGGTCTGGTCAGTGATAGCCACAAAGCGGGGAAGTTGGTCATGTATGGTCATATATGGTCATATATGGTCATATATGGTCATATATATTCTGCCAGTTTCTACCAGTTTGTTCCCCAAACGTACCTTGGGAACCAACCTCGCCCACCTTGCGGTCGGTTTTTTAAGGCGAGTTTGATCCACGACAAGCTCCCGGGGCATTTTGCCACGCGGATCAAGCACCTTGGAAAAAAGTACCGGGCATATGGGGGCATCGTGGTTTCAATGTATGACAAGTGGCCCATTGTATGACCCTGGCATGGATGTGTGCATGTATATATGTATATATATATATTATATATTATATATATATACATCTGGCTAATTGATTAAATTATAACGACCTCACTGCGACCTCACTGGAATCATGGTTAATAAGGGAAATCATCCCCAAATGGCCTTAATTCAGGTCAGTGAATTATTATAATTTACCCAGTAATACATGCACTTTTTGAAATGGGTTGTGTAATAGTCGAATGTGTACTGATGTAATAACTATTCATTGTTTTATTGATACTTAAACGCGCTGGAAAAATGGATGGAAGAGGATCGGTTCCCAGGAGACTGTATTGAAGTTGATAGGAGATAAAATGCCGATGTTTCCAAAACTCTCTGCAAGGGTATATTGCATGGTTTGGTTAGGCCTCTAAAGAAGTCTTCTGACATTCAGGACTAGATCAGGCAAGTGACACAGATCCTCTTCTTTGGAAGAATATAACAGAAGTGAACCAGGTTCAAACATGCAGTGTACTCATGTTGAGCATAGCTGTTTGGCTTGATGTTGGTCATGGGTGGATGCAAGACCGACCAAAGCCCTTTGGTGTCGTTTTCTCCAGCTAAGCTCAAAATTTATCAAAAATATTCAAAAATCACATATCAACAGACTGCTACATATCGATCTGATATGTAAATCTTCACCAACAGACTCAAACGACTGTGTTTCTTTTCGATTTCCAGCACCTTCTTTGAACATGTTGAAACGTCCTTGGGGAGTCTCGCCGCGAGGCATCTAGAGGCGTTACCTCGCTGGGCAGACGTGCCAGAGATTCAAGACGTGGCTGGGACGGACTTTGACCGATGATCTGAAGCTGGGGGTTCACCAAAGTCATGATCCCCAGTCGCCACCATAGTTGGTTCATGTTGGTTCAATACCACCATTTTCAGGAAACCCATATATATATATATAATTATATCATCCCATAAATGAATAGCAATGTATGTTATACATGTATTATGTATCGATGTTGTTTCTATATATATATATATATATATATGGGAGACATATTCCATATTCACATGAGGACCCTTGATTCACCATCAATCCATCCGAAAGGTTTTCCTGGTGTTCATATTATACATATTCATACATATTCATACATACTTATACTTATACTTTAATACATATTATATGTATATATATATATATACACATGAATACACATAATGGTTGTTGGTGTGAAATATGTGTTATTTTCAACCATATTTTTCGGGGTTGAAACCAGTAGTTTGATCATGTTTCCTTGGAGTCCTTGGACGCTCCAAGTTATATCTTGCTGGGTTGGAGCCTGGGTTTCCTTGGGCCGGAGGTCCATAAGATCTTGTCGAAATCCTTCAGTGCTTTGGACTGCAGTTGGAAGATTTGATGTCCGCTTGGATGGCTTGAGATCTTGGAATTAAGACGGACAAATTGGATCAACATGGGAATTTTGACAAAGTGGAAATTAAAGCATCAACCACGGGGATTGCAACGGAATTTCATTGCCATTTGAACGGGGAAACGATGATGAAGAACCATAGGATTTTGGGGTATCCTATTTTCAATCAACCCCCCTATTACAGGCGTAGTCCATTTGACTTCGAGTCAGATGTTGGAACAATGTTGGAACACTTGGAGGGGATATACCCACATCTACCAACCCTTGGAACATTCGGGAGGTAATCTTGACTATGAGTGCGAGTTGACTTTCATACTTTGAATAACCCAGCCAGGATAAAGATCATGATCAGTTGGTAGTGAAAGGGCCCAAAGACCAGATGAGGATGGTGTGCCAAAAAGTCTTGCAAGAATTGACTTCACATAAAACTGCTTATAGATTGGTGGTTTCATGCGTTTCATGTTCTATATATTGTATAATTAATTATATATATATAATTATATACATACATATGTATATATATATATTATACATATATAATTATATATATATATATTATGTTTATGTAATATGTCCATTGTGACATGTGAAACTCTTCCACCTCTTTGAGTCATTGTGTCGCTCGGATCTCAGGGAGCCTGCGATTGGTCGAGAGAGGGCACGACCTGAAGGAAGTCACTGAAGTCATCGCAGATCTGCGCCGGAGGCACAAGAAGGCCAGCAGAACGGGCAATAAAAAGCTACAGAACTGGAAGGTAACCGGAAGATAACCGGAAGGGGAAGCCGGGAAGCCTGAATGATCCTGAATCATCCAACATCACCAGGTAACATGATGTAAAAAAATGAGGGGCAGTGGGGACCTCCCTTGACATCGGTTTTTTACCAGGTGTCATCCACGGTGTCCAGGTGGTGCCTTTGCTGGGTGATGCCATTGCACAACTCAGACATGACGATTTGATCGATGAGAGTTTTGCCAACAAATGGCTTGACACGTTCCTGTGCCTTGGACACCGTTCAGAATACCGAAGATTTTTTGGTGGGGATTTACGGCTGTTTCCTACGGGTATATGGGGCATTTCTTTGGATTTTCCAAGCATCTATTGGGGTAACGCCATGACTTAGGAAGCCACCATATGATTTAAGCTTCCGCAGGAAGGTGATCATGTACCAGCTGTAGGCCACTTTAAACGCTGGTAAATCGACTGGTGCCGTGTAACAGACATCACGCGGTTGGCGCACTTTGAACCCGCTCGGGTTCCTCAAGGATTAATTGCTTTGGTTTGGCTTGGAAACATGGCCATAACAAGGATCTGGGCAGAAAAATCCCGGATGGTTCTGGTTGCAGAATCCTGCCATTTACATCCATTTACGACTGACCTGTGTGATGCTTTTATCGGATGAACAAAGGGACCATGAACCCAACACATTCGGCTCATGAGGTTGGCGAGGATCAGTACAGAGATGCTGACCCTCCATTTCATGGAGATGCAGGACAGCAATGAACGCGCCAAATACCCCCACTCAAAGAGTACCTGGATAAACATGGTTGACGGATGTTGATGGTTTTTGGCTGTTTTTGGATTGAAATAATGTCTTGCCGATGATCCACAGTGACGGTTGACAATCTTTGAAACGACCAAACAGAAATGATCCCAGTCTTTCGGTGTATGCTGGGTACCGGTAGATCATGTGGCGAATGTATGCGAATGTATGGCAATTTTCATCGAGAAACATCATGACACGCTGGAAATCCCCGATTGCGCCAGTTGATTTCTTTGGTAGTGATCTCCAGTTGTGGACCATCACTCTTGGCTCCAGCTGGGTTATCCCTGTTGGCTCCAGGAATGTTATTTGGAACATCGGGGCGGCGACACGTCGGTTTGCACTGGAATCGTGGATCGGAAATGTGATCCAGTGGCCATTTGCCAACTGGCTGTTGACAACGTGAAAGGCCTGGACGTTTTTCGCGACCAGTTGGATGTTGGATCGCCAAAGCTAAAGGGCCCCAAAACAAACCGTTGCCCATGACACACCTCCAAAATCATCCAAAATCTCCGATTTTATGGCCTGTTAGCATGAAAGACACACTGGTTGAGCAGCATTGAGCAGGCCTCAGATGTGACGATGATTTGGGTGAATATGGTGACTTGGTGCAATGTTTCCTGGATTTTCCAAGGGTTTACAAAAGTGAGATTCAACATGACCCCAAGATTCTTCAACATGGAGATGATGTTCCATGATTTTCCCATACAATTTGGCCATTCTTGGAAGAACATGAAAAAACAAATCAGAGCGACAACCCCTGTTGTTTTTTTTAATCCAAGTAGACATTGCAGATTTGGGTGGGGTCACCCCAATGAAATTCGATAAAATGTTCTATTCCTCATCCTCAAAGGTGGGGAAAGTCCAGCATCAGCACCTAAGGTGAGGTCGACTTTATCGTAGAAGACTATCCGTGCACAGCATCTCAAGGATTCTTGGCTGCATTTCCAGCCAGTTGATTTCACAAAGAAAGCAGAAAAAATGGTGACTCTCTTTCTGCTATGACAGATAAGGCGTTTAAGAAATCAACTGGTAATAGCTTCAGAGATAAATAAATTACCCGCCGGTAATCGTGGCAATCGACAAATCATGGCAATTCACAATTTATAAATAGATGAATTGCCCAGCTATAGACCTCCATTTATTGGGGATTTCCTATTGCCATGTTTGATTATCATCGGAAGGTAATTTGTTGTGAAATTGTCTGTTTTCCATCCCATGAACATGGCATGAAAAGATATCAGCTGGACTTCGCCTAAAAATATCACTCTCTGGTTATTTGACAATATTTGAGACAGTTTGGCTTTGCAACATGATCCATTATGTACTGTATGATATTTACCTCTGAAACGAATCACATAGATAGGAACCTGCATTGCCATGGTGGATTACCCAAGGAACATATCTAATATGCCTATTGAATCCTATTGAATCCTGTTGAATATGGAGCATGTTCCATTCCAAAATGTCGTCCCAAACGGGGAGGCAAGATCCAGTTCTCCTTCTTGCCCCGTCGCTTGGCTGAGTGTTTTATGTTCTGGCTTCGTTTCTCCAGTAATCCAGGCTGGAAATAGCACACCATGGAAATGTTTTTTTTTTTGTTTTTTGTTTGTTTTTTTTTCATAATTTTAATTATTTTCTATTTTCCAATGAAGGTCTCTCGACGTCTTAATGCTATAGTAAAGTCGTGTAAACATTGGCGATTTGGGGCTGTTCCGATGCCACATTTGATTCCCAGAGGTGCCATCCTCACAGTCGAAGCGTCGTCGTTGGATCCGTTGATTGGATCATCCATAGGGCCTAGGGCCCTAGGGCACCACTGATTTTCTTAGGCCTGGAAAAACAAGTCCTCGTTTTAAGTGGCTTCTTCCAGACATAAGTGGGTTATAACTATGGTTACTAAACAGTTTCTATGGTTAAGTTACGTTAAGTCCATTTTAAGTCCCCAATTTAGATTCTGAAATCCAGATCTTTCGCCATGTTGCTTAAATCATCTTAATTAAATCCCCATGGATTTTCTGGTGAAAAAAAACGCATCTTTATACATTTGCCGAAGATCTCCAAGTTATGGATTTTATGGTGAAAAATAACTTTTTTTTTGGTGAAAAACGCACATTTGCCGAGGATATTTGCTGCTTTTAACGGAAGAGTTGCTGAAGAACAGCGCCTATGCCACCCTGCTGAATCGCGGCGACGATCCCAGAGGCTTGGATCATTTTCCAGTGACTTGGACATCCAGTGCTGGGGGATGCTGGGGACCCCAGGGGGCCTGGAAGTTGGTGTTTGTCGGAGTAGTAGTGCCCACGGCGACTAGACTCCATGCCTGACAAAGAATCAACCAACACCAACACGTGGCAAGACAGATGAAGAAGAGGCAGTTGACGAGGCAAAAATACGTGAAACTGGGAGCTTGCTCTGAATTCGCTTGGGAACCTTTGGAGGTTGCTTGTAAAAAAATGGAGGTTTACCCTTTGGTAAACTAACATAATCTAACATAGCTATGGAAAATGGCCATAGAAATCGTGGAATGTTCGTGGATTTAGCCATTCAAAATTGTGATGTTCCATAGTTATGTTAGTTTACCAGAGGTTTAATGAAGGTATATAAACTGGATAGATCATAAGATATCCACTATAAATGGAGGTTTCGTTTCAGTTTTGGGAGAATATAGGAAAATCCACTATAAATCGATGTGATGTAAATGTATATATATATATAAAGCAATATAATGGAGGTAAACCAACAATAATGTCTGGGTTTCTGAAAAGTCATGGGGAATCCCCAGTCGTCACCATAGGTTTGAATACTAGCTACATTTTTTCTCCAAACAAAAATTGGATGATTTGGGGGTACCCCCATTTTACGACACCTCCATTGTTATGGGAATCTCATGGGGACTATTTTCTGGTGAGTTTTTGCCACGAAACATGGGGATTGACAAATTTAAAGCATGAGAAATAGTGATTTGGCCATGAAACATGAAATGGGGCGAGTTAACTTAAGTTAACCAGGAAACAGATTGAACCGGATTTAACCATCAACATAGTGCTGTTTTTGTCGCACGCTGCAAGGCTAAGGCTCAGACCATGGTGGCTCTGTTAGGCGGCCATGGTTTACCAACATGGAGATATAACCTGAAAACATAGGATATCTTCTGGTAGTTTAACAGCAATTGCTATGGTTTTTTGATGGTCCATTGATAGATGATGTTTATCTACATTCAGAATGGTGATTTGTTACTATGGTCAACCCCCCAGTCAACAGAAAACACTGAAGATTCGCGGGAAGCAGCTGTTGCACCAGGATTTGATACACTAGTTAATAGCGTCAGTCACCTCCAGTATTACAGTATGACATTTATATAATTTATATACAGTATAGATACATATAGATAACGTTGAGTGCGTATATAGTATATACAGTACTCGTACAATTATCATACGATTTGTCCCGGCTTGTATCATCTCTACTCGTATACTATCAACATAATTTATAACTCTATATATATATATATATATGCACATACTATCTATACAGTATTTAAAATCATTTATCATTCATTTTCTGGTCCATGTGAATATCGAGTTGATGATCCATCAGGTGACGCTCACGGTGGGCTCCAATAATCAACAGGCGGGACCCCAAAACGGGCGGGACGGCGCCGGCCGACGCCGCAGAAATGATGATGGTGGTCATGGTGGTCATGGTGGTTCGCCAATTGGGGCAGGATTAAAAATGATTTAACCATATTTAACCATCAAATATCATCAAATATGATATGTGTATATATGTGTTTGTTGTGATTTTACGCACCAAAACTCCATGGATGACTTGAGTCTATGTCTGAAACCAATCTGTTTATTACTTGAAGTGGGACGATATAGGTAACCTTTGCCCTGCCTCACCTCAAGTGCAGGTGGTGATCAAGATTTCTGATAGAGCCTTGGCGGGTGGAGTGTGGATACTATGCACGCACCGAGTGGGAGGTTTCTTAAAATGGGGGCTCCGCAAAACCACAGGTTTCAATACAAGAATGGTCTAATTTTGGATACTGTTAAGTGTGTTCCTGGCACTGTGATGCTGTTGGAGATAAACCTGTTATACCAATAAACAGTAAGCTAGGCATGCACTGTACAGCATACATTCACGTGCCAGATGTTTACAGCAGGGTTTTGCAGGCAAGCGCTGGACTCCTGCCACATCTCGGGAAGATCACCGATCTGGCCCCGAATAGCTTTATATAACATACAACAAAGGCCTTGCAAAGTTGCGTTCCCCATAGTATGTTCTTGGTCAACTTAGTCAACTTAACACACCCCTCATTTTTGTCGGGTGACCTGCTATGATGACCGCATTGAATGGGCGGCGTAGTTTATGATCTGTTATACTGATTGGTGGTTTGGAACATGTTTTTCCATATATTGGGAATAATAAGCCCAACTGACTTTCATATTTTTCAGAGGGGTAGGTCAACCACCAACCAATATATCATGTTATATCACGATTTGTTTATTATTTAGAGTAAACAGCTCTTCAGCAATTTTGGATGTTCCATATCCATTCTAGTTTACTGCTATGCAAAAAAAGATCAGAGAATCCCCAGGATCTCCACATCAAAACCCGAAAACCTGTCGTAAATTGGTGAACTCCCCTGGGTTTCATGGTAAAACCACGAGTTTTGGATGGTAAAAACCCAGCATTTTGGATGGTGAAACTGCCAGGAGGCGGTGGAATTTCAGAGGTCTCCGCAGAAAAGCTGTGGCTCGGTGGTTATGGTGGACTGGTTGAATAGGCTATTTAATAAGGAAGCATCTACAGAATTTCCCTAGCATTTGTGTCATTTGTTTGATGATATTTGATGATCAATGTTGTTCGTGTTTGATTTGAATCAATGGCTTTTGGTGATGATTTCTGTTGCAATCATTGTTGATCATTGGAATTGAAAGAAACATATGATACGGGTTCATGATCTTGCCCATACTTTGATAGACTTTTGCTGTGGTTGTGGTATCCTTGATCTTATAATTATAGATGTGCGGTCCAGAGATACAGAAGAAACATCTTTGGAAGTTGACGTCTCAGCATCAACTCATTCTGGACAGTGAAGACTGCACACACGTTCCCAGATTCATAATGAGAGTGCGTGTCTCTCAAACATGGGGAAACCATGGGAAACCACTTGGAACCACACATAATTATATAGTTCCTGAAAGGGTTTAGAATATGATGTTCCTAATTATGTTGAAGCAAGCATGTATTTGTTTATTATATAACTTGGGGTTCCATGTTGTTAGTTCTAGGGACACGCATGTTGTTAGTTTCAGGGATAGCCACAAAAACCAAGAAAACCGACGGTTCCATTGTGAGTTTGTCACAGGGCAACCGGTTCAAGCCAGACCCCCATGTTCAGACAAACCCACAATATCATACTATCGATAATAATATATATATATATTAAATATATGTATAATTATATCTGGTTGGTGGTTTCAAGCATGTGTTTCCCACAATATATGGGATAATCCTTCCCATCGACTTTCATATTTTTCAAGATGGTTAAAACCACCAACCAGACATATATATATATATGTAACACATTCTATCCCCACAATTTGGTTGGTTACTTCACCATCATTTTTCATGCTGTAAATCTCCTGATGTTTTGGTGGTTGAATCCACCATATTTTTCCCTAAGCCAGGTGGTCATACTCCTGGTCCCGACGTCTCGGTGGTTTTGTGAAACCCATGAACCAATTGGCATCTTGGGCGCGTGAAACGTCGTGGGGTTCCATAGTCATGGGGAATCTCCGCTGGATGGTTTTTTTTAATGGAAAATCCGAGAAAAAACATGGATGATTTATGTAGGGGTAGCCATTTTAATAGGAAACCTCCATATGAATCAGTAATCATCCCATGTTAGTCAAGTGTTCCATTTTTTTTGGCGGGGGTATCGTTGCATATTCCGTCCCTAAATGATGAATTCTTTTGGGTGATGGTACAGAATCTACGATGTCATAGTTCAAACCTCCCACCATGTGAATGGGATGCCCTGACGGTGGTCAACATGACGGGTATCAGGATGGCTCCCGACCAATGGGTGAAATCAGTTGTTACGGCTGACTGGTACACATGAGGCATGATGATATGGCGCAACATTGGGAACGGATGGATTGGATGAATGAAGATTAGAGCTGAGCAGCCACTTTGTTGGTGACCACCAGTCTCAAGAAAAGATTCGCGCGCACATATGGAGGTTTCGTAAAATGAGGGGTATCCCCAAATCATCCAAGTCATTTAGACTATTTGATCCTAAACCCATGGTAACTTGAGTGTCCTCCATGACTCCATCACTGGACAATACCCAAGGCTTCATTTGACGACCCCTTGGAGGGCTTAAAGCAGCAACGGTTACTTGGCCTCAGTGACTTGCTTTTTGTTATCATATCATATGAAGTCGTATGTTGCAATGATACCATGAGATCATCATGTGTTTTCAAGAAATATCGCAAATTATAGCAACTTATCAGGGCATACCAGCCACATCCAGCCACATTTATCAAGTTCTCCAGTCCCAGGTAGGTCGTCCCGCACCGAGGTTGGGCATGGGACTTCCATTGTGTCGTCTTTACACCAAATATCTTGGTGGATCTTTGCAGCTGATGTCTGTCCCCGGCGCAGGTGGAGACGGTGTGTGATTAGTAGGATAATAATGGAGAATATAATATGAGATGTACAGTATCTATGAATGTCTATGATATATATATATATAATAGATATTATATATATATGTATATTATATGTATAGATAGGAAATATCTCCACCTTTATATTGGTGTTTATAACAGGTTGTGTCCAAGTACTGCTTGACAGTAGCCCTTTGATTTCGGGTCTCGTATTTGCATCGATGAGTTGAGTCTGGCACCATGTCTTTTCGTTGTGAAACGGATGGATGTTGCCCAGTTGTGCACCCGAGGCAGGTGTCATGTCCAACATCTCAGAGTGTCGGTTGCGTTGCAGGCGTTGACACCTACTTGGTGCTTTCCAGAATTGATCCGGAAAGCATTACTCCCACCTGTGAGTCGTTGGTGTGATATCCACAGGCACGTGAAATCTCGTGTCAGAACAAGTGACTGCAGAGTTGTGGGGTAGAATATACCCTCTAGCCACCCCGTTCTCTTCAAGTGGATTGTCTTTGATACATTACTTGTTGTCCTGTCGCAGTTTCTTGATTCCTGCACAAAAGGGCAGTCCTTTGTGCGACCATCACCCTCAGGGAGTGAGAACGCCACCCATTTGACCAGCAGTTTCTGCAATTGTTTGTCCGTGGGCCCCAAGCTTGAATATCTCTGGCCCACGACCCCCACACCTTGAGGGTGCGATTTAATGTCTAGACATTTTTCAAGCCTGAGCTGTTGAAACCTGGTGTTTTGGAGGAAATTTCTTGAGAAACAGGAGAAAAAAAAAAGGCTGCCAGACAACAGCTTTGCACGATCACCGATCCGAGACGTCACCCTGACCGGACGCGCACCATGCGTGAGAACCCTGAGAGCTTAAAGGGAAGCTTCAGAAAAGGCGGCCAGCGAATACATTGGGTTGAAGGATCACTTGATTGTTTTGTAGTGAATGTAGGCCAAGAAAGTGTATGCCTTGGTCACATGCTCTGGTTTCAAACCAGAGCTGAGGACAGGTAATATCCTCAACTGCACTGAGTCTGACATCATCTGACATCCTTGATTTACTTTGTTATTTTGTTGAGTTGATGGGAGATGCATTAATTGTGTGAACAGCCATGGAGTAGATATCATATCCTTTCATGTCGGTCAGTTGCAGATTTGACCCCATTTCTTTTCACCCTTAAAAAAATCCTTTGTCCAAAATTCAATTGAAAAAACAGAGAACATGTTCCATCATTTTATAATACCATTATAAATTATAATCCCATTATAATCCCATTAATTTTAGACTGTTCCTTTTTATGTCCCATTCTAATCCCATTAAATCCACCATTTCATCTGACGCTCCATGTTCCACCAGGACTCCATGTGGATGATCCGGACTTCTCCGGATCGAATCCAGCGCTACTTCGGTGCTGAAGTCGTGACTCGGCGACGAAAAAAAGGTTGGTGATGTGGGTATGGATTAATACCTATTAATACCATTTTTAGGGGAATGAACATCCATTTACCAGCTATTTTGATGTTCACCAGGGGTACAAGGTTTTGACACACTGCCATGTTGGTGGCTGAGGCTGGATGCAGATGAATCATGATAATCATGATGAATCTGAATCTAATTGAATGGGATAGCTGAGTATAGTATACGCAATCCTACTGTTTGTTAATTGTTTGTTATATAAGATGGAACATGATTCTCATTTGGTCTATCCAAGGCTACCTTCTATATGTGATTATCAAAGGAAGTTTAGGGGGAGAAACTTCCGTGTTACGGACTTTTAGAATGTCAGGGAAAGAGTTAGTCAAAGAAACAGTTAGTCAAAGAAACAGTTAGTCAAAGAAAGAGTTAGTCAAAGAAAGAGTTAGTCAAAGAAACAGTTAGTCAGGGAAAGAGTTAGTCAAAGAAAGAGTTAGTCAAAGAAAGAATTAGTCAAAGAAACAGTTAGTCAGGGAAAGAGTTAGTCAAAGAAAGAGTTAGTCAAAGAAAGAGTTAGTCAAAGAAACAGTTAGTCAGGGAAAAAGTTAGTCAAAGAAAGAGTTAGTCAAAGAAACAGTTAGTCAAAGAAAGAGTTAGTCAAAGAAAGAGTTAGTCAAAGAAAGAGTTAGTCAAAGAAACAGTTAGTCAAAGAAACAGTTAGTCAAAGAAAGAGTTCGTCAAAGAAAGAGTTCGTCAAAGAAACAGTTAGTCAAAGAAAGAGTTAGTCAAAGAAAGAGTTAGTCAAAGAAAGAGTTCGTCAAAGAAAGAGTTAGTCAAAGAAAGAGTTAGTCAAAGAAACCGTTAGTCAAAGAAAGAGTTAGTCAAAGAAAGAGTTAGTCAAAGAAAGAAAGAGTTCGTCGAAGAAAGAGTTCGTCGAAGAAACAGGTAGTCAAAGAAACAGTTAGTCAAAGAAACAGTTAGTCAAAGAAAGAGTTAGTCAAAGAAACAGTTAGTCAAAGAAACAGTTAGTCAAAGAAAGAGTTAGTCAAAGAAAGAGTTAGTAAAAGAAAGAGTCAGTCAAAGCAACAGTTAGTCAAAGAAACAGTTAGTTAAAGAAAGAGTTAGTCAAAGAAAGAGTTAGTCAAAGAAACAGTTAGTAAAAGAAAGAGTCAGTCAAAGAAACAGTTAGTCAAAGAAACAGTTAGTCAAAGAAAGAGTTAGTCAAAGAAAGAGTTAGTCAAAGAAACAGTTAGTCAAAGAAAGAGTTAGTCAAAGAAACAGTTAGTCAAAGAAACAGTTAGTCAAAGCAACAGTTAGTCAAAGAAACAGTTAGTTAAAGAAAGAGTTAGTCAAAGAAAGAGTTAGTCAAAGAAACAGTTCGTCAAAGAAAGAGTTAGTCAAAGAAACAGTTAGTCAAAGAAACAGTTAGTCAAAGAAAGAGTTAGTCAAAGAAAGAGTTCGTCAAAGAAACAGTTAGTCAAAGAAAGAGTTAGTAGAAAGAGTTAGCAAAGAAACAGTTAGTCAAAGAAAGAGTGAGTGAAAGAGTTAGTCAAAGAAAGAGTTAGTCAAAGAAAGAGTTAGTCAAAGAAAGAGTTAGTCAAAGAAAGAGTTAGTCAAAGAAACAGTTAGTCAAAGAAAGTTAGTCAAAGAAACAGTTAGTCAAAGAAACAGTTAGTCAAAGAAAGAGTCAGGGAAAGAGTTAGTCAAAGAAAGAGTTAGTGAGGGAAAGAGTTAGTCAGGGCATTGTGATTTGCAACTGTAGGATCGTTCCCGCAATGTAAATGGGATTGCAAGTGGTGCTGGTGGATGAGTTGCCGATGGAGTTTTGGAGGAAGTCTCGCACGAAATGCGTTTTTGAGAGATAGCAGATGCACGAAACCCTATGTTTTCCATACAAAGTGCGTCCCCGAACCTCGATGATCTACCTCTGCGGTGCGACGGGTGCGAGACGGTCTCGTGTGTGGTCGGATCATGCTCGGATCATGTTCGGATCATGGGCGGATCATGGTCGGATCGGTTCCGCATTGTAAATGGGGTGTCAACTGTTTTTCGTGCATGTGTGGTCGACAGAATTCCATTGTGATTTGCAACTGTCGGATCGTTCCCGCATTGTAAATGGGATGCAAGTGGTGCTGGTGGATGAGTTGCTGATGGAATTGCATTGTGATTTGCAACTCTAGGATCGTTCCCTCACTGTAAATGGGATTGCAAGTGGTGCTGGTGGAGGAGTTGCCGATGGAGTTTTGAAGGAAGTCTCGCACGAAATGCGTTTTTGAGAGATAGCAGATGCACGAAACCCTATGTTTTTCCATACAAAGTGTGTCCACGAACCTCGATGATCTACCTCTGCGGTGCGACGGGTGCGAGACGGTCTCGTGTGTGGTCGGATCATGGTCGGATCATGGGCGGATCATGGGCGGATCATGCTCGGATCGGTTCCGCATTGTAAATGGGGTTTCAACTGTTTTTCGTGCATGTGTGGTCGACAGAATTCCATTGTGATTTGCAACTGTAGGATCGTTCCCGCAATGTAAATGGGATTGCAAGTGGTGCTGGTGGATGAGTTGCAGATGGAATTCCATTGTGATTTGCAACTGTAGGATCGTTCCCGCAATGTAAATGGGATTGCAAGTGGTGCTGGTGGATGAGTTGCCGCTGGAATTCCATTGTGATTTGCAACTCTAGGATCGTTCCCTCACTGTAAATGGGATTGCAAGTGGTGCTGGTGGAGGAGTTGCCGATGGAATTCCATTGTGCTTTGCAACTGTAGGATCGTTCCCGCAATGTAAATGGGATTGCAAGTGGTGCTGGTGGATGAGTTGCCGATGGAATTTCATTGTGATTTGCAACTCTAGGATCGTTCCCGCAATGTAAATGGGATTGCAAGTGGTGCTGGTGGATGAGTTGCCGATGGACTTCCATTGTGCTTTGCAACTGTAGGATCGTTCCCGCAGTGTAAATGGCTGCGTCAAGGTTGCTTCTTGCCACGGCTGCATGCGTAATACTATTGTCTTTTGCAGCTGGACTTCGTAAATCGTATTGGAGTGGCTGCATGAAGGCTGCGACAGTGATTTGTCAGCAGATTTTCTCCATTTTGGCGCTAGTAATTTTCCTTTTAAAAATCCTTTTAAAAGTGCTTCAAAATCGTCTTTTTTTCGCTCTGGCGTCGAGATCCGGTTTTGGAGCTGCAATTTCCGACCCAGTTGCGCGTAGTTCTATTGTGTTTTGCAACTCAGTCTCTGCAGATCGCCTTGTAATGGCTGCGTCAAGGTTGCTTCGTGCTGTGGCTGCATGCGTAATACTATTGTTTTTTGCAGCTGGACTTCGTAAATCGTATTGGAGTGGCTGCATGAAGGCTGCGACAGTGATTTGTCAGCAGATTTTCTCCATTTTGGCGCTAGTGATTTTCCTTCTAAAAATCCTTTTAAAAAGTGCTTCAAAATCGTCTTTTTTTCGCTCTGGCGTCGAGATCCGGTTTTGGACCTGCTAATTTCCGATTTCCGACCCAGTTGCGCGTAGTTCTATTGTGTTTTGCAACTCAGTCTCCGCAGATCGCATTGTAATAGCTGCGTCAAGGTTGCTTCATGCTGAGGCTGCATGCGTAATACTATTGTCTTTTGCAGCTGGACTTCGTAAATCGTATTGGAGTGGCTGCATGAAGGCTGCGACAGTGATTTGTCAGCAGATTTCCTCCATTTTGGCGCTAGTAATTTTCCTTTAAAAAATCATTTTAAAAAGTGCTTCAAAATCGTCTTTTTTTCGCTCTGGCGTCGAGATCCGGTTTTGGAGCTACAATTTTCCGACGCCGTTGCACGTAGGTTTAGAGCAGTGAAGTGTGGGGCGTGAAGAGTGCAGTGTGAAGTGTGCAGTGTGAAGGAAGCAGTGGGAAGTGAGAAGTGTGCAGTGTGGAGTGTGAAGTTTAAGTTTGGAGTGTGAAGGAAGCAGTGAGAAGTGACAAGTGTGAAGTGTGGAGTGTGAAGTAATTCCATCGTTCGTGCGGTTGTATGTTGATAACCTCCATAAAATGACCACCGTGACTTTGATTAGTGTGACCATACCTGATGTGACTGTGACTGTGACTATTCTGATCATGACTACTGTGACCATAGATACTATGACAAAGACTACTTTGACAATGACCGTTGTGGCTGTAACTGTAGTGACAATGAGTATTGTAACTGTTTGGACTGGCCCCTTTTTAGGTAATGACAGTGGGAAGTAGAAGTGACGGCATTAGTGTCCCAAGAATAAATGACTAGAAAGTGAAGTGTGGACTGTGAAGTGTGGAGTGTGAAGTTTGGAGTGCAAAGAGTGCAGTGTGAAGTGTGGAGTGTGGAGTGTGAAGTGTGAAGTTTGGAGTGTGAAGGAAGCAGTGAGCAGTAAGAAGTGTGAAGTGTGGACTGTGAAGTGTGAAGTGTGAAATGTGGAATGTGAAGTGCGAAGTGAGTGTGAAGTGTGAAGTTTGGAGTGTGAAGGAAGCAGTGAGCAGTGAGAAGTGTGAAGTGTGGACTGTGAAGTGTGAAGTGTGAAATGTGGAGTGTGAAGTGCGAAGTGAGAAGTGTGAAGTGTGAAGTGTGGAGTGTGAAGTGCAAAGTGAGAAGTGTGAAGTGTGAGGTTTGGAGTGTGAAGTGTGGAGTGTGAAGTGTGGAGTGTGAAGTGCGAAGTGAGAAGTGTGAAGTGTGAAGTTTGGAGTGTGAAGGAAGCAGTGAGAAGTGAGAAGTGTGGACTGTGAAGTGCGAAGTGTGAAGTGTGGAGTGTGAAGTTTGGAGTGTGAAGGAAGCAGTGAGAAGTGAGAAGTGTGAAGTGTGGACTGTGGAGTGTGAAGTTTGGAGTGCGAAGAGTGAAGTGTGAAGTGTGGAGTGTGAAGACTTTGCTTCGTCTCTCGCTGAAAAAAAAACCGCTTGTCGAGGGAAGGACACGCTCGGGACAGGCTGGCCTTGAACTATAGGTCATTTATTCTTGGGAAACTTCCGCCGCCGGCTTGCCCGGGTCTATGTTAACTAATATGCACATATATGAGGCGCAGCGCTGGCAATCTTAGAGACTATACTTACTCTTGAGTTCGAAGGGGATGGGCAATCCTAGCACGGACGGTCACGGACGGTTCTCATTTGTGAGGCCTTGTATTTTGCCTGGCTGAACCACTTCACTCTCTGGCTCTTGGCTCCTGCAGTGGTCGGGTTGCTGTGCTTCCTCCGTATGTGACTTGGTAGTTGTTGGAGGGTCGGTGGTGAGGCGGGTTGCTTCAACGTGATGGGTATGACTCAAAACTCGAGAAGATGGTTTAGTGGGAAAACCCTCCTGAGTTTGGGTAAAGTGCAACTTAGGGGACTTATTGATTATTGGAGAGATACATACACTGTGCACGTGTACCCTTGTATCTTGTAGGACACCCATTTCGAGTAGATAGACTAGCCCCATTTCGATGTGATACCACATGGATCCATAAAGATCCATAAACATCATTCGGGATCCATCGCAGGGTCGAAGTAGCCGATGGGACGACAATTGGTCATGCCATGTCATGTCGTCATAAATCATCCATTTCAGTTCAATGATAAGTTGACAATAAAACATAAATTAATATGAATTATACATTTCTAGTTCCAGTCACAACTTATTATATAATTCATATCAAGTTTTCCATTTACAAGACATTATGGCTGATTTTGAGCCGAACAGCCGTAACTTTTGAAATTGTCATTCCTGCCCCAGGCGCATGTGTGGATTTACCGTTGATGATGATCCGTGACTGGGTTTCGGTATGGGAGAGGGGACGGGATTTGAAGACCAGTGGGCACGTTACCAGCAAAACAATGGGAACTTAATCAATGGAACATGGAGACCCTAGCAAATAATTACTTAATATTTGTTTTGTTTAACAAGGGATGCTATCTGAATGCAAACTTGAATGTGAACAGTAAAAATAGGGACATCACCTCCCTCGCGAGAAAAAGCACGGAGGCTTGCATGACTTGATATAATATATCTGGACTATACTGGAATAAATGAGAAAATAATCAATCAAACAAGAGAAAACTAAAGTGGGGACTTAACTTGTCAGCAAAGAAAGGATTTAGCATGATTTATCCATATCGATTGACGATCATTCTGAGCAAACTAGATGATATCTGGTGGACATGCTGTAAAAACGTTTATATATGATATTATATATTATATTATAATATATATATATATAATAATATAATATGTAATATATATATATAGCAACAACAGAAAGGAATCAAGCAAACAAATTGAAGGCACAAGAAGTTATCATTTTGGATCAGCAGGGCAACGACTTTATCAGGATTCAAGCACATTGGATATCCTCTCTATTTCTCCTAGTTGTAACATTGTACCCCAAGACTTTACCAATCCTAGCTGAAGAGTATCCAGCCAAACCCCAAGCTGGCAGGCATGGCATTTCATCGGTTAAACTGTCTAGGAGGAAGAGGCCCCCAGTTCTTTCTATTTCCAAGTATAGAATGGATAGTATATTATTAAGCCCATTCACGTCGAAAATGATGCGGGTGGAGGATATGACACTGTTTTGTGTAAGATCATCACATATCATCACATGTTTTCATCGTCATCGTCATCATCATCACTCATGTCTTTGGCATCATGATCAATCTGTATTATCTCAATTGTCTAAGGTCAGATATATATATATATATATATATTCACGTATACTCTAAATTGTTGGCCACATCCCTAGTATCCTATGTATGTATGCTGGCTGTTTCCTGATTCTTCACGGTCAAGTTCGTTTTGATTCTTGGCAAATCATGGCTTCCCTACGGAGCTTGCGACCTTGAACATCTGGGTATGAGGCCAAAGTGGACCTTGAACATGAATTGATCATCACAAATGACCGGCCATTTAATACCATGTGTGAGCAATTTTGAGCCATACCCATTCTTCAGGTTGCTTGATGATTATCCTCAATAATTATATGATATATAATATTATATAATATATTGGGGAATATAAGCCACGAATAATCAACCAACTGGGGATACTGTTTTTTTTGTATGTCTTTTTGGACACTGCTCAATTAGTGATTTCTTGACATCCATCATCCCAATTTGGCTACTTAAGGCCCCGATTCAAATCCCAAATAATTATATAGTTTGAACCTCCCACAAATGCTGCTTAAATGATTACTTCACATTAAATCATATTAAGTCCCTATTAAATCCCTATTGAATCCCCATCAAAAATTGCTGAGGTATTTGCCTTTCTATTCCCTCTTCGTGATCTTTTGGGGCGTGGCCTTCCTTCGCAGCTGGGATCGGCATTGCTCCGAAGCGGCGTGGAGATGGAACGTGCATGGCGTGGAGTACAGGCCCAGTTCACCCTACGGATTTCTGGGAAACCCATGGGTTTTCCTAGGAAAACACGAGATATACCTACTTCAATGGGCCACAAAGTTAGTTAACTAGTTAGTATTTGGATGATAAAAAATTGGGATATAGTGGGTTTTTAGACTCACTAATTAAATCTAATTAATCAGTCAACTAATCCCATGGCCCATCTAAGTAGGTGTCAATCCACTGGTAAGGGGAAGTATGTCCATTAGGGATGGATCTGACTGGCAGCTCCTTCGGTGCTCCTCGCGAATTGGCATTCCTTCTCTCGCCAAGACAGGAGAGTTGATCTACGTTCCTCAAAAGAACCCATAGGATCCATGTATGGTATATATGCTAACATTTGGGGTATATTGATGGTAAATGTTACCATATATAGCATACATGGATCCTATGGGGAATGGAACGTTGTTCTACTTCGGCCGCGATGCGAACATCAGGCAGCATGGGATCAACGCACCCGACGAAGAGCAAGATGGGAACGGTCGCATCTCCATCATTCTGTGGTGTCGATGTGCCAGCTTTGCGTCGAAGAAGCTGGAACCCCTAGGTATGTTGACTGATGAGTCGCGGGGAAGTTACAGCATGCACGACAAAGGCAAAGGCAAGGGCAAAGGCGACGGACTTTGTCGGGATTACCAACGGGGTTCCTGCAGCTACGGTGAGAATTGCTGTTTTCTACACCGCTGATTCGCTGGGGAGACTGGGGTGGGATGGCAAGCCTCTGTGGGCCGAGTTCTTGCAAACGATCAATCACCCATTTCCATTTCCATCGCAGATCATAGGTGGTTTATTTGACATTACCCATTACCCATAGGATCCATGTATGCTATATATGGTAACATGGATCCCATCAATATACCCCCAATGTTAGCATATATACCAGCACCATGGATCCTATGGGTTAGAGGCTGACAGACTTCGCAGATCATGGGTTTTTTGAATATCCAAGAAACGCCTTGGCCTTGATTGGTTGTGTGAAACATGACAATCAGCTGAGCGTAAAATATAGTATATAAACTATATATTATTTGAAATTATTATATGGAAAACACATGAAAACAATGTTTTTAGGGCTTCGGTGTTACAGTACTCCATCGTTTTGAGTTCACACATGAACTTTTCTTGATTTGTCTTGTATCTTTCATGTATACTTATAGCTGCAAGATCATGAGATTAGACACCATTCATTCCGAGTTTATTTTAACAGCGACCGGACCGGCTGACTCCACCATAAATCATGGTGAGTCATGGGTATATCGGTTTATTTCTGATGTGAGAACTATCATTCAAAACTAGTCAAACTAGTGTGCAAAAAGTATAAGCGTAGAAACCCGGTCAAATAATGGCAATTTCCACCTGTTCCATATCTTTTGGGGTTTACTATCATTTTCCCCAGTGGCCCATGTCAGCTCAGCAGGCCAGATGAGCACCGTTCAGAGTTTGTGGGGGAGCTTCGTACCAGTCGAGTCACAGGATTGCCAGAGAGGCGGGGTACCAAGATGGCAGGACTTCCTAGTGATCTGTTTTTTTTCTCATTAGAAGAATACCTAGAACCTTGAACAGGGCACTTTTAGCAGAAAGTAGCCTTTACCCGTACTACGGCGTAAATTGTTTGGCTACGGCATTTCTCTGTTATTCCAACGGCATTTTTGGAATTCAACTTGGAATGCATTAGTTGGGGTCTGACATCACATTGGCCAAAGATTTTGGCTCATTTCTCCACGTCCATCATTTTGGTCAAGCGTAATTCAAGTCAATTATTAAAGTGGTTTGGTCAAACCGGTGACAGCCTGCTGCAAAAGGTTGTTAGCAGTCCATGATGCTTTCCACTAAGAATTCAAAAAGTACTTTTCAAAAAAAGTACGTACATGCCAAAAAACACGTTGGCGTAATTACTTACGGCGTAAATCCCCGTACTCTGTTTTACATGGGCTTTGAATGTCTTGAAATCAAACTCTTGAAGGGTCTTGGCTAAAGGTTTGGGATTAACACTTTTTTACTCTCCCATGCATCATGGGCATCACTGGCTATGAAATGGTGGCCACTGAAGTTTGGGCCCACAAACATATCAACCATTCAAACAAAATTCAACGGGATGCAACACATAGATTGGAAAATCATGGTTCACTCTCAATCTGATTGACGGCATTTTTGCTGAGCCACGGACCACGGCGTTTATTTTTTATGACGGCATTTTCCAGAGGTGACGGCCGAAATTTTAGCCACAATTGGAAACGGCACTTATTTCAGCCACAAGGTGGATCTAGGTATGAATCTTGATGGATAATAACCATGGAGATCGTGAGGATATTGAGTTGGAATATGGGATTTAGCCAACAGATATCATGGTCCAACTTGCGAGAGATACATGATGGCCACGTTTGCGGTGTTGGGAGCAACCCTGGTAATTGGGACGATTATTTCATGGGGATGGGTCAAGACCTGTAGAGTTTCCATAAATGTAGGGATGAACATCGATAAGTACAATTACCACATATTTTGCTGTGAGGCCTGTACCAGGGTTTTCAACCACCCATGCCTACGGGCCTACGTTATTCTTGTTATCTAATTCCTGTGGTGATGAGAAATGAGGCACTATGGATGATCGGTGATGGCCCTGTGCAGGTATTATCCTGAGAGCAAACGCCTGTCTGCATATGTCCTTTCCGTATCTCGGATCAAGATCGAAATCCCAGGGGGCCATTGCTACAGACAGGAACTCTTGGGTTTGTTTCCTGTCTTTGGCTGCACAAAACAGTCTTTTGTCCACTTGGAGATTCCAGCTAAGGCTAGGCAGCAGTGTTTCAGAGTGTTTCTGCTGGCCCATTAAATTTTCGGAAATGAATATGTTTTGAAGCTTTCTCCTCACATGAGTTGAAAGCCCTCTGATTGCGCATGGAATGTGACACATAAGGTTGGATAGTTGGAAAAAAAAACTAAATCAAGTTCGGGGGTGCATCTCCAAATCCTGCATTTATTTGATCGCCTATCCACAGGAACATTAACATGAGTGAGTTTTGGGGTCAATTTTTTCAGAATGAACCATATCGACCATATCAACAACATGAAATCCACAAGTACTGGCTGCTTCTGCCATTTTGGTTGCTTGCATCCTTGTTGAGCCATTTCCCAAAGTCCTGTTGTTGGCATTTGGGGGTCCAGCCACAGGTCCTAGTCACTGCGGTCATGCTTGGGATGCTTGGCTTCGCAGGGCACCAGCCTTTCCTTGGGACCTGCAATGGGTCGGACCTTGATCCTACCTGATCCTACCTGATCCTACCTGATCCTACCTGAGTAAATGCAGCACTAGCACTGGGCCTAACCTAGAAATAGAGGTCTGAAATTTCATAGGTCACAACTGGGTTCCAGTTTGAGGTTACGACACGTTGCTTTCCCCATGACTCTTTGACGATCGATGTCGCGGCGCAAAACGAGGATCTCGTTTTGCGTCATGATTTGCTCGTTGAACCTCCAGGGATACATGGAAGAGTCGGTCACCTCCTTTGAACAGGTAGGGAATGATGGGGATCGATGACGGCAGCAAAATTATACCCTCTGATAATCAAACATGGCTAGTAAGTTAGCTGGAAAATCCACCCTTTCAAGAGGATTTCCCCCATGAAACACGCATTTATAGACAATTTTCAATTGCCATGTTTGATGATGCCAGAGGGTAAGCATGGGTGCATAACCTTCACAGTCAGGGAAATCATTCGCGGCGTGTTATTCGCCTGAAACCACAACTCGCTTCTCTCGTTGGTGGCTTCATTCTTTTCATGTTCCCCCCTTTACTTGAGAAGATGGTCCAGATGAATTTCTGGTTGGTGGTTTTGAATTACTGGAACATTTTACTGGGATGATAGTTAATGATGGTTAATGTGGGAAACACAATAATAGTAATATTAAGCCACTATAAACAAATCCTGGTTGGTGGTTTGGAACCATTTTTATGACTTTCCATTCAGCTGGGAATGTCATAATCCCAACTGACGAACTCCATCATTTTTCAGAGCGGTAGGTCAACCACCAACCAGATTCATTAGTTCTGATTTGTGAATTAAAGAATATTAAGATGTTTAAACCACTGAACATTAATATTAAGATGTTCATTAAACCACTAAGAAAAAACATGTCAGTGGTTTAACAGGCACCAACCACTTCTCCAAGATGTTCCAACCACTCATCACCATGATGTCCTGGGATGCACATGCGCAGCCAAGATTTCGCCGACCGCTCGCCTGTGAATGAACGATGTTTCAACCAACAATGCATCAATGGGATCCATTATTAAAGGATTATGAAAAATGGGATTATGAAAAATGGGATTATGAATGGGATTAATCATGGATTATGAAAATTATTCATGGATTCTTGGATTATTGGATTATTAATAAACCAATGGATTATTGGATTATTAATAAACCATTGGATTATTGGATTATTGGATTATGAACGGGATCCATAAACCACCCACCATGGGCTCCACCTTTCCAGGTCTTCTACATCGCTCCTCTCGCTCGACTGGCGGATCGTGGGGCCCTCTTCGACCCAAATCAGACGGCTGCTGGGCGCGAAGCCCCGCGTTTCGCGTTGAAACGGAGTCTGGATGAATCTCTGTAGATATGGTACTTGATAGGGAAAATGAGACTTAAATCATGTTAAATATGATGATGGACTGAGAATCCAACCAACAGATCAACAGTAGCTTGTTGTTATTGATCTGCAAATGACTTTCTCATAAATGATGTTGATTGTGATATTGGAATTTAGAGAAGGTTTAAATGTGTTTAAAGATGGTTCAACAAACTGCTTCACGTGTTTGCATTATTTGCTCAAGACTCAAGCCTGATTTAGGCGGAAACAATCCAGGTGTTCAGGTCTGTGCTTCGAATCTCGTGGATTGTTCACTCTCCCAAAGCCTGATCCATGGTACTCGTAAATCTTGGTTGGGTAGTTTCAACAACCGGGTTATGCTTGCCATTTTAATAGCGTGCATGTCATATCCAGTTCAGATTTTCAGATTGTGTATTTATTGGAAGGGATCCATGGTACTCGTGAGCCAGCTCAAAGGAAGACTCAAAATTGAAAACTGGTTTATTAATAAACCAATGGATTATTGGATTATTGGATTATTGGATTATTGGATTAAGAAACCAGTGATTGAGCTATTCTCCAACTCTTCTGACTGGGACAATAGCGGACAGGAATGTTTTGGATCTTGGTGATGACAGCACAAGCCGAAATGCCCAGATGCCACAGCCAGACACGGGGTGAACATTCTGCAATGCGGGAAGGCATGTACCTGTTTGGAAAATTGATCAGCAATTGAACAGCCACAGAACTGATGAAGTCTGTATAAATCTGTACTGAGGAGTACTTTGGCTTGATTGCCTTTGGCCCCGTGGCATTGCATGTTTTGGTGCCTCGTTCAGATTTTTTTTGCTTTTGAAAATTGCACTTCTCACTTCAAAATAGTTCAAGGACTGAGATGATATTAACATTCCCCAACGTGAAGGAGGGATGCTTCAGTCTTTTTCCAGAGCTGTGCCTCTGATTTCTCTGGATGGAGAATATTTAAGTTTACCACAGAAAAACAGTAAAAAAACAGGAGTGCACTACTCTTGTGTGAGGCAATCATGAACCTCAACAAGTTTTATGGCTTCGTGGCAGAATGGCTCACCAACAATGAGAACCACGAGTTTGGGGGCCAAGTGGGGCGGCCAGTTGAGGGTCAGGAGATTTCAATCACAAGAGGCTGTGATGTTGCACATCAAAAAAATACCTGCCCCCAATAGTAAACACTCCTCTAAAAAACCTGGTTCAGTGGATTTCAGTGGTCAATTTATTCATTTCAGATCCCTCACTGGGGCTGTAGTGGGATGGGAGACCAAGCCTCACATGATTCCGCGATGTCAAGAAAGGATCAACTGGTTTTGTGTTTACACAAGATACGATGTATATTGTTTGACTGTATAATATTATCAATAATAATTATTATGTATGGATTATTATTATATGATATGTTGATTATTGTTGTTATTAGTTATTATTGTTATTGGTATACTTAAAGTTACTATTATGTTTGTATTATGTTCATTATTATTACTTATTAATCTTGCTCTTACTCTTACTATTACTATTACTATTACTATCAATATACGATATAATATTATCTTATTGTGTATTTTATTTTATTATGATATATTATTATATTATATTATGCTATGTTCTATTATACTATACTATAATAGGTATTTTATTATTCGTTATGTCTTTTGTATTATCTCATATATATATATATATACATTGGATTATATGTTATATGTGATATATTGTATATTATATATCAAATTTGATTTTGTAAATATTATATTATATATAATATATATAATATTATATACAGTAATATATATATATATATATATATTGCATTGGATATTATTTTGTCATCATATATTATTTATTACACATTGTATACTATATTCTATATATTGTATATTATACATTTTATATCATATATTATATATTTTATATTATATTTTGTATATTACACTTATTATAAATTATATATATATATATATTATTTATATACTATATATATATATTACTTATATTATATATTTATATTTCATATATTATGTTTATATATTCTATATTATATGTCTTATATTATAATATATATATATATGTACTACATTATGATATATCATATCATGATATCTCAGATTACTGTATATTATAGTATGTTATATGATTTTATTATGTTATATTGCATTTTACTATTATATATGTAAATATTGTATTATATTTTAAGTATACATTATATTATATCATGTAAACATGTATGTATATGTATATACATATTTACAGACATACATGTACATATACATGCAAAATCGACATGTATATAATTACATGTGATGTACTCTCTGATACTTTCCATGACGGGGCGATGCCCTTTTAAGGCGCTTGGAACATCATCGGAGCTCTTTGATGGCCAAGAGGCGGGCCCTACGATGATCTCTAAGAACTCGGATGCAGCACTGAGGCACGTTTCACAACCACTGGGCAAAACACTGGGAATTCATGTGTCAAAAATATTCACTTGCTTAAATGAAGTTTCTAATTCAGCACCACTTCGTTAAGAATGTTCACTAAATGATCACTGACTCCCTCTTGTGTTGAAAGATTTGCCAGAAATTCCAGACATGCGCATCCGGTTTGACTGCGGCAGATTTCTCTTTGAAGCCTTCGACTGCTACATTTCTCTATTCTACGTGGGCTTCGTTCAGCAGGCCTCGGTTTTTTGGGGGTCGAGGCCAATCTGTGGCCTTTTGGCCAACTATGAACAGGTCTGGAGTGCACATGCAAAAAAAAGAACTATATTCAAGTACATCGATTTTTTTGGCAACACAAAGCTCGTACCCTCTGGTAAACAAACATAGCGAACTGGAAAATCACCATTTTTGCATGGGTAAATCCACTACTTCTATGGGCCATCTATACCATAGATATGTTTTTTTCCCCGCTGAATGGTACGACCACCGGGACCACGGCGTCGCTCTGAGGACATCCGAAAGTTGCCCCACGAATTGCTCTGTCTCTATGGAGTGGACAGCCTGCGGCGAGTTTCTTGGGGCTGGGGATGGGCAGAGTCACATCGGGATCCACACTGAAAACTGGGGAACGCGATGAAATGGTACTTTTGATGGGGACAATATGATGATAATCTATTGAAATTGGATGTTCATCTATTTTCAGACAAACGCACATAGAGAAACACTTTGGAAAACCCAAACTGGCAAGCCTAATCGACTCAGTCCGTTATTGTCTACATCTGCGAAGAGAAGACTGGACAAGTCAACTCTAAAAATCCACTGCTCACATCCATTTCCATTCACTAAAATCCATGCTTGGTATGTGTTCATCAACATCTGGGTGACAAGTGTGGGCAACAGTGGGCAACGCTATGTAATTACAGTAATATTATATATATATTATGTATCATTATATAAATCAATTATAATCAATTATCTACATCAACCTATATAAATCATTACAAATCTATACAAATCCACATATATACCATATTTGGATGGATATTTTAGGAAGTCCACCAAGTTCCAGAGGGCGATAGAAACGTCCCGGAGGTCTTTATGGAAAGCATCCTACCCTTGGTGGAGACCTCAACATTTCACAGCTCGTACAAAGGCTCAGTTTGTATATTTGGGTCATTGATCAGACAATCATTTTAGTTTATATGTTTGCTGTTTCTTCCATGAGTAGAAGCACATGAACATGTTGTTGGTTGGAAACACATGTCACTGTATAGAAAATGCCACTATAATAGGTAACGTGTTGCAAGATCTTGACACTACCTGCAGTTGCAAAAGGTCCTTGAGCAAATCAGCAAGCGGAAGGCCTTGTCGAAGGCAGATCTGCATGAATTGGTGATGTCAGCTATGGGAATGAACCAAGCAACAATCAAACTTTGACCAACATTCACCAACTATAATGTGGATATGTCATGAGGGATATTTAAGAGATATGTCCTGGAAGAACCCATGGTGATCTTCACCAATGTTCAACCCATAGAAATGGGATGATCATGCACAGCTGACTTGGTGCTTGGCTACAGAGATCATCCTTCCATGATGATCCAAGAATCATGAATGTTCGAGTACATGTAATTCTCATTATTCGCATTATTTATATATCTATGTATATTATAAGTATATGTATAATTGTGGTTTTAATTATACATATATGATTGTATGAAATTATATAAATACATATACCTACATATGTATGAGTGTGTATATATATATATTTGAAATTATATGTATATACCCTTATCAGATAATTAGATAGTAATATATGAATTCCAACTGTTGTACATAATATATGTGTATAATATAATCATATATTTTAATACGTAGTATAATGTTTATGTTTATTGGATATTATATACACATATGTATCTAATTATAGTGTATATATATATAAGCATACGCAGTTGCTTCTTCGCCAAAAAAAAAGGAACACAACAAACAAAACACATATTTGATTCATTACTTGGTCTGTCCTAATGTCTATCCAGTTTCATCTCCATTCTCCCAGTTCATTGCATGGCAGGCTGCAGAACTCAAAAGGCCCGAAGGGCGCGGGGTTTTTACCGGGTCGACTGGTGGGAACTCCATAGCCCTTCCAAGGCACGTAGGTACCATGGTCAAGACAGATGGTTTAGTGACACAGAATTGGATGATGGGAAAAATTACAGGAAAACCCTATATTTGATGGTAAAAACCATGGTTTCCTGTAATTTTTCCCTTAAACCAATCCATTGAATTAGTGAGTGATGTTGATTGTATCCCCCATAAAGCGGTTACCCTCTGGAAATGGTGATAAATGTGGCTGGAAAACCTCCCACCATTGAATCCTAATGGTGATGAAAGGTGAAAATTCAAGGGTGGTTTTTCTGCCACGTTTCCTGGAGGGTGATAAGGAAACCCCAAGGGTTACAGTACCCTCCGGTAATTTATTACATAGCTATGGAAAATGATCATAGAAATAGTGGATTTTCCCATGACAAATGGTGATTTCCCATAGTTATGGTGATGTTTACCAGAGGGTAATATAGCCATTCTGTTTGCAATCCCTTACCCTGCTGGGAGAATCTTTCGATAGGGGTTTAACCCCACGAAACTGATCGACATGCACCCCGTGTTCAGACACACCCATATTCTTGTAACCCATTCAAAGGCCATTCGGTAATTCTTTGAAGTCAGTTGTGTAACAGAATTGTCGAATTATGGAGGGATTCACACTGAAGAAATCTGAAGAACGTCCGGTGCTTTGCTGATGGTTGTCACCTTTTCCAAACCACCAAAAAACACTAAATTTCCAGCACTTCGACTGCAAGCTTATGCTCACCTAGCCCTTCCCTGCCCGCAGCCATAGATTTTCACACGACCTAACGACGTCCATCCGATCCATAGCTTGTCACGGCACACATGTTTTGCCTGGCGGCCGTGCTTCTACTGGTACCTAGCCTGGCGGAAGTTGCCACATGTGATGCCGATGGCAGCTGCGATGTCAAGAGAACGAAACGGGATAGCGGCGTGGTGCTGTTGCAGGGGGTGAAGAAGCACGGCAAGACTCAAGGTTGGGAAGATGAAATGACAACTGACGATGAAGGGATTTTGTGATACATAAGGGTTCTAAAGTCTGAACATGCTTATAATGAAATTGGGGTATCATTTAGCTGCTGTCAGCTCTTTTGGAGTCTTGCTGTAAGGGAATGCCAGTACTAGCGGCATCCATGCTATAGCTGCTATCCACTCAATCTTGAAAGCATCCTGAAACTATTGATCTGGAAGTTCTCTAGATTTCAACAACTCAAAAAAAAAACAATCAAATTTCAACACCCAAAAAGTCCCAGTGCCCCTGAAATCCTGCCTCTCAAATTCGCCAAAACAGTCAAGAAGTTGGACCAGGATGGGACAGATTGTATGTCAAAATTACATAAATATATATATATATATCAACATTGTTTACTCCTCAAATTCCTCAGTTTTGTGAGTCCAAATCAGTACGCGCACCAGAACAACGGCTCTCCCCGTGAGGTGGAGAACTTCAGCTGGACGAGCAATGCGCCGCAGAGGGCGAAGATCCGTATGACCCGCAGTACTCCTCCGCCGCAAAGTTTCCGCGCGACTGCTGTGCGGGGACCAGGCGCTGTGGGCCCTTCTACCAGGCCGGAGAACAACTTAAATTTCACCTGGTGAAATTTTAGGAGTCTAAAGATTGACTGAAAAAAGACCTGGTGAATGGTTGGTGAAATGAAACTTGTTCTTAAACCTGGAGAACATTAACCATTCCAGTGTTGGTTAACCCATTCACTGAAAAATTAACCATTTCACCAGTTTACTGCAGTCTCAAATCCAAGTTGGACATGCAGACAGTCAGGAGAAGGTAGATCAACGATTCTAAGGTGCCAACTCTGAAGAGATGCTGCTGCCCCCGATATACATATATATATATATACACATGATATTATATATATATATATATATATCCATAATACAGTTTGCATATATATATATATAAATAAATATGTTAGTATAGTTAGTATAGTGTTATATACCATGTTTAAACAGCTATTTGAACTTTCATACATCCATGTTTCGCACCACAACATGGCACATCTTGTCCTCTGGCGCAGGCGAGCTGGGGTGGCTGGTCCTACGAGTGCCGTGCGGATTGCAGCCGTCGAACGGAGCCGGACGACTGTGGCTGTGTACCACCCAAAGGCACCACGGTGTGCAGTGCGGAGGATGGAGGGTTGTTTGGGATGTTTCCTCTTGGTCCAATTTGCATGCTAGTTTTCATGATAAGCCTGGTGACCGCAAGTGTTTTTCTTGACTATTCCACAATATCCCATACATTGATTCGGGAAGCCAATCATGCGACATCATGGTGAAGAAGCAGTTATCCTCATCAGCAGATGGTTACATCATCTTATTATATCACCCATGTTTCCTCCTTGAAACTGCTGTCGGTTGTCAAGCACCTACTCACTGCAACGAACTTCATGATTTGTCAACGCCACATTTTCTGGATGTGGAAGGGATGCCACACAGATTGGGCCCTAGTGATGGGAAGAACCCCAAATCAAGGCTTTGCGAGTGCGGTTGATGCCTGTCAAGCGCCCAGCAAAACTTATAAAAAACCGTTGAACATGTTGTTTTATCCCAAAGCAAATGGTTGTAAGACTTGTCATGTTTGACTCAAACCATTGGTTCTTTTGAGCATCATTGCCAGCTTCGGGGAGCATCAGTGTAGCGACTTGTTACAAATCACAGGAACCCCACTATGGTGGGCTTCATACTTGGACATCGTCACACCATCACAGTGTATGATGTTGCCGGCAAACGTACGTGTGCACCCATCATATACCCAACAGTTTCCTCATCATTTACCCTGCAGTTTCCTCATCATTTACCCTGCAGTTTCCTCATCATTTACCCAACTTTTACCCAACATTCAACCAACATTTATCCACATTTTACCCATCCATTTTACCCACCATTTACCCATCATTTGACGCCAAGAATCCACATGTTGCCGCCATTTTCACCACGAAGGCTGGTCCAGCACGAGACAACGATGTTCGGGCTCCTCGAGCACCTCCGACCAGGAGGCTCAGGAGATTCCGCACACGCGGAGGCTTCAAAAATGCTCGGTCGTAGAGATGACAAATCTGCATTGGTTTGCATGTCACATAATATATATATAATATATATATATATAATTTATATATATATATATTATATATAATATATATATAAATAATTATTATTTTAGATATGCATTTAAAAATCATACTTAGCATCATTGATTTTTTAGTACCCGAGAAAAATAACAGAGCTATGGACAACGGTCCATTGATAAGATGATTTACCTATATATATATATATATGTGTAATATTTTATGTTTATGTCCATGGTGATTTTTCCATACCTCAATTTCATTACCAGAATGCGTGCCATTATGTTAAGTTCTATTTCTATTAGTATTCCATTTCACCACGACTCTTCACGGTAAAATCCCTGTTTTTGATGCTTAAGTCACCGTTGATCGAGAAAAAAAATCCATTTAGTCCGATGATGTTCCAGTTCGCTGCAGATGTAAATCCAGATTTTCCCTTTGTGTCATTTACTGTATCTATATTTATCTGGGAAATGAACCTCCATAACTTAATCAGCTATAATATACCCTCTGGTAAATTAACATAGGCCCTGAAAATCACCAATTTTTAGAGGAAACTAATCTTCCAACCCCTATCTACCAGGGTCTATGTTAATTTACTAGAGGGTAAACCTCCATTTATGTGGGAGTTCTGGAAACATTGCTGAACATGGCGGCCAGGAGTGTCGTGACCGTACCTCCACCACGGGGGTCACAGAGAGCACCACTTCAACAGAGAGCACCACCACCACTTCAACAGAGAGCACCACCACGGGGCCCACCACGTCGTTCACAGGTGGATGTGGCAACGGATGGAAAAGGTCATGTTGAAACGATGAAAATCCATGGATGGTGGGTAAAATCATGGGCAGGTGGATGGAAATATATGGAAATATATGGAAATTCATGGTTTTACAAGATGTTAATAGGTGTTATCTTGTCAGAACGATGATTTGACCAAAACAGAGATGAAGATTTGACCATCAACAAAATGGGATTTGACCAACAAAAATGAGGAAGACATGGGTTTGCGCGATGTGGTGCAGTGGATAAGGGGTATAAAGCATCCGTGGGTATATGAGTCAAATTTGGTCATGTCAAATTCATAAACTAGTTGATCCATACCCAATTATATTATATATATATATATACGTATATACGATGTATAGTTGAGAAAAAGCCTACTCAAAATGATGGTTTGTTCAAATTAACAATATTCAGCAATATGCACCATTCATTGAGGTTTCTTCAAATTTGGAGACCCCATAGCAATATTCAATGGATGAACGATTTTGGTGGTTCTGACCAATAATGACCATGATTCTACCAGGAGTTGTGGCCCCTTTTCAGGAGGTACTGGTCCTACTCCGACTCATTTGAACATCATGTGTCTGGGCTGAAGCAGGAAACATATGGCAGTGTGTCAAAACCTTGTACCCCTGGAGAACATCAAAATGGAAATGGCTGGTAAATGGATGTTCATCCCCCTAGAAATGGTATTAATGGGTATTGATCCATACCCATATTATGGGACGGTATGTGGAAGTATTTCTGGACTTGGCTTTTTCGATGCCCAAAAACCAGGGCATAGTCTGACTGTCAGTGGGAACTCGCCCTGGGAGGAAAGCACAGACCACGGGTGGACGATGGGTGACTGTAAGTGGCAGGAGGATGGAGCCGGCATCATGACTCCACTGCTATAGAGTTATTCAATATATATATATATTTATATTTATATTTATATTTATTTATACAAATCACTGTTCAATATATATATATATTTATATATATACATTAATTAGATTCAGATTGATATTAGATCAACAATGAGAAAACCGATACATAATAGACCAACAAGAACACAAATCCCAATAAGAACGGTCATTATAAATGAGAAGAGTAGTAATACATTCCACTGTGACATGTGCAAAAATCACTTGGTACAATACAATTGCTTCAATTGATGTATACATATGTCGACATATGTCAACATATGTCAAATGTGCAGAATGGGTTGTGATTCTACATCATCTACAATATATATATATAATTATATATATATAATTATATATATATATGCACATGTAGATAGTGGTTGTCTTCACATATCTACCGGGTACCATGGCGACAGTGGATCCAACAGGTCTTGGAACGTCTTCTTCGGGAACAGTCGCTTCAATGCCATGAGCGACGCTTGATCCATGGAACGCCAGGGGCGGAGGCGGATGGCGGCCAGGCCATCGGAAATCTACTTTAATGACCCAATGTAGTAGGGAACATGACTGGTTGGTGGTTTAGAACATGGCTTTTAAAAATTTTCCATTATTTCCCCAAGAGTTGGGATGATGATCCAATCTGACTCATTTTTTCGGAGGGGTAGCTACACCACCAACCAGAGATGGTTTTTTGAGTTGGGGGTATACCCGATGTTCAGAGAAAATGCATTTTTTTAGAACGAACAGAAGCGAAGACAACCTGACGAAAATGTCCAGGCTCCACCTGGCCCAGGACATGTTGAAGGGGCACGAGATCGACATCGCCAACCTTCAGGAAACCAACAACAAGTTGAACGACATCGCAGAGGCCTCCGGCTACACCTCCATCAACACTTGGAGACAAAAACATGATTCCTGGCGTTTGAGGCGAAATTTCTGGAAGTTTCCCTACTGCTGAAATGATCCACAAGAAATCCAGAAATGATGAGAGTCCTCTGAGATGATATAGGCAGAACATTTTCCCAGCAAAGCCAAGGATTGGTGTGGATATAACTTTCACAACTCGGACTGGGGTCTGGAACTCAGGAAGACATACTTGGAGATAGTTGGTTTGTGTCGTTTTTGGCAGGGCAACAGGCAACATATCGTTTCCTGGAAGTTGAACTTCGAAATAAGGCATATATATAATATATATATATATGATATGTACATATATATATATATATATATTGTCCAGTTAAACTTAATCACACTTCTTCCAGAGTCCCTTTAGGTGTCAATTCAGATCCACATTTACAATCATTCACATGTTCACTTTTCACCATTCCTTTCTTCTTGGGTCCCTTGAGATATAGTATCAATAGATTCACCTCCACATCGTCCATTTCACCCTGGCACAGCTAAATCCCCCATTTCTTCATGTTTTTCTGACTACTTTCCCAATGTTTTTGCTGCTCATGTCATGTCGGTTGGTGACCCCCCCCCATTTTTGTCATGAATCCATCTGTCCTTAAAGTCCTCCGGTGGTCCAATATATTAAACATATATAATTATATGTTTATAAAAACCATCGTTTTTTTCCAGAACCCCCTTGAGTTTTGAAGCTCCACCTTGAACAAAACGCCCTGCTTCATCCTGATATTTATTCAGGTCATGCGTGGTCCAAAGAGCTGACAGTTCCTGGGAACCGCGGGGTTTGCGGCGCCATGATCTTCAAGGGCAACGCCAAGTTGTGCGTCTGGGGCCTGCACCCCATCCAGCAGGGCAACAACGTCGGCCAGCTTTGTTTCAAGGGAGGGAGGAGATGGGATAGGCCGGATAGGCACTTAAAGATGGATTTAACCAACCTAGGATAGCGATTTAGATAGCTGAAATAGGGATTGAACCAGCTCAAGTAGGGATGGAACCGGCTGACATAAGGATTCATATGGATTCCACATGATTTGGATTGAACCGGTGACTAATCCGATTCGATAATGGATACCCCAAAAAAGATAGAAAAGCCCATCAATAATGGGATTTGACTCTTCTTGTGAGGGCTTTTGATACCTCACTTTAGGGTATACAATCAAAAAAGATGGAAAACATAACAATGATAAACTAGTGGACTCACGGAAATAGTATCCATATTCGGACAAAACATGAGGCTATTGTCGATTACCAGATCATCTTGACAGAAGCAACACAGATTGGGAACTTTACACAATTTCAACATATATATATAATATATCATATCATTTCATGTCATATCATATCATGGATTTTTGCATATCTATGTTATACTTTACCTCAGAGTCAGAGTATCATTCTGTTCATCGTTGGTCAAATCACTGAATCCCCAGTGGACGCGGAAAAAAAAAACCGATCTGCGATCTGGTTGAGTCAGGTCAAATCCAATAAATTTAGCTTCTCAATCTATTTCAAATGTCCATGATGTCCATCAAATGTCAATCAAATGTCAATCAAATGTCCATCAATTTCTAGAACTGTCCACACATCCACACATCAACTGCCTCTCAAAACATCCCCACGAGCGATTCTTTCACGCGAGGGTCTCGAAAAAAACGCTTCGCTCGAGGTGAAATTTGCCAAGGAGTCGGTGCGCATTGCGGCGGAGGAAATGAAGGTCTGCTCGGAGACCTACAATGCTCCATCGAAACTCTGGTGGATATGGCAGTTGGGTGGACTTATATTATATATATAGCCTATCCATTGGATGAATGTGGATTATATATGGCTTAATATGGTTTATTTGGTGAAGATAAGATCAATTAGCCATGATTAATAGCATATAATAGCCATTAATTGATAACCATAAGATTCATCTTTTGCCATGATGTAGTGGATTACATATTTTTCACCTGAACCATTCAAAATTCCATTGGGGATAGTGGTCATATGGGGATAGTAGTGAGATATTTTTCTGGAAAATCCATGATGATGTCAATGGAACGGATGGAGATACTCAAAAGAATGTGGTAAACTTAATGTGGTAAATGGGTAGGTTTATTATGGGGTTTACCACATTATTATTGTCAATTAATTGTTAAGGCATTCGAGCATATTTATTGGGGATTGTCATGCATAGCCCATTCTGACTATTAAACAACCGTGGGATGTGATACTTTTTTATGTGGTCCATTGAATTATAGCGACCCTGATTAAACAACCGTGCGGAAAACAACCCCATGTAACCAAAGCAGCCATCGATCCATGTGCCCAGCGGGTCACATTAATCCAAAATAATTTTCATAAATCAATAGTTTCAATTTGGAAAATGATCAAAAGGTCAGGATGGATTGAAAAACATTTATTTTTACAATTTGTAGAGAGTAATCCCTACCAAACTGCTCAAGTAGATCAGCTGCCGTCTCAGGATTTTCCTGGGTGATTTCAATACCTTGGATTGGAGAGGTGTGCGCCGTGAACTCAACGAACGCACCGGTTGGGAGTGGCACCTCGGCAGTTTGGCTTTCAATCCCTCTCTTAGCATGGCTTTCAATGGAAATACCCTCTGGTTATTTAACATAGCCATGGAAAATGGCCATTTATAGTGAGTTTTCCCATTAAAAATGGTGATTTTTCATAGCTATGTTAAATAACCAGAGGGTATGTAAACCGCACATCATGGTAGTTCAATGAATCATGTGAAATCACTATATTGTTCTTGTTTAATTAAAGCACCTATTGGCTACAGTGTGGCTACAGATCAGGATGATTGTTCATTTTAGTTGTTTCAAGGAAGACAGGCAGCGAAACTGAGTATGTTTTCATCAACACAACTGATTGGTGGTTTGGAACATGAATTTTATTTTTTCCATATATGGGGAATTATTATCCCAACTGACTTTCATAGTTTTCAGAGGGGTAGGTCAACCACCAACCAGACAACACTGCAGGGACTTGGCAGCCAAGCATGACATCGACTTCATCTTCATCCAGCCGCCTGGCTTGGCAAGGCCCTGAGCTTTGGGTCCTTCATAAGACGAAGGGTGGTGGGTCAGACCCCTGGTACTACCCAGCGGGGGGCTGGGGGTTATGTAGCAAGTTGTTGATAACATTTGATAATTTGATAATTTCATAATATTTCATACATTGATACATTGAACATACCATACTATACCATACCATGCCATACCATACCATACCATATATATATATATATACTGTACACATATTATATACGTATATATATTATATTATATTATATTATATTATATTATATATTATATATTATATTATATATTATATTATATTATATTATTGTATTATATTGTATTATATTGTATTATATTATATTATATTACATTATATTATATTATACTATATTATATTATATTATATTATACGTAGTGGGGATGTCCCACATATATATATATATATATGTGGTTTGCACTAAATACTAATTTCTAAAACATTATACGCTTAATAAGTGGGTTTTGCCTCATAGCTATTGCCCACATATTGACTCCCTCCTATATATATATATATGCATATTTTGCAGAAACCAAGTAGACCTCCTCACAGCCGAAAAGTGGGCGGATGTTGATACTTTCTGGTAGTTTAACATGTCGATGGTATAGATGGAATATAGAAGTAGATGATTTATGTTTACTTACCCGGACTTACCTATTGAAAATGGTGATGTTCCATTTACTTTGGCAGTTTGTATGTTCAATCTTGCATCCAGTGGCGAGCTTATAATTATGTCCCAACTATCATTGCCACATTTCATTATACAATAGATATTACTCAACCAGCTTTGTCACTCATGGAAACCCAGCAGTAATCATCGAATACCCTATGGTAATGTAACATAGCCACAAAACATTACCCATCTTGGATTTGCTTACTAAAGATTGCAATGTTCCATGGCTTTATTAGTTTACCAGAGGGTCAAATCCACATTTTTGTTGGCTAAGTGATGATAAATGAACCATGTCTGATTGTTAAATCACCATGTTGATCGGCAAGTAAACCTCCATTTGTGCGTAGTTTTTGGTGTTTTTGGCCACCATCACAGCGTTTTTGAACTCCTTTGCAAAGCGATGCCTCAGGACTGGTCCCTTGAAAGTGGGAGAGGTGTGGCTGGTGGATCCACCCACAGGGTTTCCACCATTTTTTCGTCAGTTTCCCCGATGAAAATGGCCATTGCTGGTGGATCCACAGGGCTTTTTTTCTGTTGAGCAGGTTGAGTCCTCGGAGATCGTGGGCGATGGCAGCTGTTGGCCTGGCTTCCCTCCCCACAACGGCATCTCCAGAGAGTGTGGCTATGCGGATCACTCGCCCTTGTGGGCGCGCATCAAGCTGGACTGCTGAGTGTACCAAAACTCCAGGTGGGGGTTAGATTTGGTGCTGGAGAATCACATGAATTATATGATATGGATTCATAGTGAATGATTGGATCAGGGGGCGTGACAAGGCCACTAGTTGGGAGAAATTCGAAATCAAGGGAGAATCATGTATTGAAGCCTTTTGTGGCATCATGGCATAGTGTATATCTACACATGATGGAAAAAAGGAATACACTCATTTGAAGAGATCAATGTGGAAGGGAGAATTCACAGGGCTGATGAGAGTTCGAACCTATTTGGGGATGGGTCAAAATTCCAACCATACAAACCATACAAACCGCAAATGTTGGTCATTTCTTAGTACTTAGTAGGACCTTCCATTTTGGGGGACCAACTTGAACGCCTGGCCATCTCTGAGGCTCTTGTACACTACCCAGACAAACCTCCCTTTGTCAGGTGGACGGAATCCGATACTTCGACGAAAGATGACAGCGAAAGGACTAGCAGGGTCGCTAAAGGGCTTGCTGCACGTGATGTTCTGTTCAATTCTCAAAAAGAGAGTTGAGGAGTTCCCTCGGAATTTGATTGGTGCTTGAACTTGTAGATGTAGTTAGCACATGCTCGATGGAGAGATAAAGAATTTGGGATGTGTCTCTGCCGGTCAGGTGGTTTCTTTGAGACGTTCCCAATCTCACTATCAGCATGCTAAACGGGCGGACTCCCCCAGAGTCCAAAGTAAACAACACACACTCTTGATATACTTATCCACTTTGTTTGTTTGGAAAAACTTTGCTTGAATATTTGAAGTAGTTTCTCCAGCTTTTAAACCTGCATGGTGATGAATGGATGGTGTCTATGATTGTTTTTGACGTTCAGAAAGTGCCGTGGGGGTTACCCATATCTTGAAGACCCCCGCGCCAACGCCCGCATCTTGTGCATCGCAAGAGATGCACTACAGAGTCTCGCCCATGGACTCCCGGGTGGCCGGTATATCAATCTACTGGTACCCCTTAGATCCCGGTTCAAGTGCCAGAAAGTGCATCCATTTAAAATTTAGATACATATATATATATATATATATCTGATATATGATATATGATATATGTATATATGTATATATAATGTGTATATAGTGTATATATATATACACATATACATATTATATGTATGTATATATTTCAGTTTAGATGATAGATGTCCCTGTCGAGTATTTAATTCAAGGTCTTAACTTGGTAGATCTTCGATACCCCTCTCTTAATAAGTCCTAATCATCGTCGTTGGATTAGTTGAGCCGTTGGTACCACAGATCGGCCACGCTAGTCGCCCTGGCAGTCCAAACGGTCGTGGGTGGGTGAGTCCAGTTAAGGTTCAATCTGATGGTCAACTAGTTGTGTCTTGACTGTGTCTTTTCTCATGATGGAAATGTCCCCAAAGCAATGGAATGATGATTATTTCTGAATATGTGAATGTCATTTGTCATCGTTTTGGGATGGCTGGCCTAAAGATTGATGGCATAAACTTATATTAAATTGAATCATACCTGGAGCTACACCCGCCCTGGCTGATTTGCGCAAGCTTTGCGCTGTCACTGCAGACAGGGTGAGGCCCTTCGCAGTGAAGTACTGGTGAAACGGAGTAGAAAGCAGCACCGCGCGAGATCCCCTTTTGGGGTGATGGTTCATCGATGTTCATCATCATTTTCCCCTGGTAGACCCCATTTTCAGACGCAGAACATCAAAGACAGGTTATGTAAGTTATATATCCCATTCTATCCTTATTATAAACCCCCATATTAATGTTGGCTAAATCCTATGTCTTCCCTGGGCACTTTTTGGGGTTGTTCCTCACATCACCTCTTCCAAGGTAACCATCAAACATACGTGGATTTTGAGCTATGCCTTTAGCTGTTGATACCATCCCCCACAATGAGCTCCCAAAATGAATAGATCCAGTGCTAAAACAGAGTGTTCTTCCGGTGGTATTTGAGGTCAGCAGGAAGTGCACAAGAAAGGCTCCCCCAAAATTCGAGTGCTATACCCAAGTGCGGCATATCATTATTCCAAGCCTATCAACTTTGTGTTGGCATTGCGGCGTCAAGTCATCCAGCCCTCATTGAGATAGTGAAATGGTGTGGCCGATTGGGGATGTTTTAATTGTTTGACTTCGTTGTCCCGTCAATTCATGTGTATCATCGTATCTCTTCATGATTCTGTACAGTGACATATGATGATTGCACTAAGAAACATGTCGGATGGGCGATACAAGCTGCAGAATCGATCGGCATGTTGCAGGTCCGAACAAGCGCACTTCCTGGAGGCTTTGGAAGTCTTGGACCAGCCTCATTATGAGCAGTGCCTTGCCTGGGCCACGCCGTTTGGGTTTGGTACCTGAAACTGATCGGAAACCATGGGAAAGCCAGCAAAGTTAGTCATCAGCGTCCATATGAATTGATAGCAATTTTGAATAAGTTTGAGGTATCCTCCATGTTGAGACCCATTTGGATGATGGTTTCAACATGCGAAGATTTTGTTGACTTCATCTCTCGTTGGGACATGTGTTGGCCTTTGACCCCTGAATATTCGTTCGTTGTGGACAGATCCATTTTCCGCGGATCAACATCTTGGGCCCGGATTTGGGTCTCAGCCACTGTGCCAAGTATGGCTGGAATCATTGCCGATGGTAGAACCTCAAGCCAACGGTGGTCTCCCACTAAGATAGACTATGTAATCCTGCTCTCAGAGTTGGTCTAACAATTCCATGATTTGCGGGGGGCTGAGGTTTGACGACTTTCTCGAAATGGTTGCTTGGTTGCAAAGCTGCATGTGGTGGCGAGAATGCACGATCCATGATATTTGAAAGTAGACCAAGGATATGGTTTTGTCCATAAATGTAGTACCCTAAAATCCAAAGTTTTCAGCATGTTCCCTCCTGAATGCCCTATGTTTGAAGAAACCAATAAGATCCTAGACAGCTGACATTTGCCGACAATCAGATGTTATATCATCCAATCGCTGGCCACTACTGGCCATTTCTGGAGGTGATCGAGTTTGGCTATGTCACCCTGTTCGCCTCCGCCTTCCCATTGGCAGCGGCTATGTCGGTGGTCAGCATCTTGACAGTCATGACCTGATGAAGGGTACTTAGTGTCAAATGTATGGTTAACACAAAACAGCTTCAATGTCAAGTAGGGTTATACACAACCCATTTCTAGTTAGATTTGGGATGGTGTATTGCTGAGTCTATCACATGATGTTTTCTACATGGATACGTTTTGTCATTGAAAGTGACAAGCAGCCAAAACAATGATCCAAGCGCAGGGTTAAGGGTCGGAACCAGAAAAAATGATAGGAGTTCAGTGGATATGTGATGTGAACATTCCCAAATCAGTTTCTCCAGACAATAAATAGCCCATTCTCTACCTGTTTTGTAGATTCAGGATGGCAATGACCCCACAACTTTCTTCGCAGGCAACTTGGTTGAACTGAAGTCGGACACCTTTAAGCTGACGCGAGTCTATCAACGACCCATGTCCCGGCGGATGAATTCCATTGGCTTCTCAGCCCAGATTCAGTTGATCTGCTGCTGTTTTCAGCAGTGTCTCCATTCCCAAGAAAAATGGTGCTTTCTTCGGGGGGTAGCTACAAGTCGTCCAATTAAATAGGATTTTCCATTACAAACCATCCATTTTTGGGGTACCACCATTGTAGGAAACCTCCAAATTGCGACGATGAGCGTAAATGACCAACCAACATGTGTTCCATCCCATGATTTCGTATCATGTTTCCCCATAGAGCAGCATCTATTCATATACATATATATAGTTACCGTAAATATATATATATATATATACATATCTTGGGGTATTTCTTTTTGAGATTACCAATCCATGTGGTGGTTCCTGTCGATTGCCACCAACGCCAAAACAGCTGAGGAATCTGGCGACAAGTGCTGCACTTCATCGCAGCCATTTCCATTGTCACCAACGCCTCTGGGATGATGACGGTGGACTGCACGTTGCAACGTTGCAACGGACATGGTGGCCAAACCCCCCAAAGGATGGTCAAATCATGATTTTCCTATGCTGAAACCTGCATTTTAGATAGTTTAGCTGTTGAATCCTGTATTTTTGATAGATTTATAGGGCTTCTATTTTTCCCGAATGCGTAGCAAGGGTTCCCGTTTCACTCTGGGGGTCTGGGGGTTGAGGGTGTGTTCGCTCGACGTTGCGTCCGCGTCCGCAACCGTTCGCAACCGTTCGCAACCGTTCGCAACCGTTCGCAACCGTTCGTACGAGGTCCGTATGGCCGTGCCTATGGGAAGTTTTACAGAGGTGGTCCTTTTTGGAGGTTTCAGACGTCTGGTTGCTTCGTTTCGCGTGGCAGGCGTGGCACTTCGTGACATTCAGACGTGTTCTGCAACGTGTCGAAAGTCGTTTTGCGTGGCAGGCGCAATACTTTTGCGACGTTTTCAGAAGATGTGTTGCAGTTTTCGTGGCAGGCGCAGCACTTTGGACGCGTCCATCGTCATTTTTCGTGGCAGGCGCAGCACTTTAGACGCGTCCTGTGGCGTGTTTTTTGTAAATCGCATTGGCAGGGCTGCGTCAAGTGGTGACAAGGTGCAAATTCCGTGGCAGGCGTGGCATTTTGTGCGATGCGCTGAAAATTGACGGAAGCCTCGCACGAAACATCGATTTTGAGGTTGCAAATTTTCAGGTTCTAAGGAAAACTCGTAGGAAAACGTCGATTTTGAAGCTGCAAAGTGTGAAAATTGGAGGAAGTCTCGCAGGAAATGCTCGTTTTGGTGCTCCCACCTGTCTTGTCTCGCGTCTCTGGTTTTCCCGTGGCCTCGCCGTGTCTATGGGGGAAGCTGCAAAACCTGTCCTTTTGTTATGTTGCCAACTGTGAAAATTGGAGGAAGTTTCTGCATCCACGTGTCTTGTCGCGAGTCTCTCGTTTTCCTGTGGCGTCGCCGTGTCTATGGGGGAAGCCGCAAAACCTCTCCTTTTCGAATGTTTCCACACAGGTTGTCATGTTGTTTTGCGTGGCCGACGTGGCAGTTTCTGACATTCCAACCTGTCTGATAACGTGTCGAAAATGTCAAAATTGGAGGAAGTCTCGTACGAAATGCTGGTTTTTCTGCATCCACGTGTCTTGTCTCGAGTCGCTGGTTTTCCTGTGGCGTCGCCGTGTCTATGGGGGAAGCTGGAAAACATCTCCTATTCGAATGTGTCCACGCAGGTTGTCAGATCGTTTTGCATGGCAGGCGTGGCACTTTGTGACATTCCAACCTGTTTGATTCGAAAATGTCAAAATTGGATGAAGTCTCGCATGAAATGTTCGTTTTTTTGCACCCACGTGTCTCGTCTCGAGTCTCCGGTTTTCCTGTGGCGTCGCCGTGTCTAGGGGGGAAGCTCCGCACTCCACACTCTACACTTTACACTCCACACTCCACAATTTACACTTTAGACTCCACACTCTACACTTTACACTCCACACTTCACACTTTGCACTTTACACTCCTCACTCCTCACCTGAGACTTTACATTCCACACTCCACACTTTACACTACACTTTGCACTTTCCACTCCTCACTCCTCACTCTACACTTTACACTCCACACTCTACACTTTACACTCCACACTCCACACTTTACACTACACACTCCTTACTTTACACTCCAAACTTTCCACTCCACACTCCACACTCCACACTTTACACTCCACACTCCACACTTTACACTCCACACTCCACACTCTACACTCCACACTCCCCATTTTACACGCCACACTCCACACTCTACACTTTCCACTCCACACTCCGCACTCCACACTCCACACTTTACTGTACACTCCACACTTTATACTTTAAACTTTACACTCCACACTTTACACTCCTCTCTTTACACTCCACACTCCACACTCTACACTTTCCACTCCAGACTCCACACTCTACACTTTACGCTCCAGACTCCACACTTTACACTCCACACTCCACACTCACACTTTACACTCCACACTCCACACTTTACACTCCTCACTCCACACTTTACACTCCACACTCCTTACTTTACACTCCACACTTCACACTCCACACTTTCCACTCCACACTCCACACTTTACACTCCACACTCCACACTTTACACTCCTCACTCTACACTTTACACTCCAAACTTTACACTTTACACTCCTCACTCCACACTCTACACTCCACACTCCCCATTTTACACGCCACACTCCACACTCTACACTTTCCACTCCACAATCCGCACTCCACACTCCACACTTTACTGTACACTCCACACTTTATACTTTAAACTTTACACTCCACACTTTACACTCCTCTCTTTACACTCCACACTCCACACTCTACACTTTCCACTCCAGACTCCACACTCTACACTTTACGCTCCAGACTCCACACTTTACACTCCACACTCACACTTTACACTCCACACTCCACACTTTACACTCCTCACTCCACACTTTACACTTTACACTCCACACTTCACACTCCACACTTTCCACACTCCACACTCCACACTTTACACACTCTACAATTTACAATCTCCACATTCCACACTTTACCCTCCTCACTTTACACTCCACACTTTACACTCCACACTTTACACTCCACACTTTACACTCCACACTCCACACTTTACTGTACACTCCACACTTTATACTTTAAACTTTACACTCCACACTTTACACTCCTCTCTTTACACTCCACACTCCTTACTTTACACTCCACACTTCACACTCCACACTTTCCACTCCACACTCCGCACTCTACACTTTAAACTCCACACTCCAAACTTTACACTTTACACTCCTCACTCCACACTCTACACTCCACACTCCCCACTTTACACGCCACACTCCACACTCTACACTTTCCACTCCACAATCCGCACTCCACACTCCACACTTTACTGTGCACTCCACACTCCACACTTTATACTTTACACTCCTCGCTCCACACTCCGCACTTTACACTCCTCACTCCACACTCCACACTTTACACTCCACACTCCTTACTTTACACTCCACACTTCACACTCCACACTTTCCACTCCACACTCCGCACTCCACACTTTACACTCCACACTCCACACTTTACACTTTTCACTCCACACTTTACACTCCACACTTTACACTCCTCACTCCACACTCCACACTTTACACTCCACACTTTACACTCCACACTTCAACTCCACACTTTCCACTCCTCACTTTTCACTCCACACTTTACACTCCACACTCGACACTTTACACTGCTCACTCCACACTTTACACTCCACACTTTACACTCCACACTCCTCACTCCACACTTTACACTCCACACTTTACACTCCACACTTCACACTCCACACTCCACACTCTACACTTTACACTTTACACTATACACTCTATACTCCACACTTTACACTTTACACTCCTACTTTACACTCCACACTCCACACTTTGCACTTTACACTCCTCACTCCACACTCTACACTCCACACTCTACACTCCACACTCTACACTTTACCCTCCATACTCCACACTCTACACTTTACACTCCGCATTCTACTCTTTACACACTCTACACTCCCCACTCCACACTTTACACTCCACACTCCTTACTTCACACTCCACACTCCACACGCTACACTTTCCACTCCGCACTGCAGACTGGTAACAAGGGAAACATGCACAAGACTGTTCAAATAAACTATTGCAGAAAGGTTTTGTGCGTGACTCTATAACCATGTGTTTTGACATCTGTGCCATTAACATACGTGTGAGCATTCGGGTTCGTGGGCTTCATCTTGTGTTTTTTCATCACTATGTCTCAACGTTTTTTCTGAAAAAAAGCGTTCTGCACAATCATTCTTTTTGGGGGAGGGGGGCTATTTTAAAGATGTTTTCCTCATGGAAATCACAGGTAAATCACCATGAAATCACCCCAGAAATCTATAGAAATCTCCCAGGTCATGATTTTCGTGATGAGTGAGCAACTGGCCTCCTGGGTACCCTCTTTGTACCGCGAAGCGAGTCTGGAAGATGTGCAGCAAGGACGGCGGTGACGAGGTGACGCTTTTGGGGCCCCGGTGGATGAAACGAAACGCTGCAAGGTGAGAAGACCAGCATATCATGGAAGGTCATCCAGATTTTACCCGACTCAGTTTGGAGATGTTTATATGATGTTTTGCGTATGTGTCATGATCGGTCGGTGATGTGTGTTGCCATCATATTAAGATCGCGATGTATTGTATCTTCATTTACTTATGACATTTACTTTGAGAACCATCTTCACGTATCCAAATGTAGGTAATTAAAGGTAAGTATATTTTAGGATACATGGGCGGAATTGGATACTGATGCACTCTCGATGATTCCAGATAATTCCTGAGAAGGTACTCAGCCCCCAAGTCACTTCCCATGTCGTTTTTTTCCTCGTAGTTTTTGGTTGTGATAGCAAAATTGATTTCTGCAGGTATATTTGGAGTAAAAGAACATGGTTTCCAGCGAATTATCCCATAAACCAAACCTTGAAACCAACAATATCTGGTTGGAGGTTTGGAACATGTTTTCTCCATATTCTGGGAATTTCATCATCCCAACTGACGAACTCCATCATTTTTCAGAGGGGTTGGTATACCATCAACCAGAGATGAAATCCCCATTTTTGATGGTCAAACCTTCACTTTGACAGAACCAGTTGGTTGAATCCCCACGCGACGCGTTCGTTTTTTCCCGAATGCGTAGCAAGGGTTCCCGTTTCACTCTGGGGGTCTGGGGGTTGAGGGTGTGTTCGCTCGACGTTGCGTTTGTGGTCGCAACCGTTCGCAACCGTTCGCAACCGTTCGTGTGAGGACCGTATGGCCGTGCCTATGGGAAGTTCTGCAGAGGTGGTCATTTTTGGAGGTTTCGGACGTGTCGTTGCTTCGTTTCGCGTGGCAGGCGTGGCACTTCGTGACATTCAGACGTGTTCTGCAACGTGTCGAAAGTCGTTTTGCGTGGCAGGCGCAATACTTTTGCGACGTTTTCAGAAGATGTGTTACAGTTTTCGTGGCAGGCGCAGCACCTTGGGCGTGTCCATCGTCATCGTCATTTTTCGTGGCAGGCGCAGCACTTTAGACGTGTCGCGTTGCGTGTTTTTTGTAAATCGCATTGGCAGGGCTGCGTCAAGTGGTGACAAGGTGCAAATTCCGTGGCAGGCGTGGCATTTTCTGACATGTGCTGAAAATTGACGGAAGCCTCGCACGAAACATCGATTTTGAAGTTGCAAATTTTCATGTTCTAAGGAAAACTCGTAGGAAAACGTCGATTTTGAAGCTGCAAAGTGTGAAAATTGGAGGAAGTCTCGCACGAAATGCTCGTTTTGGTGCTCCCACCTGTCTCGTCTCGCGTGTCTGGTTTTCCCGTGGCCTCGCCGTGTCTATGGTGGAAGCTGCAAAACTTGTCCTTTTGTCATGTTGCTAACTATGAAAATTGGAGGAAGTCTCGTGCGAAATGCTGTTTTTTCTGCATCCACGCGTCTTGTCGCGAGTCGCTGATTTTCCTGTGGCGTCGCCGTGTCTATGGGGGAAGCCGCAAAACCTGACCTTTTCGAATGTTTCCACGCAGGTTGTCATGTCGTTTTGCGTGGCAGGCGTGGCACTTTGTGACATTCCAACCTGTTTGATAACGTGTCGAAAATGTCAAAATTGGAGGAAGTCTCGCACGAAATGCTCGTTTTTCTGCATCCACGTGTCTTGTCTCGAGTCGCTGGTTTTCCTGTGGCGTCGCCGTGTCTATGGGGGAAGCTCCGCACTCCACACTCTACACTTTACACTCCACACTCCACAATTTACCCTTTAGACCCCACACTCTACACTTTACACTCCACACTTTACACTTTGCACTTTACACTCCTCACTCCTCACCTGAGACTTTACACTCCACACTCCACACTTTACACTACACTCTACACTTTCCACTCCTCACTCCACACTCTACACTTTACACTCCACACTCCACACTCTACACTTTACACTCCACACTCCACACTTTACACTACACACTCCTTACTTTACACTCCACACTTCACACTCCACACTTTCCACTCCACACTTTACACTCCTCACTCCACACTTTACACTCCTCACTCCACACTTTACACTCCTCACTCCTCACCTGAGACTTTACACTCCACACTCCACACTTTACATCACACTCTACACTTTCCACTCCTCACTCCTCACTCTACACTTTACAGTCCACACTCCACACTCTACACTTTACACTCCACACTCCACACTTTACACCACACACTCCTTACTTTACACTCCACACTTCACACTCCACACTTTCCATTCCACACTCTACACTTTGCACTCTACACTCCACACATTTTACACTGCACGCTCTACACACCACACTCTACACTTTCCTCTCCACATTTCGCACTCCAGACTTTACACTCCACACTCCATACTTTACACTTTACACTTTACACTCCTCACTCCACACTCTACACTCCACACTCCCCACTTTACACACCACACTCCACACTCTACACTTTCCATTCCACACTCCGCACGCACAACCACACCACTCACACCACCACGTTACATCCTCTGATGCACCCATCCACACCTCCCACCACTTTATACTTTACACTCCTCACCCACATCACACCACAACTTTGCCCCCTCCTCCCCTTTCCCACACTCACAACCCCTACCCCACAACCCACTCTACCACACCCCGCTACCTTTCCACCCAGACCCAACAACACTACCTACACTTTAAACGCTCACCACCCTCCCACCTGTTACTTCAACTTTCCACTCCACCCTTTACAACTCCTCACTCCCACACCTTCCTACACCCCCACCCCTCCACACTTTACACCCCGCACACCCACTCAAACCTCCACACCCACATCTTACAAAACACCCCCATCCTCCCACTCACACTTTAGCCCTCCTCGCTCCCACTTTCTTACCTCCTCACTCCCACTTTACACTCCTCTACACTCCTCACTCCACACTCCACACTTTACACTCCTCACTCCACACTCCACATTTACACTCCACACTTCACACTCCACACTTTCCACTCCACACTCCACACTCCACACTTTACATCACACTCTACACTTTCCACTCCTCACTCCTCACTCTACACTTTACAGTCCACACTCCACACTCTACACTTTACACTCCACACTCCACACTTTACACCACACACTCCTTACTTTACACTCCACACTTCACACTCCACACTTTCCATTCCACACTCTACACTTTGCACTCTACACTCCACACATTTTACACTGCACGCTCTACACACCACACTCTACACTTTCCTCTCCACATTTCGCACTCCAGACTTTACACTCCACACTCCATACTTTACACTTTACACTTTACACTCCTCACTCCACACTCTACACTCCACACTCCCCACTTTACACACCACACTCCACACTCTACACTTTCCATTCCACACTCCGCACTCCACACTCCACACTTTACTGTGCACTCCACACTCCACACTTTATACTTTACACTCCTCACTCCACACTCCACACTTTGCACTCCTCACTTTACACTCCACACTCTACACACCACACTCTACACTTTCCACTCCAGACTCCACACTCTACACTTTACGCTCCACACTCCACACTTTACACTTCACACTTTACACTCCACACTCCACACTTTACACTCCTCACTCCACACTCCACACTTTACACCCCACACTCCACACTTTACACTCCTCGCTCCACACTCCACACTTTCACTCCCCACTCCACACTTTACACTCCTCGCTCCACACTCCACACTTTACACTCCTCACTCCACACTTTACACTCCACACTCCACACTTTACACTCCTCACTCCACACTTTACACTCCACACTTTACACTCCTCACTCCACACTTTACACTCCTCCTCCACACTCCACACTTTACACTCCACACTCCACACTTGACACTTTACCACTCCACACTTTACACTCCACACTCTACACTTCACACTCTACACTATACACTCTACACTCCATACTTTACACTTTACACTCCATGCTTTCCACTTTACTCTTCTCACTCCACACTTTACACTCCACACTCCACACTCTACAGTTTACACTCCATACTCCACACTCTACACTTTACACTCCGCATTCTACACTTTACACACTCTACACTCCCCACTCCACACTTTACACTCCACACTCCTTACTTCACACTCCACACTCCACACTCTACACTTTCCACCCCACACTGCAGACTGGTAACAAGGGAAACATGTACAAGACTGTTCAAATATAAACTATTGCAGAAAGGTATTGCGCGTGACTCTATAACCATGTGTTTTGACATCTGTGCCATTAACATACGTGTGAGCATTCGGGTTCGTGGGCTTCATCTTGTTTCGTGTAGGACGTTTGGGTTCAGTGGTCGATGAAGCGACGGGAACCGCTGACTTAGTGACCTGGAGACGTGGTGAAACTGCTGTTGGTTGCTGAAAAAACATGGGAATAAGAATGGAAAATGACAATTGGAAGAGTAATACGGGAATGGATTGAAATCTAGTATACATATTTATACATTAATTATATTATACTATACCAATTGGGATGTTTTGGGGTTCAGCATGCCTGGGTTTTGACCGCCATGATATTGTTCGATGCATATGGGGTAGAAAGAACTGGATGTAATCAAGATGATGGGAATACCCGAATAACTTGATAGGTGGTTTTCTGGTTTTACTATAATACTACCCTCCGGTAAACTAGCATAGCTATGGAAAATCACCATCTTTAATAGGTAAATCACCATCTATGTTTAATAGCTATGTTAAATTACCAGAGGATTTACCCATTAAAATGGTGATTTTCCATAGTTAAGTTAGTTTACCAGAGGGTAATTCAAAGCTCCGGGGGATACACTGGGTGTACGGTCAACTATGGCACTATCCATTGGGGTTTAATCCTGTGCTCCACTCTACCGGGTGATCAAGTAACCTTCGAAATCAACACCCAAACTACTCATTTTAAGAGTGAAGGACCAGAACAGGTCATTTCATAATATTTCATATATGGATAACTATAGATACATTTAGACATACATATATATTTGGTATATGTTGGTATATTTAAATATATTTAATATATGTGTTATGTTTTTTCCCCATCGAATTGAATTGATGCTTACTTGGAGGACCATCCCACGAATCGTAAGTGGGCTTAGTCGTCCCCCTGGTCGAATTTCGAAGTCCTCGTCTCGTGGGTTATCCTATGTATAAATGGACCAGTTTCTATGGTTAAATCCCCATTTTAGATGGTTACCCTCTGGTAAACTAACATAGCTATTGAAAATGACCATTTATAGTGGATTTTCCCATTGAATAAATCCCCATACATGGGGGTATAACCATCAATGGGGGTTAAGTCATGTCAAATCCGCTATGGTTATACCCCCAAAATAATATTTCGGTCTGTTTTTTCGGTGGTCCTCCGGACGAAGCACCAGATGTTTTGCGGAGAACCTCCGCCAGGTGATTCGTCAGGGAGCAGGGAGATATGTCATCTTCGCAGCTGTAGGCGGGGCGGTTCGTACTACCTGGCTTGGTGATGAAACACCAATGTTATGTACATAGCATCTCTAGTATCTTGCCTGGGGTGACTATGAAGATAATATATAATCCACACATCATATACTGGATATTTGGATATATTGTGACATGATAGACTTATCATGGTACAAACTAAGATCACCCACTGAACTGCCACGGAGCATTTAGCCTCATTTGGCAAGGAATTTGACCTGTCTCATTGGTGGGGACCCTAGTTTCACCTTTGATTCACCAAACTTGTGGCAAAACAGCTTGCCTGTCATAGATTCTAACTATAAATCCCCATGAAATCCCCATGAAATCCCCATCGTTGTTGATTAAATCACCATTTCCACGTCATCCCAGCGCCAGCCTCAGCATATCCAGTCTTGGAGCATTTGGTGGCCGTGGCCGTGGTGGTCATGATGGCAGCCATCCCCTGCCAACCTGACGCTGGCCTGGAAGCTACCAAGAAGATCAAAGTAGTACAATGGAAGTAGTACATCTAAATGTATAGTTGAATGATGTAAAATGAATGTATTTATATATACTGTAATATACTGTGTATATAAATATATTATTAAAAACATATTAAAACTGCAATCTGATTTTGGATAATCTTTAGTCTTAGTAGAGTCATAATTCAGGTTGTTTTCTTGAAGACTGAGGGCATAGGACTTCGGGTTCCAAACATGGAATCCCTGGTGAAGTTTCGATGCACAGCTGAGGATTGGCTACGGCGCGAGATGCAACGCAGCAGTGGCTTGGTTTGGCACAGGTTTTTCTGTGACCCAATGCCAGCCATGTTACACCATCCCATTCATGCCATTCACCAAGACTGGGGGTCATTTTACATCATCCAAAAATAGGAGTTACTGAGTATACCGTATATATCAAGAATAAACCAAAATGGCGGGTGAACGGCATTGAAGGGATGTTTCGGAAACCCAGGACCCAGCGGATTCTGCGATTCGCGACCCTGCTTTTTTCAGAGGGACACCTGGGACCCATAATCAAACGCCTGAACTACGGGAGGCTAAACTTATTAAAGGCCTGTAAATGGATCAAGATTCCAGTTGATCCCAGAGAATACACTTGAAGCATTTCCACAATTTATCAACAAAGCAGTTTGCAGGTTGAAGATATGTCTTGTGATGAAAACGATGTTCCATCTTACCTGAAACAACTGAAACGACGATCTGATTTGACTTTCACAATGGACCACATCTCCCCGACGCCTAGGCTACTTCAAAGACATGCGAGCCAAGGCCGCAGAGCGCGGATGACCGTGCTGTCGCATGGCCACAGGATCATGGACTTTGGAGATCTTGGAGCGACATGTCGACCTGGACACACTGTCGACGTCTATGATCGAACCAGACGATCAAAGCAACAATGCTGCCGGACGTATCATGGATTCGACGTTGCAATAGCTTCAACATGTACGATGGATATCGATGGATATCGATGGATTCTGCAGGACCATAGCTGAAGTTCCCTGAGTTGACTTCAGATGTCGTGGAAGTCTTGGAGCTGTCGGCTTGAACTCACCGTGGAGGTGTCCAAGCTGTCGACCGTGGAATCGCGCTGAAACAGCGCAGCTTTTGGCGCTGAAAGCCCGTGTTGCAGCCATGGGTTTGTCCAAAAATGTTTGACGATGGCTATCCCGAAATATGTACATATGTGTATATATATAATATAATATAATATATATATATATATTAATATAGTATCACATCGTCATGTTCAATAAACCTTGGGATTTTTTGGGTACCCTATTTTCCAACAGACCCATATCCTTGAGGTTTTAAAGACGCAAAAACAAGCGCTGCGTGCTCCGGACATGTTCAGGGTCACTGGACTGGATCTGCCTTGGCCTGTGGAGAAAACATCCTTAGCTGTGCAGTGGCTTAGCGGGACTATCAGCCTCTCTTTCCTCCACATTAGCATCAGCATCATCAGCATCATCAGCATCATCATGATCAATCATGATCATGAGTATCAGATTATATATATAATATTGATCCAACATTGACTACTATCATTGAAAGGGATTGACATTGCAACCTGGTAGTTGTATGTATTTCTTTGGTTATATTATCCTTGTAATATGTTGTAGTTGTTGTTGTCAGTATTGCAGTATTGATTGTTGTAGTTTGTTCATATGTGATCATCGGAAATGGATGACCTTTTGTTCATATGTGTTGCCCATAGTCTCATTATGATCATATTCATGATTGCATCATATGATGTTTTCTGTACATTCCATAAGAGTAATGGTGATAATTCTATTCACATAAGAGTGATGCACTATCATGTTGTTTCCCTTTTACAATAGCTATGTTTGGGATGATTTTGAGATATACTGTATCAGAAACACTCAGAAACACTCATAATCTTTACAGTGTATGAAATCACCCATTTATAGATGATGTTCCCCTTAAGAACTCCATGTGTAGGAGATTTCCTAGCCAGCCATTCTTGATTACCAGAGGCCATTATCATTATTTGCAGTTATATTCACATTAACATTCCATTAAAGTATCGTTTTTGTTAGTACTGTACTACCCTCTAGTAAACTAACATATAGCTATGGAACATCACCATTTTTAATGGGTAAATCCACTATTTCTATGGCCATGTTCCAATATTTTCCATGGCTATGTTAAGTCATTACCAGAGGGTAAATCCCCTATTGTTGTTGGTTAACTTCCCATTTTTTTTGATCCCGGTCTTCTTTTGAGGTCCTGCCACCTCCGCCCTTGGAGTCTTCCGATGTCACGACATCGGACGCGACGCTGACGGAGGCGTGGCGGGGGATGGCCGGATGGGTATGGCATGTGGCTCTCCGACATGGAGAAAAATATAGGGGATTTTCATGGGAGATCTGGTGGAAATGACATGAAATGACCATATCTGGTGGAATCAACATCCCTTAAGACCAGCTCTTTTTTGTTGAGTACTTTGGGTCCCAGGGTTTTGACCCATAGGCAGTTTTAGAAGTTTCAGGCCGAGACAGCTCCAGCAGAAGTGGCGGACTCTCGGATGAATTCTCGGTGGTTTTTTTCCAACCCCTAAATCATTGAAGTGGTGACGTTGATTTACCCTCTGGTAAACATCACCATAACTATGGAAAATCACCATTTTTAATGGGAAAACTCACTATAAATGGTCATTTTCAATAGCTATGTTAGTTTACCAGAGGGTATGTTATTCACAACGACCCAGCGAATCCCAGAGATGTAAAATTCACAGAGAGTTTTCACATGATGCAAATACTGATCTGCAGTACAGCCTCAGAGAAACCTTCTTCCCATGAAAGCTCAATGTTTTGACATCGGGAGCAGTGGCTTCTTCAAAATGTCCTATATATTTGATTATTTGGGTATGTTTTTAGCATCACCTGTAAACCTTTGTTGTTTCTTACATATCCCATGAATCCCATGTTTGATATGATTTGATATGTTTGTTAAAGATGATCCTCCCATTTCTAGGAAGATTTTCATGTGCAAATAATGTATCATAATTACATATCACCTTTCGGGATGTTTGCGGGGGACGCCTTTAGGAACCCAAAGACATCGATGAGTCGGAAGATCGTCGCTTGGAGGATCCGAGTTGTACCGTGTGCCACGGCAGGTTGTGATGACACAAGTTGGTGCTTCATGTTTTCAGAGAGAGTTTTATGGAAGTAGCATGTGTAGGAGTATTTCAAGATAGGGATGGATCAAATCCTTTTATAATCTTTTATACCTTTTTTGAGAGGATGAACAAATACCAGCTACTGGTATTTTGAGGGTCACCAGGGGTACAGGCTTATGATCCACAAGCAGATTGAGTTTTTTCAATCAATTGATCGTAAGAATGACATTCAATGTATGGTTCCCTATCATGCTGACCGTTTCCTCTACTTCGTCAACCATCTTTGGTGGCCGATCTCGCTGTTCAACTTCACCTGGCAGCGACGCTGTTGTCACGCAGGATCTGCGATTGGCGAGACTCGAAGATGAGCTTCTGAATCGTTTGGAGCGCTTGGGGTTTGGGAGCCAAGATGAGCCCAGGTCGCCAGGCTGTTGGATGGCCAGGCATTGGCAACATTGACCAGGAAAGGAGCGAAACTTGTAAAAGTGCTTGAAGTTCATTGCGGGATGGGTCGTTAAGACATGTTTGCAAACAAATAACAAACATCAAAAGCAGGAAACTATCAGTAGCAATGTTTGATCATTTTTGCCGGTCAATCTCATGTGTTTACCCTCCATTCTTACAGGCTACCCAGTTTTGTTTAATGCCACTTTTCCACACTATCCACCTTCCTAAGGAGCTTGTCTTTGGCGGAGGAATCTCGATTGAACGATTTGCGGCGACAGCGAGCAGCTCTCAAGGCCAATTTCCAAGACGAAGGTCTCCCAACAGATAGATTATATGGTCTGTTGATGCATTAATGATTACTGGATTCTAGCCCTCAGCTTTGGTTTGTGGCGCTTTTGGATGTCTGAATTCTAGACTCTTCAAACCTTGCCGGTGTGACTAGGAGAAACAATTGAAAGCATACACCACCTAAATCCAACATGGAACCCCAAAAATGGGATTTGGAAGAGGATGTTCCTATTGATCATGGCCATTTTGTGGTTCCATGTTAAATTTGCGGGTTGCCCTTCGCAATCTCGCTGCGCAGGCTTCCTAACAGCTTTGCTTTGAAAAAAAAGTGCTTTGGGAGTTGACGGGCTCTGATGGTAACCCTGTGCGAATCTGCGAGCAGGTCTGGCTCCCTTTAGCCCTCTGGTAATCAAACATGTCAAGATGATTTTCCCATAAAAAGCTCCATTTGTAAGGGATTGCCCATTGCCTCGCTTGATTAGCAGAGGGTACATAGAAACAATTACAGACTACTTTGGTGTTTGCCGGGGCTGGGGCCAGAATCCATCTCTCAAGTTTGTAGGCAGTATTTGCCGTTACTTCAACATTAAAACAAAAACTAGCAGGATCCTTAAGCCTTCGCTCTAGGTTTTTCAACTTGGTAGGATAATGATTTGATGTTTGATGGTTTATCAGGCTCATGGAGGCTCATGGAGGAATATATGTTAGAATGTCCAGCAAAAGATTGGTATCCAGAATCCCGTGCATCCCCCGGAGTCTTCCGGGAAATGGAGTGGGCAGACATTTCCAAAGGTACAACTCCAAATGTTGACGACTAAGAACTATAATAGTAATTAATATAAATATATAAATATCATCATGCTGAATCTGGTGTTATCATGTGTGTATCGACTTTGTAGCTGGGTTATACCGGTTATACCCATGTTTTTTTCGCCGAACCCCAGAGATGTCCCGCAGCCGCATCCCCACGTCCTCGTGACTGATCACACGTCCTCGACGTCTCTCTCCCGACTCTCAAGTGGGGTCCTGAGACATGACTCCATGGCAGGGTTTTGGGTATGCTCTATATAATTATCCTGAAGTATGTAGAATATGGAGTTTTAAGAATTGTATACCTGAAACTTAGTGACGATGTTTCGAGCAATTCATATTCTATCTACTCCAGAATGACTATAATTGGTTGACAAAATATGGAATGATCACCTGTCAAAATGGTGAGTTAGTCACTTGGTCTTGACGAAAGCGAAATCGTTGGTTTTAACTAATACCAAATCATGATTGCTCAGGAGTCATACATATCTAGTAACATCTTGGGACATTTAACAGTTTGCCAAGCTATGGAAAAAGAAACATGGAAAAACGCCATTTGTTACAGCTAGATTATCTACGACTGGATCGCTTTTCCCATGCTCAGGCACCATGGATCAGAACGAGAAGGCCTTCCAGAAGCAGGCCTTCCTCACGCCATGGTCTAGGGGGATTGGTTTTCCATAAACGGGAGTGGTCATCAATCCATTACTGCTAATTATTGATGGGTATATATATATATATTATTAATATATATATATATATTATTAATATATATATTATTAATATATATATATATATATTATATTCAAACCCCTATTAATGATTAATAGGGATTTGTATACTAATATTAGAAGGTTTTGTAGTTTACCACAATGGGTTAAGTATAGTTAGGTCAGGAAGGATCCCTTGTGTATTCTAGGTCAGGAAGGATCCCTTGTGTATTTCAATCAGTCCGAACCTGCGCTGTTCATGAAGCTTGGGTCCATAGAAAATGTCTGGTTTAGTATTATCCATCCTATTTGCAACATCATGGTCCATCATTGCTTTTGAAAGGATCCTTTGACAATTAGCTTCCCAAGTGAGCCAAGTGAAATCCTCCAGTGACCTCCCATTGGACACCACGGATACGAAACGTGTTTACCTCCAATTCATGATCAGCTATTGAATCTTTTGAGTATATAAATTATCACCACAGATCATTGTCATTCATTGTCCATTCTAGGGCATCCCCAAAAAAGATAGAAAAGTACTTCACCATGTTTTAGCATTCATAGATTTACTGTTCTCCAGCTATTTTACCATCTTTTTTTGGATGGTTGCTATATGACATCAAGGACCAAAACACCGGTCCCGTTCACACCGGTCCCGTTCTAAGCGCGGTACATTCATAGGACGCCGTGTTCCTGGGCTCCAAGCGACTTTTGACCAAGAAATCCAAGAAGGCGGCCCGGTGCGCCAAAAGCCGAAGCAGCTGGGGGATGCCGGAAGTGTTTGGAGTGTTCATAGCAAAGCGTAAATAAAGATCACTCAATCAATATATATATATACATAATCATGATATTAATCAAGCACCTATAACATATATGAATACATATATTATAACATATATTATAACATATTATACTTACTATTAATATAACATACGTATACCATTGTATAACATATGTATAGAACAAAACAATACATAACAATACATAACATATATACACACAGTGTGGGTCAAGCTTTGGGCACCGAAGGCGGATGCCTCAGGTCGTCCAACCGTCCTGCACGTGCCTCATCCATTTGGGTGAACGATCAACAACCGGCCTTAGCGGCCTTTTTTTTTGAGGTTCCACCTCTGGAAGATTAGTGTTAAGTTCATACGTATGATATATGTATAATATACTATATCTATATACATATATATGTGATATATATATAATATATATATATGTGATATATATATAATAATATATATATATATATATTATATTTACGGATGAAATAGTTTTGTTTGACAAGTGCGTTAGTTGTTAAATGTCAGCCTGGTGAACAATATATTCATATGAGTTATAATATATATATATACATCATCAGCCATATTACGAGTCGTTATTATTTTTTATTCAACCTGTTTCAACATGTTTAGTACCTGGTTCCCCGAGGTACTGGCGCAACATCGGCTTGGGCTTTGCCGTTCCTAAGGAAGCCAAGGAAGGCACCTTGGATGGGCATTGATATTGATGGATATGATATGATATGTATGTGTCTTGTATACATATATATATACATATAATATATATAATATATAATATATATATATACAGTATATATGTGTGTGTGTCCATATGTATGATATATTTATATCATGATATCATATGTAGATGTGATATATGTGTTGATTGCCATATCATTAAACGATGGTTCAACGGGGATGATTCTATCATCATCGTGTCACGAAACCAAGTTTGTGCAGTAATAGATATGATAAAGATCGTCTTCACATGTTTTCCATTAAGCCATTTAAGTACAATTTCCCCCAAAGGCTCAAATGGTGGATAACCCTGGGAACTGAGGTCACTACGTGGACAAGAAGTGCCCCTTCACAGGGCCGCAGCCTCGGCTGATGGTGTGAGGGTCAGCTACTTGGAAGTCTCAAAGAAAAACTATGGTATATTTTATCATGTGTGATTTATGATATACTCTACACAGTATACACATGTCATGTATTCTATGATTTTGTATGGTGTATATTATATGCCTTTTATGGTATAGATATATGGTATATTCTATGGTGTTGTATGTCATGTATTGGTGTGTTTTTTTCTAATGATATACAACATCCATTAAAATCCTATGGTATGAATGATATAATTTTAGACATTTGTATTCATGATTACACTTGATGGTATACTAAAATGCAAGGGTAAAATATTATGCGACCTACATATTTGTAGCAAAAAGTTAGGGTTCCCTGCAGTTTTAAATTCATTTGTAAAACTTCTGGGTCCCGCTACGTTCTCATTGCCCAGACATTGGGACCTGATCCACCTGGCCGCTGAGGAATGTGAGCATTCGTGGTGCGATCTTGAAGGGCATGTGCATTTCCACCAAGATGAAGCACGGAAATCCAAGGGAAATCTGGTGGAGGAAATGATTTCACCAATGGAACCTCCAACTTTTGTTGGGGTTGGTAGTTGGTAGATCAATTTCCCATTGGAAACAGATATTCTTTGGATTTTACGAGTTCCATGCTTGGCACCCAGCATTTCCCATGGCCTCAAAACCCCTCGCCAAAATATGGTAAAGTCCCAACTCGCAAATCTTTTGGGGATGGATGGATGGTCTATAGCATCCATTTTGGAAGATTTTGGGATATACAATGATATATATATAGTATATATATATAGTATATATATATAAAGTATATATATAGATATATATATAAAGTATATATATATCGTATATATAGAGTATATATGTAGTATATATATAGTATATATATAGTATATATATATATTATATGTATGTATTTGTTATATATATACATACATATGTTATATATATATAAATGGTGTACCACATCACAGCTTGCTGCTATACAACTGCTGCTCCAGCTTGAGAACATCAGGCGAACCATCATTATCCGACGCAACTACCTGCACTACATCAAGCGACTTGCCGCAAAATTTTGCAAGGGTAACTGTTGGGGTTTATGGTGCGCAGACAGTTGTTTGTAAGACTTTGTAAGATTACAAACTCATGAGATCAGTGCATGCATGTGGGGCATGTTTAGGGTAAATGTTGGCAAGTAAGCAACTAACAAGTACACATTTTACCATACATTTACGGTATCGCAGAGTTCTGGTCGACCAAGTATTTTTGGTGACTACAACCAACTTTGGTGGGCACATCCGACCATTTATTGTATGTCTAAGTGCATCTTTGAATATCACCAGTTTTTAGTACGACTGAGAATCTTTTGGCATGAACCGCATCTGGATTTTGGAGGGCATCATGGTTATCCAATAACCTTTGGTATGTGGACTTCCCTATTTAGCTCATCCAACCATCTTTTTTGTACACCTTCTATCTCTCATTGTTGTCGCATGTCTTCTGTTCCACTCAAGATAGTCCCTTCTCCTTGTGCAATCATTAACACTCTGCCAAGTGATCCTGATTTGCTAGTCGATCGGATCTGTTCATTTTGTGGTCGCAGACAGGAGGGTTAGTACGTAGCGGCATACAATGAACATGGAGTGCCAAAGAGACTGCCTTCAAAGTGGCATTGTTTGTTATCATGTTGACGGTACTTGTAAATTCCTCACAGTGTTTGTGGATACTGTGACCATTTTATACGTTTTATGTTCATAATTACACACATGACCAATGAGATTAGTCGTTTTCAATGACCAATGTGGAACCATTTATTTTACCAGAGCGTTCTTAGATGGCCATCCAGCAATATTCATCAATATATTCCAGGAAATCAATATATAATATATCCAAACCCATAAAATGATGTCCCCACTTCTGGATCTTCTGGCCTGGCTGTTGGTCGACCTTTAAGAATCAAACAATATCAAACATAGCAATGTTTGCCATCCATAGGCAGCTCAGTAGCATCCCACCGTGACAGGAAGTTCCACCGTTTCGAGAAGCGTCACAGCAACATGGCGGTGCACTGCTCCCCAGCCTTCGAGCCCAAGGAGGTCGGAGATGTACGGCGTACGGGATTATCCCTCAAAAGATAGATACTTTAGGATACTTGACTATTATTAGATATGTTATAAGATATATTATTATAGAGTAGGATTGGAGTTTTCTATATCTTTTCAGGTATTGCTGTACATTGATATGGCCCTTTTTGCATGTGATGTCATGGTATGTGATGATATCGATGATATAGATCCAAGATGACAGTCACTATTTGATGCCTTGTTTTGAAACGTTGGTTTCGAATGGTTTCGACGATGTTGTATCTCCTCGCCACGGTTGAAAACTGGGTTGATGCTAACCAGGTTTTTTGGTCATTTGGCTTTGGCTGAAAATAGGGTACCCAAAAATCGCCAAACACATCTGTGTTGCCATTTTCATGTTCATATTTTTGGGGGCATAGAGCGTGGCTCACAATCCAGAGCCGTCCAACTGGAACCCACGACGCCAGGGTGACATCATCACGGCTGGCCAGTGCCGACCCTTGGCCAAGACGGTGCGTTTCAACGTTATCAAGGTGGGGGGTCTCTGTAAGTGGGTAACTGGGGATTGGGGGTGGATACCCTCCGGTGTCATCAAACGTGGCTGGGAAATCCCGTATCAAAATGAAGGTTTATAGCTGGGAAAACCATCTATAACTGGTGGATTGTCCATTGCCATGTTTAATTACCGGAGGGTAAGGATTGATATTCTTTTGAGATGTACCAATCAAACATACCCTGGAATGATACCCAATAATCATCTCTGGTAGGGATGAGGGGAATAGGGAACACATATAATCAAATATATATATATTATATATATATATACAAATATATATATATATATACATATGTATATATATATGATATTATATATATATACCAATAGGGATTGATAACAAACTGCTGATGTTTTTTTCGGGAAAAGGGATCTAAAAACACAGATCTTCTATGAATTTCTATGGGATTTGGGATGATTTGCACCCACAAAAACCTCGTCGCCCAGGTGGACAAGAACCAGATCTTCGGATCCGCCCGAAAGCAGTGGGGACTCCATAGTTTTTGAGACTTTAAAATACGAAAAAAAAAAATAGGCATTTAAGTGGAATATGTATAACTAATACATTTATATATATACACTATATAGTTGTTCTTATTGATATATATATATATATATATTTATTTATTTATATTTATATTTATAATCCCAATGATTAGAGATCTCTGGGGATGTCTAGATATATTATATATATATATATTATATATATACATAATTTAAATCCAATAGAATTTTCTGGCTGATTCTGCAATATTGATATCGATCCCAATTATTTGAGCTGGAATAACGATCCCAAGAATTGGATAAACAGCCGGCTGTTTTGAAGCGGTGGATGGATCTGCCCTGAGGTTTGCACTTTTCTGAGTGGCACGAGCGCGGCAGAAGTGAGCCAGTTGGCAACGTTGGCGGCAAAAAGAACCTGTGTCTCAAGCGGAAGCGCGTGTATATGCGAGGCTGGCATTTCTCGATGATATTGTTCCAGCACAATGTTGATCATTGATGGACACAGTCCATGCTCATGCCACTTAAACAGAAAGAAAGCTCTGATTCTGTCACAACCTACTAAGTTACTACAGACGGGCCTCAAGATTTCTATAGAAAAAAAACTGTTGGCTTGATCAGATTTCATGGTTTCAATCGTGAGATTCCAACCAACCACTTCTGAGTTTTTGTCGTTCAAATCTAGGTTTTGTAACCCAAACAGTTGATTGGTTTCGAACGTCTATCACTAAATTGCCTTGAATGATTCCAAACCGCAAGATTTTCAAATCTCCCTTGTGTTTGTTCCAACCCCTAATTTGTGTTTTTCTTCTTGATTGTGTTTGAGGTTCGGTTAACAAGTCAAAAGGTGGTTGAAGCATGTTAAATCCCCTATCTTTGGTGCTTTATCCCAAACATTTGGCTTGGTCTATCACCATGTGTTGTTTTTAAACCTTCGAAAAACAACATGTTTGTTTGTTTGTTCATATGGTTAAAACATCTTAAATCATATTGTTTATTTTGATGTAGTTGAACCATCTCAAACCATGATTTTTCCATGGTTTCAACCATGGTTTAAACAATTTAAACGTTGAAACCATGGGTTTTTACCACGCCAGGAAGCCAAACACCTTGCCGAGTCGTCCCGCTGTGAGGAGAGAACTGATGATAACTGTGGTGAATTCCTATGATCTCTGGGGATTTCTATGGTGATTTAATGCTGATTTAACAACAAAAAACATGATGATCATTGATGATCTAAAAAATGAAAAAATGTGATTTCACGAATGGAAAACATATAGTGATCTAATGGCATTTAACAATATTTTACACAGAAACCTTGGGATGAATGGATATGATATGAATGGTGGTAGAATGGAATTCATGAATGGGATATGCATGGAATATCAACGAATCATACAATTGCCATGGTTTTGGTCATCGACAATTGGGATCTAATTGTGATTTGATGGGAGGTTCTTGGATATTGTGGCTAATTGGGATGGTTTTGCAACAATACCCTGAACTATACTGGGATCATTTTGGACAATTGCGATCTAAAACAAACCATAACTAGGATGTAATGGGGATATTAATGGAACACATAGATGGTTTAGTAATCTATAATTTGCTATTTCAGCAACACACATGGTGGTATACTGGGATATCATAGGGATATGTTTTTCGGCTGTTTGTTATCGAGGATCGAATCCATACATAGTCCAAGTCCAGCCACGTGGATTACCCCTCGGATGTCATCCAGCCAGGCTGGCTGGCTGGAAGATCCTTGAACTAAATGGAGCTTTAAATTACCATAGAAATAGTCGATTTTCCCATGAAAAATGGTGATTTTCCATAGTTATGGTGATGTTTAACAGAGGGTAAACCTGGGAAGGTCATCGAACTAATTGGGGCATTGGCACCAGCCACGTGGTGCTGTGATAAGATGAGCCCATGTCCCATGGTGGTTTCGCTGGGATAGGACGCCCCGGCGGCAAGTTCATCGCACGGAAGCTCAACAATCTTATCGCTGTTGAATGGAAATTGTTGCCTTGATCCTACAGTACCAGACCAGAGTTCATGTCATGGTAGAACCTCCGGCCTCCGGCTGCTTTTTCGCACAGCAACTCACGTTTGATGGAAGTTGGTTGCCATGTGCCGGCAAGAGTTGGTTACCAAATACATACTCATACCAGAAATCTAGCATGTTAGGATCCACACTGTTCGCACTACCAAGATGTGGCTATCACATTTTAAGGCCTTTGAATGATCCCGTTGAAGCCCAGCAACGATAACTCATGGACTCGTAGAACTGGAGAATTTTTTTTAATGGGCCGGCTGGCAAAGTGGGATCCCATGAATCCCCATTAAAAATGGATAGATTGGTTGTTGCCCAAAAAAATTGTCCTAATTTGTAGAAGGACACATGCGTTGTCCTAACAAAAGCACTGATTAATTAACTCACATGGGCATCATTGTTTGTTTGCGGCATGTTGATTGGTAAATCACAACCAACTGTGCCGCTGAAGCTCCCATTTTGTGGGTTGAATCTCAATTGTTCCCAAGTTTGGTTGATCAAATTCCCATGCTGATGTTACATCATGATAAGATAAAGACAGATCAATTTGCAGATCAATTTATCATATATATGTTTTCTTTATTTTTCGAAACACCATCGAACACCTACAAAACGTAATATTACATTTCCTAGGTTACCTAGGACATGTAATATTACAATTTAATTTCTTTCGTAAAACCTAAAAATGTAATGCTTACATTTTTAGGGCATATGTCAAAATGTAACCTGAAGTATTGAGAAAATGTAAGCTACATATAGGGGTCCCCGTCCCCTGCTAAAAGGGTGGGGATGTTATATTCGCATAAAATCACAATGTTGAATAATTTTGATGATCAAGCAACCACATGCTTTCCAAGTTTGATTGGCAGTAGAAGTTTCCAATGGTCAAATCTTTCTCAAGTTTGGTTGCTTAAATGCTTAAGGCTTAAATCCTTTTTTTTACGCTTCACCCCACTAAATCACTATGTTTAGTTGGTCAACTCTCCAAGGTTGTTGATTACATAAATCATATTAAATCCCCATTTCTTGTTGGTTAAATCATGTTTTTTATCCCCCAGTGGTTCTTGCTTCGATCCCCATTTGACTTCGGTCAAGTCCCCATTTTCCATGACATTTAAAGCCCACAGCGAGGTCCGTGGTTTCCCCCATGACCTTCGGTGATGGGAGCGACGCTTCAGCTTCCACACGGGCCAGCTCCGAGGAGCGCAACCCGGCCCGTTTTGGGAGATGAACATCACCATCCCCCAGGTCATGACCATGTTGAAAAAGGTGGTATGTAGAAACCATTCCCAGGAAAATTGGTGGTAAAAAATATGGTGTTATCCGGAATTTTGGGAAACTTGGGGAAGATTGGGGATATAATCTGAAGATAGAATTTGGATAGAATCATGGGATACTTTATGGAGAGAATATTGAGAATTTGTATGGGATATACTTGGAGGATAACCCCACTGCTCTTCTAACTAGGGTGATTAGCCATATTACTTGCTGGGGCTAAACGTAGGGAATGGGAGGGATGATCCAATCCATCACTATTCACAATCATCCTGTGGCCCCATTCCCATAACAGTTCTCCAGTCTTTATGTTCATTGACTTTGAATTTGAATGATAGTAGATGAACATCCCGAATTTTTTCAACAATCTGGGACTGAGAATTGGAATGATAGAGCTGGTTGGTGGTTTGGAACATTTTATATTTTTCCAGATATTGGGAATAATCATTCTCACTGACTTTCATATTTTTCAGAGGGGTAGGTCAACCACCAACCAGTAGAGTGTGTATCCCAATCTCCCAAGGGCCAGGCCGGGGCTATGGGGCTATCCCTCGTTTTATGGATCGATGACAGTCCGAGGTTTGAAAGAGAATTTAGAGGATTACCCTCTGGTTATGTCAAAATAGCTATTGAAAATGGCAATAGAAATAGTGGATTTTCCCATGAAAAATGGTGGATCTTTCCATAGTTATGGTGATGTTTACCAGAGGATTAAAACATATTAACACCATTGTTATTTCTATCATGCATGAAGTATGAAAGAATTGGACAACGTTTAAATGGGCGATGAAGCACCATGGTACGGTAGGCTTGGTTTGCTGAGATGGAGATTCAAGCGGCTTAACCATCATATCCATCATAAGATTGGTGGGCGAGCTGTTAATAACTGTTTGGTGGGTTGAAATTTGACCATCAACTTTGGCGTTGCAGTGGGTGATAGATACAGGACTGTATATTCTAGAGATTGTACAACACCTGCGAAGCATGGGGGTTCAAGCAGCATGTTCAAACACAGAACTGATCCAAGTAATCCGATGACCTCAAATCCGACAATTGTGTGTTCAGTTAAAGGACATTCGTGGTGTGGACCTATAGTTAAAGGACATTAGTTCAATGACATGTGATTGAAGCTATACTTGTGTGGTTAGTGCTGTTCAAGATCAGCAACATCCAGCAAAGACGACGCTGGGCTGATGCGGCTGATGGTGAAGTTATCCCCATCGCCAGTTCATTCCTTGAAAAAAAAATCGTGCAGGAAATAGGTGCCTTCAAATTTTATCAGTCTTTATCGCTATCTTGAGCTACATATTTACTATATCATAAATGCTTAGACTCCTTTAAACATCCTGTTAGTACAGCTATCATGGTGTTCCCCATGCGTCAAACATCGCCGGTGCCCACGGGCAGGAACCTCCTGATGAGGAAAAGGCCAAAGTGGTAGCAGGCGCAGTGACCCAGGGTGCGTCAGCTACTTTCTTGACAGGTAAGCAACATTTAATGTTGGTAAAACAATGCCATTTGCACCATCTCCCAGTCAACACCATTTTTATAGGTGGTATGTTTACCATTCCCTAAATGAGTGGTTTATTATTGTTTTACCCACATTGATTTGAAATTCTGCCGGATTAAAGACAGGCACTGAAAAAGACAGTTTTTGTGAACAGTGTGTTTATAACATTTTATGTATAACTATAAACCACCCACCCAAAAATAACAGGTTGAATGTTTGATTATTTTGGACATGGTTTTGATTTTTCTAGATTTTGGATGATTTTCGGAGGTTTCCTATGCTAATACTGCATGTTTTATTTTGAGTCCTCAAGTTTTAGCAAAACTGCAAGCAGCTGCAACACGTCGGGGGATTTCTCTGAAAATAAGATACCCCTAAATTTGATGGTTCCCTGTTGCCTGTTGATATAATCATTTTCCCATTAAACTAGCAATTTTGAGGTATCCCTCATTCTGAAACAAATCCAAATGGCGAGTCTGATCCATTCCATTTTGAGCGGAAAATTGTGCTATTACTATTGGCAAAACAAATGGCCCGCTCCAATGGGAGCTGCAGAAGGGCCACTGAAGCGTCCGCATCCCTTGGGCAAAGCTTGGATGAATACCTGGGGAGATTCATTAGGATAATTGTATAATTATATATAATTATATATAATCTAATATAATATTGATTTTATTTTTTATTTACTTACTTATCTATATTCATTCATTCATTGATCCATCCATCCATCCATTCATTCATTCAGTCATTCAGTCATTTATTCAGGCATTTATTTAAACATATGTGTATATATATATATGCTTATGGATGTTTATGTATATGTATATCCTATATATATATATATTTATCCGGAAGTTCATATCACCAGGTGTGAAGAGGTTGATGGAGGAGATGGGTTGGAGCCGAGAGGCCGTCGCGTCGCTGGGTTGGTTCACTGCGAAACCCTGGGTTGGTTATTTAAAGGAAACCCTGAATCATAGAATTGGATGATGGGAAAATTTACAGGAAAGCCCTATATTTGATGGTAAAAACCATGGTTTCCTGTAGATTTTCCCTTAAACCAATCCAATGACAGAATGATTCATGGTCAATACCATCACAAAGTCATGGAGTCATAGTTGTTGAAAAAATTGTTTCATGTATTTTTTTTCTTCCTGTTAAAGCAATATCACCGAAACATAGATAAAAACACGATTGCCTTATCCTGTTCTAGGAACGAATGGTTGGATCCAGATATGTCCGGTGGAGGTTTGGCTCTTTTTTGCTAGAGGAGGGGGGTTAGTAGGATGTTGTGTGTCTCTCAGAGTTCCTGTTGATGTTTGTCTTGAATGCTGTACCCCCATGAATACCAGCATCATATGGGGCCCTTCCCTATTTTCAGATACACCTATGTGGTTTGGTATTCAGCCGGACACAGCTTCAGATGTCAGGTCCCAAGATTGAAGAACCTGGACGCTTTCACAAATGATTAAAAAAACATAAACCAATATACATTAAACCATAATGATTTATATATATATAATATTCTTCAATAGAAAATGCCCAATCAATTCTATCAGGAATTCATCTTGGCAAGGTGAAGTGACAATTCGACCGTTCGACGTTTGTGGTTTCGAGCGTTCGAGCCATGCTTCCTCGCGATCCGTTTTATCGGAAGCCCATTGACATCTTGAGTTTTCATCCAGATCCTGGGGCTGCCAAGAAAGGTGTGCATCTATGGACAATCCCAATGTTCAATAGGAATATCATCTTCAAGTCTGAGGATGATGTATTTCCAATTGCCATGTTTTTTTTACTTGGGTATGTCTAAAAGTCTGATGGACACGAATGATGCTGGGTAAACATGCTTTAGCAGCAAAGCGATTGGTTCAATTACGGTCTTTGGACAAGTGATTCAGAGATGAGTTGCACAGCCAACCAGGATCCATTTTGGGGACAGCCCAGCAGTGGTGTGGATTGGTGTGAGGCGAATTATGTACACACCAGGTATGTGGCGGAGTTCTTCAATACAATGTCATCCATCCCCATGTTGATCGTATCCCTTTGGGGTCTCTTCCTATGCTTCAAATACGGACTGGAAGCGCGCTTCTACTTGTGCTGGTTGGGTATCGGTGTCGTTGGCGTCGGAAGCGTGGCATTCCATGGCACCCTACATCCAACTGGTGGCGCCGGTTGAGCATCCAGCATTTTGCTTCGAGTGAGTTCAAACCAATCTTGATGGCTTTATAGCAACCCCGAAACAAATACAAAAATGGGACATCTGGAAATTATGATGTTTGTTTCATGTCGTGGAAATGTGGTTCCATCTCTTTAGGGACTCCTATAATCATCAAAAAGGGAAGCATTAAGGCTATAGTAGTCAAAGAAGGAGTTTTTTTCCGGCCATAATCATCAAAAAGGGAGCATACAATCGGCTACAATCAGCTAGAATCATCAATAAAAGGGTAGCATTACTGTAGCTCATCATTAACGTTGGAATGATGAGATTTTCCAGCCATTGATGAACTGGGCATGGCTATCTTTCCAAGGTCAAGCCGTTGATGAACTGGGCATGATCTGTGCCTCTTTGGCATTTCTCTATGTGGTCTTGGAGGTGGGACACCTAGATGCTTGGCGTTGGGAAAATGTTGGGAAAAAGCGGTTGGGAAAAGCCACGGAAATGTGGGACACCTGCACTGTTTTAGCGTGTGAAAAGAATATGTTTTATTTCTATGTTTTCAATCATAAAGACGTAACTGACTTGGAGATTTTATCTTGTTGTATCTGTTTCTTGCAATAATAGCTTAAAATCAGCATAACTTGGATTTTTTGTTTGGCCTATATATGTCACCCTGCTGGGGCCTAGGAGGCCAGGGTTCCTTGGCTTCCGGTGCTGGAAGCTGTCTACGCCGTGGGCTTTGCCGTGGCCTACTTTGCCTCGCCCTTCTTCTTCCCCGTTTTCGTGCCTGGGAACGGCTGGTGATGGTCCAATGGTGGGAGGATCGATGATTAACGGCTCGGTGAAAATACATGGCGATAGAATTTTGAAGTTATGAACCCATTTGATATAGTTCCCATAGGATCCATGGTGCTGGTATATATGCTAACATGACTGGGGTATATTGATGGTAAATGTTACCATATATAGCAGCACCATGGATCCTATGGGGTTGGATCTAGTTTAAATAGTTGGGAACGTGATCATCATTTTCGGGGCAGCCGAAGCTATGCTGTAGCAAAACAGGTGGCCATTTATGGCTGCACCGTGCTGCTGATCATCCATCAAGCCTATCGATGCTTGGCATTAAGGGACGATTGGTGGATGCGTTAGCCTCACTGACTAATTGTTTAAGGACTGGGTCGAGCTTGGTGTGGTAATCTTGTAACATAGGAGGTTATTGAATTTTGCCAGTGGGAAGGTAGAGTTATAGCCCTCAACAGTTATAACTGGCTTCATGATGTATAACCTTAGTTGCACGAGTTATAGTCCCATTTAAGGCCCTGTTAAGGGCCATAACTGTAGAGAAATCATTTTGAAATTGCTTGCCTGCTTGAATAAGATCTGAGGAAAGCCACGGTATCATGGGCATTGGATTTTTCACCAGTCAAGATATGCCAAGATGGCCAAGGATTTCAATCAACAGTCTTGAGGAACAATATTTCATCGGCCATTTGCTCCAAGCAGGCAGGAACGGCAATTTTGATGGAATCCCCAAGATTTGCTATTGATGAACTCCCCTTGTTGGAGGTTTCAAAGGCTCAAAGGACGGGGACCCTCTTCGTTCCGCGGCTGTGAGGAGTCTACCAGCATTATGTGCAGGATGACAGCACATCTGCACAGTGGCAACGATGTTTGTTTTGGACTGCTGCCATCGGTTATCCTGGGGGATTCTTATTCTTGTGGGTACCTGAGAATGCCTTGTGCCCCTTGTACCCGAAGGTCTTTCAAAGGTTGCAGAGTTCTTAAAAACTAGCAGCCTTTGGATGTTTTTTTTGAGTTTGGATTCTTTCCGCGCAAAGGATGAATCTCATTGGACCTCAAAGAATTTTTTGTTCAGTTCCGACTCCTTTGAAGCACCAGGGTGGGATGAGAAAGGGACCTGCCGCACCGCTGAGGCTGCATTTACATGCAATCTTCCACATTGTGACAACCATGTCGCCCTACTGTTATGTGGTCTTCATGACATACTATCGGTGCTTGATCTTGAAACGAGAGGCAGAGCATCGCTTGGGCATCGGTTTGGCCTATGTTCATGTGAAGGAGACAGCTCCATGACTGCGACGTCACCTGTGCCTTGCGACAAAGCTCGCTTGGCGCGCAGGGGTGCTTCATGGTACAAAAGGTTGCCAAATGTGACATATACCGGGTGGATCCGGGTGGTGCTGTGAAGGCGTTGTATAATCCATGGGTTGGTCATTGCAACCAGCCAGAACTGTGTAGCTTAGTTCAACGCAGGTCAGTAATGTTGGGAGTGTCCTTTGGGAAGATCAGACGTTTCTCTAGTGAACTACTGGCCATCCTGAAGTGACATAGTTTCGGGAGTTCGGGTCTTTAGCACAAGATAAATGGTCAAGATATGCCAAGATGAAACTTGAGATGCCTTTGTTCAAGGTTTAGAGTCCTGGAGCTGATTCACCAAAGTCACGCCTCAATCCTTTGGTTGATTTGGGCTGCAGGACACCATGTTGCTACGGTTCCATTCAAAGACAGTTCAATGACATGGACGGATGGACAGACCATTTTATGATATTTTAGGATAGAATGAAATTATAGAAGCTTCAAGATCGTTTTTGCATGGTGTTTGCCATGTGATGTTTGGACAGCCTGGGACAGACTCTCCATCCTTGGTTGAAAGTTTCATCTGTCGCTGTTCCCGGAGGCAACCCTGCCTCCGGCGTTAGAGGGCGAAGAGGCGCTCCGGCAATGTTTGTTATGGACGGAGATATGATATCCATTGAATTCGTTGATATCCCAGGAGATATCCATTGATATCATTGATATCCCACTTGCCGCGTTATCTATAACAACCTTGTAAAAGCTGGGTTCAGCCAACCAAAATGGCGTTAACTCGCGACAATTGGGGTTTAACATGGTTTAACTGCTTGGAGCAGAGAAAAGTGAAGATGATGGTATACCATGATATATGGATAATATAGCTCTGGGTAAATTATAACGACCTCACTGCGATCTCACTGGAAATCATGGTTAGTAAGAGAAATCATCCCCAAATGGCCTTAATTCAGGTTAGTGAAATATTATAATTTACCCAGATAGCTGGATAATATAGCCATATTAAGCTGATGTTGGGTTTTTCAACCGCCATGAATGGCGCATCACCGTTGGGGCTGGAACCTGGACCACCTGGAGCCTGACTCCAGGTTCCCTTGTAATCCGGGGTGGCAATCCATTGGTAAAATGTTCCATGGCGAGCCCTATGGAATATGCCTAGTGTTGCTACCCTCTATAGTAAACTAACATAGCTATTATACAATACAAATACTCCATTTGTAGTTGATTTACCTATTTAAAATGGTGGTTGTCCATAGTTATGTTAGTTTACCAGAGGGTACATGGAACATTGGTCCTGTCCCGTCCCCACCTTTCCCCAGGTGGCCGAATGGCGTGAGAGGAATCCCACATACCGCCAGACCATCCAGCAGGTCTGGGTGCACAGTTGGGGATTTGGCTATCAAACCTTGGTGTTTTTTGCCATACTAGGCTAGTGTAATAGCTGTTATATAATAGAACAAGTTAATAGATGTTACTGTATTAGAATTTAACAAAAAGTTCAACCCATGATTCTCTGCCAAACATGTGGGTATACGTAAGCCGGGGCTCTGATTATAACGAGCTCAATGGGCATCCTTACTACAAATCATGGCAAGTAAAGCGAAGATTCCTATGAAATGAGATGCCACTTGTCTGAGAATGACAGTAATTTGCCCGCGGTTCTCCTTGTTGTCAAGATTTCAATAAGCAGGAAAAGTGTGAGCCGAAGTGTTGTACATGCATAGCTAGGTGTCATTGATGTCCTATCGTTTGATATCCCAAACGTTTTGCCAGCAACGATTTCATACCAATACCAATACATTGTGACTTCTCAAGGCAAATGTGAGGACATGCACTGAATATAACTGAATGATGAAAGCAATATTATTATAATAATATAATTCATCATTCAGTGATATTCAGTGATTAAATACTACCGCCAAACCATTAATACTAAATTAATACCAATATACGTGTATATATATATATTATATAGATATGTATAATTAATTTATATATATACATACATTAATGACAATTACTGATCATATTCTGGTTGGCGGTATGATTCGTGTTTCTGATTACTTTCAACCTTATAACCTTAGGCTGGGGGTGATCTTCAAGTAAGAAAAACTCTGAGGAAAACCAATTTATTGCTTCCACTGAAACATGAATCATCAGTTGTCAACTTCATGGGATATTCTTGGTAGATGGGATATGTATTTATATATATATATATCTATCTCAACCTTTAAGAACTTCATTCCCTACTCACCAGGGTTTCCAAAAAAAACACATCATTTACATTCATTTACCCCACGTTCCCAGCTCCGCCCTTTCCGCCAGGAACGTGAACGGCTGAGATCTCAGTTTGTGCAATGGGCGTCACGATGACACGATGAGGCCAAGCCCTGATGGCTGGAAAGTCATGGAAAAATCATGGAAAAACCAGTAACCATGAGAAAAACATGGTTTAATGATGTTTAGTTTAATGGTTTATGATTGGTTTGTTACCCTGGAGTAAACTAACATAGCTATGGAAAATGGACCATTTTTTGGACCATGTATAGATGATTTACCTATCAAAGAAATGGTGATTTTCTATAGCTATGTTAGTGAGGGTAACATGGTTATTCATGGTTATTTGACATATAGCTATAAGATGGTTGGTAAATGTTACAATGCTTAATTTGTCATCTTCAACTATTCATCATTTGTTAACCACAATTTCTATTGGTGCCAATGTACATTAGACAGGTGAATGAAAACATGTGGGAGTCAACCATCGGCAACATGTGTTATTGACCAGTAGTAATCCAGTTAATGAACTGGTTTGAGAAAAAATCGACAGGAGGCTGCATATTTTTTGGTTTTCACATCAGCAGGAAATGTCAGGAATCACAGACAGAAGGACCCATGCCTTGCACCGTTGACACAGTGCTGGATTTTGGCATACAATTGGCGAATATTGGCGAACCATCACTGACATGAACCTGGGTCTTGTTCTCACTAGATGACCCCTACAACGAGCTAGTTGTAATGATTTGGTTCTTTTGGGTTTTAGACTTGAAATACCATGCAATTCTTGGACGACATTCCCATCTTTAGACAATGCAGGCCCAACAGACAGATGAGCAACCGGTGAGCCGTCCGGCGCAAATTGATTTGCGCCAGTGGCAGGCACAAGGGCTACATTCGGCACATGTGAATGTGATATACCAGGTGAAAGACGAACTTCCACTGAACCAGACGCGAAAATCACTTGAAGTGCCTGCCTGTCAGCCTGAACTCGCACAGTGCTACTGTACTTGTAGCAATGTTGAGAATTGTAGATTCCGTAGACGTAGGATTTGTCCCCATCTGAAAGTGCAAGTGCTTTTGAGGCTTTGACGTTTCCGGTGGAATTTGCAGCAACTCTGTTAGGAATTCCAGTTTGAGCAACCAGATGCATCCAGCAATTCTGTGATGAGTGCTTTTTAAAGATCATATTTGTGCGTGGTTGCATTAGTTGCATTGGCACTTTCAGGCACACAATGCATCAACTCAAGAAACTGCAGTTGATGCATCGATTTTGAGCAGGAAACTGCTTCAACTGGCTGACGTTTGGACAGCGCGCGCTTCCTGAAGAGGGACCATGATACCATGACCATCCATGACCTGCCACCCCACCGGTAGCAAGTTGCCACCCCAAACTGAGACCATTTCCCACCAACGCCGCGACACGACGTGCCTGCCGTGCCTGCCCTGCACACGCCGAACTGGGGCGCCGCAGCAGCCTTCTATAGCTGCCAGCTCCGAGTCTGATTGATTTTTTTGTTTGAGCACCTACCTTGACTGTGGCTGCAAGACGGATATTAAATGATATTATAATATATATAATTATATATATATACTATATATCTACTATATATATATATACTATATATATATATATACTAATATATCTATATATATATATACATTCGAAGATAAACTGCACACAGACTCACAGAGGTATGATCAGGTCTCAAACTCATTGAATTTCCACTATCTCCGATCTATGGAAAATGTCTATATCCCAGCCGTAAAGAGTCAAGGCGTCACATCTTAAGCACTTCAGGAGTCACGACCGCTGAGCTGAAAATGAGTCCGGCTACTATGTGGATCTGCGATGCAATAAACTATTGGCGCTGGAAACCAATGGACCATGACTACTGCTGTAACGGGTTGATCTAATACTGAATACCCACTACAGAGTGTGTCTTCAATTTATCTCTGATCTTTCGAAAGCTTCGAAAGTACCTTGCTTTTGAATGCTTTTGACCCATCTCCGGTGGGTTTGTCACTGTGAGTCAAAGGGTGTGGGAATGATGCCCCTTGATCAACCGCTGGTTTGCTGAATCTTGCCCATCAGAGGCAGCACAAGTCTGCAAGCTTGAGCCAACCCACTGATGAAGCTGCAAGGATGACGGAAGGAGCCCCAGAAGATCCAAATCAATTCAATCACAATCACTGTTTTCCTTCCTATGTAAATGTTCTTATAGGAAACAAAATCATGAGACAAGTAAAGCAGGACCATTTGGAAGCTCTTTCAAGTTGTAAGGTACCAAGCTGCACCGAAATCCCTCAAACACTGATTTCAATTGACTAGTTTGATGGTTTAACCACTTTAGCTGGTTAAATCACCATGTTTCCAGGTAGAAATAATTGAACATCCAGATTCCTTGAAAAAACAGCCAGCTTCGGCCCATGATGTCGCGCCCCAACGATGCCACTGAGCCCTTTATCGCCGAGAGTGAAGTCTCGGGTGCGGATGCGAACGAGCGGCAGCAGCAGCGTCGACAGAGGCGGCAGATCCAACAGGAACGACGCAGAGCGTTTCGCGACCGACACTTCCAGGACGGGAAACAGCAGGAATTTGGCTTCAAACCATGCGGTGATTGCCATCCTCAAGATGGCCAAACCCATGAATTTAGCAGGTTTCGTGTCCAAAAAGTGGGAATTTCATCAACCAAAGTTGGGAACAGTAAAAAAGAAACGACCTTACTGTTGACTAATGGAACTGCTTTGTATACATAGTACTTTAGAAAGCTCTTGTCGTCCTGAAAATGCCATTTACATAGTCTGGACTCTGGACGCAGCTCAACAGCCGCTGCGGGGTGCTGAAATGGTGCTGGCCGTTAGAAATGGTGGTTTTTCAGGCTATCCCGAAAACCTAGCATTTCAGGTGAACTATCATAATTCAGCCAGACTCATAACATGTGATTCTTTCGCATGATCGAACATCAGTAACTGCGCAGCAACTGCTACTTGCAGGACCATTAGCGGTTCAGAACCCAAAAAAATCCCCCGAGATTTTCCCATTGAGGCTTCTAAAGTCTAAGGATACTCGGTTGACCACGCAAGGATAAGCCCACTTCAACATGATCGGTGAATCAAAAATCATGACCCCGCCATTTTCCCATTGTGCTTTGGTTGTAAGCGGCCATCTTTGTTCGTGAAATCCCAATTTATAAACCCCAATTGATGCTGAAATCATCTTTCACCAACCATGTTAAAGCCGCCACATTTTTGCTGGTGAATCCCCAATGTTTCTCGCTGAAATGATGTGAAATCCCCACGAGAAACGGTAGAACAACGGACCTTTCCAGAAGCGTCCAGGAGGCCAACATCCATGGCCTGCGCTGCCGTGAGTTCGAAGCCGACCTTCGCCTGGGCGAGCGCTTGATGGGCGGCGAGCCCATCCGCGTGAAGTTGACCAAGACCATCTCCTTCTGTCGCAGGTGGGGCTGATTTGGCTGAGTTGAAGCAGATTTTTCGCCAATTGATGAGGATTTAGCTGATGCTGGGTTCGCACTTAAAGGATTTCATGGAATGATAAGAATGGATCTGGGTTTGTCTAAGACCTGGATTGATCAGCAGAATGTGGTTCAAAGGTCTACAATTTGGATGTTGATTTGCCAGTTTATTTGAAATATAATTTATCCAGACATCGGTTGATTTCATTCTACCTGGAGATGATATCTATGGATATCTTTGTACTGGGGGTTTGGGGATGGGAATTTCAACCACCAACCAGACGATTCAGCAACCGTCCGAACCGTCCATCAATCTCCCAACTCAGCCCACAACTTGCTGATTCAGATTCAGAAACCGCTGGATGTTTAGCTATCCAACACTAACACTGTTTTACAATATACAGTACAGGCTATTCTTTCAAGAATTTTCGACCAAGCATCCCAATTGAGGGACATCACGACTGAATGGGATAGACTGTTGTCAAATTTCTAGCAGCACATGTCTTTTGGAAATGGACCTATTTGGGCTACAGTAACCTGTTTCAAATCGTCACCCACCCCTCATCGCATGACCTCCGAGTGCAGCAAAATCCGCGAATTTTCAAAGGTTGTTGAAGACATTACAACTTTAAAAGCAAACGTTAGAGAAGATAAGCATGAAAGTTGAGTCGCCCACTTGTTTTCTTTGCATGTGTGCACGTAGTGTCAGCCAAGTGAATCCAAGTGAGCCATGTCAGATGCCTTCAAGCACGCTCAAGAGAGGAGGTGCGAAAGTTGGCTCACAGACGAAGATCTCTGTGACGCCATGGCAGTAGTAGGCCCTGAAGGGCACCGTGTGCCATTCCTTCGGACGCCGTTGGCCAGCCTCTCCCAGCCACTGAAGGCTGCATTGTATGGTGAATTTCAGGAAGGCCAAACGTGTGAACTTACCTTGAAAGATGTGGCTGTTGACGCCTTCGATGTAATGATCCGGACCGCATACAATTTGGAGCCCAGGCTTACTCCTTTGAGAGCCCTACGCGCATTTGTAGCTGCGAGATTGTATGTCATAGACGATCTGGGGGCATATTGCTTGCATTACTTGCAATCTTCCGAAGATGTGGACGGCCCTGCAGCTTTGCAGATACTCAACGAGTCCTTGCAACTGTCCACGAATTTGCCAGAAGAGATACAACATAGATGTTGGACCACAGTTTTGACAGAGAGCATCAAGGTTGTGCAGTCGCCATTGTTTCTTGAAACTCATGGTTCCATCATAGCCATTTTGATCGAATTGGATGAATTGTACATCTATGAAGAGACACTTTGGGAGCGCCTGGTGGAGTGGTCTGCAGCAGCTGTTCAGAAACCGGACGTGTTGGGTCCGTTTGATGCAGCACCCGAAGATGGAGTAGATCAGCAGGTGGCGATTTTGCGGTTGATCTCCCCGCACATCCGCTTCACACAAATGAGCAAGGATTTCTTCATTGACCGGGTGAGAAAGTATTTGAGTCGCGAAGAAAGTGAAGCTGTCACTGATTACTTCCTCCTGGGTCACCAGGCAGAAGGATTGTTGGTTAACCAGCGCGTTGGCCTGGATCCAATGATCGAACCCATGACCTGCTGGTGGTTTGACCTCCATGAGACGGCCAAGACCATGGTCTCCAGCACCAGGACACGTACCAGGACGACCAGGACTGTAACCTTTGAGAAACCCACATGGGTCACCAAGGTGGAGCTGATCTTCGGCAGTAGCTCGCATGTGGCGGATCCGATAGTTTCTGTGCCAGGGCCGACACTTATGATATTTGGAAGGGCAAGAACATGGGCATGCGACAATGGTAAGACCAAGAAGGTCATAGATATCTATATTGAAGGCCCCTGCAAAGAATTGACTATCGATCTTAGTGAGGTTGATCGACCAGAAACAGTAAGAATCCACGACTTCATAGATGTGAGCAGAGCACAGATGGAAATTGCAGCCAAGCTGGCAAAGCGATTGTCAACAAAATTGTGTCTGACACCCAGTTCAGTGGCCCACACCGAAACCGCAGATCAGTGGCGAAGATATCAATGACATTGACAAACTGACATCAAGCTTTAGGTCGAACAGGAAGCAAGATGCGAAAGAGCGTTCAGAATGCGTGTGGAGAAAAGAAAACGTGCAAAGTTGAAGTGCTAAGGCTATGGGTTGACGAATTGGGTGTCAAGAAATTTGTTTGCGACCACAGATTGATGATTGTGGGATCACATGGAATCACAGTAGTTTACGACAACAGCGAACTGAATAGAGCACTTAATAATATGATTTGATAATTTTAATATAGGCCATAGTTGGGTAGAGATAGGAAAGCATGTTGGAGAGTCAACCACGAAATGTTTTGGATTGTTTTGGTGTTTTTGCCTCCTCACACCCTTCATCGGTGTATCGCCATGTGAATCATCATTTTCCCCCCAAACAAAGTGACCATCGAATTTTAGCTCAACCCCACTCATCCCCAATCCAAGGTCATTTTGCATGATGAATCACCATGAAAAATCACCATGACATCACCTATGTCCCAACTCCATCCAGGTTTTTCTGCCTGTTTTCTTGGGGAGTGATGGAAAAAAAATGCCAAATTTCGCATGGGAATCGCCGTAGGCTGTTCTTAGCGCTGCTGACCTGCGGCGTCTACGAGTTGTGGTTCAGATGTTGCGCCTGTGGGAGCCGCGTCTTTGATGTGGACGCACGCATGGGGGCGGGGGCGCCGAGCTGACCTCATGGACCATTTCAATGGCTATGTTTGTTGTGTTGAGTCTGTGTAATCTATGTTATTATATGATATTATGTTTAATTGCTATTATTAATATATTTATATATATATAATATTATAATGTGAAATTAATAGTGGCATACAATGACATGAATTATCATCCTCAAATTGTATGTGTTCACAGAATTATATAATGCGATGATGAATTTCTATGATGGAAGGAAACTGAGGTGACCCTTCAGTTGAAAAGAGATTCCAGATGCCAAGGTGGGTCTTGCTACATAGCCTTTTCCAAGGGTGGATACCTTGGTTGCTAACCTTTTAGCTAGCCAAACCAAATGATATCAAATCGCCCACATTGCTCATAGTAGACCATCATAGCATTCCAGGTATGAGACCATACGAGACGTTTGAATTGAGATTGGTTATAAGTAATGAGTCATGTCCGTGGTTGTTTTGGATAGTTTGATCATAAAGGGCTGCGCTTGCTGAAACCCAAACGGTGCCAGCTTCGTAGCCTTCTGCAGTTTGTTTTACTTTTCCTAGTAGGCCGGCATGCACACTGGCACAACAAGCCCTGATAAGGCCCAGCTACAATGGACGGAAGACAATTCCCCATGTTTTGTTTTTTTAATATCATAATTCATAATATGTGTTTTCTCAAAAGTGCGATAGCGATATCTTCAAGATATGTCCCATTTTGAGACGTGCCCATCTCCACTCTTCTTTGTTGGTGCCCCAAGACGTTGCGTGCGCTTGAGCGGGATCCATTCATTCATCGGCAGTGTTTGAGGTCACCAATCTGGGACGTTTGCTCCTATGGACGCACACTGCGGGTGGAGGCTTGACCACGCAATGCAATGTAATGTCAACCCCAAATGAAAAAAGCTCCACCATTTCTTTAGTAGTAAGTTATCATGAGTGATCTTTTTTTGGTAGTTATCCACACCCGATTATATAATAGTCATGGTTTTTGTTTTTTTGAATCTGGGGTTGACATTGCATGTATATATATATATAGTATATATATATATATATTACATACACTCGCATATAAAATGATAATGAACTTATATTATAAGTATACACATATATGGCATATGGATGAACAGAATATTATAGATTCATTCGTTTGATTGTCATGTTTGACGAATGTGAGTGAAAACAACCAGTGACAAAAAATAGGAAACATTGGCGTTGGACTTTGACTGGGTAAAATACATAGAAGGCTTCTACGGATGACTGGAAGGCTATACGGCTTTGATCCCATAGCGGCCATAGCGTTTGTACATTATGTTTGCCATCTTGGTTTTCCAATTTGGTTGCATTGGAACCCAATTAAGTATATTTATATATAATTATACTTACAATCACCATCAACTCTGGTATACTGTTTGAACTACTGTAGCCAGTTGACTATACGAATCCCCTAAAGTTACATCATCAAATTGTTTATGTGTAGGTCCAAGGTCTCAAGTACAAGTGTCTCTAGTCTCTAGTTGAAACTATGTAGCTGGTTGTTTTGATATGTTCCATTTAAATCCCTACTGAGTTCCTATCATACCATCAACCGCTGAAAGCACCAACCAAGTGATCAGTGCATATTGCTGTGTTGGAGAACATGTTGCATTTATTTCACTCGTTTTGAGATCAGATGATCCCACTTTCCAAAATTGAATCAATAACAACATGCAACACATGTAGATCGCTGCCTGTGGCTTATGCAAATCTGATGGGTAACCCCAAGTCCCAATTCATTTCAAGCCACTGGATATCTGGAATAATTACCCTGGACCGAAGGTGGACTGCCTCTGCCGCAGCACTTCTTCCGTGCCACACTGAGTTGGACAGGAAAAATCCTTGGTGCAATTGCGATTGCCAGGAAACGCATGGTGATGATCAGCATACTACACTCCTAAGGACTCTAACGGTCACTTCCCGCTTGAGAATAGATCTCACTTCTTAAGTGGGTAAAGGCTGTCTTCTGAACCCAGTTGTTCTGTTTCCAATATATTCAGAAGTTTATGTATTGGAGTTATAACTACCCACTTGCGCATCGGTCCGAATTTGAGTCGTTGTTGGACACGCAATTTAGATGAGGTTGTGTCCTGTGCCCTGTAGCATCACAAAGCTGACCTTGATGGACCTAGTGAGCAGTTTCATCACTACCAGTCAGTATACCGGTTATCATGTTAATCTTTATCTATCTGTGTGCCACCAAAGATGAAGCATGTACCAGACAAGGCTAATGGATGATCCTAAAGATTTGAGGCAACACCAGCCCCATCCTACTGTCCTTACCGCCTTCAGGCGCGATTACGCAGCCATCCGCCATTCTGTTCATCGCCATTTTCGTGGGCAGCTGAGCACCCCAATGGATTTGATGATTTTGGATGATCCATAGGTAAACCATGGGAAAACCCATCGGAAAACCCATAGGAAAAATGGGGGGGTTCCATTGTTCTATATGTTTTGTGATATGAATTGAGGAATGGAGATAAAATAGTGCCTTGGATAGTGAGAAGTGTGTCGTTCAATTGTTCATTTGATCGGTTCCTTGTTTGGCAGCTGGTTTCAAACATCTTGTATATATATCCCCTATTTGAAGTGATGACCCCAAACGGCTCGTATCTGTCAGTTGGAGTGATACTATACCAAAATCTACCAAACAGTTTCGGATTTTGTCATATGCGTTTCCATCTAAAGTTGTGTGCTACCTATTCTAGAAACCATCTATTCCATATGTTGCTGACCAGCAAACCATCTATCTCTAAATCTTCTACCCCTCACTGCTGGAATCTTCCAAGAGATGTTGCCATCCCAGGTGCTGTTCTTTGCCTTTGGTCCCGTGCTGCTGCAAACCGTGGGCGGCTCAGGAGGCTCTGTCAGGTGCCCATTGTTGCCTGGTTTTCATGTTTTAGACCTAAGACTCTAAGACCATTTAATGGTTGTTTAACACCGCCAATATATGGGGAATATTAGGGGATATATGTCATGGGTTGCAATGGGATAGGTTTTTGTAGTCATAATGGATGTTAGAGAGTTATAAAAGCTATAAATGGGTGATTCCGCCAACCAAAAATGTTGGTATGACGCCGATATAACAATGGGATATATAACCAAGATATCAAGAATATCAGTCATACGATGTTTAGGTTTATCCCCAAATTTTGATGGTTAGCCACTATTATTCCTACTAAAGCTGCCATGTGCGGGGTAAACCACATGTTCAGACACAGCGATTTGAATGGTTGCGGGAAAAGGATACTTGTTTTGTTTGGATGCATCATATCTGTCAAACATTGGCAAAACATTCTGGCTGCGGGAGCCAGGGACCCAGTGATTCATCTTGTGCTGCATTTACAATTGAGCCATTAAAAACTAGGTGATTCATAGGTCAATATAGGGACTTCTACTAATCTATGGAATCTATGGGGCACTATGACATTCACTGAAGGGGATTTTGATAACCCATTGTAGCCATAGGATGACATTTGCCAGGTGGTGTGTTCCACCAAGCAGTTCTAATCCCCCCCGCCTCAGGACATCTTGCAGGTTGCGGGCCTGGTGGTTCCATCCTCAGTGCCGCGATCAGATCTTGGGACGGAAGCCCCACTGGGATAGGTCACAGAGAATGATCAAGCCCAATGAGATAATCTATAATTATAACTCTCCATCCCCCAGTTTATGAATCACTTATCTAATCACTGCTTCTTTTTTGAGCCGAGCCGAAAAAATTCAAGGTAAACAATCCTCTTAAAATGGGGGTGATGGGATGACCGAGGCGGCAGTCCTGGCTGTGGCTGTGGTGCTGGTGCTGCTGGGCCGAAAGTTAACCCTCTGGTGGTGTGACCTTTTTTTGGGGTGTAAACCGCCAATATATGGAGGGATAATGAGGGATATATAATGTATATAATATCATATATATATAAACGATTATAAATGGATATTTCATGGGATATGCCCCAAATAATGTGGTAGACCCAATGCCATACATCATCCTCAAGTCATCACCGTTCTTACGGGTGGATTGACACCATCCCCAGTCATGGTAGTTGTTAATGGCATTGGGTTGCCCAGATTAAAGTACCAATATGTGGATGTTTCTTAAGTCATCGGGGATCCCCAGTCGTCACCATAAGATACCATAAGTTTCAATACTAGGTCATGGTCATCCATGACTTGGATGACTGGGGGGTACCCCCATGGATTGGAAACCTCCGTGTGGAAGGATAAACTGAATATACTGTAATGGGATATTTCATGATATTTCATGGATTTTTCATGATCCTTGTTGGGGGTGGTGATATGTTGTGGCCATAAAATGATCGTTTTAGACCAGCAAACATGTTTTTTTGTTCATCCTGTGTGGGATATGTATAATAAGTTATACTTTATATAGAATTACATAATAATAATCTATATTATATGATAATATATAATAATGGAATATATTAGCATATAATGATGGGATATATTGGCAGCAATACGATATGTTGAGTTGGAAAATGGGTGATGCCCCTTACGTAATGCCCCTTATGTATGACCATTTTAATTGGGGACATCATGATTACACAACCAGTGAATTCAGAGGAAGCCTATGTTCAGAAAGATCCATCCCCATGTGGCCAATTTAGTGTGAGTTTGTTTTTATTAGTTATGATATATATATATATATATATTATGTACATATATATATATATTATGTACATATATATACATATATATATATATATTCCTGAATCCATTTGCATACATTGCTTCCAGTGCCCACTTCTTCCATGAACTGGCGGGACATATTGGGGACCACAGTGTGGGGTGGTTACAACAACAATGAAGGATTTTATAAACTTTAATGTTTGCAGAGATGGTCAAATTGCACAATTTGGATGATGATGATGATGATGGTGATGATGATGATGATGATGATGATGAGGATGATGATGATGATGATGATGATGATGATGAACTACTCGCCAAGATTGAAGGTAGGGTATCTGCCAATCCCTCGTTAACATGTTTTCCCATTATATTGGGGCCATTTGAGTTATACGATGGTATTTGTTGGCCATATATAGAATCTATATCCCCGAATAATCCAAGCCATTAGATCATGACTTCGTATTGAAACCCATGGTGACTTGGGGATCCCCCATTACTTGAGAAACCCCAATATGGGACATTCTTGACTCCATGGCTGCACGAGGTTTTGGCAATGGCTCTTCGAGCCTCGTACCCAGAGCTGCAAGGGTGAAGCAAGGGTTTGGTGTTTTCAACCCTTCCCATAGCATGATATAACCAAGTTCCTACATGTTTAGATTATCTTTGTATAAATGATAATATGATAAACCAAGTCTTTATAGATTTACCATATATTCTTAGTGTTGGTTTTTGGTACCAAAATACCATGCAGGAGCCACACATGGTCTTGGCCGCAGACGGCGGTCGCATGTTTTGCAGCTGAGGCGGGCTTCATTGCAGGTGGATACGGGTTTGCGACAGTTTGAGGCCAGGCCACAGGAAGGCTGTGTTTTTTAAGGATGTTGAAGGGTGAAGTCACATCAATTCTTATGGCAATAATACACATCACACAAGTATAGCTTGTCACTATGACAGTATAGGTCTTTGGCATTTATTTTTTTTGGCGACTACAGACTGCACTTTATATCCTTTTTGTGTTTTTTTGTCTGCTGGGAACCCTTTGTTTGCTGGTCAATATCCTCTGGATGTTTGTTTAGCCACAGTTCCGTGTTGATTTGATGTGTGTTCACATCCCAAATATCACCCCTTTGTTGCTTGGGCATTGGTCACCTGCTTGTTATGCTCAGTTTCCTCAGGTTGATTACTTCAACATACGTCCCCGTAAAAAATGGTCCGCAGGTGGACCAAAATCTTCTCATCTGGGTGTGGTTTTTATCCCATGTATGATTTTTTAAGGTGCACCATAAATATCTGGGTAAATTATAACGAGCTCACTGCGACCTCACTGGGAATCATGGTTAGTAAGGGGAATCATCCCCAAATGGCCTTAATTCAGGTTAGTGAAATATTATAATTTACCCAGAAAAATATCATAATGAGGCCGCCCATATTTTTGGGTGTACACCATTTTTCGACAGACCCATATCCATTCCTAGTGAAGTCCTAATATGTTTGCTGGTTAAGCCACTGGAAAATCCCCACCAATGGGCTGTTTAAAACTCCATGTGTTCCAACTTTGTTTATGCTTAAAGCACATAAAACATATCCACGACTTTGGCCATAAGCGGCTGCTTCAATCCCAATCATGTTTGGCATTCCTTGACTATTCAGATCCACCGTTTTTGGACCATATTATCAGTTGTTTTTTTTCTTGGAGTATAGAACTTAATTATCCCATCAAACTTGCCACGTTTCATGGTTCTATAAATCCACCGTAATATCTATTTATACATATATATATATATGTATATATATATGGTGGATCCTCAGACTAATGGTTATATATCATATCAGTGCGGGATTATGGATGAATATCAAATCATTGCGATATCAGATATCACATGGATATATCACATCATATCAAGTCATATCAGTTATACATATATGTATATATGGATATATAGTTCATATAGTTTATATATATATATAATATTATAGCATCTCAATTATGTAAATAGGACACATGGACATGGTGATTAGGTCATATAATATAATATCAGATCACTTTTGTCAAGACATATATACGCATATGACGATTGTATCATATCATATATCATATCTTATCAAATCAATTCTGTGGTTTGGAACATGTTTTATTTGTCCATATATTGGGAATGTCATCATCCCAACTGACGAACTCCATCATTTTTCAGAGGGGTAGGTATACCACCAACCTACCCTCTGGTAAACTAACATAACTATGGAAAATCACCATTTTTAAAGGGAAAAATCACTATAAATGGTGATTTTCCATAGCTATGTTAAATTACCAGAGGGTATTTGTCAATGACTATTGATGATCCATCTTCTGATGCAGCCACGACCTCCAGTTCGGAGGCCGCCGAGCTCAGCCACACACGTCTCATCTGCTACCGCAATCGGAGCCTTTGGGGCCTCGGGGGTGAGACCTTGGCGTGTCAGGCGGGGATGGGTTTAGGATGGTTTGCTATGGAAAGTCAGCATATTTGTAGGTAAATCAACTACTAAAATCATCTAAAATCACTTTTTTGGGGGATAGATGATTCTATTTAATGATTTTACTTTACCTACAAAAACTGTGGTTTGACACAAAAATTGCGGTGCTATCTCCACAAAAATACTGTTTTGATTTAGCCAAGGAACAGTTGTCATATTACCCGTATCTTTTTTGTTTAAGATTGGTTCTGGGGGGCGAAGGCCCTGAAGTTCCAAATCCACATTGATCCAGATGCTTCATGAGCCTGTTCTAGAAGGACAGTGTCTTTGAGCGCATTTCACTGTATTGTACCTTGTAAAAGGGGGTCGATTTGACACAAGCAAGACCGAAGGAATTCAATTCCAACGTTGCATCCATCCATTTGTGATTGTATTTTGGAACATCAGAAAGTCTTGGATCCATCAGCTACTGCGAAATTCAAGAACCTTTCTGATTTTTGAGCACAAACTTTCCTAATCCATCCGATCCATCCTAGTCAAACAATTCTCCTACAGTTATGGCCACTTATCAGTTATAAGATCATAAGTACTTAAAACCCATTTATAGAATGTATAATCCCATTTATAGCCAGTTATAACTGGTAAATGGCCATAACTCTACAGGTCTACTTGTTCTTCGGCTTCTACCCCAAAGAGCAGCAGCTGAACCGAACCCTGCCGCCGGGCATGTTTGATGTCGTGTCCTCGGCACCGGCTGGAGGATCATCCCACGACTGTGACAGAAAGCCTGGTTAGTAGCTCCCCTGAGTGCTTTATCCTGTATATTATTGGGAGTTATATTATATTGTTATATTATATATATATATATATCCTATATATCCTATATATTAGGTTTGTGGTAGTTTTAGTGGCTTATAATACAACAATGGTTACGAATAACTTTCACTCAGTGGGATGACCAGTAGCAACAACTTATCAGTTCTGCTAGCAGTGCCACTGCCATGTTTTCAAGTGTATGTGATTGGCAAATATATCTAAGTCGAAGACTCATGTTTGGGTTTCGAAGACTTTGCATGTCTACACTGTGATATATTGATGATATGTCATGTTTACATACTATATGATAGCATATAATATATATAATATATAGCTTACATGTAAGACTTACGTATGGACCAATCTCTATATATATATATATCATGTAAGCAATCCCATGTCGTCCCATGTCTGAGACCGGCATTGTGCGGGCTGGCTTCATCCCCATCGGACAACCATTGGACAGCAGTGGGGCAGGCGAGGGAAACCAGGGAATCAAACATGGCAATGGGGAAATCCACCATTTGGGGATTATATATGATGATATGCTCATGTTAGAACGAGCTCATTTTATACCTTATAGTCCAATATTCCTAGGGATTGACAGCTGTTTGAAAATTCATTATTGTATTACTGTAATGTTTATCATTAATGTTTGACAAATGTGTGAACTAGTGTCAGATAAATGAAAACACATGTGAACTAATCAGTACTTTTAAATCATATGAAACTACATCTAACCGGAACTGAACATTGATGGATGTCTAGAGCTTTCTGGATGTTTGATTGATCCATGTTGATTTTATGACAGCTGAAGGGTGACTCCCTTGATTCCTTGGTGTTGTCCCTACAGAAACAGGGATGGATCAAACATGTATTCTACAGTTATACGTTATTTGGGCTTATACCATTACTATAGCAAACATATGGTATGGTTATAGTATAGTTATGTTATAAAGTGTTTACAATAACTCATATTTTCCATATGGTGAGAAAGTAAAGATTCCTGGTTGTAGCAACCATATTATAAACATATTATAACCATATTATAAACATACTATGAACATATTGTAGCAACATATCTGTTTGGTGGTTTCAAACATGTTTTTCCATTTCATATATGGGATAATCCTTCAAGATGGTTATTGCACCACCAAGATGGTTAGTAAACATATAATCACAATTATGCTTAGCAAACATATTATGAACATATTATAACCATATTGTAGCAGCTTCAAAACATCCCAGATCATCCCAGCAGGTTTGGACGCATCCAAGCTGCAGGCCGCTGCAGGCATGGTCATGGCAGCGAAATGATTGATGGAGTGTTCCCAGCAGAGAAATGGCGATCTAAACCATGAAAAATGGTGGTATAACTGGCATAACTGGTATAACTGGTATAGCCGATAGATAACGGAAGATGAATGGGAGTCTAAGTGGAAAGAATGGGAAGCCGCTGGTAACTTGACAGATTTTGCGATGGGAAATCAACATGTTTTGATAGGTAACTCATCATGATCAATCTAAATAACCAGTGGGTAATCAAGAGGATAAACCTCTGATGAAGTCCTTTGCTTATCCATTTCTAGTGGGTATATAAATCATCGAAACGGGCCATGGCTTCCATAGGTATGCAACAAATTACCAGAGGGTATTGCTGAATCATCTGAATCCTAGCTGATTCAGTCTATTGGAACAAAGATACAATTAACATCAATTAACATGAACTAACACCAATAGATCATAGGTCATGACTGAGATGGAACTGCTCTACTTCAACAGCGCAGTTTGTTGCGACGGCTGTGAGGTCAAGGAAATCCCACCACCACTCAGGCGGGTTGTTGGGAACAGGAATGGATGGTGAACCAATGAATCTGGGTAAATTATAACGACCTCACTGCGACCTCACTGAAATAAAGGTTAATACGGGAAATCATCCGCAAATGGCCTTAATTCAGGCTAGTAAAATATTATAATTTACCCAGATGAATGTAATGAGGATGAATAGGGAATAATAGGGAATAGTAGGGAATAATAGGGAATAATAATAATAGGGAATAATAGGGGTACTTGCACCCAAGGATGGGGAGAATTGTGTGGTTGCATTCTCAACATCATCAACCCCAATTGTTTTTTTATGATGCTTTACTGAAAACAGCCAAATTTATCCAAACCTGTGATTTGTTTGGCACCTTTTCAGATATGCTTGCCCACATAGAGAACATCGTTTGAAGATTGTGAAGGTAGGTTGATCATCACAGGGAACAGAAGCTTCGACTAACCAACATCCGGCTACTAATACCTATTTTGCAGTTGCAAAATAGCAAGATATAGATTAATTTGGAAGTACTTAGAAGTGGGATTAGGTGTCCCCTTTACCCACCAACTATTTGGCCATGGTTGTTGCTAAAACGCTCAATCTTATATTGGTTAGATAAATTGGATGAGTACTTGCATCCGTTTTATTCCCAATTTGATCCGATTTGTTTGCTACTTTGACCGATCCCTCAGTTTGCCATGTTGATTCAAATTTGCCCATTTCCCTCCACCTAATTTTCAACATAGATACCAAGAAAACCCGGCATGTGTAGATCTAGCAAAAGAGCAAGACTTGTTCCATATATTATCATATAGTATCTACCCTCTGGTAAACATCACCATAACTATGGAAAATCACCATGTTTCATGGGAAAATCCACTATTTCTATGGTCATTTTCAATAGCAAACTGGTTGTTTACCAGAGGGTAAATCCCATTAGATCCCATTAAACACCATAAATCCCATTAAATCCCATTAAATCCGAGTTTACCTCAGGGTCTAACCGGCGATCAAAGCCGTTACAGCCCACCGGCTTCACCAGGGCTTCACAGCAGTGGCCTCGGCGATTTTGATCCTGTTGGCCTTCGCGGGATTTCTGAACGAGGCGCAGTGGGCATGGTAGGATGGGGTGATTATATATATATAATATGTATAATATGTATATTATATAATCTGATATAATATGATATAATATGATATAAAATAGTATATGATATAATATATATATATATTAGACAACTACAACTACTATATCTACGTGATTTTCCAGGGGGGCGTGTGATGTTTATATAAACCATAGGGAACATGTTTGTCCATGCTTTGTTTATGTGTGTGTTTAACGATCGGAGTTTTTGGAGGGTACTTGTTTTTGGACAATGGGATGGGAATACCAATATTTTATGAGGCGAATCTTTAAATTTGGTGTATGATGATGAGACATACCATTTTTGATCCACCAACGGCTGGTCACTTTAGCGTCTGAAACGTTCTGAAACCATCTTGTTTGTGGAGGAGGGGTGACCTAAATTCTTCTGGATCCCCTTGAAACATAATGTTTTCCCCATTTTTTGATAGCAAGAACATGTGGTATTCGCCGTTTTGAGACAAACCCCAACAGCAAGAATATTTACATAGTGGAATGAGAATTGAATATACTAGATGTGAATTGATATGACTTGGTTTGGCCCCAAATCAGGCTGTCCAAAGTCTTGGTTCTTTGACGTCTTGAACATCTCTCGTCATTTGCCGTTTGCCGCAAGTGCTTGAGATTACCTGCAGGTCACAGAGTTTCTGGTACAGTGGGTGCATTGTGCTGGGGACCTGAAGATTGCGTCGCAAAATTGATGTGTTTGCTTGACTCACAGCATCCATTTCGGATTTTTTAGTTGATAGTTGTTATAGGAAACGAAACGATAAGACTCCCATTGGAAGTAGCGGTTGCAGGTCTTGAAGTTTAGCAACGTCAAGGTACATGTTGGGCTGGAAGCAACCACATCAGAGAAACAAACACCATGTTGATCCAAGCGTAAGGAGATCACTTGATACCACTCCAGGTAATCAGCTTGCCAGCAGCAGCGCATTGTGATGTACACTATCATTGTAATGGATGATGACCACACCAATACTTGTGGGATGCAAAGATTGGGACTTCAATCTGCATTACAGACGAGCACTTTGCTCTATGAAATCGGATTCAGTCAATAGACTCCGATTCCACGTGCAATCAACAAATCTGTGGTTTGAGGGCTTTCTTTCTGAAAGCTCGGCCCGAGGTTGTGAACAATTACAAGAAAGACATCGGAGTCATTTCGCAGTGTGCCACGGCTGCAGACTCCCACACCAAGGATTTTTGTTGGTGAATCGCCCATCGCAAAATCTGGAGGAATTTACCTGGTCTTCTGGTCTTCTTATGTCTTTCCAACTGGTGAAGCTATTTGCAGCTAGTCTGTTCTGCAAGATTCTCCTCCCATGGTTGAGAACGCGGGTGCACTTATGCAACAAACACTGCGCGCACACACCTGAAAAAAAGGGGTAGGTTGAACAGCATATTAGAGTGTTTTCTTAGCACAGAGGTGGCCCTTTTTTGGTCACTCACATGGCGCAGGTGTCGAACAAAGATTTGACAGTTGGTGGACTGGTGGCGGTAGGGATGCTCAGTTCCATCCAGATCTGGGGATGGAACGTGGTTTGAGGTAACCATAGGACTATTATCAAATTGAATATGAATGCATATGATGTATAAGCCAAAAAAAACACTGTTAAAACTCTTACCACTATTTTGACACCGGATGAATTCATGGGTGTTCCTCTTTATCATGTCACCCATCTCATCCAGCGACGGCACTAAGTCAACACGGGTCCACAGACGGTGATCGCCCATTGGATCGAAGCGTTGGACTGGTCGCTGCAGGTCCGGTTTGGTTGGGAAGCAAGGAAAAAGGCGTTTGAAACCGATGTGATGATCTGCAAAACCATGTCAATGTGGTTTGAGTTTTTGGTGCTATCATGAATGGCAATATTGAATTTATTGAATTTTGAATGATGTTATTCACCAAAAATGGGACAATGACCTCATGAATTGTACGCATTTGTAGCTGGATTCTGTAAGTGTTTCTGATTGGTGGTTTTCAAGAATTAGGGGTAGAACCTATCGATTTCAGAGGGCAATATGCTGGCTTGATTCTTCGATTCTTGAAGAAAACCAGTCGGCTTTGGGGTTTTCGGATTTTGGTGTGTTTCTTTTCCGGTTTTATGGATCCGCTTGTGTCATGATGGTTGTATCCACCATCTCAACCGCCTTTGCTGCCCCAGCTGTTGCTCTTCATCTGGGTCGTTGGGCCGACCGCCTTTTTCCTCTGGAAGACCTTGTCGGATCAGCCACTTGGGCCTCAAGTTGAGTCTGGGGTGACTCTGGTGCTGTTTCAACTGAGATTTCTGGCATGTGCAAAGTAGCAGGATGTGGAACTTGTTGAAAGACCTTTCATGAACTGTTCTTGCCTTGTTAAACAAATCAGGTATTTGTATGTATTTGTGATGTATCTCTGATAATCTTAAATCACATGAAACCGAAACCCAATATCAAGCCCAACATGAGACCTCACTATATGCCCAATCTTAGATCTAAAATCCAACTATGTCAAAATCCTTGTTGTTTCTACATGTTTCTACGAGAATTCCCTCGAAATTTCCCTATCAAAGCCAGGAGCAGCGCGGGCTTGGGCTTCGTGGTGGACCGCCGCTTGGGCGCCTCCACGGAGGATGAGAAGCGACTTGGACGCAGCACTTGGGGATGGTGATGGATGGTGATGGAAATGTTATGGAAATGTTATGGATGGGGTTACCGATGGTGGAAATGTTATGGATGATTAATGATGGTTAATGATGTTTGAGTGATTTTGAGGATTTTGAGACATTAAGATATCCAACAATGGGATGTGCTCACAGAAATCCAATCAGTGGATTCAACTGCCGGTTCGACCCAACTCATCGCATGGTCGAACTGTTCACTTGGGAGATGGTAACAATAGCCACCCTGGTGTCACGGATCGTATTCTTACGGTAGTTATAACATGTTATAACAAGTATATCAGTTATATCATATCAGTTATAATAATAGAGTATTGCATAGTATTGCACAATCGATAGCCAATTGCGATGATTAGCGGATGCACCCTGGGTGGATCCAACCATTCCATCTCATTGAGTTCGTTGACTCTCAGCGGAACCACCACAAACCAGCACACTGGGTCCGCAGGAAATTACAGATTTGGGGGGAGTTCAGGTCACCCATATCCTGGATATCCATGGATCTCCTCATTCTTTTGTGGATTTGATATGATTGGATATGATTTGATAGCTACAATCATCAATATCCAACAAAATCCTACCATGAGTCATGAGTCTGTCCCGATGTTTGTCGACACATCCCATCTTGGGACAGCTCGTCGGCGTGGCCTTCCCTTGTTTTGGCCAGATCAACTCTTGGTGAAATCAATCCGATGGTGATGTGAAATCCAGCTTTGATGGTGAAATTCCCGATGAATATCTATGAATTCCAGTCAGCCCCAGATTTTTGGTTGAGTTCCTCAATTTTCCTAGATCCTCATGGGTGAATTCATGTGAGATCACTATGTTTGATAGTTAAATCAGAGTCCCAAGATTTGGATATCTCGCGTCAAGCACTTGGCTCAAAAAGCTCGAAGATTCTTGAGGAAATAGAATGCTCACAGGTGCCACCATGACAAGGTTAGCTTGGTTAAGACAGGATGCTCAATGCAAGCATGCATGAGAATGTTTAAGTGAACATGTCATTTGTTCATATGCCGATGTACACTATGTACACAGATAACCTTCAGCCATGTATATATATAGTCCTTTTCCAGGTCCAAATGTCCTCGAAATGCTAACATTGAAATGACGCAAGCTGAGAACTCAACAGGTTTCTGATACGTTCACTTGAAGGAGTGACATTAGCCATGTCGGAGGCTTTCAAGGAAGCACAGGACAGGTGGTGTGAAAATTTGATCTCAGACGCAGATCTCTGTGATGCTGTGGCAGTTGTTGGCCCGGAATGTCAGCGTGTACCCTTCATTCGAGCCCATTTGGCCACCATCTCCAAACCGTTGAAAGCTGCATTGTATGGTGACTGGTTGTTGCTTCCCATCATGTTTTCAAAATTGTTTCAATGTGTTTTCCCCCACACCGTTGAGTCGCCGTTGAGATGTTTTTTCCTCCAAGAGAGTAGTCATGAGCATGGGTTCAAGCCACTAGTCAGGTGAATTTCGAGAAGGACAACACGTGAACTCGTTTTGAAAGATGTGACCGTTGACGCCTTTGATGTCATCATCCGCAGCGCATACCATTTGGAGCCGAACTTGACGCCTCAGAAGGCATTACATGCACTCAAAGCTGCCAAGTTGTGGATGATAGATGATCTGGAGAAATATTGCTGGCACTACTTGCAGCACTTGGTCCCAGGTTCGGACTGCACACTGATATTGCAGACTATGACAGAATCTCTGAAGCTTTCCTTGGATTTGCCGGAGGAAGTCCAGCACACATATTGGAGTAACATCTTGGCACAGAGCACCCAGGTGGTGCAGTCGCCCTTCTTTATTGAAACGCATGGTCTCATCATCGCCAGGTGACTACGGCTCAACAATTCTGAGCCAATTTTTGTGGGTTAGTAAAGTTCAGTATTTATAGCCACCCCAAAATAAAGGGCTCAACACTTTCAACACTTCTGATCCATACCCAGGTTGATCAAATTGGACGAATTTGATGTTGATGAAGGGACACTTTGGGCGCGCTTGCTGGAGTGGTCCGCGGTGGCTATCCAAAAGCCAGAGCTGCTGGGGCCATTTGCAGATGCAGCACCGTGCCAACCAGTGAAACGTGCCAAACCGCTCTCTGACGACTCTCGTGGCATGGGACCCAGTGAACTGGCACAACAAGGAGCAATTTTGCGTCTGATGTCAAAGCACATACGCTTCGCAGAGATGAGTCAGCCCTTCTTTGTTGACAGAGCGAGAAATTATTTGGATCGCGAGGAGAGTGATGCTGTGATGGATTATTTCTTGTTGGGTCGCAAACCAGAAGGATTGATAGCTGCACGGCGTGGTGGACTGAAAGATACATTTGACTCGCTTGAGAGCTTAGAGAATTTTGAGAGAAAGTATAAGAAAAAAGCTTCTCTCGTGTCGGAGACCCTGACATTTGAGTATCCTGTATGGGTCTCCCAAGTGGAAATTTCGTTGACCGACAGACACTCCGGAGAGCAGCCGCTGTGTTGGTCCGCCACAGGGGGAACCGAATCTGTTGCCGCTACACTGACTAGAGGTGCATCAAAAAGCACAGTCAATATCAGGTTCGTGAGGCCCTATCAATCCTTGTTCATCTCATTTCCTTTGCTGCTTGGATTTGGTGAAAAGGCTTTATGTTGTTTCCACCGGTAAATCCACCAGAAATGGTAGATCTACTTGTTGTTCTTTCATGGTCCCATATTGGTCTCCCAATCCCAGGATCGTAGCAAATCCAGGGATGCCAAGGCCCAAAGTGAAAAGTATCACTGTGCACGGGAAGAAGGCCAGGACTCCCATAGAACTTGCCAACCGGGCGGTGGAGCAACTGTCCAAGGATCTCTTTGTGACGCCTGCGCTGAGCAGCCGTGGATGAGTCGTGGAGGATCAAAGCCACGCAAGAAAACAATTAAAAGAGAACTGGCAAGATGCTGATGCGAGTAGTCAATGGCAAAGTAATATGTCATGATCAATCATGATCGATGTGTTCATCAAAGAAGACGACACTACATGACAGTCATAAGGTTCCACATGATGGTACAGAAACCTGCGGATGAAGTTGAGCTCCGCATTTTCCATCGCATAGAAACTGAGTTTCCAGGGATGAGTTTCCAGGGCTTCCCTTCAGACTTCTTGGTCCGCATCATGGTCACCAGTTATACCGAGTTCCCTCTTAGTTTCCCTGCATGTTGCCGGAGGTTGCTGGTGTATTTACCAACATTTACCCCAAAATTGAAAGCTTTTGGAACCATCTCCGCGGCTTCCCGCAGGATTTAGATCAAGTGCAACGTTGGAAACAGTCAGCCTTAACAGGAACCCGCCAAGTAGGGTAGTTCCGCCTCCACCATGGAGGTCTCATGTTCAGAAGGGTTGCGACTTGCCACTCTATCCACTGAATGGTCCTAGATGTCCCAGTGACAGCAGAGAATCTATATACTGTAAGTTTGACACCCTCTTGCAATCCCTTAGAATCAGCACATTTCACCGTAGATCATATTATATATAGATAATTATATATATATATATTATTTATTATATATATATATATCATAAATACTATATTATTTATATATATATTATATATATTATATTAAATATATATATATATATATATATATTATATTCATTATATATTATATTGTATATATATATTATTTAATATCTTTTATTATTATATATATATATATATCTATTATATCATATATACATATTATTTGTTATATATATATTATATATATATATTCTATTTCTATTTTGGAAATATATATATATTCTATATATATGTTATATATATATATATGATTTTATATTATTTATATCATAAATATTATTTATATTATAAATATTATATATTTTATATATTATATATAATATATTAAAGTTTATATATATATTATTTATTATTTTATTTAATATTTTATATATAATATATAATTTACATATTATATATATATTTATTTATTTATTTATTATGTTGTATTTACATGATATACATTATATATATATATATATACGAGCAACGCCTGGGCTTTGCCCAGGCGTTGCAGCGTAGAGGTTTCCCATTCACAAACAAATGATGTTGCAAATTACCATAATTCCTATGGGAAAAATAACAAAGGTACTAGGGACTATTAAACAAACAAGGTCAAAACACCCGAAATTCCTATGGGAAAAACAAAAACGGCATAACATTTGAAATTCCTATGGTAAAAACAACAAAGGTACTAGGAAATTTTAAACTCTCAAATCGTGAAACTTAACATTCAATTCGGAAGATCAACAAGGATATTAGGGAATATTAAACTCCCACCCCCGTTAAACCTTAAATTCCTATGGGGAAACCAACAAAGGTGCTAGGGACTATATAAAAAAAAATGTCAAAACACCCGAATTTCCTATGGGAAAAACAAAAACGGTATTAGGGAATATTAAACTCCCACCCCCGTTAAACTTTACATTCAATTGGGAAGATCAACAAAGATATTAGAGAATATTAAACTCCCACCCCCGTTAAACTTTACATTCATTGAAGATCTTCGATGAGGGTTTAATTCTCCCACCCCCGTTAAACTTTACATTCACTGAAGATCTTCAATAAGGGTTTAATTCTCCCACCCCCTTTAAACTTCTACATTCTTTGAAGATCTTCAATAAGGGTTTAATTCTCCCACCCCCGTTAAACTTCTACATTCATTGAAGATCTCCAATAAGGGTTTAATTCTCCCACCCCCGTTAAATTTCTACATTCATTGAAGATCTCCAATAAGGGCTTAATTCTCCCACCCCCGTTAAACTTCTACATTCATTGAAGATCTTCGATAAGGGTTTAATTCTCCTACCCGCCTTAAACGTCTACATTTATTGAAGATCTCCAATAAGGGTTTAATTATCCCACCCCCTTTAAACTTCTACATTCATTGAAGATCTTCAATAAGGGTCTAATTCTCCAACCCCCCATTCATTGAAGATCTTCGATGAGGGTTTAATTCTCCCACCCCCGTTAAACTTCTACATTCATTGAAGATCTTCAATAAGGTTTAATTCTCCCACCCCCGTTAAACTGCTACATTCATTGAAGATCTCCAATAAGGGTTTAATTCTCCCACCCCCGTTAAACTTCTACATTCATTGAAGATCTGCAATAAGGGTTTAATTCTCCCACCCCCGTTAAAATTCTACATTTATTGAAGATCGTCAATAAGGGTTTGATGATGGTGATGATGATGACGATGATGATGATGATGATGCGTCGCCCGTCGTCATTGCGGGTCCGGGCAAAACCCAGGCATTTGCCATATATATTTAATTGTATATATATATACATATACATATGTACAGACGTAGATACATCGGATGGTAGTTTTGTTTCTTCAATTTTGATCAGCGACCTTGGCCATGGCGAAGGCCTTCAAGCAAACTCAGGACAAGTGGTGTGAGACTTGGCTCACAGACGAAGATCTCTGTGATGCTGTGGCAGTCGTAGGTCCTGAACGTCAGCGTGTACCGTTCATCCGGGCCCATTTGGCCACCATCTCCAAGCCGTTGAAAGCTGCATTGTATGGTGACTGGTTGGTGGCTTCAAAGAGATGTTTTGGTTTCACGTTTTCCATCCGCAGTCGAGATGGTTTCCCCATGTGTCTCCAACAGATTAAAGATTCAAGTATAATTATTAAAGTTTAGAACCCAAATGTGCATCCACAGTTGAGACGGTTTCTCCATGCTTTCCAACAGTCTTACCATCCTTATTAGGGTTTATGAACCCAAATGTGTATCAATGTTGTTGAAATGGAAATGGAATGGGTTCAAACCGCCAGCCAGGTGAATTTCAGGAAGGCCAGACTCGTGAACTGATCTTGCCACATGTCTCCGTTGATGCCTTCGACGTCATGATCAGAAGTGCCTATCACATGGAGCCCAAGCTGACTCCTCACAGGGCCCTACATGCACTTGCAGCTGCGAAATTGTACATGATCGATGGCTTGGAGAAGTATTGCTATCACTATCTTTTACATATCACAGATGTCGACGGAATCACAAGTTTGATACTACTGTCCGAATCTTTGAAATCCTCCTTGGCTCTGCCGGCAGAATTGCAGCGCACGTTTTGCAAGAAGGTTTTAGCTCACTGTCAACAGGTTGTGGAGTCGCCTTTCTTTCTTGAAACGCACGGTTCTATCATTGCCACTTTGATCAAGTCAGACAATTTCGATGTCAGTGAAGATCAACTTTGGGACCGGTTGATGAAATGGTCTGCGGCAGCTGTCCGGAAACCAGGGCTGCTTGGGCCGTTTGCAGATGCGACATCATGTCCCCCACTGAAGCGTGCCAAGTCCAGCACTGGGGAGTCCAATAGCATGAATCCACACCAAGTGACATGCCAAGAGGAAGTGCTCCGTTTGATGTTGCCGCACATCCGCTTTACACAAATGTCCCAAGAGTTCTTCATTGACAAAGCCAGAAAGTATCTGGACCGTGAAAAAAGTGAGGCTGTCATGGATTTTTTCGTGTTGCGTCGCAACCCGGAGGGGTTGGTTCTCAAACCAAGGTTTGCTTTGTTGTCTTTGCAGAACGGTGGAGCGTCGAGGCTTGTGACCAGCTCGTTGGAGACAAGATTTACAGGTACACAAAATCGCACAGTTCACTTGGGAGAGCTTGCACAGGTCACCCGGGTGAGAGTGTCGATCTCAAACATTGTCGGCAAAGCAGTGACATGGTCTGTGTCTTTGGCAGGCAGGAGGTCGGAAGAAGTGGTTGTTGAGAAAGATGCGAACATTGATTTTAGCCTTAGCAGACTCGATATTCGATTTGAAAATGCGTGCAAGGAATTGGTGGTTGAGTTTGATGCAGTCTCTGTCACCGTGCGCTATATCATGGTCGAAGGCAGAAAAATGACTCCAGAGCTAGAACTTGCCGATCAGGTAGTAGACCAATTGTGCAAAGATTTTTTTCCAGCCCCAGAACGCGACGTCCATGACACAAGTCAGTGATGACCAGTTGCAGGGCTCATTGGAGATCCGATCTAGGCTCTAGCTTGAGCAGGTGCCGCTGTTGGAAAAGTCACTGAGACTGCGCGATAAGCGTCATGTGTTTTCCCAAAAGCCCCAACGGTAGAGGTGCACGTGTTTGTCAGTAGAATATGAAAAATTATACTATACGATATAATAATATAGTATATTGACTTGTTCGTTTTGTCTCGTGATGCTGATTGACCCGTTCCCTTGCCGCTGTGTTGTCAAACATTTTCAGACTGTTGCAAGGTTCAATTTAGGCAAGAGACAAACAGCTGTAACCAATCCAGCTCAACGTGCATAAACAACCGCATGAACAAGCTGGATTTTCTGTGCATCCGTGGAAAACGAATTGCTTCCTGCTGGCGCCAAAGCAGGTTCGAAGAGCATTGGAAGGAGCTCTCATCATTCGTTGCCGACTTGTTCCAAGGCTCACCCCGCATGTTTGTTCATGAAACCTTGGAGCAAAACACACACAGACATTGCTGATAGACCGATATAGAGCATCGCACTTATAGTACCCTATAGTCTATGATAGCTGTTTGGCCACCCAACTCACTGAACCAGTTGTATTTGCTGTTTCACATGCACTGGAAAGAAACTTGCCGGCAGAGGAGGTCGTGCTGCTGGCAGATTTGAATCTGTGCAGGTGCCTGTGGAGAGGATGCCCGAGCCCGAATTTGAGGGATCAGTCCAGTGTGTTTGGGTTTTTACTCTACAGGGATTTAAGCAACAAAAACGGGTTTTACAGTGGCATTTAATGGGGATATAGTGGGACATACAACCAACAATATCATTCATATATATTCATATGATCTTGGGGGTTGCCCAGAAATGGGATATGCCTCGGAATATCTCGGAATTATCATGTTGATTGGGAAAATGATCAGGGACCAATGGATTTTGCCGTACCTCCGCTGCGGCTGTGTTTGCGCGGTGTGCAGTAGTCAGTAGTATTTCAATCCTGTGAATTTTGCTGGTGGAGACTGTGGAAGGTTTGGTAAAGACTAGGGCTGACTAGGATTATCTTTCGGAACCATTTTTGAAAACATCACATTGTGGATTGATATGGTTAGATGTTTTATTGACATTTTCTTTCTCACCCCTACAAAAGGCAACCTTCCATGCATTGTTTTGGATGTGTCTTTCCATCTTGTTCCACTTATATCGGACACCACAATGAACAGATCCCCACTATATACTAAACTACTAAATTTTTAAACTAGAGTCTCTGGGGAAGTGTCTTCATTGGAGGAAGGGATGGTTTATTCTGGCTCCAAGGCGACATCGAGAGATGCAGGTGGCCAGTCATGTTGCTGCACTTGGCACAAAGGGACTGTACTGAGGGTCCTTGTTCCACCTGCACATGCAGCTTGTGGAGGTAAAGAGACATGGTAAGTTCGCAGAAGCCGAACCACCCCGGGTTGTCCCAGGAATGGCTGCATTGATTCATAGAAACAAAATGAATGACAACCATGAGATTTTAGGGGAGTACCCCATGTTTCAACAAACCCATATCCATGATTCATTGGTGAAATCCCTGTTTTGGATGGTTAAATCATACAAAATCCCAGTTGTCTTCCACCACCCCCTGGGATTTCCCCTTGTCAGGGTGTATGCCACGGCAGAGTTTGGGCGCCGCCGACTCCCAGCGTCCAAAGGCGCATTAAAGAAAGTTTGGCTGGATCCTAGGCGGTCAAGCTATAGCCACAAGTCCCATTTTTCATGGATAGCTTCAACCATTATAGCTATGTTTCATGTATGGTTGATGGTTTGGAACATCTAAAAAAATAGCTATAGATGGTTGATGGTATACAATGGGACTTGGTTTATCTAAAAAATCTGGTTGATGGTTTGGAACATGGCTTTTATTCTTCCATATATTGGGAATAATCATCCCAACTGACTTTCATATTTTTCAGAGGGGTTGAAACCACCAACCCGATTTGGTTACGGCCAATGTTTAACCATTGTTGGGATATGCTTTTCAAGCTTTTCATCTAACATATATGTTTTGATATGCACCAAATAGATCCAAACAGTAACAATTGGCAAATTGGGAATGGTTTCTCACTGGGCTTACCGCACCAAAGCCGCACTTTAGTGTGACCTGTCGTTTGAAGATATTGTCAATCCGTTGCTCAGATTGCTGGGTGATGGGGAATTGCAAGAGCATGAGTTTGGCTGTGTAAAGTGTAAAAAATGACTGGTTGGTGGTTTCAAATATTTTTTATTGTCCATAATATATGGGATAGTCACATAATCCTTCCCATTGACTAATATTTTTCAAGATGGTTAAAACCACCAACCAGATGAATTTGGTGTTTACATGTGTTTACAAAACACAGAGCTGAGTTTAGAGATCTATCTCTTGGGGTACAGCGCGTTTGTTTAAGTTGTCTAGCCATAACAGCCAAGACTGCCAAGAGTTATGATTGATGATTTTTATCTATGTTGTGACTGCATATCATCGATTCTTTTGATTCAGAATCTATTATTCATCATTAGTCTCATCTACCAGTCATTATGGATTACTATCTTCCACTACCTGTAATAGTAATCCATTATTATGGATAAGTAGATTATTGTGATGATACTACTAATGGTTCACAATCTATTATTCCATCTACCAGATATTGTGGATTACTGTAATGTGGGTAAAACAATAACAAACCATCCCCAAATCACCATTTTTATAGGCGGTATAAACCATTCCCAGTCATGGGGGGTTTATTATTATTATTATTGTTATTATTATTGTTTTACCCACATTACTATCTTCCACTACCTATTACCCTCTGGTAAACTAACAGAACTATGGAAAATCATCATTTTCAATGGGTAAATCCACTATTTCTATGGCCATTTTCAATCGCTATGTTAGTCATTACCAGAGGGTATGGTCTTTCAGTTCTCTTCTCATTGTGACTGTCACCAACCTGGCAGGCGATGCGATGGGAAGAGGTCCGTGGCCTCGGATGGCCAGGCAGCGCCTGTGACTTTTTCCCAAGAAAAATTGTGTTTTTTTCCTCAGCCAAAGGATCGGAAACACGCAATTTATGGTGAGAAAATTCCAATTGCAGCACTTTTGTGTGCTGTTTTTCACTGATTTATGGACCAGCGAAGAAGAGGTGATTTGAACAGTTGCAATTTTCATCGAGATGAAACCTGCCAATTGATGCAGATTTCACCAGCCAGTTTATGGGACTGGTTTTGCTGATTTTGGTCAGGTGTGATTTTCGCATGAAAATACGTTATTAAGGATTCTTCATGTTTTTCTTATGAACCGGATGATCCGCTGGTCATCGCAGATGCCTGTGGGCCTATGGGTTATCGTCATTTCAGACCCCAAGTTCCTCCAAGTCCTTTCCATACTTGAAAAAACAATGAATAGGTGAAATAAGACTTTTTCCAGAGCTATTCCATAGGCTATTGGTCATTTCCATACTTGAAGACTAGTCATGAATCCCCCTTTGGAAAAGCGACGTCGTCAGGAAACTGTGCCATGGCACCCAATAAGGTTCCGGGCGATATCCAGCCAGCACAGCCAGAGACGGAAGGCCTGAAAACGAGATCCGGGAAAGTTGGATGGTTCAGAGTACCCAGATTTATCCACGTGTATATGGATGCATATGGTACAGATACATAGCGAATATTTACTTGCATTTACTACCAAGAAAAACAAGCTCTCTAGCAATAGTTTGTTTGTATGTATGCACCACACACGGATATTATACATGAATAGCAGTTAGATAGCAAAACCTATGTATGTTTTACAGATACTTTGGAAACATCAACTGCAAGCCTCGACAGGTGGTCAGGGCGCGCCACCTCAAAACGAGATGGAGGCGCCGAAGCTTTTCGGCCTTGCCCAAAATGTCTGATGATAAGGGTTTCTAAAGGGCGTGTTCATGATCAGGGCCTAGGGGGGATTGGGGAACATAGTTGATTTAGATGATGTATTGACTTTATAAAGATCCAGGTCTGGGGGGATGAAGGGCAATGTATCATGGCGCAAAAAGTACGGAAAACCATGAGACATGAGAATGAACCAATGGTCAAGTCATGCATCTTTTTTCGGGTTTGTTGGATCAATTACATGGGCAAAATGTGGTATCCCCTATTTTGGGACAAACTCATACAACGATGTGAAACCGTTGTTAGATGAATTGGTCCAGGCTATAGCCCTCCAGTTGTAAGACCAGGATGCAGCCATTGAGAAGCCAACTAATTGGTTTCCCAAAATGGAGTCAAGTCTAGGCATGACATCTGGACGCTAAGCCATGCAAAACCAATGACGTTCAACTCCGAACTCTCCCAAGATTTCAGGGCCGGGGAAGTCAGAACGCATCGTTGAGCAGAGGGGATGCCCAGCAGGCCCCCACTAGTGATTCGATACACTTAGATACCACATGACCACGACTGTACAAAAGTTTCCATGAGTCAAATCCTTGGCACCCTTTAGTTTATAGTGCATCAAAGTACTGTAGTTGACTGTGGCTGACAGTCATAGATTCCTAGATATTCATGCCCAATTCACATGGCATAATTTTGACCTATCTCCCTTAGCGCATTGTCTTCAGGCGCCCAGCACTGGAGATCCTGTGCGTGCTGGCTATCAGGCGTCCACACACGAGACGGACGAATGTGGGTGTGTACGTATATGGGGATTAGGTTTGAATAATTAAAAACCTTATTTTGGGGGGATGAACATCCATTTATATCATTTTATATCCATTTTTACACTATCTTAGACTATATAACCACCAGGGCATCAGGGTTTTGACCCATAGCCATACTGTATGCAAGAGTCTGGTGATTGTTAGTTTCGCTAGCATGAGTCTCACTCGGAACCATCTGTTCCCCAACAGGCATAGTGCAAAGATGGAACATGATCAAGTTCGTGGTCACTCTCATACCCTCAATGTGCTCCATGGCATATTTGCCAACATTTATCTACATTGCCCGACCACGTAGCGAAATATACCAGCACGCAATAGAGCATATGGGTATCCCAGTCGGCCCTGGTATTGTTCGTATACACTCTGGAAGTCCTTGGGATCTCAAAACGGGGGGATTTCACAATCCCGGATTCTTAAGGTACTGGATTATGAAAGAATCATTATAATAGTCAAGTTATGACCTATAATCCCAATAATTCCTTAATATCATTAATATCATTAATATTCCTTAATATGAAAGGTGTTAAGGGTTGATATATATATATACATATATATACAATTATGTAATTATACATTACATATACATACATATACATGTATATATTATATAAAATAAACCAATCTATAACCCATTTATGAAGCAGTGAACATGTGCTGTCTGAAGTGCCTCTTCTTCGCCATCGAGGCTGCTAGTAGCAGCAGTAGCCCCTACGAGCCGAAAGCTGCAGCGCGCAGCCAGCGCTGGCCTTGGATCTTATGGATCATCCCAGGAACCGGAAGTGGTTGGTAAGTGGGCTTAGTTCAACGTATAACTAGGGTTAGTAACTGGGTTTGGTAAGTGGTTAGTAAAGGGATATAGTAAGTATAAGTGAGATAAGCCTAGGGATCAAGGACGTATCAACCAGGATTACTCAAGGAGCCTGGTCAGCAAGCCCCGATTCGCGGGGGTATCCCATATATCGCCCCTGGCTTTGGTTTCATCATGGTCACTAAGCGTTTACAATCTGTAAGATGATCCTCCAAGTAGCCATGGTGGGGGCTGGAGGTATAGTAGCTGTTAGTCAGTTGAGTTCTAGATGTATGGGTAAAATAATACTGGGGATGGGTATCACTGGCATCACAATCAAATAGGTGCTACAATATATGCTGGTTGAAGCGATTTGATTCTTGTGATTCTATATACATGACTTGGGATACTGCATATCCTTTTCTTGCACTTCAGTACGCTTTGGGTCGTTGTTTTGACAGTACTTCCTACTTCCATTCCATCAACAAGGTATTATTTGTAGCTCCAAATTTGTTCATGCAAATAGTTTTTTTAACCTTGAAACTGAAAAGATGGTGCCACAGCTGCCTCTTAACCTATTTTTGTTCTTGGTAGGTTTCTTCACTTCCCAACAATCCCATCCAGAGGCGGCGGGCACCATCGTGGCAACAGGTGGAGGCACGGACGGGACTGCTTCGACTGGCGCCGCGGGTGCCCTTGGGGAATGCCCAACAAATTGCACATGAATATGCAAAATGAGAAATCACCGCATTTTGAGGGGATCCTGGTTTCAGACAACTTAATTTGTGTGATAAATATTGCAGGCAAGTCGCAAGTCAGCCTCCATTTCCGCAGTTCTATTTAAGAGCCGCACACCATGTCGACTTGAGCCAATTCATTCAGGGTTTGTGTGTGGGAGATCCATCCTTCTCATGGTGTTGCCTGAAAATTGTGTATATCAATATCCCTGAGTGTGGTTATTTAATAAGAAAAAGTATGTGGATTCTGGGATACCATGTTTCTAGACAGACCCTGATCCTTTCTCAGGTTTGTCGAGTATGATCAGGGGAGATTGATGCCTTGTGGCCGCCTGACACAGGAGATGATTTCGCATTTGATCGATCCCATCTCCGGCAAAGTTCGCCTGAGACTTATGCAGCCAGAGGTGACTGCTTCATGGGTTCAACCTTACACCAGGGGATGATTGCTGAAGCCTTCCTGAACAGGCTCTTGAGAGATTGGTGATGGTCCTATCTCTTCAAAATCCTCCAGTTTCTCATGATTGTTCCACTTAGTAAGCTGCGTGTTGGAGCCTAAAAGCAGATCATATCATATCATATCATATCATAAGATCACCTGGCACTATGAATATCTCTTCTATTTTTTGAGCACCCTGTTCAATTCAATCAATTTCCATATCAAGGAATCGTTTTAAAATCTCGACTTAGATGATCTAAGAGTTTTTGTTGAGGCCTGCATGGCTAAATCCCACAGATTCCCAATTGTTTGGTGTTTTTGAAAGTTAAATACCCAATCTTCATTGAGAAAGTCATCAAAAAAAGTATGTTCAAACTCTTCCAATCCTAATCCCCATTTTGTTCATAGTCCAATTCCCCCAAGCCCAATTTGTTTACTGGGAAAACATGGGAAACCATCCAAGACATGGAGATCCAACACCAGCTGAGGTGTCTACCGGGACGTCCTCTCCTTTTTACCCGACGAGGAGGTCCTGGCCGTGTACCCCGAAAAGGTGCCAACGAGCCGCCATGACCACCTTAAAATCCCGCATTGAAATGCCGGCCATTAAAATGGCCCCAGAAAATGAATATTTTTCTGAAAATTGGGAAATTACCGGAGATTCAAAGAATCAGAGATTTTGAACGAGAAAACAAAAATTATGATCCAAAGCTGGGGTAAAAACCCATGATGCGATGTGGTTGGCCACCAGCCAATTTGATTGGAATGACAGGATGCCAGGGTTTTTGATCCATAGTCAAGTGGCAATGTCCATTAGGAAAATCATCATCCGAACATCACTAAACGTGTGAAACAACCTGACTCCCACATGATTCCTTCCTGAAGCCAATCAATAAAAAATGGAAGATGATTTCCCTTCTGACAACCACCATTTTTTTTATCATTTTCTTCGGGGCCGGTACCACCATGTTTTTCGGAGATTCACCGTACCGCCTGCGCAGATCATCATGCCCATCGTGGCCAAAGTGAAGATCATCATCACCTGCGGCCTGGAGTATTGCCCGGGAGCCCTGCGGCTTGGGCGGTGATCCGAAATTACTGGTGACTACGACACTTGCAAAATATGGGGATACAAGTTATGATACTAAATTTGGGGGATCAACATCCATGACTGGCAGAGTTTTCTGGGGTATGATATGACATGAAATGATATGATATGATCATTTATGGGGAGTTGACCCACAAAATCAATGTTTAAGGAGTTAAGCAATGAATGGACATAGATTCGATATTGGGTGTGTTTGTTAATGGGGAACGTATGGTTAAGCAGTGGATTTATGGACACCTTATTTTCAGATGAGCTCAAGCGGGTGTTATAGCATGTTGCAATCCAAGTAGCGTCGCTGTGCGCTAAACTACCAAGCAGTAAACCATGATTATAGATAATAGAACTGTATTATATAGATTTCACAGGAAACACATAGACCAACATAATATACCCTCCTGTAAACTAATATAGTTATAGATATGGATAGATATGGAAAATCACCATTGTCTATAACTAAATCATCGATCTAAATGGGCCATGGTTTCCGCATCGCTGAGACTTGCACTGGCGACGTCAGCGCCGTGATGGCGCCATCATTTTGACCGACAAGCGGCTGATCCACGTGCGGACGCCCGGATGGGCAGTGTGATCCATGGAATGATGGTAATGTTGGTAATGAGAAGTATCCCAATATACCTTTCAGGTTAGTGATAGGGAATGCTTATTCTACTTTACCCAGATCATTGGGTGTTGGGTTACTTTTGGTTTCTTTTACAAAAATGGTGATGATCATTTGTTTATTGGGGAAGCCTTGGAGAAATTATTCCGTCATCTCTCTGGTGAAAGCGATCCTAAAGCTAGCAGCAACTCGTAGTGGGTTCGAAACCACCCGCCAGTCAATAGACATTAACATCATTAACAATGTTTTCTGGGTTGAAAGCTGCAGCCATTCTTACATCAAAACACGCCTGGTATTTGTTGGATCCTGGTAGAACCGAAATTTCGTGCATCCTTTGATTTTTGATCATTGGATTCCATTAAAATGTCTCCCACCATTTTTTACCAGCCAAGTCATGCCCTCCTCCGTGCGTTGCACTGATGAGGTGGTCACACACTTCTCCCGCTACAAGAAGTCGCTGAAGGCTTGATATTTACAGTTGATGTGTAAAGGGCATATCAACATAGACCAATGTTCTTGCCGACAGTTCAGATAGATATTATATAGTAGGGGTTTAACTCATAGACTGTTCTTGGCTGATGATGATCTGTCTATCGAACCTATCTTATTGACAGGATTTTTGCTGACTAGATCATCAGGCAAGTCAATCCAGAAACATCCAAAGGTTCTGGTGCATTGGAGCGGCTCTGTCTGATCTTCTTCTTGCTACACTACCATTCTGAAGATTTTGAAAGGACCTTGTGTCTATGATCATTACCCTGTGGTAATTAAACACGGCAATGGCAAATCTCAATTTCCCATTAAAAAAAAAAAGAATGCCCTCTGGTAATTTAACATAGCTATTGAAAATCACCATTTTTAATGGGAAAATCTACTAGAAATGGTCATTTTCAATAGCTATGTTGAATTACCAGAGGGTACCGTTTACTTCGGAGATTTCCCATTGTCATAATCTTTCTAGACACCCCTATCAGCCAAACAGTATAGGAACTGGTCGTGCAGGTGGACATGTACACCGTGGGCAAATCTGTGAGGCCGGCCAGCGACCGTTGGGGATGTCATCATGGGGAAATGCCCATGGGATGTTCGATCATGTTATTGTCCCATTCAAAAAGTCCGAATCGATTTGACGCAGTATGTTTATATATATATATATATAATATTCCCAAATACTTTCACTAGTTTGGCCCTTTGTAGATGATTGTTGTAATAAATCATCACAAATCATCCCATTTCTGGGGTACCCCAAGTTTAATCAGCCAAATGGGTGTTTAAATTTGCAAAGTAAAGCCCTTGCCACGCCATAGGAATCCTACTGAACAGATTTTGTGAAAAACTAAGCATGACGACTTGTTTGTTGTGTTTTTGGGTTCACAAATAGTAGGACATATTTCTTGGCCTTTGCTCATCTCTCTGCGGCCTGGAGGTATGTGGGTCTACGCCCCCCTCGCTGGCAGTGTTGTGCCAGACCTGCAGGCAGGGAGTAGCCACAGGTGGATGGTGAAAGGATGGATATATGGGGTATGACCAACCAACAAACATGGGGGACATTACCATCAACATGAGTCATTTCAATGATACCACCGTTATAGCTGGATATTATTGATCTAGAATCAAAATGGTGATTTTGACGTGCAAATATATCATCAATGATGATGGGTACAGAATTGTATTGGTCAATATTCAGGATTGCACTTGGATGCGCATCCCACTTACTAAGTGCTTCATCATCCAGACATTAACAGGATTTATAGCAACCCCGAAAAAGACGAAACATAAAATCCAACTAGAACCGTGGTATTTAGTTGTTATGAAATCCGATGCTACATTACATAATCCAGACATAATCCTGTAAAACTAAACGATCATATTTTTTTTGAGGTGGCTATATCTTATTTCTCAGTTCCTTACATCAGGGCTTTACATACCTCAAATCGTACCAATGTCCGACTGGATCGAGGCGACTTATCGGTGGCCACTCGCTTGGGCACCATGGAGGCAGACCAGTGGACCCACCATTTTTATGCATTGCTTGTGTTAAACCAAATGATTATTGGGTAGTGATTATAATTCTGACATGGACACATTTTGTTGATTCAATTTGGACATTTGAAAATGGGACCTCGCCCTTTTTTGAGTCCAAACTCTGAGAGATGTCCAATCAATACTCAAAATCAACGGCCGCGCCGTAGAATCCGTAGAATGTCCAACATGTTGAATACTCATGGTCCGTGGTTAGAAGCCAACATGTACAAAGCACGCAAAATGATGCACAATGTTTATATCTATGTTTGAACTTGCTTTGATTCATCCAAGTTTTCAGCTTATTAATCACTGGCATTCCTACAGTTTCGAGATGTTGAATAAATGGGTGATGCTACCTATGATACCAAAGGGCTTCCGAGCGTCGTTATTCCACACTGACCAACCTGGGCAGGTGCGACTGTTGCAGATGAAGCGCCTCAGAGACTGTGCTCAACGAATGTGGCAAGGCTTTGCTGCGTTACAGGCCGGCCTTAGTTCGTTGTCCCATTGCTCTCTGGTAATTTTAACGATTTGCTATGGTAAAAGTTCATTTTTAGTAGGTAAATCATCGAACTAAAGCAACCTTTGCAATTAAACCTGGTAATGCCAATTTTACTCATGTTCAACAGGCAAATCATCTAGAAATGGTACATTGTCTATTGCCAGCTTAAATTATCAGAGACCCCCAAAAAGATAGAATCTATTTTAGCACTATTTTAGTAGAATTTTACTGTTCTATCATTTTCGGTGTTGTTCTATACAGTATGTTATAACCACCTCCAACCGTCTGAGGACACTCAATCTGTGTCATCTGTGGAGTACGATGACTGGGCTGCTTGACATAGGGATGGCAGCGCTTGGCAGCGCATGGCAGAGCTTTGACGATCCTGAAGATGGTGATAGGATGTGATAGGTATGTACTTGGGTAAGTGATAGAACCCAGTGAAATAGGGGGATACAAACAACAGAGATGGGGATTAAAGAGAATCCACAACATGCTTGGCAAATTCTTCATGACTGACTGGGTCATATTCCATTACATATATATACGAATATATAGAAGGGCTGGAGCCCATGCGTTCACCATTTTCAAATTCAAGAAGACACCAAATTCTTGGAAAGCGGAGCGAATTCATTTCAAATCCTTGTCTTTGATATGCCACTATACAATCAGCCAAAGATAGCAAAATATATGCATTCAGACTTATACTCAGTTTTCAAGACATTTGAATGGCATGAATGATTAATCCCAGCTACACCCACTATTTTTTATCTCCATTTCTGATTCCTGGAATCAACGGCAGCCCCACGTGTCAAGGCCTCCGTCGCAGAGGTGCTGCATGGGTTCAGCCAGTGCCAAAAGTTGTTGCAGGTATAGACTTGTATGATATGATCTCCCCAAAGTCAATCCTGATTTTTGATTTTGCCCAGATTTACTTGGCATCTTAGTGATCATTCACCAGTGACCCAAGGGGATAAACTGTGCAGGACTTCGAGGAAAGCGACGTGGCGGAGCAGCGCTCGGCATCGGAGGATCTGGAGATGTTGGAGGAGGCAGAGATGAGACGGGCAGCTGGGGTAAGTGACAGCAGTTACCCTCTGGTAAACATACAAAAAGCTATGAAAAATCGCCTTTTTTAATGGGTAAATCAACTATAAATGGTGATTTATGTTAGTTTACCAGAGGGTACTTGTGGGTTCTGTATCCGTGAGCCCGGATTTACCGGCAGATTCCCCCATTTTGATCCATTTTGGGGTCTTTAAAGCCATCCCAAGGGTGCCCCGTTTTTCTGAGGCCAAAGAAGAAGCTGGCGCCCTTTGGGGAGACAACAGCGGTGATGCCGCAGTGGACGCTGACTTGGAGGAGGACAGCTCTGAAGATTCAACCAACCCCTACCCCAAAGGTCACGCCCCCAGTAGATGATTAGCATCTTACAAACCCTTTTTAGTGGTTGCCACATCGCTGGAGAAACCATGGCAATGCTGGGATCAAGCCATTGCTGGAAGTACTGAGACCATTTGTTGGCAACACAAACATGACTTCTGGTAATCCGGCAATGGAACATCCCGGATTAAAAAGTGATTTTCAAAGATGTCCCCATTGAAATTCTCAGTCAAATTGGGGGATTTCCGCCATGAAGTCCAACCTTTTGGGCACGACATTTGCAGGGCATTCCTGCAGAGGCTGTAGCTGAACAGGCCAGGGACTCTGCTGCTGCGGGGAACTGCAGCAGAAATGATAGCTGGGTTTGAGTTTGGAAACTATAAAATACCATATTTTAGTGGAATGAACATCCATCATATAATCCTAGCATATCCCAGCTATATTTGGCTGTTCATGATGGATCAAGTTACCTCTGAAATGAAGTAACATATCTATCCATATGCTATATACTCAAGGGTAAATGAAAATACTTTAGCAGCTATTTTGGTCTGAACAGAAGCGTACCAGGGTTTGGACTCCACATGGACAGCAGTTGTGACTCCCGTGGAGCAACTCACCACAACCAACCCATGGAGGTGCAGAACGAAGATGAAGGCATCGTTCGATTCAGCCTGGACCTTGGTTCGGTGATGCTCGGTGTATCCTGGAAGTAGATGGATGCATAAGCCACTTCTGTCGAATCTTGAGCCGTTGCTACTCCTGTGACCCAACCGATTCTTCCATATTCTGTATTTTTGATATCCAATGGCCACCAATTCTCTGATCTAAATCGAGTTGCAGAGAGTCAACTGTGCAGGTGCCACGCGTGCTGAACTGTGGCAACCTCAGCTTCAAGTCCAGCAATACATTGCCCCCACTGAGTCTGCAAGTATCAGTATCAGTAAATACTGTACGATTGGATATACATCGCGGACCCACAAGTATCTATCGAGTTGTTGTTGTTGGAGTTTACTCTAGCTGGCCAACGGCTAGCTATGTGATGCTATGTGTATATGGATGGTTGAATGGAAACTTTACAAAAAGCCAGGGTTCTTCCTGCAAACGTAGGAGTTTCCTGTAAAAAATCAGTTGAATCAGATCTAGAATTGCTTCTCACTTCAATTTCCCTCGACGCATCACAGGTGGGGCTTGGTCATGGCACCGGGTGAGAAGCCGTTGTGGGGCCCTTGCCTCTTTGAGGAAGAGGTTCAGAGCGGGTGGAGCTGTGAACTGGAAGGGGTATGTCCCATTTTTTAAGTTGATGATTCCGAACCAAAGCTGGTACACTTTCGGGTTTGCGGCTGAGTTGATGTCATCTCTTGAACTGGTTGGTGGCTTCAGCCATGTGTCGGATGTTCCGAAGGCCTGCTGCATCCTGTTGCCTTGCGAGGGCTCAAGCACTACCCGGAAACTTTTTTTTTGCCCTTGATGGGCTTGTAGCCCACAAAGACAGCAAGAAACAGGCAGAGAGAGAGAGAGAGAGATGCAAGCACCCTTGGCCAGTGTAGGATCATCTGAACATATTAGAGTTACATGTTTAGCTTATGTATTCACCTTCACTGAATGCTGATCAGTGTATGTCACAAAAGTATTTCCGCAGAACAGGTATTCATCATACTGATTCACTGCATCTTGCCGAACCATGGCGGCAGCGGCGGCAGATGAGAGCATCATCACCATCAATGTGGGTGGCAAAGAGATCATCCAATTGAAGCCAGAGTTGTTCAGCGTCCTCGGTGACAACAAGTTTGCCTCGATGTGTTCTGAACGTTGGCAAAACCAACTTGATGCAGAAGGCCGTATGTTTGTTGATTATTCACCCCAAGTTTTTGTACCATTGATCGAATTTCTTCGTTTAGCTCGAGATTCGGAGCCTGGAATGCCTGCACCTGTGCTTGTGGATCCTCCTTATCGTCGGGCTTGGATTCGCATGATGCTTGCGTCTTCCTTCCATCCACAGGTGCTTCGGAAGGCTGGGATGACACCCCAAGAGCTGCGGGACTGCGGATGCGATCCCAAGTGTCTTTGTGAAGCCGGATTCACTATCCAAGAGCTGGGGGTGCAACCGACCTGCCCCCATGGGGTACAGGCTCCTTTGAGACCTCAAGAGGAAGGATTGCAGCTCAGTCTGCAAGACCTTATGGAGGCAGGTTATTCAATTCGAGAACTGGGGGACGCGGGGTATTCAGCTGGACAGCTGAAAAATGCTGGGTTCACACCTCAGGATTTCTTAGAAGGTGGATTTACCTTTCGGCTTTTGCGACAGGCGGGGTTCACCATTCCACAGCTGTGCCGCGGTGGGCTGACACTTCAACAAGTTCTGGAAGTTGGATACCAGGCCGAGGATTTGCGGCATGCCGGACTCACACCCCCAGATTTCTTGAATGGCGGCTTCACATTTGCTAAGCTGCGAGAGGCTGGATTCAGACCCCAAGAACTCAGACACTCAGGGCTCACACTTCAGCAACTTATTGAGGCTGGGTTTGAAGTTGAGGAACTGACAAAGGCTGGGTTTACACCCCAGCAATTCTTAGATGCCGGGACCAGTCTTCAGCAACTACGACAGGCTGGGGTTCACCCTCAGCAGCTTGCTCAGAGTGGGCTGACACTCCAGGAACTTTTACAGGCTGGGTTTGAGAGTTCATCCCTCAGGATTGCTGGCTTCACACCGGAACAGTTTTTAGATGCTGGATTGACATTTCAGCAACTGTTGGGACGTGCTGGTTTTACCCTACAACAGCTGACCCGGAACGGTTGGACAATTCAGCAACTTCTGGAGAATGGACTCACATCTTGGGACTTGAAGACGGGTGGGCTCACCCCGCAGCAGTTCTTGCAAAGTGGATTTACACTTCCACAGTTGCGAGAGGAAGCCGGATTCGATTTTGAACAGCTTCACCGGGATGGTTTGACACTGCGACAGATTTTGGGCTGTGGATTCAAAGTTCAAGAGATGAGAGCGCGAACCAAGCAATGCAATTTGCATATTTATGGCATTTATGGCACTTATATGTCTAAATTTACAGCTCAGGCGTTTCTAGATGCAGGAGTCACGCTTCACGAGTTGAGAGAAGCTGGGTTCACACCCGGTGAACTGCGAGCGGATGGGCTGACAGCCCAACAGTGCTTGGACGCAGGATTTGCCACAAGAGAATTGAATTCCGCTGGCTTCTCGCTGAAACAGATCATGTGCGCAGGGGTGACCCTTGAGGACCTGCTGGGGAGTGGCTACACAGCTGTAGAGCTACGATATGACGGGCTTACACCCCAGGAGTTTTTAGATGCTGGCTCTACTCTGAGGCAACTGCGAGAGGCTGGGTATCAACCTCAAGAGCTGATTGAGAAAGGGTTGACTCTTGGACAGATTTTAGGCTGTGGATTCACAGTTCAAGATCTGCGATTGCAATATAATGTGCGTTTTACAGCTCAGGCGTTTCTAGATGCAGGAGTTACGCTTCACGAGTTGAGAGAAGCTGAATTCACACCCGGTGAACTGCGACCTCAGAATCTGCGGCTTCATGGGCTGACTGCCAAACAGTGCTTTGATGCTGGTTATGGCACCCATGAGTTACATCAGGCTGGATATGCATTCAAAGAGATTGCGAATGCAACGGAGACGTCTGGTCCTTTGTCGGAGTGCATCCTGGGCTGCCAGCTTTTGCTCAAAAGCCGAGGCTTCGGTTGAAACAGAATGTCCACATGTCTAATATCACAGCAAAAGAAGTGATCAACCTTCTCATGTCATCCTGCTTCCTGGCGAGGGCGCTAGACAACTAGTGGGATGCACGGGGTCCGTTCAACCGCAAAACATTGTGATTAATGTAAACGCTAACCAGATAGAGCCGGACACATGTTTGACAATGTTTGCCATTACAATTTTAACGTGTAACAGTTAACATATATACCGTTAAAAACAAAGTTAGAATGCGGTTTTGGCTTCGCGTGATGGTGGCCCGTTTGGCCCCCCCCCACGGCGGACGCATTCTATCTGAAGGAACACCCCTTTAACCCTGGAATATTTTGGGGGGGATAAGACAAGAAATTTCTGAGAAATATTTCGCCTGACCACATGAAATATACCCCCCCACATGTTTTTTTGGCTTCCAAAAGAAGTGGGGGGGGGCCCTCCGGATGCCACATTTTAGCCCAGAGATGGTATGGTACACCCTTTCATTCTTGACATTTGGAAGTAGCTTCCACCAGACACTGGAGAGAGTGAACTTGCCAAACAGCCTTCAGAGCTTGATGTTCAGCCTTGAATTCAACCAGGCCCTGGAGAGATCATTATAAACCCTTTTTTTAGCTGAAATAGTTCTAGGTGTGGGGGGGGGGACACCCCTCCTTTTTTTGAAATATTTCAGTTTTTACCCTCCCCTACCCACCCTTAAAGGGGGTGATATACGGTTATATACGGCTATATACGGTTATATACAGTTAGATACGGTTATCTGAAAAAAGGGTTTGGTATGTGGCATTATGATGAAATATTATAACCCCCTAGATTTCATTATATCGACATCAATGTTAAGGGAAAATAGCATGTTCATCCCGTGGAAAATGTGGTACCCCATTTTCAGACACAGTCCCCATACAAACCCAAACATATATATGTATATCCAAATATCATCATGATATATCATAATATCATCATTGGAACAGATTGCACAAACCCAACACAAGCTGCATATTGCTCGCACCTGGAGGTTTTTCGCGCATGCTGCCCGCAGCGCCGCGGCGCTCGCAATCGGAGGTTCGAGGGACTGCCTTGACTTTGGGACGGTTGTTTTTTTTTCCATGTTTACCTACAGATCGTGTTAAAATCACTTGTGTCAACTATGGCAATACAGAAATTGGTCACATTAATGCATGGTTGATACCTACAGTAGCGCATGTTTTGCTTTGACAAGGCGGGGGCATCAAGCATAGGGAAGACGAATGCATACCATGTGTGGCTCAATCGCAAACTCGTAGTTTTATGCTATCATATGCAAAAGGAAAAAAATCCTGCAGTAGGAGCAATATCTACGGCATGTGGGGATACCATAGAACAACATCAGGAATGAACATGTAATAGCATGGATGCCATGCCCTCAGAGGTGATCATGTCATATTCGCATCCTTATTCGCTTTCCCCCCGTGCTGGATTACAAACTCTGAGGTTGTTTTGCCATTTTAATATGAACATGCATGTGCTTCAGAAAGAAATGTTGAACACAATCCGTTTTGGTCATGGCCAAATCCCTTGTTTGATGACTAACTCCGCCAATTTTAGATAGCTAGTCGGAACATGTTGGAAATAATGATGCAATGCAGAATCAATACAGTTTAGTTTTGTTTAGTCATCTAAAATGCATTTGTAATCTTCAAATACTAACGTTTGACAGTAAATGTGCAGTTTGCACGGCTCAAATCCGTGTCAAATCCTCCATGTTTTCGCAGAAAAATTGGGCTGAGGCGACCTGCCAGCTTGGTGACCTTCACAGCAGAAGACTGAGATTTGCAGCGATTGCGAGACGAGTTTTTGGGTGGTGTTTTCCTAACAAAATCTTGGTTTTACAGTTTTACAAGCAGAGAAATGGCAGTTTACATTTTTTTCCAGCATACAAGCAGATTTTACATGATTTTACCAGCAAACATGGAGATATGTGGATTTTTTTTTTTGCAAACATAATTGGTGGCCCTATGAAATCTCCTTTGCGAACCAATAATTTCCAGTCATTGAGGGGATCCCAATTTTTGCGCCAAACCAAAACTGGTTGATTGTTTGACTGGGGCGTGTTTGATAATTGCAATCAACCTAATAGTCCCACGCTTCCCTGATTGACTGTTTTCTGAATAATGTGCTTGATTGGTTTATTTATTGGAAATTTGTTGGAAACCGATTGCGACACAATTTTCCCACGGGTTGCCTGATCAACCTAGCATGTTTGATTACTGTAGCTATGATTGTGCTATCCTGAACTGAACTATGATTGTGCTATCCTGTACCATAGTACCATCTGTTTTCTCGCTTGATTTCTGTAGCATGGATCTTTTTGCATTGTCATCTCAGGATCGGAGACTGATCGTACGGAAGCCAAGAGGCGGTTGTTGAGGGTTTTCAGAGATGGATGGCCTGAGTGCCGGCAAATTGAAGTCGAACCTTTGAGAATCTTCACATGGGATTGGTCAAGACTATTGGTCCTCAAGATTGCAATGACTTATTCCTAATTAGTTGGCAAGTATCCGATTGTTTTAACGTAATATCCAAATTTTCAACATCTCATACCTGTTTCTGGGATTTTGGAAACCTACCGTTTGGACCCAGGTTATCCAATACAGGAGATTGGGCTCTGTCTTTGTTTTGCTGGGTATGTGCAATTGCCGGTAGCCGATGTTGTGGATGGATGGCGTTTGTTTGAGATTTGATACGATTTGATCCCAAGTGTTTTGATACGATAAACAATTATCACATGCAATGAAAGTATGGCATGCAGATTGTGCATTATAGTCTCCAAACAGATTCAAAATTTGGGCGAACATTGGCTGGAAAAAGTCAACTTGGAAACACGGACACGGCGGTTGGATGTCATTGCTTTCTTCAATTCACACAAAAAGCAGGCCCAGTTGCACCTTAAGAGCGAATCCGGCTTGGGAACCTGTTGAATCATTCAGAATCATCCTGTCAAAGAAAAAAAATGAACAACTTGACGACTCCGCACAAAAAAGATTGCCTTTAGACATATTTTCCTCCGCAACTTTTTGGCATAGCGCAGCTGCGAGGAGTGTTGGCCCCTTGTGCTGCGGCGGAATCTGCCACCGAGCTCCTGCATCTTGGTCATCAATGGGGTGGCCATTAAAAGTGGCTGAAAATCATGGGAAACAGGTGATAAACTCATGTGTTGAATGGATAAAATATATAAAACTATGATAGAATGATATAACATTAGGTGTCCAACTGCCATCGGATTGTGGGGTACTATGTTTTCAAATGTGCCTCAATAAATGTGTTCAAAGATGGATTGGTCGCAACTTTAATACGGGAAATTATCTTCTCGACCACCAAATTGAAGGTACCCTACGACAAAACGCGAATTGCCATAAATAATGGAAACAAGGAAAAGGCTGATACGAGAACAAATTTGCGGATACCCTCTGATTGAACATTTTAAAATCAACCATACATGGCATTCCTGTCTGATTTACAAAGGCCTCAAAAGTAGCTGATGCAAGTACAGGACGTGCATATCAGTTTGGCTAGGAGGGTTGCGACAGACGCTTCTAAAGTTCTATGTCTATATATCCATTACTTGGGGGTGCAGTTCTACTTATAAGATCTTTTAAATGATTTATATTTATTGGCTATATTATATCCCAATCTGTGTATTATATTGTATCATTACAGTTATACCGTTACCCATTAATATCACCAACTGTACCCCCAAGTGCTTGAAACCACAACACCAACGAGGTCGACAATGTGAGCATCATTCCGCTGAAAAACGTCTTGGGCTTCAGTGTTGAGGAGCACTTTGTAAGTCAGATAGTCATAAGTTGTCAGCTAGTGATTGGGGATGATTGGGTGATTTGTGAAACGATAGCAATTGGGGATGATTTGGGGATGATTGGGGATGATGTTGTCAGATATGAGTGATAGTGATTGGGGATGATTTGGGTTCATCATGATCATACAAAGATCATGATTTGTGAAACGAGATTGGGGAAACACAAATAGAAGGGCAGTTGACCAGAACAGCAACGCCACAATGCATGTTGTAGGTACTTGTTGTGTTTGTACCATGGATCAATACTGCTCTATTCATATTTGGTTAGGAAGAATCAGACGCGGTGGTTTCGCATCGCTGTGGAACCGGGGGCTTGGTCAACGAGCACGTGAGGAGAGGTTTTCCATGCAGCGAGCAATGATCGTGAAACTCATGGCCAAGGCTTGCATGCTGCCGCTGCTGATGACGATGATGACGATGATGACGATGCTACTGACGAGGATGAGGATGAGGATGAGGATGATGATGATGATGATGATGATGATGACGACGACGACGACGATGACGATGACGATGACGATGATGACGCTATGCTGATGATAATTGTTCTTTTCTTCAACACTGATTATATGCAGGATGCTTGTGATCAGACTTTGGTGACAAGCGTCTTGAACCATGACAGCCTAGTCACGGTGACGACCCTCGCATCCTGTTCCAGGCTTGTTGCAGACCCATGTCCGAGAGTTTCCTATGCGTCAAAGTCTTGAGCAATGCCGCGCTGGGCAAGGTGCTGGCTGCAGATTTGTTGATAGTGAAGCGTGGGATGGAAGGAATGAATCCAGTGTTTGCCATCTGTGCCTTGCTACTTATTGATTTGTAGGCATGATGAAGTTGTTACAGTTTCCTTCGATATCCTTGGATATGTTTGGGAAACATCTGAAACTGTTGGGGATAAACCTAATGGATGAAGGTTTCCCACGGACCCAGTTGAACTTCTCTTTGGATTTGGCTTGGGAAGGTCTACTTGGATTCTCTCTCCGTGCGGCAGCGGGCGCTCGGCTCAGAGGGCTCTTATGCAAGCCGATGGCATCATTATTGTCATCATGTCATCACCGTCCCCATGTAGAATATATGACTCATGACATATATTCTGACCACTAGTGGTACTATTATCATCACATTTCCACTATCATCCATGATCATCCATCATCAACTGGATTTCCCCTGAATGCCAACCACCCCGGTGCGCCCCCAGGTCTTGCCTTTATTTGCTGATCCTCCCTGTAACTTCGAAGAGGACAAGGTGCAAGTCTTGATGCCTCATTGTTTCCATCTCCGACAGTGGCATGCCTTTGGTGGCAGGTGTTGGAGCTCCGACGGTGGCTGGGGAATGTGGCCTTGTTTTTTAGTGGAGCCTCTGAGAAGGCCGTTCTGGGCAGCGGGGATGGCTGGTTTGGGATGTTCATTGCAGATGTTTCTCGGTGTTTTTCCTGCAATGTTGTCTTCTTAGGAAAAATAGAGGGGCCGGTATGGTATATGATTCATTGATATTCTTTGTCATTTACCTATTGGTTGTTGAATAGGGGAACTTTGGATCAATCGACCAGTGGAAAAAGGACACCTCACCTCGGGCAACGCCAGAGAGGTCTCCCAGCGACCAGTTCTTGAGCTGTGGCGCTGCGAGCGAGGCCGGGTGCTATGGCTTTAGGTCAAACATGGACAGAAGATATGCCTTTATGATCTTGAGCTCTTGGGAATTTCTTGTGAGGCTTAGCACCTGAATAAGTTAGATTAATCAAAACATAATCTATATATATATAATTTAGTATCTTAGACTGTCCAACGTGCAATAATTTCATAGAATTTCTGCACTCTTGCAAAAAGCCGCAAATGCCGCAAAAAATTCAAATTGGACCAATCGTTCAGAAACACACTTGAACAACATGAAATTGCAAGCCTTAACAAAAGGTAAGAAAAACAAATCTACCGGCTGGTGAAAATTGGTGAAGAATATGACAAAATAACAAAAACACTCAAAGAAGGATTTGATACCGTGCTAAAAACAATTTTTTTTGGATGGGAAATACCAAACCACTATAATAATTATTGGAATAAATTAAATATTTTGAATTTGAAAAAAACATCAGAAATCCCATATTCTTTTACAACAAATATCCACATAAAATTCTAAAATAATATAAATTTCCTGCAAAAATATACAAATATCTGCAAAAATAATCAAAAATATATAAATTACAATTTTTTAATTATTGCGGTTTATACATACGACAAATTTTATTATATTATTAATTATTAAAATAAATATTAATAATTAATAATTTTATATAATTTTATAAATTATATATAATTTAAATTAATAATATTTAAATATAT